CGAAACTTCGAAGCGTTTCCTATTATTCTTATTAATCTTATCTAGTTAAAACTCCCTTAATAGCTCGTTAATAGTTTTCGTCTTCTTAGTTAGGTCGTTCGTATTCGAAGTAGTATTCTTGCCGGCTTTAGTCGGTTTACGCTTAGGTTATAACGATAGGACTTCTATATTCTCTTAATCGGGTACTTCTCTTTCGATATATCCGCCGTTAGGACCTCTAGCTTATTTAATTACGTTAATTTCGATTAAGTTCGTTTTAATAATACCCTTATAATGATAGATACCTTCGTCGTCGATAAGACCTTTGGTCTAATTATAACTTAAGATCCCCGTTTCGTATAATTCGTAGTTATATTTACGTTCGACTATCTAAATAACGTTAATTTCCGATATAACTCTTAGTATCTCTTCTTGCTTTAATATTACTTCTTCGCTTTTAAAATATCGTAAGTCGAGGAATATAAGCTTTAACTTTCCGGTTAAATAATAATATGTTATCTTACGTACCTACTCTAGAGATTCCTTACTTTAGTATACGTAAAATAAGATATAATAAGCGATCGGTTCTTCTTTATACTTAGCTTAGGTAATAATCGATCCTAGGATTAGTATTAACTCTAGCTTATCCGGGTTTTCGTTCTCGAGGTAGTATAATTACTTATTACTCCTATAGTAAAACCGATTCTAGGTTATATCCATTAGTAACGGGTAACGGCTATAGTTATAAAGCCGATCGAAAGTATTATAAAATTGGTATTCGAATTTCTTATAGTTATTCGTTTAAGTTAATAGAATCTTATTACGTATACTTCGGTAGTTTAATATAATATTACGTTTAAAGCTTATTAAGGTCCTTCCGTTAATTTATAGGTTATAAAGACTTAGGTTCCGAACCGCGTTTACTAGGAACGGGTTTTCCTATTGATATTATTAATCGGCGTTATACGTATCCTTAGGGCTATAAGAGTTATTATCCTAACGGTAGTTCTACGAAGTTATTTTTATCTTTAGAGCGTTAAGTCGGTCGTAGAGGGCCTATATGCTAGCTTTTTAACTAATACTTAGGTAGCCGTAAGAGGGTTTAGGTTACGAAGGAGGCGGTAATAGAAGCATTTAAAGGCTAGGAGTCGCTAATCGTTAAATTATTTATATTATAGGCTTCTCGGGTTCTTCGAAAGTTACCGTTTTTTACTATCGTCGTTCTTCGGCTTAGGCCTTATCGGTAATTTATATTACTATACGACGTTCCGCTTACTTATAAAGCTAGGTATAAAGAGTCCGGTAGTCGATATTTCCGATCTTATTATAGTTATAATCTCCCGTTTTATAGAACTTTATAATTAAGGATATTCGGAATTTATTAGTTAGGTATCCTACTTTTTAGGGAAGCTTTCCGTTATCGTTTACGAGCTTGGAAAGGCGTTTATAGTTTATAAGATACGTAAAAATCGCCTTAGGATCGTTAATTACGTTGCCTCGTTTTAATTATACTAGTTTACGTTTAACGTTAGCTTAGCTTGGTTTATCGGTAATCCTAAAACGGTACTTTAAGGCGATAACGATAACTCTCTAGATCGTTTAATCCTTCGTAACGTCGTTAATACGCTTCTTAATGGTTTTAGTCGTAGTTTATTCGCCGATTTCCTTAATCTTATCGTCGTCGCTTATACGGTAGCGGTTAAATAGTCGATTTATTTTCTTTAGTTATTAGGTTATATTATATTTATTAAACTTAAACCTAGAGTAATCGGTAGGGTTAAGGAACCTAATGGCTAGTATTACGATAATCGGGGTAGCTACCGGTATATTCTAGCTATTAGAGGCCTCGTTATTATTATTTTAAGATAATACTATAGGGATTAGCGGGATAAGTATAGAGCCGCGGGTAAGGGGTAGTTAAGTAGGAGTTTTATCGTCCTCCTTCTTTTTTTCGGGCGGATATAGGGATAGAAAGTTAATATCGACTTTTAAGGTTTTTATTAGTAGTTTAGTTTTTATTACTTCGGGTCCTAACGGCGATTTACTTCGTTTCCTAGCTACGGATTCCGTTTAATTTATCGATACGAAATATAAAATAAAAAGGGGGGTAGTAGGGATCTTATTATTTAATATAGGGGTAAAGGTATAATAATTATTATTTATATTTTAATACTTTTCTTTTGGTATAGGTATATTATTATTTATTATATTATTTTAATCGATAAAATCCGGGTATTATACGAGCTTTTTTAGTCGGCTAACGCTTAATTAGAGTACGATACGTATTCCTTAGACTAATAGTTTAATTATTATAAATAAGTCGACGATAATTCCTCCTATTAAGGTTTAAAATTCCTAACGTATAACCTTCGTTAAAGTAATACGTATAAGGAATAGATTCCGAGTAAAGGATCGCGTTAGATACGATACCGGTTATAGCTATAGGCCGGTTTCGATCTAACGGGAGTTATTTAATAGTATTAGCGGTATTACCGCTAGGCGTCGTTTTACGCCTATATTAATACTTCTCGCTATATTAGTTATTAATTAGTAATATAAGGCTAGTTTATATATAGGTATACCTATTAGCTCGACTTTAGTTCCGTTTTCCTAATCCTTTATATCTACGTAGTTTTATTAATATTAATTCCTAGTTTTCTTTAAAACTATCGGTTACTAGTAGTTATTAGTTTATTAATCCTATCTATGTTATTAATGTAAATATTTATATTATATTATATACTATATCGTTAAGTCGCTACGCCTAGGTATCCTAAAATACCTTTAATATAATAAGTTATTAGTATTTATATATTTAATTTATATCGATTAATAGGTTTAGAGGGAAAAAGAAGCTATCGTAAGGTCGGTTAAGGTATAATTATTATTAGCCTTTATCCGCCTTTAGTATTAATAAGGAAGTAGCGGGTCGTATAAGTTATCGTAATTTATATTAAGGCGTTCGTACGTCCTTTATATAGTAGGTAGATAATTATAAGGGGGCTGCTTTAATCGCTATAAGCGCTATTTACTCGCGCGAGATATACCGTATTATTAGCGGTTCGAGGAAGCGGTTAGTATCGAAAGCTAAGTATTATTCCTAGTAGCGTTAGTATTACGACGAGAGGTTTCCTAGGCTTACGGGTACTTCCCTATAGGTAGGTAAAGGGTTATACGGGGTTTACGTTAATCGCTATAAGCGTTATTTATTCGTTATATTAAATCGTAGTATCGATAGCTTATTAACGTTATAAGTATTAAAGGCTAGGCGGTATCTTAGCGGCTATGGTATCGTAGTAAAAGTTCTCGGGCTTATACGTACCTTCCTTTAGTAAATAAATAACTATAAGGCGGGATATTTTATTTAACGTAAAACGTAGGCTACTTCGCGGGTTAAATAGCGGCGCCGACGGCGATCGGTATCCTTTAAATCCTAATAGCGTAATAGAAACTCCGTAGACTAAAGGTTAAGAGGTCGAAAAAGTTATAAGGTAGTCGCTATTAAGGAGGAGTAAAGCGTACGCGATACTAGAAACCCGGATAGGTTTACTCGAAAGTATACTTTACCGAAGATTATAATACGTACGATAATCTAAGGTAAATGAAACTAGTATCGCTATATTAATCGAAAGATAAGAAATCTAATATAGTTATCGTATCTTAGCTATATCCCTTAGTCGTAAAGATATAGTAGTCGTTAGCCCGAAGGTATAAGAGGTAAAGGGAGAAAAGGAGTAAAACGTAAAAGTTACTTATTCGGTCATAGCGGTACGACGAAGTAACTTAAGCCCTTATAACTAAAATAGATGCATTAATCGGAGAACGACGAATCTAATAATAAAAACGAATCTTTAATTAAGGTAAAAATAGTAAAGATAGTAATCTAGCTATGTAATAAATTAGATAATAAATATAGCATATTCCGTACTTACGGGAGCTATGGTTATTCTATATAGGCATAAGGCCTATCGTAGCGTGTTACGTAATGCATTAAGAGGGTATGTCTTACCGTACTACTATAATAGGCGCTTAAGTTACTTCGTCGTACCGTTATAGCCGAATAAGTAACTTTTACGTTTTATTCCTTTTCTCCCCTTACCTCTTATGCCTTCGGGCTAGCGACTACTATATCTCTACGACTAAGGGGCATAGCTAAGATACGATAACTACATTAGATTCCTTATCTCTCGATTAATATAACGATATTAGTTTTATCTATCTTAGACTATCGTACGTATTATAGCCTTCGATAGAATATATCTTCGAGTAAATATATCCGGGTCTTTAGCATTACGTACGCTCTGCTCCTCCTTAATATTATCATATCCGTTTAGACATTAGTTCCTACGTAGTTATAAAAACTATCCTAAAATTATAAGAAGGGAAGGTAATAAGGTCGGTACCGCGACCCTTATTATAATTCTTTTAGCTCTTTCGAAAGAATAACTAATTAAGGTAACCCTTACTAGATTTAGTTACCATATCCGTACCCCGACTCTATTACTAATATATTATCCATAGACCCCCCCTCCCCGTATGGTAGGTACCTCCCTAGGTAGATACCTCCTCGGTACCTTAAGTGCATAAGCGATGGGAGACTCTTATCGGCACTTGATCGGGCTGGCTCCTCTTATTCAGGTATTATCATCTCATCCTTATCCAATCCCGGCGCAAGCCGACCTGATCGCCATCGTCCCGACGACCACAGCCCTCCCCTATGGCACAATCGAGCCGAGATCTCTCCTCATCGCTCGCTATCGTCATCTGATCCCGACCTGAGCCAACCACCTAGAATTCTTACCACCGATCCAACACCGCAACATGCATGTCCCCATCTGGCGTTCAAAGTAATCCTCACGCACGCCCGGCCCGACTTCTCTTTCCGGTTCTTTAGCATAGCTTTCCGGATCTTGCATTCTATCCGCGCCGGCTGGCCAGGGGTCGTTTATCGGCCGGCCGCATTTTCCCCGTCCCCGCGTGGCATGATAGCTTGCCGCCGAGCTTCGTTAGGCGCCGCCAAAATGACCGAGCAGCTCCTTCACCTGCCCGAGGTCGAGAGGCTCAGCCCCGCTTGCATCCGCATCCTCGGCGGCAATCCGGGCAAGTTCACCCTGCAGGGCACCAACACATATCTGGTAGGGACCGGTTCCAAGAGGTTGCTCGTCGACACGGGCGAGGGCAAGCCTTCGTGGATTGCCGCCTTGAAGCGGACCCTCGAGTCGGAGAGGGCTACTATACAGAGCGCTCTCATCACCCACTGGCACCCTGACCACGTCGGCGGGATCGCCCAGCTCTTAGAGCTTTCGCCTCAGACCACTGTCTATAAGCACGATCCCGCCCAGGGTCAGCTCGACATCGTGGAAGCGCAAGAATTCGAGGTTGAAGGAGCCACCTTGACGGCTCTGCATGCGCCGGGCCATACCACAGACCATATGGTATTCGTTTTGCGCCAGGAAGATGCCCTTTTCACCGGCGACAACGTCTTGGGTCAGGGCACCGCCGTCTTCGAGGATCTCGGTACCTATCTCAAGAGCCTAGCCAAGATGGAAGAGCTGGTGTCGGGCCGGGCGTACCCGGGACACGGCCCCGTCTTACCGCAGGCACGTGTCACGATTGCTCACTACATCTCTCATAGGCATCAGAGAGAGGTGCAGGTGTTACAGACCCTAGGCTCGGCTAGAGAGACCGACCTCTGGACCGTGATGGAGCTGGTGAAGGTGATTTACCGCGACGTCCCGGAAAATCTTCACCTGCCCGCCGCGAATGGGCTAATCCAGGTCTTGCGGAAGCTCTACGACGAAGATAGGGTCGTGCAAGAGGGTGGCGATAAGTGGCGCCTCAACGACCGGTCAAGCTTATGAAGACGTTATGAGTAGCGATGGTCGGCTCACGCCGATTCCATCGGAAGGTGGAGCGAGCAAATCTAGGTTGTGAAATAGGTGAATCAGCGTCCATGTCACCGTCGGACATCCTAGAGCTGGACAAGCCGACGCAAATTATGCCAGGAACGAGACATTTCCTTGATTAGCCCCCCCCCCCCCCTCCCCAGTGATCTGTGTCAGCACGGGGACGACGCACCGGAAATTTCCGCCCCTACTTCCGCTGAACTGACGCGGCTACCCTAGAGGCGAGGATAGCTAGCTTCCAGCACTGTTAGGGCCCAAGTTCGGCAGGCATACAGACTGCGGTATCACGAGGTCGTGGCCATCATGTAGGGAGCCGCATCACCACAAAGATCCTACGCCGGGAGTGCCACGGCGCATGGTCCTTACCCGTCTTATCACGTTACGCATATGGCTAGAGAAAGGCGGTAGGACGCGACGAGGTGGTTCGGAGCATGCTGTGGAATGTGTTAATGCAAGGAGATCTTAATTGAGCCGTGTTGCACTTTCAGTAGCCATCCTAACCCTGTCCGCAGGGAGGGAGATAGGGGCCCGGGGGTTGTCCAACCACCTCCGGAAGTTCGGCGCCGAAGTCTTATTTTCGCAACCCAATTTATAAGCAAGAGAGGGATGGCCAACTTGGGCGGCGACCACCGATAAGAGTAACCGTGATAATTACGCCAAGTTTCCGGAGGTTTGAGCCACTGCTCGCTGGGATTACGCAGTTAGGACATTCTCTATCGAGGGTGACAAGCGATTTAATTTATTTGTCGAACGCCTCCGGCATTAACCTGTCGCCATGACGAGGTTGGGTCGTTAACCCCTGCCGTTACGGTACTACGTAAGATGGGAATCGGGTCTCTCTGGCCTACAAGGAAAAAAAAAACAAAGTTGGCTATCCGCGCCTGGGGTGACAGTGCGATAGATCGCGTAAGCCGTTCGGATCGTGAGGAGCAATGATGTTCCCGCCTAATCGACGTTGCCAACGCGCTGTACAGGTCACACGGGGCCCTTGCGAGCAACATCCACCATATGCAATTTAGGAACGCCATGGCAAATTGCGAGACTTTGGAGATGGAGAAAGTAAGGGAAAAAAAGCAAAAAGAGAGAGAGAGAGCGCTAGGGAGAATCGGACGACACAAATCACGGTGGAATACATACGTATATGTACATACCCTTGATGGTAGGTATGTACATATTGTGTAAACCCGTCCCTGGCCCTGGTCGAGTCGTCTCGATTCGGACTCCGACAAGAGCGCCGGTGCGATCCCAACTGTCCGCTCCGATCAAAATTATGTTCTGGGCACCTTGGCTCTCGGGCAGGGAGGCACCTACGTAATGCGGATATATACTCGTATATGACAGACAAGCATATGTGCAAAGGTGCTAGCTGTACCTCCTAGATACGTACACAACCACACGCGTATGTGTACCTAATATGTGGATGAGACACTTCTTACCTGCTGTGTTTATGTTGGTTGGAAGGGAGTTTGGAGGGTTCTCAACTCTTAGAAGCGGGACAGAGAGAGGGAGGACGGAGAATGTGGTAGGCACATGATGTGGGTGCTGTTACGTGGAAAAGGGCAAGAGTGGATAGGGACAAATAAGCAAGCCAAGCCATCGAGTGCCCTATTTACAATTACTAATTGTTCGACACTCGCGTTCTTTTCTTCTCCCTGGTCTCTAGGTAATTCTTGGGTTCTCATTTGAGGCTCTTGGCGTCTGTGCCCAGCCTCGCTCGTCTTTTTTTTTTCTTTGCTCCCTCCTCTCGCCCCTCCCTCTTCCGGACCTAGCTTCGAGGTTCGAACCGCCGTGCGGAAGAGGTCTGCTGGCTGCTTAGTCGATGTTGGTGCTGTGATCAACCACGGTACTGGCTAGCGGAGTTTCTATGCATGGCGGCTTGCGTTACATGTATGTGAGTGTGTAAATATGTGTGTGTGCGTGTGGTGTTATGTAGGTATCTATCGTGTGAGTGGGATCGCCATGCCGCCCGTTCTTGGGACCCAAGAAATGATGCGTCTTGGTTTCTGCGGAGAGAAGGGAGGGGGGGATTCGGCGTGTGCGTGTAGATTTTCTGCACGTGTTGTTCAATCGATCACTGTATGCAGGTGTATGTAAGACCATCATCGGGCTGTTCGATACCACCGGGAAGCGAACGGTGCATGTTTGGATCATTGGTAATATCCAATATCGATGCGACAAAACGATGTCGGCTGCCCAATGTCAACACCCCCCCCTTTTTTTTCCAGAGCGGAATCTCGTCGTCTGCCTTAGCTGATATCTTACGACCCGGCTTCGCTCTCCTTAGACGATATCAGTTACAGACATCGCGCGAGGGGTAGGGGAAGGGGGCGGTCTCTGTTTCTTGTAACGCAGGTATTACGGTCGTCAGCTTTAACTAGAGGATTCACAGTCGGCATTTGGTGCGTTACAACGCTACTGCCGCCTCTTGCATGATGGCATCCAAGGTTGGATGGCCTGTCGCTGCTTTGACCCTGGTCGGCGACCCGGTTGCGGCGTAGTTTGTGGACATTTTGTAGGCAGGCAAAGCGGCTAGTCGATGCTCATATGACGCCCGGCCGAGGCCGCTAAACCGAGAGACTAGGGAGAGGACGGTGGTGACAGAAGGGCGAAAGGCCGTCTCGGAGTTTGGATAGGGAAACAGGAACTTAGTATTTACCACTGGTCTCGATTATTTCTTATTGTTCCTCGTCGGTCTCCTTCGTCTGCTGTGCTGCAGCCCGAATCGAACGTTGCGTGTTTCACGAGCCTTCGTAAGAGGAGTTGTAGGAGGACGAGGTACCTAGGTACCTTGGAAACCCTTGCTAGCGCGGCTCCCCAAGACAATTCGAAAAGGCTGACAGGAAGGTATCTGCGAGTCCGCGCGCCGGCAAGCGAACGATCAGCAGAGCTGTCGGGGTACCTCCACATAGCCCAACGGGCCTAAGGTGAGGGAAAGATACCAGGTAGGTACCTCCTACCTACTTAGGTACCTTTAGGTATGCAAATGAAACCCCGCGACGCTCGGGAGGCTGGCTTCTAAATTAGGTAAGTGAGAGGTAGTGTTGGTAGCTCAGGTAGGTATAGGTAGGTACCTACCTCCTAGGTAGGTTACATCCCTGGATGCATACATTAGGTACCTAACCGAGATCTCTACCTCCGGCTGTAAGTTAGGTGCCAAAGGTACCTATACCTACCTGCTTATCGACCTGCCCGTCCTCACTGCCGTCGGTCTCGTCACCCCTTGCGTGCACAGTACTCATATAGGCACGACTGATCTTGGGGTTCCTCCGGGATCGTGGGCAGTCAGCTGCCACGCTCCTTGGTCGAAGATAGGTAGGCAGATACCTACGCGCATAGCGTAAGCAGCATTCGTCACCTGCTGCCTACATGACCTGCGACATACATAGGCGCATACCGAGGTGAGCTGTCACGGGGATTTTGCGTCAACTTGCATATGCACATAGCATAGGGCTAGCATACATAAGGGAAAGGATAGGGGGAGGCACTATACAGGCTGGGAGAGTAGGGGCATCGTAAGGGGAGACGGCCGGAGGGGGATGGAGACGGATGCGGATTTCGACGCTCTAGAGAGCCAAAGATCGCGCGGGCACACAGCCGATGTCCGGTTGCGGATACGTGCGGGCTCCCTCGGGCCGTCGCTCTTTGATCTTCTCCTTTCTTCCTTTCTGTAAGCGCCGTCCCAGTCAGGCCACGATCCCCCGACGGCGACCACCGTGGCGGCAAATCGAGATTGGCCCAGAGGATGTACCTATAAGGTAGGTTACCTTAGGTACCTCTAAGAGGTATAACCTCTGCGGCCTGGCCTGCCCAACCCAACCTGATCAACCTATAGGTACCTGTAGGTACCTATCCAACGAGTAGGTATCTCTCATAAACCTCCGCCTCTTCCGACGTGGCGTCGACGGAATCTTGTCCAATGGATCTGCCCCGTACCAAAGCATCCGCGTATCGATGGAAGGAGGTACATAAGCGAGGGTGAGCAAGAAGGCTTAGGCGGGGCTGCAGGCCCACACTAGATTCCTCCCTTCCCTGAACTGGCCGGACCCATGCCTCAATCCCTTTCCACCTGGACGCTAATCCGGCTGTACCCACCGTCGGATTCTGCGAGTTTCCTCGACGGCCTTGGCCTTAGCCTCGACGGCTTCAACCTCCAGCCATGCCTTCGAATCCCATACCGCCGTTTTAAGCCTGTCTTCGGATGCTTCGGATCAGCCATCGTACTATCTCGCCAGGCTATCGCTCGATGGCTCGGCGGAGACGCATGGCGCGAGGCCGATCAGAGGCGGATGCAGGGTAGGACATGGCTCAAACCACGCTTCCATCTGTGCGCTTTGCACGTCTTTGACCCGGTCCTCTTTACCCATGTACACGGCCGCCACATGCTACCTCATATCAACATTACCTCCTATGCTACGCCTTGCCTGCGTCTTACCTCCCCTTCATATTATTAACGCCTTGAAGCTAGGTATCCCGCGATGCTGCTCCGCTTGGCCCACAGAGAAAATATGGCCCCCTCTGTCTTATTCCTCTCCTAGTTAACTGTTTATGAAAGCGTCCCCTCCCGCCCCTCCTCCCGCTCCTCCTCCCGCTCCCCCCTTCCCGCTCGCGCCTCTCTACACAGGATATCTGACAGGTAGCTGTGCCCCTATTGCTTCATCTCATCTTTATAGCCCTAGGCCGTTAATTCCGCTCCCAACTGTTGCTGGGGCTCAGCCCCGATCCGGCTCGGAGCTCTGTGCTCATATAAGCTTAAACCTGACTCATACAATACACGCTTATAAAAATTCGGGCGGCGAGCCTCGCCCGCGCTCTCTCACCCCGAAGAAAGGACAGGAGAGAGGCATGTGAGGCGTCCTCAATAACTATCATCTATCGACTCGTTTTGACTTGCGTGACCTCACCAACCGATACCCACTTGCCGGTGGCAGCGCTGCAAGATGAGGTCAACCGCACATTCCGCCCTTAAGCTCCTGGCGCTTCTCGCCGTCGCCGGCGCCGTCCCCGCCGTTCTCGCCCACGGTGACGGCCACGGGACGGACATGGACATGGCCATGAGCAAGGAGGAACCGAAGCCCGATCCGGACTCATACCCGCCGACTTACTTTTCTCACCCCGAACATGTAGTCGAGATATATGCGCACATCGCATTGATGGTCGTTGGCTGGGTGATTTTGCTGCCAACAGGTACGATGACTTGAATTATCTTAGCAAGCCTCCGTGGTAACCTCGTAGCGATTCTAATTGGGTACGTTTAGCCGTCATGTTTTCGATCGCGAAATCGCGATACACACTCGCGACCCAGTTCGTCTTCCTCGTTACCAACGCGCTTGGCCTCTTGTTGGGCATGACCTATAACGCGAACACACCCGATTTGTATCCCAACAATGCGCACCATAAGCTGGGTTGGATCGTCACTTTTGTCGTGAGTGCGCAGGTCGTAGTCAGTCTCATCGGCCGCGTGGCAGGCGTGATGAGTAAGAAGGCCGCGCAGGGACACCTCAAGGAAGAAGAAGAAGAACAGGCATTTATCCCAGTTTCGACCGCGGCTATGGCCGAGCACCAGCGTCTCAGCAATGCTCTATACTCGAGTCCATACCGACACTCCAATGACAGTGGCCAAGGCACTGAGCCGCATACCGAGTCTCTGCGAAGCAACTCGATATCGACAGCGATTGGTCAGGAATCGCCCATCGAGCTGGGTACGCGCAGAACGCAATACGAAGACGATGACGACGCGCTCCATTTCAAGTCCGCGAGGATGCTCTCGTCGAACCGCGCTAGTTCGCTCATCACTAAAGTTGCTAGCAAGATCTCTAACAGGGTGTGGGGGGTCCTGTTGTTCGGCTACAACTTCGTCGACAGAACCATCCTCATTTTGGGCTACATCACTTTGTGCACCGGCCTCATCGCATTCGCGCGATTCTTCGTAAGTGGATCCGAGCGCAGGTCGTAAAGGTTGCAGTATCAGACTGACTCGCGAATCCAGGAGGGACATGGTATATTTAGTGGTTTGGCTCATTGGATCAAAGGCGGCATCTTCTTCTGGTACGGCCTCTTGACTCTAGGGAGGTGGTCGGGTTGCTTCGGTGAGCTGGGTTGGGTAAGTCGAATTGGACGCACCCCCTCCCCCCTCTCTGGGTTCACCATGCATGAGCCTTGGCTGACACAAAAAACCACGTTCACAGGCATGGAATGTTCGCCCGAAGCAGAGCTCCCAGAAATGGAGGCCCACCGCAGAATTCACTGAGGGTGCACTCATCTTCACGTACGGATCGACCAACATCTTCCTCGAGCATCTCGGCAATGCCGGCCAGGACTTCAGCCCGCAAGACCTAGAGCACATCTCTATTACCGTTCTCTTCATCGGAGGGGGTCTGGTGGGTTTTTCGCGACCTTTGAAGTCGGCGAGCGGAAGGTACTAATAAGATTTGCCTAGCTGGCGATGTTAATCGAGTCCACTCGTATCCGCGAGCTGTTGAACACTACCGTGTACGATGCGGCGCTTTCGCACCCCGATCACGCTTACAGCGACGAGGAACGTGATGCGTTACAGCCGCCGAAACAATACGAGTTTTCCATCAACCCCATTCCGGCGCTCGTGATCCTGCTCCTCGGTATCATGATGAGCTCTCATACGCAGCAGTCCATGGTCTCAAGCATGGTCCATAAGCAATGGGGCAACCTTCTGACCGGCGCGGCGTTTGCCCGGGGGTTCACCTACGTACTGTTGTACCTGAAGCCTCCGCGCTCAATCCTGCCGTCCCGGCCGCCTACGGAGCTCTTGACAGCTTTCGGCCTGATCGCGGGAGGCACGATATTCATGGCCAGCGTAAGTGATGGCATTTCCGGTTACATTCCAGGATTAGGTGACTAACGGATGCGACTAGTCGAGTGACACCGTGGATGGAATGATACATTATGACCTGGATGCCATGTTCTTCTACACAGTTACGATGGGATTTGTCGCTCTCATCATGGCCTGGGTCGTGCTCCTTCTGGCCCTTAAAGGCTGGGCCGTCCGCAAGGAGTCGGCCCGGTCTCTGAAATCCTGGGCCTTGGCCTCTAGGGTCTAAGGTGGGAGCTCGTGCATTCTGGTTGGCGAGTTTGGGGAGGGAACGAACGACAGAGTAGCGTTCCGGGCGGATGAGGAGGAACCAAATGGCCCAGTGGCCGTTCGCAATATACCCAAGACGCTCTCCTCTTATGTTTTTATGCTTTCCCCCCTCCCCTTGCTTTCTAGACTTTCATTATCGTCAAAGATACCCCTTGAGAGGACGGAGAGACGAGACAGCTTGCCGGTGGTCCCCGTGGTCGACGTATCGACATATGGGCCAGGCAACTATGTAGATGGATAGGCTTTATTATGCGCTTGCTCGGGGATTGAAGAGAAGGCGAGGACGATATTAGCACTGCCTACTTTGCTTCGCCAGCCCGGAATGTGAACTGTGGGTGTAGTTGTCGTAGCTACACACCATCTTTATACACGTAGACTAGGCGCCTAGTTGATGGCGCGCCTGGCCGATAATTAGATTACTGGTCGCCTCTCGTGTCATTTTCTGTCCTGGTCGTGCTTGTGTTGTTTTGGGGGTTGTTTACCTATGTGTCTGGGTGCATCGAGGATAGCTACAAGCCTCGGCTAGCCCGGAATGCGACGGGGGAGGGCATGGGAAGAATAGCCAGGCCCAATCCGGCTTGCTAGCTGCCACCAACCCTGACACAAGTGAGAAGGCCACATGGGGCTGACAACTAGCCAGGATGAACTTGAATGAAGCCCTTGAGCGGAACCTGGTCGGTTGGGGATTTCTTTAGGCGGATGAGAAACGGGGCTGTAGGGTGGAAGCCGGCAATAGTTCGGGTCAATGTGATCTGTGCGTCCGTCTGGTCAGCTACGGGTACTTAAAGCCAAATGAATAGCCTATTTCTTCAGGAGCGGGATTGCGTAAAAGTACTTGACTCATGCCTTTTACCTGACTCAACCTTGCGTAACCCAAAAAGCTCCATTGCCTAATCTTTGGAAACAGTACTCTGGAGGTCCCAGATTCAATTTTGCTGTTCCTTTTTGGCCTTTTTTTTTTTTTTAATTTTCTTTCAACCCTCGACATTCACTTGCACGTTATTCCTCTCCTCAGCTTAGCCTACACCCAGGGTAAGCATTTTTTTTAACTCATGTACATATATATATCTATCTATCCCCCCCCCCCCTAAGCAGTTGGTATGCAGGTATGCATGCGCGCATGCGCTGGAGAATTGCATCTTGGGTAGTCATATCAACCAGTGCTTGCGTAGGTACCTACTAGCCTAACACCGTCCTCGGAGGTGTTTAAAGGACACTGGATGCGTGCTCCTCCTCGCCTTGCCTTGCCCACCAAGATACCGGGAGACAGCCCGAGAGATGTGCGGCGCCACGCATATGTATAGCCTCTATCTGAGGTTCGAGCTATACCCCCTACCTTGGGGAACCAGGTAATACCTAGAATAGGGCTGGTGGTACCTAACGTAGCAACGGTGGTATGCTGTAGGAGGTATGAGTAGAGGTAGGCAGGTTAGGTACCTGGGCAATGTATCTCCGTGTATGGCGGCGGGGGTTGAGCGGGGTTGGATGTTAGGAGAAGAGGAGGATCCTATAGTATACCTAGCTGTCACCTACCTCCTAAGGTAGCTTACCTCTGAAGCTACCTAACCTAGGCCGGGGAGGTGGGTGTCTTAGGTACCTCCCTTTACCCCTCGGCTGTCTCTTACGTCGTCCCGGTGCGCGACAAGACCCCCATCTACTACCTACCTCATCTTACGCGAACGCCCATCGAGGTCCGCCGTCTCCCTTCCCATCCCTCTCTCGCACCCTGTCAGCCCCCTCCCTCCCTATCCGGCGTACTACCTACCTCCCTACCAACCTACCGACCTACCTACGGCATACCGTCGTTGCTACGTACCTACAGCCGCCTGCTTCGAGCCCCGGAGCGAATCGGCATCCACCATGGCGGCGACCTGCATCTTCTGCAAAATCATCAAAGGCGAGTGATCCCCCGGCCCGGTACGCCTGCGCGGTCACCAGCCGACGCGACGCTGCTCCCCCTTGGGAGACCTCTCTCCGCCGCCGGACCAGTTCGCTCGGGTGGCTCACACACAGCCGTGACGAGCTACGAGCGCCCCCCCTCTCCCTCTCTCCCCCCTCTCCTCGTAGTTTCCCCCTAGTCCCGTCACGGGGCGGGTGGAGGGTTATTGGCGGCTCCGGGCGCGACCTATCCCCCGCTAACACGACAGGGCACGCAGGCGAGATCCCGAGCTTCAAGCTCTTCGAGAGCGACAAGACCTTCGCCTTCCTCGACATCAACCCTCTGAGCAGAGGCCACGCGGTAAGATGTCCCGGCCTCTTTCTCCGCCTCCGGACAAGGAGGGGACGTTCGTTGCATGTCGTACGCGTACCCACATAGGTACCGTATCGTGCATGCCGTCCGTGGCAGCTCTCCTCCTCCTCCTCCTCAAACTGCTAGGATGCCTTCTTTACTCACAACGCCGGCCTGTGTCTCAGCTCGTCATCCCCAAGTTCCACGGCGCGAAGCTCACCGACATCCCCGACGAACAACTCGACGAGATCCTGGTGCGTAGCAATCTATATCTATTTGCCTGTCTCATCCTCCGCTCAGTTGAACCCCCCCCACCCCCCCCCTAAGCCCCGCTGCGACAAGTCGACGCTCCAGTGTAGAGAACAGATGAGAGAGCGTGCGTGACAGAGGGATAGAGAGTGAGACTAACCGCGCCGTGTCCCCGCGTGACAATAGCCCCTGGCCAAGAGACTCGCAAAAGCTATCGGCGCTACCGACTTCAATGTCCTCCAGAACAACGGCCGCATCGCCCACCAGATGGTCGACCACGTGAGTTTCTCTCCCCCCCTTCCCCCCCCCCTTTTTCGGTCTTACCCACCTCTCTCTCTCTCTCTCTCTCGCTCCCCGGTTAACTCGTGACGAACTCCGACGCCTCTAGGTCCACTTCCACGTGGTAAGAAGCCCCCATCTTCTCTTCTCCATTACTGTTGTGTATATCTACGTGTCCTGACCGCCGCATAGATTCCCAAGCCGGACGAGAAACAGGGCCTCGGCGTCGGGTGGCCCCAGCAGCCGACCGACATGGCCGCCCTCAAGGCCCTGTTCGAGGAGCTCAAGCCTAAGGTTTGATTTCGGGGGACATCAGGCACCGCCAGGCGCGTGCGTATGCCACACATGCCACAGCTCGCGAGGGTAGAACGGGCTTTGTAGCTGCTGTAGGTAGGTGGCCGTTACATAACAGAGCATGGGCAGAGAAAAAGAGGAGTGGAAGGACCGAGAGACATTCTCGGCGCGAATTGGTCACGAAATCTATTTACAACACTCCCCCCCCCCCCCCCCCCCCCCGGGTCAAGTGATATCAAAGTGCTCTCTATGCAAATCGACTACTCGTCCGCTAATCCTCGACCCTCATTGCTCGCTCCATATCCGGTACAATTACTTCTTGTCCCCTCAATGCTAGTCTTCCGCATACCCTGAACCTCGTTTAGTCCACGTCGTCGACGGACGTCTCCCCCGCTGGTGGTGTCAACGACACCACCGCTGTCGTCCCGTTGGTAGCTGGCGTGATCTTCGGGGGGTAGTAATCGAGATCCCCGCCGGGCTTAATGACGCCAATCCTGTCGTAGTACGACCGCGACCGGATGTAAGGGTCCAGGCGCCAGTACTGTTCCCTCAGTTTCCGGGCGATCTCGTCGCGCTCCTCGTGGATCGCAGCCCGCTTCTCGGGGGCGTCGGCGCTAATCCACTCGATCGTCCGGCTCTCGTACTCTTCGTAGAGTATCTCGCGCTCCCGTAGGAGCTTCTCCTTCGTCTCGACGTCCTTCATCTTCGCGTTCTCCCCAGGCACCGGCTCGACGTACGAGTACGTGTAGCCCGACGTGCCTTCCAACTCCGTAGGTATCCTCTCGGCGGAGATGAACTCCTCCAAGTCTTTGAGCGTGTTCGTGAAGTGCACCTTGCTCGCGACCACCGGGTCGAGCCACCCTCGGACGATCTTCCATATACCTAAAACGCGTCGAGTTAGAATTTAGGCGTGTACAGCTGCATTTGCTCGTGTGACGCGAACCTTGAAACACCCACGGCGCCTTATGGACGAGGACGACGCCGAGGCTCTCGGGGTAGTTTGCCTCAAAACATTTTATCATAAATCGGACGGGGGTGTAGTCCTGTGACCTGTCAGCCCTTGCCCGGTCTACACCTAACGGCATCTGTGCGACTTACCATGTTGGCTAACGAAAACCCGGTGAGGTCAAATAGGACGCACTGTCACAAGCGTCGTCAGCTTCGGCATCTTATCAGCGCAGCACCCTCGCGAACTTACGGCGGTGTCGATGGGATGGTTCAACATAAACCGGGTCGTCTCGATCAAGTATACCGTAAACCTCTCGAGGCCTTCTTCCGACTGCTCGCCTGCCTTGTGCAACCGGGCCCGGACGACGCAAATGGGCCGCCCCGCCTTGTCGACGCCGTAGCAGTAGCTCTTCCCCATGCGGATCTGGGCGAGAAAGTCTTCGGCGAGTTTCTTACTCTTCTGGTCGCTGCTTTTCTCGTTGGCGGTGGCAAATTCTTCGCCATTTGCCATGATTTCGTCGTCGACGCGCGCCTCGGAGCATCTCCAGTTCATGGTCGACATAAGCATAACCAGGGCTCTCTGTAGGTTCCATTTCCTCGCTCGCAAAAACCGTAAGAGGAGAGCATCGGGGTGGTCATGCTTGACCATGGACCAGATGGTAGCCCTGATCTGCTCCGGCGGATGGGTGGCTAGCGTGTCGAAGTATGCCTTGTTCTCGCCCCATTTGTCCTCGGGGTCGTTTTCCTTGATGCCGTCCATGACAGCAAGCCTGGGGGGGGTTGCCGTTCCCTTGTCCTTTTCCTTCTTCCGGAAGGGTAACGACATGCGCTTTTTCTTAGGCTTTTCGGACTCCGTCGCGCCCGTTTGCCCCTGAGGCTCCGGGGTAGCTTCCGGCTTACCCGTCGTCTCCTCGCCGAGGACGCCGCACACGTGCAAGAACATCTCCCAGAACTTGCGCAGCTTAGCCTCCTCTTCGGGGGTCAAGTTCCCCGGCCTACCCGGGAGTTGCGCCATATTCTTTTCGGTGGCTTTCTCGGAGTAGTTGCAGGCGTTGTATTGGGTCGCGGAAGACCCGGTTTGGCCAGAGTACAGCACCGAGCCGTAAAATATACAGGCGCCGAACGCGATCAGGGGGAGGATGTATAGCGAGGAAGCTATCTGGCTTTTGAGGCAAATCTTCCTCCTGTAGCGGTATCCCGAGGACCCGCGACCCGCAGACAACGGTTTCTCAGTTCGGAAGGTATGCGTCGGCGCGAAAACTAGGCGAGGGTCGCTATGGCTGTTGTGAAACCGAGATGAAAACCCGCGGGGCAGTGCAGACTCGGATCCGAGGCCAACTACAAGACAGCAGGGGCTCGGGTGTGAGCGCAAGACTTTCGAGCAACGAAGCGAGGGCTGTCGCAAGGGATTGGAAGGGGTCACAAGGTGGGGACAACAGCGTCGCGCAGGTGTAGGCAAGGAGAACGGCTGTGCTGACCACGGAGTTGGTGTTTTCATTAGATCGAGCGCGCGCCCAGAAAGTCAATCAAATGTCCGGGGGACCCGAAGTGCCGTGTCAGCGCGAACTGTCCCCTTTGCAGACGAGGCTGGTTGTCGGGTGTGCTTGTCTAGGGGTAGGGGGTGAGGGGGGCTAAGCCCCGGCGCGAGGTCTTGACGGGCTGACGACACGCGGCAGGACAAGTACCTCGAGACAAAGTAAGCGGTAGCGGTAGGAGGAGGGGTGGTAAGTGGCGGCGACGAAAGGAGGGACAGGAATATGAATATACGGCACGCATAGGCGCAGGTAACGTAGCTGTTGTCTGTGTATGCGCGCAGGTATGTACGGAGGTAGTAGGCAATGCCGGTAGAGATGGATGCTAGCCCGATACGCTTACACCGTCGGGGGCGACTTATATGTATTTTGGCCCTGGGGAACAGGCGTAACTCAGGGATCTTGCCGAGTTAAAGCAGGGGGTGTGAACGAGGGGGCGGGGGGGCATGAGGCATGCGAAGGGATGATGATGGGAAAGAAAATGGAAAAAATAGAGAGGAAGATGAAATGGACCATGAACCCATGAGTTTATTAAGCAGCGGTAGCTGGTTTGGTTAATAGAGCAGGTGCCGGAACATGTCTCCTTAGGTGCATAGCACCTACCGGGGGGGAGCGAAGATGCTGAACCGCCTCGTGTGGTGACAGCCTACCTTAGGTAGGCAAAGCAGGTACGATGGGGACAACCAGGAGTTGCCTACCTAAAATGTACGAAGCGGTAGGTACGTATACGTCATCCCGGAATCCCGTCCTCCCTAACACCGAATAGGAGATGCCCGTAAGGTAGGTACGTGATGTATCATTGTAGGTATTAGGTCTCCCTCTGGTCCGATCTATAAGATTACGTGATCCATGCGATTACGTATACGTACGTCGCACTTCGTATGTTGTGGGAGGGCTGGACTTTCCGCAATGATGGGGAAAATGGTGGGGGGGGAAAGGGAGGGGGTTGTTCCCTGTCGTGTCCTGCTAGTAAGTGAGCACGTGCTTAGGGTGAGTACCTAAGGTAAGTAGGTACCTACCTAAACGTTGATCGCGACCCCAGCAGCTCGAGTCTTGCTAGTAGGTACCTATGTAGGTATTTATTTTCCTAGAACCCCGTAATAGAGAATTGACAACCTCAACACCTGCACCCAACGGTATTGTCAAAAACGGGACCGGCCAGGTGGTTCCCCTCCCCGTCCGGTTTCCGATCGTACAGGCCCCATTCGCCCAGCTTTATCCTCCGAAGCCATGTCGGCGAACGAAGGTCACGACACCGCCAGGCGGCCGCGTTCTACTTCGCGATCGCGTCCGACGACGCCGCTCCGCCCCTCGTCCCGCTCCTCGTTCCGCGAATCCACCCAGCGCGGTGCCTACGGTGGCGATCCCTTCCCTCTCAACGCCTTCGAGCCTGCCTTCGCCGAGCTTTCCGACGCCGTCGCCGACCTCGAGGCGAACATGATGCATTTCCAGCTGATGCACGAGAGCCTGGCCCGCTTCAGCGAGAGCTTCGCCAGCTTTCTCTACGGCCTAAACATGAACGCCTTCTGCGTCGACTTTCCCGAGGTGAGAGGCATCGCTTGTACCCTACCCCAAGTCTAAAGTGCCTACCTAATGCGTGACGACGGAAGGGGCCGGTTGCCGAATCATTTCGTAGGGCGAAACAGAAAGAGGACCAGCCAGGTGAGCGTGAAGAGGAGCCGCCAATCCGACTCCGACCTGCAGGGCGCAGCTATCTTGTGAACCAGGACTGTTGCTGATCAAACAATTATAGCTACACGGTCTCGGAGTACCGAACGGGGCGGAGAGACAGAGGGGGAGACGACTTTCATGTACGTGTATTCCCGTGAGCTGAGCTACGACTTTTCTGACCGTCAAATTACTCTAGGACTACGGATACATCCTTCGTAGACCATCCACCAACCGCCTCTCAACCGACACCCAAGAAGTTCGCCGCACCTGATACCCGCCAGTCCCGCGTACCTGGCCCATCATCATCATCGAGGGGTGGTGCGCAGTCGGGGGGGAGGGCCGGAACGGGCAGAGGCCGCCCGAGCGGTCTCGTCAGACCGAGGGCCCGTGGCCTTAGATGAGCGAAGCTAGACGCTCACGTCCACGGGAAGAGTTTGTCGCCGCCGTCGATTCCGGTATCGGCCTTCCTCAAGCCACGGGGCGGCATGCTTGTGCAACCGGCAGCTTTCCTGACTAGCTAGTGGTAGGAAGACATCCCATATGTGCTTCGAGGGAAGGGGGTCGGGGGGCAGTTGCGGAACCCGGCGGTCTGGAAGGGACTGGCTATAGGTACCTATAGCCATTTCACGTTGTCATGTGTACTTCGATGTCGGTAGCCTCTCCAGACTCTGTCCGGTACGGGCCGCGGTTATCAGTCTGCAGGCCGACAGCAGTCTCAGCCTCCTTCTGGGTGTAGGGCTCTTCGCGAAGCTGCTTCACTCTGCACGTAATGGCCCCCGCGTCCTGTTAGCAGGGCCGGTCTAGGCGGCCAACAATAACACCAGGCTCTATGGCGACGTGAAGAATACGCACCTCCTCTTGTGAGGCTTTCCTTTTCTGTGCAAGACCAGGCTCACCTCACTCTCGTACCACTTGGCGCATTCGGTGCAGTACCACTTGCCCAGAGCCGGCAGATCCTCGGGGGCCTTGGATTCCTTGAACTGGGCCAGGTGCTTCGGCGAGAGGAGGTCGGCCTTGATCTGATCGAGATCCCTCGTCTTGCGGCGGGTCTTGGCCATCGTGCGCTTGTTGGCGACCCCCATGACGGATCGATGGCTGGCGGGCCCGGTCGGTGGCAGGCGGGGCGGGTCGCGTGCGTCCGGGCTTAGGTATATCGACGATTGGCGTGCCCGCACGAGAGCAGCTACGGGAGGAGGCGGGAGGAGGCGGGAGGAGGCGGGAGGAGGCGGGAGGAGGCGGGAGGAGGCGGGAGGAGGCGGTAGATAGGACGCCTGGCGGGAGGCAGGCCGGTGGTGTTTGACGTAGGTACGAGACGGGCGGGTAAGGTACCTTGGATAGGTTCGGTGCTGTGTTTTTGGCGCAGCCGTGATCCCTCTTCGCAAGGGAAGATTTCGACTCGGAGAAGTGCAAAAAAAGAATGGTGGGGTCAGACAGTAGTTGTTTTTTGGCTAGTGGTGAAGGTGGTTGAGGTGGCGGTGGTCCGAGCGTGCGAGGCTAGTGTGGCTTCCTCCCGCGCTTCCTTCGCATGTTGCCCCTTTGGCGTGGTTCACATGTTCCGCGCCTCCGAATTCGATCCGGGCCCCATCCGCCCACATACAGGCCCGGGCGAGCGGCATCAGGGCCGTTGGACGTACATGCCTGCGCACAGCAACGCCCAGCCAGGTTTACGATACGACGGAGTTACGCGAGATGCGCCAGTCTGGGCGCGAAGTAGTCGAGATAGTTGCATTTTTCTTCCCTCCTCCCTTTTTTTTTTGGAGTCGGTCTCTTCCCCTTCCTTCCCCTGGTCCCTTGACGTATACACACAGTAAGGCGATAATCCTGGGGTAATACCTAGATGCCTGCTATTTCCAGAAGGTTCAGAACCTATACCTACTTGTCATTTTTAAGGGCTGCCACCCGGACTTATATATACACACCTAGTGTCTTCACCGTTCTCACTTCCACCCGTCCTTTGTTTTTATTTATTTATCTGTCTATCCTTTCCGTGCGAGTCGCGGCCTCAAATTGGGCTCACTTACACCGAGGCAAGGCGGGATTCCTGTGGGAGCGTCCCTTGTTCGCGCCGGCGCCGATTGGCCAATGGCGGCCCACCGGTATGGTCTCCAGACTCAGAAAATTTTGTCTTGGCGTGTGGAAAATTGACCTGCAGACCTCGAAATGTGGACCCGGCTGCGTCCATAGCTGCGTTCATCGAGCAATCCAAGGCGACCGTAGCGGCCCGAGTTACTTTGGCCATGACGGCCTGGTACTTACGGCTATTCTCTCGAGTACATCGCCTACGTTTCTTGTCCCTGCCCCTTTCGCCGGACAGGCAGTTGGTCTCCCGGGCAAGGCGGGCTGCGGGTTTACTATTAACCTGGAACCTCCCAACGTCGCCAGGCGGGAATAACAACAGCAGGGCAGTGGGTACGCGCCCGGTATTATGTTGTAGACATATGCAGCGTGTGGTGGTTGTGCGGTGCTTAGGCCCGCCTTACACTGCCCTCGGCTTAGAAGACAAGACAAGAGAGAGAGAAACGAGAGAATTAGGCGGGAGCTAGGTCATACTGCATGGCAGGCCCTCTGGGTAGGTATGTACCTACCTGAGGTGCCCTACTTACCTGGGTAGGTACTAAATGTATATGCCTAATGTACCTCATTCGAGCCCCCCCCCCCCCCCCCTCTCTCTCTCTCCTTCTGTATGTCCCGAATATAGGTATATGTAGACATACCTAGGTGCAAAGGAAGAACGCCTAGGGCCAGGTAAGAAAGAGGGTGTGGAGGAAGACGCTCCCCCCTCCCCTTAGGTATCTGAGTATGTAAGTACCTAGGTAGTATTTCTTTCTCACATGTCGGGTCTATCAGCGTCGCCCCTTAGCAATTCTCACCATCTCATTGCACGAAGAAAGTCCCGTGGTGCCGTGGTGGCGGCGCGATGCCAGTCGGTGGATGGATATGCTCCTCTTCTCGGGGTTGGTAGGTATTCCGGGTACTTGTATACTTGCCTGAGGTACCTGCTCGCCTTACAGGGTGGAGCAGTAGGAGGGGTGTATTGTTGTAGGTATGGATGTACCTACACTGGGTACCTATACCAGCCCGAGGTTGGAGGAGGGGAGGAGGAGGAGGGACGTTGCTGTAGGTACGCATCAAGCTTTAGATAGGTACCTAAGACAGCTCACAGCTCCCATCCTTTCTAACCCGACTTGTGTCGCAATCCGGAAACGCGACCTGCTTAGGGTGCGAGCCGCTGCTCAGCATACCTTCTGTCGGCATGCTTTCGTACCTAATGTACCAGCCCAATGCCGTCGGCGGCGCGGTATTCACATGTACTGCTGCACTCACATGTCATCGTATTCACCTATATCGTATTCAGACGTAGGTAGGTACCTGTGTTTACCATGGTTAGGTTATCCGTTCAACCGCTTCCACTACCTGAGGCGGGTGGGTAGCTTAGGGGAAGGGGGGAGGGAAGAGGTTGAATTCAGATGATAGCTGGCCGCGCCCCCACACCCACGTAATCTCCCAAGCTGGTAAATGAATGTCTGCCCGTCAAGTCGCTTTGGCAATCGTGATAGCAATCGTGATGGCACTCTGGGCCGAGCGGGTGTTGCGTAATTGCGACGGAGAGAAGAAGTACCTGGCTAGGTATCTTCCTCAGAGTTGTGTGTGGATTTGGTATTCGGGTAGGTGAACTTTACCTTGGTATACCTATAATATAATTGTAAGTGTCTAGTAATAAAATAGACAAATAAGAAAACACGCAGAATCGCACAGAATCACACAGCTCCTAATGCTGTCGCTCCTCTCTCTCTCTCTGTCTGTCTGTCTGGCGCCGCGGGTGGTGGTTGAGCCAATCAAGGCGCGCGAGGTTGCATTTTTCGACGTGAAGTAATCGGGTCTGCGGTGATTCGTCCATTGAGCCGGGAGTGACACCATCGATAAGCGGAAGTACCTCCACGTCTTAGCCGAAGTACCTCGATACCCGCGCTATGTAGGAGAAGCAGGGAGACGCAGATGGCCCTAGCCACTTACTACGTAGCCAAAACCAGCCCGGCCAGGAAAAAGGGCTCTAGGGAAGGGCCCAGCGGCCCCATTGGCAGCTTCGCTTTCCCGTAGTACCGGCCGCCAAGGCTAACCGGTTCTGGTGGGCGTTCGAGGCAATGGCATCTCTAATCGCAAACCACTTAACTCCCCACCTTTTCTCCTTCTATTCATCACGGCATCTTTTTTTTTTATCCCTCTCTTCTCTTAAATAGAGTCGATGCTGTTTTTTCCCTTCCTCTCCTCCCTCTCTTCTTCCCCTTGCCCTGGCCAGAACCATCCTCCCGCCTCCTCTTCCTCCCCCTGCACGAGGCTCCTTTCCTAAGAGCTGATAAGATCAGATCGCTTGCAGGCATCTCAACCCCTCATCGCCATTCGCGGGACCACCGTTGTCACCATGCTGGCCACACGGCAGGTCCTGGGCAACCTTGGCCGCTCGCGGGTCGTGGCTAACACGAACCTGCGGCGGCGCATGGCGACAGTGTCAAGTTCGGTTCTAGACAGGAAGGTTAGCTAGCTCCCCCTCGCGGCTGGCTCAGAAGCCCGTCCCCCGGACCCGGTGATGGAGACTGATATTTCGCGCGGGTCGTAGGTGCGACAAAACAACTGGGAGACGGACACCTTCATCAACTACAAGAAGATGTCAGAGAACTTGGCTGTCGTCCGCGGCCGCCTCAACCGACCACTTACCTACGCCGAGAAGATTCTCTATTCTCACCTGGACGACCCCCACGGACAAGAAATCGAGCGAGGCGTCTCCTACCTACGACTCCGACCGGATCGGGTCGCTTGCCAGGATGCCACGGCCCAGATGGCTATCCTGCAGTTCATGTCTGCGGGAATGCCGGTTGTGGCGAATCCGACTACGGTACACTGCGATCACTTGATCGAGGCCCAGGTTGGCGGCGAGAAGGATCTCGCGCGGGCCGTCAGCATCAACCAGGAAGTGTACGATTTCCTGGCCTCGGCCTGCGCCAAGTACAACATCGGTTTCTGGCGACCCGGCTCTGGCATCATCCACCAAATCCTCCTCGAGAACTACGCTTTCCCCGGCGGTCTGTTGATCGGCACCGATTCCCACACCCCCAACGCCGGCGGCCTAGGCATGTGTACCATTGGCGTCGGCGGTGCTGATGCCGTCGATGTTATGGCCAACCTCCCCTGGGAGCTGAAGGCCCCTAAGGTCATTGGTATCAAGCTTACGGGCCAGTTATCCGGCTGGACTGCACCCAAGGGTGGGCTTCCTTTGTTTATCCTCGGGTAGACGCTTTGTGCCGTGCTAATCGGGTTGTTAGATATTATCCTGAAGGTTGCCGGAATCCTCACTGTGAAGGGTGGCACCGGTGCTATTGTTGAGTACCACGGTCCCGGCGTTGACGGCATCTCGGCAACGGGCATGGCTACGATCTGCAACATGGGTGCTGAGATCGGCGCCACCACCTCTCTATTCCCCTTTAACGACCGCATGTACGACTACCTAGCAGCTACTAGGCGTGATGCGATCGGTGACTTCGCGCGAGTGTACGCCAAGGAACTGCGCGGAGACGAGGGTGCCGAGTATGACCAGTTTATCGAGATTAACCTCTCCGAGCTGGAGCCGCACATCAACGGTCCCTTCACTCCCGATCTAGCCACCCCGATCTCCAAGTTTAGTGAGGCGGTTAAGGCCAACAGCTGGCCGGAGGAGCTTAAAGTGGGCCTGATTGGTTCTTGCACGAACTCGTCGTACGAGGACATGTCGCGAGCGGCTTCGATCGCCCGCGACGCCCTCCAGCACGGCCTCAAGGCTAAGTCTGCCTTTTTCGTCACCCCCGGCTCCGAGCAGATCCGTGCTACCATCTTCAAGGATGGGCAGCTAGCTGTCTTTGAGGAATTCGGTGGCGTAGTGCTGGCTAACGCTTGCGGCCCTTGCATTGGCCAGTGGGACCGAAAGGACGTCAAGAAGGGCGAGGCTAATTCCATCATCTCATCTTACAACCGCAACTTCACCGGCCGAAACGATGGCAACCCCGCCACCCACTCCTTCGTTACCTCGCCCGACTTGGTCGTCGCCTTGAGCATCGCTGGCTCCCTGCACTTTAACCCCCTGACCGATAAGCTCAAGGGCGAAGACGGCAAGGAATTCTTGCTGGCTCCTCCATCTGGTGATGCTCTTCCCCTTAACGGCTATGACAGCGGGCGGGACACGTACCAGTTCCCCCCCCCTGACCGCTCCTCGATCAGCGTTCAAGTCTCGCCCTCTTCGGACCGCCTCCAGATCTTATCGCCCTTCACCCCCTGGGATGGCAAGGATGCTCTGGACATGCCTATCCTAATCAAGGCGAAGGGAAAGACGACAACTGACCACATCTCCATGGCCGGCCCCTGGCTGAAGTACCGTGGGCATCTGGACAACATCTCGAACAATATGCTGATCGGCGCGATCAACGAGGCGAACGGCGAGGCTAACAAGATCAAGAACTCGACTACGGACGAGTGGGACGCGGTTCCGGCCGTCGCCCGCGACTACAAGGCCAAGGGGATTAAGTGGGTCGTCATTGGTGACTGGAACTACGGCGAGGGAAGTTCGCGAGAGCATGCCGCCCTGGAACCCCGCCACCTTGGTGGCCTTGCCATCATCACCCGCAGCTTCGCCCGTATCCACGAGACCAACCTGAAGAAGCAGGGCATGCTTCCCCTTACCTTTGCGGACCCCGCCGACTACGACAAGATCAAGCCTGACGACAGGGTAAGTTTGATCCGTGGCGACGCGCCGCCATCGGCGTCTTGGAGGAGGGCCGGCTAACCGATGCGCGTATCTAGGTCGATATCCTCTGCACGGAGTTGGCGGTTGGTAAGCCGATAACGATGAGAGTGCACCCGAAGAACGACGCAGCGTTCGACGTCAAGCTGAACCAGACATTCAACGAGTCGCAGATCGAGTGGTTCAGGAACGGAAGCGCGCTAAATACGATGGCGAAGAAACAAGCCTCGTGAATAGGAGAGGCGATGGGAACGGCTTAGATAATATAGAGGAGCTGCACCGGGAGGGGCGTATTGTGGGGAGGTTTGCTAGACTTACCAGTCCACGGAGGTGTATAAGGATCCTGGGTTGCGTGTGTCTTGCTGCGTGGGACGATGCTTTCGCCCACCATGACGACGCGTCGACCTGTTCTGGTAGCTTTGCTGGCTTGTACAAAATGGGGGAGAACCTGAATTGTCGTTTGTAAAAGCTTTGGGATGCGAGTACCACCGTGAAGTAGGCGGCCGTTGTGTGCTCTGGGGTCTCTCTCTCTCTCTCTCTCTAGAATCCCGGAGACGAACTACATGCAAGTTAGTCAGTCTGGTACCGATTTAGGATGACTGCGTAAGGCAAGGTTGTTATGGGCTTACGTAAGGTACTCTCTCACGCGGATATTATCGATAAGGGAGATAATGGCGATAGGTAATGCGAAGATCAATTCCTCGACCCGTGGCATCTTCCTTCGCCTTTATTACACACTCCACAGTACATACATATTATCCGAAGGACCCCTGTCCTCCGTGGCGTAGGCTGTGATATTTTAGTCGGGAAGTACCTACACGGTCCAACTTCTCGTCTCCAGTTGGCCCTCGGTTTTTTTGCGCGTCGATGGCGATTTGAGTGGGAAGAGGATCTTCCTTATAAGTCTGGTAGAGCGCATCCCCGTGTGCCCTTTTTTTCTTTTCCCTCTCTTTTTTTTTCAAGTCATCCCCCGCTGTCTATCCTTCCGCAGCTATCAGCCAAGGCTCCTAATCTTAGCGTACCTACTTGGTAGACGACGACGACGACGACGACGACGGAGAAGAGAGGATCTCGAGATTGAGACGAGCCGACCCGCGCCTAAGATCTTGATACGCACGCAACTCGTGCCGCCGCCGATCTCGCTCGACCCCGTAGCTGCCCACCGACGACGGGCCGTAGCCGAGAAACCTCGGGAGCGATGCCTACGGTGCAGGGCTTCAGCGCGTTGCGTGCGCGGTCATACGTGCTCCGCCTGCCGCTCTTCACTCGCGCCATGGTAGTGGTGATGGCGGCGCTCTGGCTGGCCGGCCTGCAGTCTATGTGGGATGTGCGGCAATGGGGCGCGCTGATTCCGGACGAGATGGGCATCGCGACAAGTTAAGTGATGACTCTTCTCGGCGCCTGCTAGCTCTTCCGGGTACCCCTTCTTACGTTCCCCCCCTCCCCTCCTCGTCTACTTTCCGTATCGTTCCGCCTCTCGTTCTCGCTGCCGTGCTAATGCGACTGGCGATGTTTTAGTGTACCGAGCCAACACGTTCCCCCTGATCCACCTCAACTTCTTCCACGCCCTTTTCAACATCCTCTCCCTGACCCCGCTGCTAGAGAGGTTCGAGCACGAGTTCGGCACCTTGACCTCGTTAGCCCTGTTCTTCGGCCGTGAGTGCCCAAGCCCGCGCCCGCGGCCTTGCTAGCACGAGCATGAAGCGCCAGCTAGCGCTCGCCTACGTGCACCGTTGGGACTCGGCTAATGGTTGACCGGTCTCGGGTAGCTCTGACTACGATTCCCGCCCTCGTGTACGTCCTCGTCGAGAAGCTCATCCTGAGGGGAAACACGGCTGTCATGGGAGCGAGGTATGCGCACACTGCCCCTTTATCTATGTCTATATCCCCGAGACCCGGACTCTCATTTCTCGGTACTGACATGTGGCGCGCGGGATGCGTAGTATCTGGGTTTTCCTATTACTCGGCATGGAGGCCATTCGAACTTATAAGACGAATCCCCACCTCGTGATAGGGACGTACCACGTTCCGACGTGGACGACGCCCCTTATGCTGGTTCTCGTCGTCGAGGCTCTGGTCCCTAATACCAGCTTCGTCGGCCATCTCTGCGGGGTCATTACCGGGTATCTATGTAAGTGATCAATGCCTAGCGTGGGCACTACTCGCTATGCTCCCCTCTTTCGGAAAGATCTGGCCCGTCTACAGGACCTAACAGAATCGCGCGCAGTCGGCCTTGGCTATCTCAAGTTTCTGTCACCGCCAGAAAAGGCGTTGCGATGGGTCGAGGGACGCCTTAACCTCTTGGGGCGGCTGCCGCACTACGTCAGCGTAGATCAGAAGACGTACGGGAGATTCGGCGTCCTGCCGACGAGCAGCTCGACCAGCTCGACGACGCCATTGGGCCTTATAGGCTCTACGCAGAGGTTGGGCCCCTGACGTGGTGGTAGGCTTGACCGGCAGGCAGGCAGGCAAAGGAGGATCGGGGACCGCCAGATCGGGCGAGTGATGGCTCGCTGGTGCCCCCCCTGTATATACACACACACGCGCGTGTCATTCGCACCGGCGCATTGCATGGCGACGGCGTTTTCGGTCCGGGAACAAGTCACGGGGGGTTTCGAGGCCGTCGATTGACCGGGCTCGCAGCAGTCGCCAGCCATACGATGAGGTCAGACACACGGGGAGGGAAAAGAGGGATTCGGCCGCGTCGCGTCGCCGGGGTTGCGCGTGGTAGTAATGTCGTGTATACTTGCATCGATGGGTGTAAGTGTTGCGGGTCGTGCCTCTCTATGCGATGTCTCAGCCCTACCTACCCTACCTGCAAGGGATTCCCTACACAGGTATATTCCTACGCAAGGTATTCCGTACGGGCGTTGGATTTTCCCCCCAACGAAAACACATGCACACACACACACACACACACACACACGTATGTCTTCTATATCCACCTATATATATATCCATGCACGTGTTGGGTGCCCAATACAGGGAGCAAGCATAATAAGCCATGTGTACCTGACAGGGTGCATGTAGGTAGGAGAAATACCTACTAGATGGGACTGCTGCGTGTCCCGTCGCTCAACACGTTGCTAAGAAAACAGGTTTAGCAGGGAGTTGAGAGATGGGATTTGAAGGCTGAAGATGGGTTAGGAGGTACCTAAGGTAGAGGCAGGTTAGGAACGAGGGTACTGTATGTAACCCCCCCAAGGCCTACCCAGATCCTAGAGGTACCTTACCTACCTCTACATATAAGGCCTTACACTATTACCTATAACATCAGGTACCTAACCTGACCTACTCATACAGCCTGGACCGCTGCTCTCTCGGCCTCTCGGAGAAATGCACGTGTGCCAGTGTCTACCTACCTAGGTACCTACCTGGTAGGAGGTAGGTAAGCTTGGGCAGCCTGTTGAAGAGGGCGTATACTTGTCCTGATATACTTGTCCTGAAGAAGGGATACGCGTACCTGCATATTGCCTCTGAACGCCAGGCCAAGCCCAGGTGCGTGGTCGAGTCGAGGTAGGGCGCCTAGCGAGCCGACACCCAACCAACACGGCAGGGCGTGTGGTGCAGCTGGCTGGCGACCAGGAGGGATTTGACACCTCACGCCTCTTTTTTATTATTATTAAATACATACCTAGGTAGGTAGGTACCTATATAGGTATATAGGTAGGTATCTACCTCCCAGGGTTTAGGTTAAGTAGGAGGTAGGTACCTGATTGAACGGAGTTGTAGGTACCTCGAAGGTAGTATTTACATCCCCCCGTGGCACGCACCAACCCATACAAGGACCGCCAGTTAGGTACGACACCCACCTAACAGTCGCTTACCTGCCGAAGAAATCCTAGCTAAAATCATACCTACCTCCTGCTGGGGGGGGAAGGCCAGCTGCCACACGTGGTATACCACCTTGACTACTGCTTCTCCTTCTTCTTCTTCCTCCTCCTCCTCCTCCTCCTCCTCCTCCTCCTCTTTTCTAGCACCAAACAGAAAAGAAAGGGCACCACCGCGTACATGTGTAGCTGGCCGTGCTCGATGTAGTCGCCCACACCGCTGCGAAGCTCCTTCACAGCGCCGCACCTTGCGTAGCGAATCGAGGGCGAGACCGAGCGAGACCGACAAGGACGGGAAGAAGCTACAAGGAAGAGGGAGAGGGAGAGGAATCCTTACAGGCCGACGAGCGATGCCGCGTCTACTCTGTAAGCTGCTCACCTACTGCGCCATCTCTGCTGCTTCTGCCTCTGCTTCTTCCACTTCTGCCACTTCTCGCCCAATGGAAGAAAAAGACCTCCCTCCTCCCCCTTCTCCTCTGAGCGAAGCGAGCATTGGCTAATAGCGGCTCGTCCCTTGGTTTGCAACGTATAGCCGCCGCGCTGATGCTGCGCCGCGACCCGCGACTCCTCCAGCTCCCGCCCTACCTATCCCTCGTCTGCATCGTCGTCGGCGTCGTCTGGCTGTTGATGCTGCCGCTCGACCAGTACTCGCGCCGAACCTACATCAGCGAGAATGCCCTCCTTCCCGGCCAGGTCCACACCTACTTCGGCGGGAGCGATCAGAACGTCTTCCGCGCCTACCGCCACGAGATCGACGCGCTCAAATATAAGAGCAACACCGAGTACGTCTTCGCCCATGGACAACTTCTTTCCTCTCTCTCTCTCTCTCTCTCTCTCTCAACATACCCTCGCATATGCACCTGTATATACGCCTCGTGTTCATGCAAACACGGACGCATACACATACACGCACGCACGCACGCACGCACGCACATGCGGGCGTGCGAGACAGGGTCCTTCGAGCTGGCGGTTTTCGTTGCTAACAGGTTGCGCGGCCGCGCCAATCCGCATCTAGGATTAATGACGAGCTCGAGAAGATCTTCAAGGGCATCGGCCTCAAGGTCGGCCGACAGAACTTCACGTACCAGTCGTCTGGGAACACCTACGCCGGCGAGAACGTCTATGCCATCCTGCAAGCCCCCCGCGGCGATGCCACCGAGGCCGTCGTGCTGGTCGCCGCCTGGAAGAATCTCGAAGACGAATTCAACCGCAATGGCCTGCCGCTGGCCCTGGCCTTGACCCGCTACTTCAGACGGTGGTCGCTGTGGTCCAAGGACATCATCCTCCTCGTGCCCCCCGACAGCAGGGCTGGCACCCAAGCCTGGGTCGACGCCTACCACGATGCGCACGACCCGGCCCACGTCGCGTCGCTGCCCGTCAAGTCCGGCGCCCTGCAAGGCGCCATCGCGATTGACTACGCGCAAGAGGAGCGCTTCGAGTCGGTCCACGTCATCTACGATGGCGTAAACGGCCAGCTCCCCAATCTCGACCTCATCAATTCCGTCGTCAATATCGCGAGCGGACAGCTCGGCATGGGATCCGTGCTGCAGGGGATCTGGAAGCACTCGCAACAGTACGACGATAACCTCAAGACGGTGCTTCGCGGCATGCTAAACCAGGCGCTGGGCCATGCCACCGGCCCTCACAGTAGCTTCATCCCTTACCACGTCGACGCCATCACGCTGCGGCCCGTCGGCCGCGGGTGGCACGACGAGATGGCGCTGGCCCGGCTGATGGAGGGGCTCTTCAGGAGCTTGAACAACCTGCTCGAGAAGCTGCATCAGAGCTTCTTCTTCTACCTTCTGATACACAAGCACCGCTTCGTCAGCATAGGCACTTACCTACCTAGTGCTATGCTGATCGCAGCCAATTTCACCATCATGGCCATTGCGCTGTGGGTGAGGAGTGGGGACGAGGAGAAGGATGCCCCGGCGGCCAAGCAGACGAGGGACGATAGGCACTGGACGAGGCAAGCAGCTAGGATGGAGGAAGAGAGAATGGTGGCCGCCGCCGCTGCGGCCGAGCGAGACGTCCTCCTCCCACTCAGCTTCGTGGCGGGCTGCCAGTTCGTGGGGATCATCCCGCTATTCATCTTTAATCAGACGCCCACCAACGTGAGTCCCTTCCCCATCTCCTTGCTTGTTGTGCCAGGAATGGTGGTCACGTCTATATATCATCGCGAACCTACCCGCGGTCCACGCCCCATAACTAACCAGCAAAATAACCGCAGTTGCTCAGCCCGGTTTTCGTTCTCTTTTCCCTCTTCAACGTTGGCCTTCCGCATCTGGTCTCGTATCTCCTAACCAATAGCGCCCGACCCCCAACGGCCCAGCAATACATGCTGATCCGGTCGTTCTCGCTGCTGCTACTAGGCATGTTCCTGAGCTCGCTCGCAACGCTCAACTTCTCGCTAGCATTCATAGTAGGCCTCCTAGCGAGCCCCTTGTCCTTCGCGCGGCCATGGAGACCCCCTACCACCAATGCGGCCGCTTCCGGCACCACGAGCGCGGATATAATACGACACCTTCACTCGGCCCTATTACAACTGCTCAGCCCGCCCACCGTGTTGCTCGTAGGCTCGCTGCTTGGAGGCGTGCCCTTGACGCAAGTCCTGGGGGAGGCGGCATTTGGCTGGAACATCTGGAGCATGCACACTCCCTTGGTTGTATGGTGCGTCTGGTGGCCGGCCTGGATCGTGGGCCAAACCGCGGTCCTGGGGCGACCGGCGCCCGTCGAGAACGGAAAGGCAAAGAAGGCATAATTCGGGCTTGCTCGGTTGATATGATCGAAAAGATGGGAGCGGCACGTTTTTCTTCACATTATACATCATAGCGTGCGCGTTATATTGCTTTGCATACCCGTATGGTACCTAGCATCGGCGGCGGCAGCAGCAGTGTTGTCAGGAAAGATTGGTTGAAGGTCTTCGCCGTGATGGAAAAAAAGGGGTTGGATGTCGTGCAGGGGTTCAAACTTCCCGGTCTTCATTATTATTATGAGCATAACCGGGCATTTTTATTCGGTTTCATCCTCGCGCTTCTCTTTTTATTGTTTTTATATATATAACGACAAAGGAAACGGTTGGGAAGCTGAACCGGGAGGGCGGCGACGACGACGGCTTAATGGGATGACTGGCGGACGCATACGACGCATTGCTAGAGGCTTTGCTACCGGTTTTTTTATAGGGTGCGCCAGGCCGGCCGGCTACAGGCGGGAAATTTTTGGAGTTGAAGAAGTGTAGGAGAAGAGCCAGGAGAAGACGGTAGGGGGTGAGGGATACCATCGTTGCCGTCGTCGCTATTATCATCGGTATTATTATGATCGCCAGCTAAATCTCCCAGATAGACGTTGATAAGAAAGCAGAAGGCATACAGAAAGAGAAAGAGAGAGAGACAAAAAATGAACACACGATACCACAGGTCCCTACTTACCCTCCTGCCTACCTAGGCACCTAGCCTAGGTACGTTTTCTCTCTCTGTGTATTTATGGTATGTATGCGTAATACACGCGCATCTTCCTAGCGATATTCCCCGATTGAGGGAATAGGACAAAGAGGAGGCTCGAGAGAGAACGTAATATTGGGTTACGCTTTCTGCGCCCTCTCGTTCCCCTCTCCTTATTTCGAACCATACCTTTGGGCAAGGAGGTGGGGGAAAAATAACGCGGAGGAAAAGAATCGCGGTTACTAGGACTACTACGGTGAACAGCGCAGATAACGGAATGGGTCTGTATTTTCATTAGGCAGGTCATGGATTTGTTCGTTGTTCTTCATCCCATTTGCCCTCCTCCTCCTCCTCCTCCTCCTCCTCCTCCTCCTCCTCCTCCTCCTCCTCCTCCCCGGTCCCTCCCTTCTCTTCCGCACTAATTAGCGTCGTGGACAACAGCAACAGACACCCCCTTGTCCGGGGAGGAACGTATACGTATTTCTATTGCGCGGTGACGGTGGGACCAGGTAAGGGTGGAAAGTATCCATCTTAGCTTATAGGGCGGGTGAGAGCTGCTCTAGGAAGCTCCTAACTGTAACGGAGCGGGCTGTCAATCGGCTCCCCTCCCCTTTTCCCCTCCGAAAATCCTCCCCCAACGCCCCTCCAAACCCCCACTATCTCCTACGTAACATATTGAGCTCGGATTTTTTTTTCTTCGAGACACGCCAAGGCTGGCCAGAGGGAGGGGTAGGAGGGGCGGAGGGGCGGAGAGGGAGGAGGATAATACTGGCCAACGCACATGGCATGCCGTCCAAATCGGAGACCCCCAAAAATGGAGAGACCCTCTTTAGGGCGCCCAGACGTCCTGCCCGGTGGCCTCGATCCAGTTGCCGAGCTTGTTGACGTTTTCGGCCCACTCGCCGAGGCGCTGACTCATGCTCGCGATCTGAGCCATGTCGAGGACGCGGGGCTGGACCCAGGTGAAGTTGACGACCTCGCCGACCTCGTCGATGGTGCCGCGGACGAGGCCGAGGCTGAGCGCCTTCATGACGAGGTGCTCGATCTCGTCGGGGCGGACCTTGGTGTCGGCGGAGATGGCGTCGAAGGTCATGGCGCGCTGGTGGGGCGGGCGGCGGAAGACGCTCTCGGTGAGCGCGGCGAGGTAGATCTTCTGGCGGATGCCGGCGGCGTGCTCGCGCAGCAGCGGGTGGGAGGCGATGTGGCCCGAGAGCACGTCGTAGGCGGCGAGGTCCCCGCGGTTGAAGGCGCGCAGGAGGTCCCGGAGCCAGGCGACGTCGCCGGTGAGGGCAGCGAGGATGGGGTGCTGGAGCAGCTCGCCGAAGTTGTAGATGGAGTCGGAGACGAGGGCAGCGACGCCGAGGTCGCGGGCGCGGGCGCGGCGCTCGGCGTCGGACAGCGAGGCGAGGTCGATGCAGGCGAGGTAGAGCAGGGCGTTGCGGTAGTAGGACGCGAAGTCGGCGCGGGCCTCGTAGTAGTCGGCGTTGATCTGGTAGAAGGCGGCGTGGACCTTGGTCTCGACCGAGTCGAAGCCGTCGAGGATGCGCTCGGCCCGGTCGAGCGACCGCCGGGCCGCCTCGGCATCCTGCAGGTCGAGCTCGACGTGCGCCACGGCCACGGCGGCGTACACGAAGGCGTCCTGCGAGTTCTCGTTGTCGACCCTCTTGGCCAGGTCGGACAGGAAGGCGAGGCGCTCTTGGTTATCTGTCTCGGAGAGTCCCCCGCGCGCGCACGGAGGTGTCAGCGCTACTACTACTCTTGGGATACCTCGCCATTCGCACGGCCCTAGGCCGCTGTTCTATGCCCACATGGTGGCGGTCGACGACGTGCGTATGTAGTAGTAGAAGAAGAGAAAGAATGTATACATGTACATGTGTGGAGAGAGAGAGAGAGAGAGTATGTGGACCTCACCTCGACATTGCGTGGCGGCTTTAAGGCCGAGGGTGACAAGCTTAAGCTGGTTGATCTTATCAGCGAACTTAAGGATGAAGACCTTGTAGAACTCGAGGCGTTGGCCCTCGCTCTGAGGGCTGGCGAAGAACTCGAGGAGGGCGTCGGTAAGCTGGTGCCACAGCTTGCGCTCCCATAAGTTCTCGAATTGGATTATGAGGTACTGGAGCTCATCCGGGGTCTGGTCCCGCTGCTCGGCGAGGAAGTCGGCGATGGTGTCGACGTTCATGATAAGAGAGGGAGTTGGGCTATTCTTTCTTTCTTCTTCTTCTCCAATTTTCGGGGTTTGTTTTTCCTTTTTCTCTCTCTCGGTGGGTAGGTTCTTCCTGCAGCGCGGGTGAGTATGATGAAGCTTTGAATGGTGGTGGTGATGGTGTTGGTATTGGGTGGGTGGATGGGTTTCCGGGCGAGGAGCTCTGTTCCCACAGGCCTCAATACGCGGCTGGAGTGCAGCCTGTGGTTGTGGCCAATCGATAAGATAAGATATACCTACCTACTTAGGTACCTACCTACCTAAGGTAAGCACTGGATGGTATCATCGACGTGGTCAGCCACAATCACTCTCCCGTAATCCGTGTGGCTTGGTCCATCCCACCTAGCAGTTTGCCGGCCAATCTTGCCAGGCACATTATCAACAAATACCTGTGTAGGGACGTCTGTGGCTTGACCGGCGAGGTTCTGTCTTGGAGATGCTGGTGGGACGCAATCCCACAGCTTCATCACCACCAACCCACCAGCGCCATTGACATTGGAAAGGGCCGCGTCATTCTTGCACCTCGCGACACCAAGCAAGGATGGCTTCCTTTCCGACCGCCGTGCGGTCCAGTCGAAGGCTAGCCTTTGCGAGCCCCCAAATCCGACACATTTCCGATCTCACCATTACCCGCACCGGCAAGCCCATCCTCCGCCTACAAGGCGGCCGGTCAGTCCGCCCCTACCCGCCCTTCGCATTGCCATTGGCACTCTACTAACACAGCCTCTCGCCTCAGATCGTCCCTCGGAGGTAAGGGGCCCCCCAGGGACATCATCGACTCCTCCGATTCTAACCCGGTCTACAGGCCATACTGCGACGGTATTTGGCGCAACAGGGCAGCTCGGGCGATACATCGTCAACCGGTTAGGTACGGACCTCGTGGATGGCGCGCGGCAGACCCCGCCACGGCTGATATCATGTCGCAGCACGCCAGGGATGCCAGGTGGTCATCCCCTACCGGGAAGAGATGGCCAAGCGTCATCTCAAGGTTACGGGGGATCTCGGCCGTGTCCATTTCATCGAATACGACCTGCGCAATACCGAGTCCATCGAGGCGAGCGTCAGGCACTCGGACATCGTGTACAACCTCATCGGCCGGAACTACCCCACCAAGAACTTCACCTTGGAGGATGTCCACATTGAGGGCACGGAGCGCATCTGCGAGGCCGTGGCCAAGTACGACGTCGACCGCTACGTTCACGTCTCCTCCTACAACGCCGACCCGAACTCGCCAGCCGATTTCTTCGCCACCAAGGGCAAGGGGGAGGTTGTCGCGCGAAATATCTTCCCCGAGACCACCATCGTACGGCCAGCGCCCATCTTCGGCTTCGAGGACAACCTGCTCATCCGGTTAGCCGGCATCACCAACCTGTTCACGTCGAACAACATGCAGGAGAGATACTGGCCGGTTCATGTGCGTCTTTGATGCCCCTTGCTGGAGGGCTGGCGGTGTTGCTAACGTGGGTCAACGGCAACAGTCGATCGACGTGGGTCAGGCCCTCGAGGCCATGCTATACGACGACACGACGGCCGGGCAGACGTTCGAGCTGTACGGACCCAAGAACTACTCGACGGCAGAGATCGCCGAGTTGGTAGACCGAGAAATCTACAAGAAACGGACGCACATTAACGTGCCCCGGCCCATCCTGAAGCCTATCGCGGGGCTGCTTAACCGGGTGCTCTGGTGGCCAATCCTGTCGGCAGAAGACGTCGACAGGGAGTTCATCGACCAGGAGATCGACGAGACGGCCAAGACGTTTGCCGACCTGAACATCGAGCCGGGCGAGATCAGCGATTACACGTATCACTACCTGGTAAGCAACACGTTTCAATCGTACCGGGATTTCCCCTTTGCACACACAGCGCTGACCTGCCAATAGCAAGGATTCCGCAGTGCGGCTGTATACGACCTCCCGCCGGCGACGGAGAAGGAGAAGAGGGAGGATAGAAAGTATCTGCACGTGCTAGATGACTTTTAGAGAGAGAGAGAGAGAGAGAGAGAGAGAGAGAGAGAGAGAGGACGAGTGAAACTCGGGCCCAAGCATTTTACTGTTACTCTTCTCTCCCACTTTTTTTAATAATAAAAAAAGAGAGAAAGAAAGGACTCAGGACTCTGATAACTGCACTGTATATACATAAATAATCGTCCCGGATCAAGCGCCCTGGAGGAGCGTGGCAAGCGGGTAGCTTGCTGAGCTTGGGGTAGTCTTCAGGGGGTGCGGCTCTTTAACTTGATTTGTCGCAGTGGCCTGTTCCGGTGTTCTGTCCCCCGTCTTGCCCCCTGTGGTTCGTCGATAGCTGCACGCGTCTTCTGGCTACAGCTCGGGAACCCGAGCGACTCGCTGGCAACTCACTGGTTTTCTAGGTCAAAAGCTTGACGAGTTGCGATTCCTGTCTTTTCTTCTCTTCTAAGACGAAGGAATAAGAAAATATTGTTTCTATCCTCGATCCTAATTTCTCTTCCGTCTTTTTTTGCCCCCCCCCCAAACGCTATTTCCCCTCCCCCCTTCTTTTTCATTTTCTCATTCCCTCCCCCCAAATATCACAACCCAATCGACAGCAGGAATCGAACCAAGAAAAAAGACGAGAAGAGAGGAAGAAAAAAAAAACACGTCCTCCTCCAAATGGCTGACAGCGACGACGAGGCAATGTACGCTAGCCAGGCCGGGGGACAGACAAGCCGACTCATGACTCGAGATTGATCGGCCTCTCTTTTCACCACAACCCCCCCGCGCCGACCGCTCCATCAATGCTAACCGGCTCGCCAGCACCCTCTCGTCCCATGCCCTCGCCGCGCTTCACGAGTTCTACAATGAGCGCGACGCCCACGTCGACAAGTTTGAAAAGCTCAAGGTCGCCGCTGAGGAGCAGCACGAGACCGGCAAGAAGCAACAGGCCCAGCTGTCCATGGACCTTTTCACCGAAGACTGGAACGAGAGCCAGTTCTGGGTACGCTCTCTCTCGTTTCATCTTTTTTTTTTTTCAAAAAATCCCGCCCATTGTCTATCCGTCCTACTATTCTAGCCCATTTTGGGCTCGGGTACGGCATCAATCCGGCGAGAAACCCGGAAGGAGGTAGGTAAAGAGGAGAGGGCTGATTCGCGCCGGCGCGCTCGCAGTATTCGGACGAGACGGCGACAGTGCTTGCGAAGCAGCTGCTCGACGGCGTGAGCGAGCACGAGGTCGTCGCCGTGGTGTCGGCGCCGAGCGTCTTCGTTGCGTTGAAGAACCTGCTGGTGAGTGCGCGGTTTCCGGCTTGCGTGTGAACGCTTCACTGTACCAAGAGAGCAGGCTAGGACTCTCTCAAGGTATAAGCCCCTAGAGATATCTAAGATGGCCTCCCTCTCTTCTCAGTGGCTGGGACGTCGTGCCGAGTACCTTTAGGTCGACTGCCTCTCGCCGACTGCCTCTCGTCAACTTAGTGCTTCGTCTATGTGATATGCTGACTCTGGTAACCTCCCCGCCCCAGAATGAGGCGGATGAGGCGTCCCCGAGACCGAAAAAGGTCTACCTCCTCGAGCACGATCATCGATTCGCTGTATTCCCCGAGTTCGTCTTCTACGACTTCAACCATCCCACCAAGCTCCCGGTAGAGCTGAAAGGAGGCGTAGACCGCGTCATCTGCGATCCGCCCTTCCTTAGCGAGGATTGCCAGACCAAAAGTTTGTTGTCTTCTCACACCCTCCTGAGCCTATCCACCCCGTTATCAGACTTGAAATGCGACAACTAACCCTGGGATAGCCGCCCTCACGGTGCGCTGGATGTCCCGACCGGCCCCTGGCCCGCACCCTCGCCTCATCGTCTGCACGGGCGAGCGCATGGAGTCCCTCATCACGCAGAAGCTCTACCGGTCGTCCGGGGCGCTCACGACCACGTACGAGCCTCGTCACGCGCGCGGGCTCGGCAACGAGTTCTACTGCTACGCCAACTTCGAGTGCGACGAGTGGCGGTTCAGGAGCAGCGGCGGCGGGGAGGGGGAGAACAAGGAAGGGAAGCCCGATTAGGAAGTGGCCGGATAGCACCGATAGTAGATGTCTGCCATAGTAGGTAGGTATTTCCAGTGAAGATCCTCGGTCCATATAACGACTACGGTAATGATCGTGACGATTGTGGTGAACTTCGACGCAATGGAGCCGACTTACGAGACTTCGATTCGATTCTCAGGTCGGTAGAGGCTGGCTAGGAGAGGAGCCCCCCGCTCCCCCAGTCACGCGGGGGGGTCTTGTAGAAGCCGAAGATGGCGAACGCGTCTAGGTCCTGCGGGCAACGTATAGGCATAATACGCACGCTCCATAGATGCCACGATCTACCGACTGTACAGATGCCTACCTGCCGCATCGATATTCCGTTGTCAGAGATCATACTCAACTTTTCTTGGCACCGGGTCCCGTGGATGTGTGTAGATCGGGTGTGCGCCGCAACGATGCTCTTAGGTAAAGAATTCCGACGGGCGTCCAATCTCCTGGTCCAAAAAAGGCCCCCCCCCCACACCACCCAGGTAGATAAGTAGGGTGGATAGAGTCCATCCTCCCCTCCTCCCCTCCTCCCTTTTCCTTCCGCCTGTGGCAGGGCACCCGGTATCATGATATCGCTACTATAGTGCCTACCTTCTAGATTGTAGCCTCGCGGACGAAAGGCTCGCCCAGCCTCCTCTTCCTCACTCACCTACACTATCCCAAAGGCCTCGCGAGGTTACCGCGTACTTGTCTCCTACTCGGGAACGGTATGGCACAGGCACGAATGGGGCAGCACCGGAACGACGCGTCAAGATGTGAACTAGCTCGAGCCGCTATGCATACATGGTATCAGGGTGTAACTATTCAACCCATCTGCGGACGGGTACTCCGTTTCCGATATAGGGACGTATATACGATGGAGGGACTGAGAACAAAATGGGTGAAATCTACAATTCGTCTTTCGTCCTCGTCTTCGGCTCTGGCTCCCCCTCGAAGCGTCTGCTCTTGGTGTTCTTTTCTCCTACTCCGTCACCCGCACCCTCATCGCTACCGAGGACCTCCTGGGCAGCGTCCGCGCCGCCCACGAGGGATGTCTCCTTCCGCCGGCGCTGGTCGAGCGCTGCGATCTCGTCGTCGTACGCAGTCCACTCGGGCACCTGCCGGCGCGCGCGGTCGAGCTTCGGCTCCTTCGTCTGCGGGTTGTTGCATAGGTCGATAGTGCGCGCCTCGCGCAGGCTCTCGTCGCTACACCACGTCTCGCACCACAGCCACTCCTGCGGCAGGCTGTGGATCGGGATCACGAACTGCATGTGGTTCGGCAGGTCCTGGTCCAGGTTCGCGAGAGAGCCCGGGTCCGCCGACAGCTGGTGGTAATGCTGCCGCAGCCGGTCCCCGGCCGCCAACTGCCGGAACCGCCGCAGGTCCACCACGTACAGCGCTGAGATGTGGTATGGGTTGCCTCGCAGGTAGTTCTTCCAGTACCCCTGCTTCCAGAACCGGAAGCCTTCCATCTCCGTCCGCGAGTCGCACATCGGGGTGAAGCCGTAGGGAGAGCCCTCGAGGTCGTGGTTGACGAGGTCGATCATGTCGGTCCTGACGATCTGGTCCGCGTCAACGAATATGACCTTGTCCAGGGAGAGCGGGAATAGGACGTCGAGGAAGAGTATCTTGTAGCCCCAAATCTGCCGCTGCTTCTCCTTCTGCTGGCGGAGCCAGTGCGGCCACTTGTACGTCACCATTTCGTATTTAAAGCCATACTCCTTGGCTAGGTGGGGTATGGAGTCTTTGAAAGACGGTGACAAAAACTGTTCGACGAACCAGAACTTAACCGTATGGTTTGTATTCTTCATGACAGACACCATCATGATGTTGAGCATGCGCTCGTATAGGTGGCCGCTGGCTACGGAGAAGATGTTGATCTCGGCGTGCTCTTCGGCAGAGACTGACTTCGGCTTGGGTTTCGAGCCGCCGAGGATCCCTTCGGCAAACTTCAGCCCCCGCGAAAGGAGGTCGCCGCTGGGCTCTTCTGTGCTTTCCCCAAGAACGTCTTCGAGATCCATACCGGGCTTTCTCTCAAGGCGCGGGTATAGAGTCGTGCCTTGGAAATCCATGAGCGCAACCTCGGTACCCTCATCGCCCGGGACGGCGTTATACCCTTTCGCACCGACACTAATGATGTTGAAGATCTCTGAGCTCCTCCCTTCCTTGAGACGAATGTTGTAATAACCGGGGTTAGCCTTGAATTGGAAGTAACCAATATTGGCCATGATGATTGTATCGTCAAAATGGGGATCTCGCTCAGTAGCGAGCAGTAACTGCACACCCCGAGGTGGGCTTCCCGCAGGGACCTCTCGAGAATGACCCTCGATGAGAATATGCTCGAGCTCGTAAACGGCATCTACATCCATTTTGATGGAGCCCAATTTCAGATTGTCTAGGTCATGAACGGAATGCTTTGCCGCAACCAACCAGGCGGGCGGTACATCCATGCCAAGATTCAGGAGAGCCTCAGATGGAAGCCCCCTGAACGTTGCTCCCGGGGAACCGAGCTTCCCGTTCTCATCGAAAGAAGGCGCCGAGCTCAGCAGGTAACGGTAGAATCTCTTGACTGGGAGCTCCTCGAGTTTCTCTTTGGGGTTCAAAAATATGCGCATGTATACGCCATCAAGTTCGGACAAGACCTCGAGTATTGGAGCCCATTTCTGTCCTAGTTCACTTGCGGGGTTGATAACGGCAACAAAATGGATGTTCGCCGTAGACGCATCACCGACGTCGATCATGGTGTGAGTCGAGTTCCATTTATCGTACGAGGTTGTTCTCAGGGTGGGAGCAGACTCAAATATGCCTTCGGGCAGATCAGAGATGGTAGATAGAGCCGTGATCGACGTGAGCTTTGCAGCAGCCAGCGGGCTAGTGATCTTGTCGGTTAACCCTAGCGTTTCCAGCGCCTTGTATACAGGTAGAATCCTGGTTGCTTGCTCAAAATCGAGCAGCTGCTGGAAGTCATCCTCTTTAAATGGCGAGTCGGCGGTAAATGGGCCGACCACGCGTCCATTGAGAATTAGGAGCTGAGTGCCAGGAACAACCGCGGCCGTTGTCAAAAATCTCGACAGGGCGACATCGTATCTGTCATCGTGCGCTTCAATCGGACTATCTAGGAGACCTTCGAGTGTGGTCAAATCCTCAACTTCCGAGAGTTCGGAGATGTCCTTCTTGAGCAATGCGTTGATCTTGTAGGCGTCTGAGGATGATACTGGGTTATGGACGACATCGAGGCGGACGCCGGGGTTATTGCGTCGGAATGACAAGGCGGATAACAAAAGCTGGAGGCCTTGCTGTGAGGTTAAATCGGCGACAACGGTGAGGGTAGCCCATGTCTCCCTGCTTGTCTCCTCGCTCGCTTCAATGGAGGGAATACGATCGAATAGATCATCGTTCTCCGAGTAAAGCTTATTGACATTCAAGACCGTGAGTGTGTCATCGTGCTCTGGGACGATGTATGGATTGCGCCGGGTCGCGGCACTCTCCAAGAAGAGCCCGGGAATCCACGTGTCTTCGTCGACGGTGCCTAAGAAAACCCCTTGTTGGATCGCCTGTAAATCGTTGCTCAACCTCATGCTCATGATCTGGAGCCAGTTATTTTCACGCGGTATAGTGAGACCATTAAGGAATATGGGCGGCACCTCGGTGCCGGCGTTAAGACGTCCCACCCAATGTTTCGCGAGCTCTACCTGTTTCGAGTAGTCTTCCGACTCGAGAACCTCCTCAAGCGAAAGGGGAGTTGCGTCGGCTTTGGGAGTCGTGTTTTTGACTGCCTTGTCAAAGCTTGCCTGCTCAGATTGTACTGCTTGTTTCCCGGTGCTGCAAGCCTCCAAGTACGACATCAAGCCCGATAGTCCGTGATTATCGAGCAGGTAGTAGGCCAATTTCGCTCGCTCTTCAGCCTCCTTCGTCGGCGTTAATGGGACCAGTCCAAAGCGGACAGGTAGTAACCTCTTGATAAAGCCCTGAAGCTGTTCAACGACTAGAGATAGATCTTCCGACTTGGTTAAGTCGACTGGGACGATCGCATTGTACATGTCCTTACGGATTGGGGGGATTTGTCCCGGGTAGATCCTTTGCATAAGCTGTGAAGAGTTGGTTAGTTAATTTACGACCTCGTTTTATCAACCCACGAGCGCTTACTCCTGCGAGGCTGCTGGGATATTCAGCATATCGCTTATCTTTCTCTACGTCGTTCAGAAAGATAATAACGCGACCTTCTTCAATCTTGTCTCGCCAGTCATATCGACGGGGCTCGTCGTCGGATTTGGCCATTGTCACCTCACGATTGCCGAGTAAGGATACGGCCTCTCTCCCACTCAGACCTAAATCTGTCACGCCCTTGATGAGCTTTCTCTCCCTACGAATGCTGTCGATGAGGGTGTATGGGTCGACTTGTCGCTCAATCAGCTGGACACCATTCATCCACAGGACATTCATCCCGGCGGGAACCCCTAAGACCCTATTTTGGCGGTGTTCGGTGACGAACGCGTCCGAAGCATTGTGTGTCGCAATCGAAGACGAGAACTTTGGGAAATCTTGGGTCAATTTGATTAACGTCTGAAAGGGGTGGTCGCTCTGCATAATAAAGGAACCAGCCTTGAGCCCCAGGGTCGCTAACTCGGAGCTAGATAGTGGCTTGAGGTCTGTGACCTCCTCTTCGCCGTCAAGCACTACATCGGGAAGCGTGGACTTGAAATCGGCTACAGGTTCAGCTTGAGCCTCGCGGTCGTCGATGACAATATAATCGGTTCGTTTCAGCTGAAGTTCCACGCCGTAGCCGTTGACTGGTAGAGCCTCTCGCTTCTCCTTTTGACCGATGCGGTATCGTAACCGGTACGAAATCTCCCCCTCTCGTGCCATACGTGCTAGGGACTCGTGGAAAGGCCCAAAACCGGGGTCGGTGATGTCCGCATATAGAATTGCCTCGGGGCCGGTTCCCAAGGTACGATCGAAGGGAAGGGACCGCGATTGCCTATATATACGTAAGAAAGATATCGAAGCTAAAAAGCCTAGAGAGATACGGTACGCACGAGCCGTCTGAGATGTCTCCTTTCGCGTTCGTGAGGGAAGCCGAGCAATACTGTTTCCCATTTAGTAGTACCCACTCGGAGCAATCCTCTCCAGCTTCTCCAATGGCGGGTGTCACAGCGGTATCATAGTATTGGTAATGCGCCTCTATCCTGGGGGCGGCCGACCTCAGGGAGAGGGCAAGCTTGAAGGTGGACAAAGCCTCAGAACCCCGTATATGGCCATCCTGCTTGAGAACTTGGAGAAAGTCCTCATATAGCTCCTTGTCCCTCTTCGCATGCGCAAAAGCGCCTTCGGCGATTCGATCGAGGAGTGGGAAGTAGGATGTCTCGTTTTCTCCGGCAGCAGTCTCCCTGGGATATGGTTAGCTGTTACCAGCGCAAGACTGACTGCGTCGAGGTCTTCTGTGACAGCTTACAGGAGCTCAATGAGATATGGTGGGGCCGGAAAGGCAGCTTTCATAGCGACATTGACAGACGGTTCAGCTACAACATGGATTGGGTTCCAACATATAGCCATTAAGAGGGCCGCTCCGAGGCCACATGGCAATTGAAGGAATCGCATCATGATGGCTCGGGCCGGCACCGTATACGAACCAGAAAACCAAACCGGAAAACCGGCCAGGAGGATTATTTGAGGATGAGAATATGTGTAGGTGGACAGACACCTGGGTAATGATCGGAGGAAGAAGGGAATGAACAGCTCTGTCGCAAGCTGTAGCGAGCGGCAGAGCTTGAAACTGGTGGCTTCAAGGAACCATGTGTTGCAGACAGGTACTCCAAGGGTTCTATTGTGATTTCAGGTTGAGGGGGAGGGCATTGTGGCCAGATAAATGCAAAGTGGCTTTTCGAAGATCTAGCCCTTGGGGGATGTGGGAGGTGTCTGTTCAAGCTGTCGGTCATGTAAGTGCATCAGAATCAGAATATCTGCATAGCTTATTGATAGGCGGGCATGGATAAGCTACATTACCTACATATCGCCTTTACCTGCAGATTCCATTGGCGAGATGCATACAGACCCACCAGATACGATATACCTGTACTGCCTATAGATATGAACATGTACGTAGGGGGTGTATAGGCCTATGGAGTGGACAGCAACGCACCGAAATGAACACCTAGACAAGTTCAAGTTCCTGGGACTGCGCCACCACCAATGGAGATCTGGCTACAACAGAAAGAGCCGCATATGTACATAGGAGGTATGTAGTATATAGGTGCCTGTCTCTACGTAGGTAGGTACCTACAGGTTAGCCCTATAAAACGATGCACGGCATGGGTTAACCTAATAGGCTTGATACCTGGCCTCCACCTTATTCTATGTCGGTGCTTTGCTTACGTAGAAAAGGTGGCTGTTTGAAGGTTAGCCAGGTACTATGAAGATACCACTATGTAGGTACCCAAATAGGTACCTGGCGCCTCTGAGCATTGCATTTCGGGAATGTGCCTGCTGTACTATACACATAGGGAGCTACCCCTCCAAGATGTATAGGCTACCTTGGGAGCTGGGGATGTTCCACTATGGGATCCGCAGAATCGTGGGCATAAATACTCGTACCTGTTACATCAATGGGTTCAAGCACCTGCCTAGGCGCCGGTCGCCTGCAAGGAACTTCAGCATGGATAATGGTTATTCCGCCCCGCACGGGGTGCTGCCCAATGGAAACAGGGCCCTCGAGGTACAGCGGGCGGGCTTCCATACCCTGGAATCAGGACAGCTGGAAACACAGGTCTCCTCCAGCCTGCTCGTGGGTCAGGAAATAATCCGCCGTCACTTTTGGGGCCACGAATTGACTTCTACACTGCAATACCTTTGTGAGCCCGTGAATTCTCACACCAAGAGCTGGTTTTCAGTCGACAATTCGCCGAGCCTCGTAGCTCACTACCCGTAATTTCTCCTTACTCACACCCAGAATTCCGCCATTGGCATTTCTCGACCGTGCCCGTCACCCACGCCCGCAGAACTCCGACAACTCCACCGACCACCCTTCGCTACCTCTGCCTCCTCTATTCATGACCCAAGCCTAGGGGCTTCCCGCTGCCTCCCTCCTCGTCAGAATGCAGGCCTCCTCGGGGATGCTAACAAAAGTGCGCGCCAAATACCCCTACTTGTCTTGGCCTTGCCGAGTCGCTGGCTGACGCTTGTTACTCTATAGTTCGAGTCGAAGTCTTCGCGAGCGAAAGGCATCGCCTTTCACCCCAAGAGGTCGAGAAACCCTCCTTCCGCAATATAGCACCTGTCGGATTCCCTTCGCCGTCGTCCCATGCTGACCCGAGAACGATAGGCCATGGATCCTCGTTTCCCTCCACTCTTCCACTATACAGCTATGGGATTACCGCATGGGAACCCTTATTGATCGCTTCGAAGAACACGATGGGCCTGTGCGAGGCATCGATTTCCACAAGACGCAACCGCTCTTCGTCTCTGGAGGCGACGACTATAAGATCAAGGTCTGGTCCTACCAGACTAGGCGATGTCTGTTCACCCTGAACGGACACCTGGATTATGTGCGAACCGTTTTTTTCCACCACGAGTTGCCGTGGATCATATCAGCTTCGGACGACCAGACGATCCGGATATGGAACTGGCAAAATCGCTCGCTAAGTATGGCTGTGGTTGGGACGAGGTGTTGTCGGGAGATGCGTACTGACAGCTAGTCTAGTTTGTACTATGACCGGCCATAATCACTACGTAATGTGCGCCCAGTTCCATCCCAAGGACGACCTAGTGGTATCCGCCTCTCTCGACCAGTCCGTTCGCGTCTGGGATATATCTGGCTTGAGGAAGAAGCACTCGGCTCCGACTTCCATGTCCTTCGAGGACCAGGTCGCCCGATCGAATGCGCAGCAGACTGACATGTTCGGTAATACCGATGCGATGGTTAAGTTCGTGCTGGAGGGCCACGATCGCGGTGTGAATTGGGTGGCCTTCCATCCAACTGCCCCGCATATCGTATCGGCTGGTGACGATCGCCTCATAAAGCTGTGGCGATTTAGCGAAACCAAGGCTTGGGAGGTTGACACATGTCGCGGTCACTTCCAGAACGCTTCTGGCTGCCTGTTCCACCCCCACCAGGACCTCATCCTGTCATGCGGCGAGGACAAGACGATCCGGGTGTGGGACTCGCAGAAGCGTACTGCTGTTCAGTCTTTCAAGAGGGAAAATGATCGTTTCTGGGTGATAGCGGCACACCCGGAGATTAACTTGTTCGCCGCCGGCCACGACAACGGTGTGATGGTGTTTAAGCTGGAAAGAGAACGTCCGGCGTCGACTGTTCACCAGAACTCTCTCTTCTTCGTTACCAAAGAGAAGCATGTTCGGTCTTATGACTTCCAGAAGAACACCGAAAGTCCGACATTGCTGTCTCTGAAGCGGCTCGGGAGCGCCTGGGTACCCCCCCGAACGCTATCGTATAACCCTGCCGAGCGCTCCGTCTTGGTTACGTCGCCCACCGATGGCGGTTCCTACGAACTGATCAGTCTCCCTCGGGATGGTTCCGGCGCATTGGATGCCACCGACTCGAAGCGCGGGCAAGGGAATTCGGCCATTTTCGTCGCCCGAAACCGATTTGCCGTCCTGAACACTGCTACGCAGACCATCGATATTAAAGATCTCTCTAACAATACGGCGCGATCCTTCAAGCCTCCCATCGGGACCACCGACATCTACTTCGGCGGCACCGGGAACCTGCTCATCATCACCCCTACTGCCGTTCACCTCTATGACATCCAACAAAAGAAGACTATCTCCGAGCTGGCCGTGAATGGCGTCAAATATGTTATTTGGTCTAACGACGGCCTTCATGCGGCGCTCTTGAGCAAGCATAACGTCACTATCGTTACCAAGGCGCTCGAACAGGTGAGCACGCTGCACGAGACTATTCGAATCAAGAGCGCGGCTTGGGATGACGCGGGAGTTCTGTTATATTCTACCCTGAATCACGTCAAGTATACCCTCATGAACGGCGACAATGGTATCGTCAGGACCCTGGATCAGACGGTCTATCTTGTGAGAGTCAAGGGACGGAATGTTTACTGCCTTGATCGAGCTGCTAAGCCTAGGGTTCTCCATATCGACCCAACGGAATATCGGTTCAAGCTGTCGTTGGTCAAGCGCAACTACGAAGAGATGCTTCATATCATACGCACTTCGAGTTTGGTTGGGCAATCTATCATCTCGTACCTCCAGAAGAAGGGATACCCGGAGATTGCGTTGCAGTTTGTGCAAGACCCGACCACTCGATTCGAACTTGCTATCGAGTGCGGTAACCTCGATGTAGCTGTGGAGATGGCCAAGGAATTGGACCGACCCAAGCTCTGGACGAGATTAGGCGCTGAGGCCTTGGCGCATGGAAACCACCAAGTCGTGGAGATGGCTTACCAGAAGCTAAAACAGTTCGATAAACTCTCGTTTCTTTACCTCTCAACTGGCGATCACTCGAAGCTGGCGAGAATGGCCAAGATTGCCGAGCACCGAGGCGACTTCTCGGCCAGGTTTCAAAACGCACTGTACCTGGGCGAGGTCGAAGACAGGATACAAATGCTCAAAGAAATTGATCTATGTAAGTTGAGGCTCTCGATCCCAGTAATATAAGCGAGCTTGACTAATTCTCTCATAGACCCTCTGGCATACATGACGGCTAAAGCCCATGGCCTCGAGGAAGAGAGTCAATCCATCTTAGAGGCTTCCGGCATCACCGAGGATCAACTGACGTTACCTAAGTTTGGCGATGCCTTAGCACCTCCGAAGCCGGTTGTGCCGACTCACCAGGCGAATTGGCCCACTAAGGCAACTTCACAATCCTTCTTCGAGAAAGCGCTCGCTAGTCAGCTAGAAGGCATCAGCCTTGAGGAGGAGCCCGTCGCGGCAGCTAGCGGTTTTGGTCTCGATGAGGCAGCCGATGAAGATGTTGGGGCCAAACGAAGTGGCGCTTTGGAAGCTGATGACGATGAAGACGCAGCCGGGTGGGATATGGGCGAAGATATCGCCCCGGAAGCTGATAGCGACTTTGTTAATGTCGAGAGCACGGACGCCGGAGGTGCTGGCAGCAGCGAGGCTGACTTGTGGGCTCGCAACTCACCATTAGCCGCCGATCACATTGCTGCGGGCTCGTTCGAGTCCGCTATGAACCTACTAAACCGACAGGTCGGCGCTGTTAATTTTGCCCCCCTCAAGCCACGTTTCCTAGAGATCTACTCGGCCTCGAGGACTTTTCTACCCGCTTCCGTCGGTCTACCACCTCTAGTCAACTATGTGCGCCGAACATTGGATGAGGTAGATCTTAGGAAGGTTCTTCCCCTAATCCCACGAGATATCGAGCACCTTGCCACCGGGGACCTCCACAAGGGGTATGAGTCGATGAAGGCGAACAGACTTGAGGAGGGCGTGCAGATCTTCAAGGGTATACTGCATGCCATGCTCGCCAACACTGTCTCCAGTGAGAGCGAGGTAGCCGAAGCCAAGAAGCTTATCACCTCAGCGAGTGAATACACCGTGGCCATGTCAATCGAGCTCGCGCGAAGGAGACTCGGTCCTCAGGATGCGGTCAATGGTGACCCCCAGCTTCTCAAGCGAAGCCTCGAGCTGTCGGCATACTTCACGATCCCTAAGATAGAAGTCCCTCACCGACAACTTGCTCTCCTGAACGCTATGAACCTGGCATCGAGGAGCAAGAACTACAGCTCAGCCCTGAGCTTTGCGAACCGTATCCTAGCCAACGGCGGGGCTAACAGAATACTTGAAAGTGTAAGTTGCCTTCTCCGCATACCACCCCGCTTGTGTACCCAGGAATCTCACTGGGTAAAATAGGCTCGGAGGATAAAGGCTCAATGCGAGCGGAATCCGCACGACGCAGTTGAGATCGAATATGACCAGTTCGCCGAGTTCGAGATCTGCGCGGCTAGCTATACCCCTATTTACAGCGGTACAGCGTACGAAGAGTGTGCATTCGACGGATCGAGGTACCATACGAAGTACAAGGGCACCATCTGCGCCGTCTGCGAGGTCTGTGAAGTCGGAAAACACGGAAGCGGCCTCAAGCTATTTGCTTAAATTCGTGACGGAGTTGGGGAAGATAATATCTGTCGGTCCATTACTTGTTTGGGTCGGACGATTTACGAAATAACAAGAGCATACACTGTTGTAGCCAAGAGGGGGTGGGGGTGAAAACACCATTCTAGAACCTGGAACGGAAAATACGGGGGGGACGAGTTATACGAAACAACGTATTCGCGCCGTCGTTGACGATGGTGATTCGAATGAGTAGTCGATAGTCATAGTAGCAGTGGCAGTGTATGGAACGACATGGTGTGATGACTTACTGCCACTAGGAATGTGATGACCACAAAAATGAGGGTCCTTCATCCTTTATAGATTATACGAATATTTACGAGTGGGAGCCGTGAGAAAGGCATACTGCTAGGGGCTGAGGAAGACGAAGATAAATCGTGATGCTTGCCTAAATAAAACTTACTTGACACCGTGGTGCCTTACCGTCTATTAATGCTTGACCTACTTATCTTTTATTTGCCCCGTAAGTGGTGTTCATACATATGCACACGCACAGGTTTTGGAAAAAACAGACAGGAAGGCTGAGATCCCATTTCGACGTCTTCTCTTCTTTCCGCTTCTCTTCCTCCTGTGTAGCCAGCTAACCAGACCCAATCGGCCTGGGTACGTAGCTATTGCTATGCTAGGAATAGCAGTGTGTGTATGTGTATCTATCGAATTTTTTGGTTTACCCTTGACCTCCCCCGCCCCCTGGTCCCCTCGGATGCAACGTCCCACCGATCAAGCCTGGCAAGGCGGATTTGTCGAAGGTATGAGTAGAAGAGGCCTCATCTGCTACCGTTAAAAAGGGGTTCTGTATCCTACGACTGCTTCCTTCGCCTCCCTTCTCCTGTGCGCCCTCGCCCATGCTCCGCCGAGCTTGAGCCCCCGGTCCCGGTACCGACCGAGCCGGGCTAGACCCGACTTCCGGGCACTATGAATGTTCGCAGTATGCCATTCGTTCGTCCCCCTGTTCACTTTCCCCATCCAAGAGATTTCCGTGGGAACTAGACGATGGTCTCGAGCTCGCGCGCATAACCGAGGGTGTTCTCGATGACCATGCGGCTGAGCTCCTTCTCCTCGGGCTCCTCGGCGCCGTCCGCGGCGCCCGCTGCCGATGCCGAGGTGGTGGCGGCGGCAGTGCTGGAGGGGAAGTAGATGTGGCCGTCTCTGATGGTCCAGCCGCGCTGGCGGGCGAAATCGATGACGGCGCCCTCGGAGTCGAGGAAGAGCAGCGATTTGGTACTGCTGAGCGGCAGGGAAGGGTAGGCGCGCTCGCTGCTGGAGGCGATCTCGGAGCGGATCTGGGATGTTAGGATCTGAAGGTATGATTAGCTAGTCTGTTACACGTATATGATGATGCCCGGAAGGAAAGAGAGAATGGGCGTGGAAATGGTCAAAGGTGACCAAATAAAAATGGATCGACGAAAATCAAGGGGTCGTGATATTGGTATGATTGAGAAGGCGGGGGGTGGGAGGGCAACTCGCCTCGGAGAAAACGCCGTACTCTTCGCTGGGCACCTCGCGGCTCTTCATGGCCTTCCAGACGCGGTCGTAAGAGCCCTCCATGAGCCAGCGCTCGAGGTGGATGGGGTAGCCGAGGAAGCGGTCGCCCTCGATATCATGGGCGCCGGCGCGGCCGGCCTCGCGGGTGCCAAGCGTCTCGAGCTCGGAGTGGAACTCGGCGTAGCGGCCCTGGGTGAGGAGCAGGAGGAGGTAGAGGCCGGTAACCTTGCCGCGCTGCTCGGCGGCGGCGGCGGACGCAGGCAGCACCGAGGGCGGCAGCTCGTAGAACGGCTGCAGCTGCTCAACGTACCGCGTGAAGGCGTCCGGGTTGCGGGCGCGGATGGCAAAGAGCGCCCCTTGCTCGTAGATGCTGCAGGCCAGAGCGAGATGCTGCGGGGACGCGGCCGAGGCGGCGCCGGGAGTCGCGGCTTTGAGCTGGAGGAGCAGGATCTTGGCCTTGGAGAGGAGCGGCGCGGCCTCGCTGTAGGCGAGATTCGGATTCGACCGCAGCTGGCTGAGGATCTGTTGCAGGGTTCGCTCGGCCATGGTGGCGGGCAGTGAGGGCGGCGGTGTCGGGGGCGCGGAAGAGGAGGAGGAAGAGGAAGAGGAAGAGGTAGTCAGAACGCCAGAGTCGTTGGGAAAACCCTTTGTCGACGGTAGACGTGGTCTCTGGACAGGGTGGCTATGCCCTGCTCTCGGTCTCTCGTCTCTCGTCTCGTCCGTATGTGACGATGGTGACGAGCCTTCCGCTTGTCCTGTGGCGAATGGCGGTGCTGGTAGCGTTCGCGGACACGGGGAGGTTGTGGGAGAGGAAGAGAAGGAGGAAGCGGGACGTGTAGGGTTGGCTGTGCTGCTGCTACCGTCTCTTAACCAGAAGCAAGGCAAGCAGGCTGAGAGGCTGACGAAGGAGAATCGAGCGGACCCACCAGGCCGGCGGTCGGGTTGACGAGCATGCTGCCACATGGTGGCTTGAGCTTGCGTGGACGCCTGTGGCTGGTATACCCGCAATCTGTTATCGAGGAAAACCCCATTCCTTCGTTACCGGTACGTATCGGGTACCTACTTGTAGGTACTAGTAGGTAGCACTTTCGGTTAGGCAGGTACAAGCGATTGTGCGTGGGTAGGAGATAGGTACCTAAGGAGGAGGAGGCAGGTAGGTACCTACCAAGTAGTGTCCTACTGAATTGGATACATCCCTACACCCCGTCACTTCAGCTTCTTATAGGGGGTTATGCGTCTAGGAGGTAACCTCCTCATAGGTAACCTACCATAGATACCTCCTAACCTCCGATCAACAAAAAACAGGACTGGTCTATCTGTGGTTCTTCCTGAGTATGAATGTCATCTCCCTCTCTCGCTCTTGAGAAGCGCAGAGCAGGTATTTATTATACCTGCCCTTGTTTTCCATTTCTCTTCTCTCTTCTCTCCCACTCTCTGCTTCGTACGCCTATCCTTATCGGTTGACGGTCTACGGCTGGTTGGTTCTATTGTCCACGAGGTATCCGTCACCTGTTCGATTCCTGCTCGTCGACGTTGGCTCTGTATATCACGGGCCATCGCTGGGTCCCCTTAGCGTCGCGCCAGCCGGGGAGGGGAGAATTAGACTGGCCGCGGATCATCAGACGAGCCGCGTGTCATTGTAAGTCCGTGACTGCTATCTTGTAGTCAACAGCGTCACGATCCTGTTGTAAGCTTAGGCTCGGCCTCTGGGAGTTCTTTTCTTCCCCCCCCCCCCCCCTTCTATCGCGTCAGTCACCTCGTGCTGCTTGCAATGATTCCATAGTCACGATCTCCTTACCTTTTTTCTTTCTAATTCCTTCATAAATTATACACCGCAACTGGTACACTACTACATCCTGTGCCGCTAAGGACGTGTTATCCTGCTTCTGTGTCGTGTCTGCATCCTGGATCCTGGACTGATGTCTGCAGATCGTTGACGGTTTTAACTAGGGCCCAAAATCCGGGAGGGCGATGCAAGGGCGTTGTTGTGCAGCCGATCCCGAAATAGAAACATAATGAGGCTATGGGCATGTAGCCTTGGCAGAGTTCTATTCAGCCCAGGCTGACACGCCCAGGACAGTCGGTGGTGATAGACTTATACCACTGAGTTAACAGGGGATTGAACAGCTTGTGTAAGGAATAACCAGGTAGGAAGGGCTGTGCTATCTTACCTCTACCATGATCGCCTGCTTGAAGGATGCGGGAGCTTTAATTTTACTCGAGTAGCCTAGTTGCTTAGGTAGACGATGCTAAGGCATCCGGCCAACCAACCTAGCTGTGCTCTCTCCGCACTCTTCATCTCGCATCTGATGGCACCGTTTGTTGCTTAACTCCCACCCAAATCACGGTAGGTCGAACATCGAACCAGGTTGGCGTTTATTAGCGAGTGGCACCAGAGGTTCGCGGAAAGGGGGAGAGGTCTAGTCTTATCCACGAGCCATGCCAGAATACCAGATGGGTTGAGAATTCCAACTCGAAGGGCAAGACGAAGCGAGTCCGTCCACATACATATATCCTTGGGATATCTACGATTGATCCTCGGTTCACCATCTATGCTATACTCCCGTTCTCGCCACTTCCATGAAATGACTGGTTCGTGATAAATACCGGATGCCGGCGAATCACTTCACATCGGATCTCCCCCTTTTCGTACTCTCGTATCTCCCCTGAGTCCCCCCCCCCTCCCCCCCATCCCCTCGCATCACATCCGTAGTGGTGCGAGTAAGGAGACGGCTGATCCCGAATAAGAAACGCGACAGCGACGATGATAATGTCACACAATCCAACAGCTTACGCGTGGCCCGTAGTGGTGGTCTCGGATACGGAGACGGGAACTGGCAAGGGTAAGTGAAAGGAGGTGCTTCGCATCCATTCCCGTATGTACATGCGTATGCATGTGTGCATTATCCACCTACCTACCCGTCCCTACCAACCATGGATGGACCGAACACCGCTTCCCGGTCGACTGGAGCTTCCCGGCTTGGTGGACGCCCTGTCCCTTGCGGACGCTACCGTGGGAGCCCCGAGATTTAGCGATGACGACGACGACGACGACGACGACGACACGCACCTGGACCCATGCATTGCTGGCCTCCGCCTCCCCTCGACGAGAGATTCGACAGGGGCGGGCATGAAAGAAGAGAGGGTACGCTGTGAGGCTTGGCCTGGGCTCAGACAGCAGCAAGCCTTAGTACAATCCTCTGCGATACGCACATATTGCGTTCCCTACATATTGGATCCGACACACGTCTCGCTCATAGTCCCCGCCTAAGCCATCGGTGCTTACATGGTGGATGAGACCTGAGCTATACATGGAACACGGGGTCTCCTAACATACCTTTCCCTCTATCCATACGCACTCTCTTTACCTACCTGTGTAGGGTACGCACATACGTCGTCCTGCGGAATCTCATTGATGTATGCCTGTACATGCGCTATAGGTATACGTATGTGTTCAGGAGAGACGATAGATCATGCACTTCCGCGCCGCCCGAGACTCTGTCGCGTTTCTTCGCGATCGGTCGGCTTGGCCGAGATTGCGAATAAGCACCTCCTTAACCGGCTGAGCGCTACCAGGTGGCATTATGGATTTCCCCTCCCTATTTGTCCAATCTCGTCTGTCTGGGGTTCCCAGAGGAGGTCCACTTACCGCAGGGAGCGACCTGCCATCGACATTATACTACGTATATACATAACCTATATACATACATATTACATGCATGCATGCATGTATCTATGAGTATATTGTTATGAGACCTCACTGCCCCTGAGATGGAGGCCCTCTCGGTATCTACCTATGTACCTGCGCCGCCAGACACCTTGGGTCGGTACATACATACCTAGGTGTACATATATGAGTGTATGTCATACCTAATGTATGTATGTATGCACATATATGCATGTGTGGAGTGGACCCTTTTTATGTTGGCCTACTCATACTACCTTACTCATAGGTAGCCACAAGCCCCTCTCTCCCCTCCACCCCCCCTCATCAAAGCAACATCGATACCCTTCGACAGACGAGACCAGACCGACCAGGGCCGACCAGGACCCGAGCAGACGAGGCTATCTGTTTTTTTTTTAACCATCAAGAGAGTAAACACCGCCCCTCGGCCTTCTCGCAGCTGCGGGCTTGATTGCGATTATTCCTATCGATTCCGCTGCGCCTCCGCGGTCACCGGTGCCGGAAGATACAATCCGACCCTTGCATTAGCAGGCCCTGGGGCGACTTGCCTGTAAAAGCGCCCGCGAGCTGGGTCGGAAAGCCATCCCTTTCCATCCCCTCACAATCTCTATATACCTACGTACATACATCCACCCATCCAGCCATCCACGCAGACGATACCACCTACGTACATAATACATATACGATCGCCACCGCATTGGACACTGGCCCGGACCTCGAGACCACAACCGCTGCGACGCCTGGCACCACCCGCTGCTGGCAATTCCTGGGTGCTCGAGCTAGAGATCCCCTACCTAGGCGCCGGTATCCACCTCTGCCCCGTCCACCCGGTACCAGTCAGGTGGCAAGGAGAAGAGAAGACGACGAAGGGATAGCGGATAGCGGCCGGAGCACCAGAGGCAGAACCAGAACAAGGGAACCAGACGAGTCGAGACGACCGACAAAAAAAGAACGGCCCCCACCCGCGCGCACGAATAGACCTCCTTTCAGGACGCGGGACCCTGCTAGGACCTAGCTGGACCTAACTGGCCCTACAGTCGGACCCTTTAAGACATACCTAACGTTAGGCACGGTTGCGTGTGTTGTGTGTAATATTGGCCGATTTCCTTTACGGCATTACGGCAGGCCTTCTGCTAGCTGGGCTGACGGATCGAGATCGACGATTGGCTCGAGGGGAAAACGCGGGCTGACAGAGTGCATTTTCTTTTATGTAGGATCCTACCCGCCGCACACAAGCGAGGACGACTTCGAAATGCCTAACCTGGGAGCGACTTTCTATCCCGGTGCGGACGACTACTATATGCCAGAGGTGGTGGCGCCATCACCGCAAAGGTACGTCGGCATTCGTTTTATAACCCGTAATCTATCATCGTTGTTGTTGTTTTTGCGTTCGTTTTTTTCCTTTCCTGTTACTGTCGTCCTGTCTGCTCGTCTGCTTTCTAGAGTCTTCCTCACCCTTTTTTCCTTCATTTTTTCCGGTTGAGACAATTCCCATCCTATGTAAATATATACGATACACACACCACACACGCACGTTGCTCGTATATACGCTCCATACATATCCTATTCGCACCGCACGCCCTCTCGACGCCATTGTACCTATACATATATACGTATATTCGTACGCATATACACGTTATCTATACGCCCGCACGCACACGTATCATACGCCTCGTCACACATGATTTTCCCGTCACCAATTGTCGGTCAACGTTGCTTTGGACCTACATCTCCTGCCCCTTTACCTAACCTGCTATGCATACGTATAGGGTAATGCCAGAGGTCCCCCAGAACATGCAGCAAGGCCTCCAACGCATGGAACTCGAAGCCCGATCTGTTGAACCGCGAAATTCATCCTCCCAAGGCCCTGAATCTGGTACGCGACACGTCCGCGAGCCCTCCTTGTCTACTGTGCTCAACACCCGGATGAACAGCTTTGGGCAGCAATACCAACCGGGCCAGAACCCTTCGACTGACTCCAATCCCGCCTCCAACTTTAGCCCTTTCCAGGACGCCCAGGATCGTGGTCGGCCGGTCGATAGAAACCCTCCGGATATGCGCGACTTACCCTCCTTCTCCCCCTTTCCCAAGGTCCAGGGGGAGCACATACCCCCGAGCGACGAGGAGAAAGAGGCTGTCTTGGCTGAGAGCCGTCAACATGTCCTCCACTCCAACGACCCCAACATGCAGATTTGCTGGGCCCGTGATGTGCTGTCCTATGTTGAGATAGCTGCCGAGGCCGCCATCCGGGAAGAGGATGCTGCGCGGGACGTCAACGACCGAGACCCCCCGGTGCGACCGGCAACGCCCAAGATCGAGCACGAGCTGCGGGTTGATGCCATCAACATCGTCACCTATCTCGCCGATCAAGGCCACCCCGAAGCCCTATTCATTAAGGGTAAGTGGCTCGAGTTTGGCAAATTCGGTAAGCGGCAGGATAAGAAGGAAGCCTACACGTGTTATGCGGCGGCCGCCCAGTCCGGCTGGGGCCGCGCTGACTATCGCATCGGCATGCTCTACGAGAACTCAAACGATGTCGACAAAGCGATGAGACATTACCAGCTGGGCATGGTCGCGAAGGATTCCGCCGCCTCGTATCGACTGGGCATGATCAACCTATTAGGCCAGCACGGCCAAGTCAAAGATATCCCGAGGGGCTTGGATTTGATACACAGCGCTGCCGATACCGCCGACGAGGACGCCCCCCAAGGCGCCTTTGTCTATGGCATGCTTATCGCCAGGGATCTGCCCGATGTCACCATCTCCGACGGCACCCTTGCATACGACGTCGGCGTCGCGCGGCAGTACATTGAAAAGGCAGCCTACCTGGGTTTTGCGAAGGCGCAGTTGAAGATGGGACAGGCGTATGAGCTGTGTCAACTCGGCTGCGACTTCAACCCAGCCTTGTCCCTGCACTACTATGGCCTAGCCGCCAGACAAGGCCAACCTGAAGCATGCCTGGGCGTCAGCCGATGGTTCTTGTTTGGGTACGAGGATGTTTTTACCAAGAACGAGGCTCTCGCTTTCAAATATGCCCAGTTAGCCGCTAAGGCTAAGCTGCCGACTGGAGAGTTTGCTATGGGTTACTATCACGAGATCGGAATATCCGTTGAGAAAGACCTGCGAGCGGCTCGCAGGTGGTACGAGCTAGCGGCAGACCACGGCAACAAGGATGCTGTAGAGAGATTGGACAGTCTATCGCAATCAAAAGCGTTGTCGAAACAGGATCACGAGACGACGGCGTTGACAAGGATCAAGTCGAAGCACGGTTCCCAGAGAGGCCAGAGGCCGGAACGGTTCAAGCAGATGGGCAACGCAATGCCAACCGTATCGGAAGACCAAAACCACCCCCAACTCGCCCCCAGGGCGTCCCCGAGGGCGTCCCCGCGGGTGTCGCCTCACCCATCCCCCCGAGTTCATAATGCTGATCATACCGATATGCCCGATCCATCTCGAATCAACATCAACAGCCCCAATCGTCCCCCAGCCTTTACTGTCAACCTTAACGATCGTCCCAGGTCGGCTGCTCCCTACCCCGCGGATGACGGGCCGCCATCTCTGTCGTTACGACCGAAGTCAGCCGCCCCTTATCCCGAAGACGACATACTAGGCGCCAAACCGCCGCTGTCGCCTCACTTCAGCCCGGGCATTCGACCGTCAGCAGGGCCAGTTGCAGATCGCCCAGGGAGCTCCTTTGGAATCCGCGCGCACTCCCAAGGTCCACCCGGCGGCATGCGCCCGCCACCCCCGGGGGGGCAGCTCCCTATACCCCCGGCCGGCATGGATCCGAACCGCGGCCGCCCTCCTTCGACTAATTGGCAGCCACAAGCCCCGAGCGGCTACCGACAGCCTAGTCCTGGACATGGGCCCGGACCCGGGGGTCGGGGTCGTCCCATTACAGGGCAATTTGATTCGCGGCCACCGCCAGGTGCATACGACCAGCGGCCTGGGTCGGGTCACGGCCCCAATCGGCTGACCAAACAGGGCCCACCTCCGGGCCAGTATCCACCGGGCGGCTACGGCCCGAGAGATTCATCCATGCCGCCGCACAGCCCAGGCTCCCGTGTCTCGACGGCCCCCTACGATCAATACGGAGGCCGAGCGCCGGGTATGGCTCCACCAACCATGAGTGGCGGACTAGGGCCTCGAACTAACTCCATTCCGGTCGGAGGTCCGCCTCAGGGAGGCCCTAACCCTCAGAGGATATCGAGCGCTGGTCGACCGGGTCAGCCACTAAAAGATCGTCCTAGTCCTCTCGACCAGGGTGGTCGCGCCAGCGCGCCGCCTCAGCAGGGACATCCGGCACTCGCGAGCCCGCCGCCGCCCATAAACAGCCCCTCCGCTGCGCCTGCGGCCGTTCCATCTCCCGCCCCAGCTTCGAAAACCAAGACCAACCAAGGTCCCGCCACTTTTGAGGCGATGGGTATCCCTCAGGGCAAGTCGGACGACGATTGCGTATGTTTTTGCCCTCGTCCGACGTCGATCCTAGCTTCGGTATGTGCTAATCATGACCTTAGGTTGTTATGTAAGACGCATCGGCCATATATCTCGCGTGGACTTGCTACGGCTTTCTCACTTGTTACGATGATACCACTTTTGTTATAACGCCGAAAAATTCCAGGAAAGCTTTTTCCCGACCGAGTCTTAAGCAGCCAGCAGGTTCTGCAGGATAACACAGCGTCGAAAATTCTAGCATGGAACCGTTTATTAGGTGGATATGTAGACAAGCGCACATAGTCCTCGATCTATGAAGGGTGAGAGGAGGGGGACGAGAGGGCTCTCTGTAGCGGTTAGGAAAGGCTGGTCTTACCCGGTGCCGGTATTCGATGAGGTTTAAATTTCCCAGTAATCAACTCGTCAATACTATCAAGATCGCCACCCACCCTACTATGTATATCAGATGGAGCGCGGGAACTTTGTATATATATAACATCTACTCAAACTAGTTAGTATTGGAAGTAATTCTCGGATCTTCCAATTCATAGCCAGCATGACATGGCGTTTAGGCGCATCAACCACTGATCTGACCGCTTCGAGGCAGTATCAGATCTTGAGCGAGGGTGGCTCGCCGTTCCCAGATACGAATGACGGGATGTGCATGTGCCGGCTGACAAGAGGCCAGTGGCTCGCTATGGGCTCGTAGCACTACGCAGGATCTGGGCTGTGACGACGACGACGGTGACGACGACACCATGTGAGCTAGAGGGCCCATTCTGGGTATATATATACATACATCAGCTTGCCCCTCCCCAATCCGCCGTTCTTCCGAGGCCAGGGCATCCGGATGATGGGAAGCTTAGCCGTAAACCGATTTAACGTCCATTTTCTGTTCTTCTCTTCCCTTACCGAATACTAACAAATGTAACACGACGTCAGAGAGGGAAGACTAGTAGGCGAAGAAGCGATCGAATGAGCAACTGTCTCTTTCTCTATACGCAGGCGCTATGCAGGTGGGCTGCGGAGTTGCAGAGTCGACTAAGCAAGCAAGAATTTCATGTCCGACCCGATTCCCCCTTTTCTCGTACGCCGTTTGGAAATACCGCCAAGTCGTCGTACATGGGCATATATACATATATGTTGATAAAGCCACGTCTAACCCCGCCGGGGCGATCTCGCCCTTGCATTTCCCCTGTCCTCGAACTCCCTTTTCTTTCCCTCTTATCACGCCGGACGACAGATCCGACTAATGCGAGATGTACTGGAACACGGCCGAGACCTCGTTCTCGCCGCACTCCTGGCGCAGCAGCAGGTCCTGGATCAGCTTGAGGCCGTCGTTGGCGAAGTGGTTCCACGTGCTCGTGTCGCCGTACAGCAAGGCGGGTGCCTTGATGTGCTGGCGGCCGTCGGGCCGGCAGCGCTTGCACTTGAACGTGTCGTGGGTGTCGCTGCGCGTATCGCCGCGGTACTGGAACAGCTCGCGCAGGCTGTCGAGAGAGAAGTGCCGCTCCACGTCCTCGGCCGAGTCCACGACGCACGACGACAGCGACTGCTTGTGGCTCTGCCGCTGGAAGATCTTCTCCTCGATCGTCCCCGTCGCGATGAACCGGTACACGAAGCAGTCCTTCTTCTGCCCGTCGCGCCACACCCGCGCCAGCGCCTGCTGGTCCGCCGCCGGGTTCCAGTCCGGGTCGAACAGCACCAGCCGGTTCGCCCCGATCAGGTTGAGCCCGCACCCGCCCGCCTTGCTCGACAGCAGGAACACGAACTCGTCCCCCGCCGGGTCGTTGAACCGGTCCACCAGCTTCTGCCGCTTGTTGACGTTCATCGTCCCGTCGAGCCGCAGGTGCCCGTACCCCCGGTTGCGGCACAGCTGCGCGAAGAGGTCGAGCGTCGACGTGTAGTTGCTGATGAGCACGATCTTGTCGTTAGTGTCCTGCCGGATACGCGCGAGCATGCGGTCGAGCACCTGCATTTTCCCAGAGTACCACGGCTTGATGTCTCGATCGCGGCCGCGTCCCTCCTTCGGCGCGTAGTCCTCGGGCCAGAACCGCTCGCAGCCCGGCAGATCTTCCGACAGGTTGAGCAGGTCCGGGTGGTTGCAGAGCTTCTTGAGAAGGGTAATGGCCTTCAGAGGCTGGCTCCCCTTGCCACGTAGCAGAGCCTGGATATCTGGGCTCTGGATGAAGTAGTTGTACAAATCTAACTGGAACGGAGCCAGATTGCAGAATACGACATGTTCGTACTTGATAGGGAGATACTTGGACAAGATGTCGTTCGTCCGTCGGATGATGAATTTGTTGACAACGGCAAGTAGCTCACCTAGACACTCGTCGCCTTTCGCGCGCTCGCTTTCCGATGCGTCGGCGTCTCGGCCGCGCAAGATGGGAAGCTCGAACCGTTTTCGAAACTCGAGCCGGTTACCAAGCAAGCCAGGGTTCGCAAAGCTGATGAGCGAAAAGTACTCGGAAAGATCATTCTGAATAGGTGTACCGGAAAGAATCACCCTCCTCGTGACCTGCAAATTGTTGAGCGCGGTAAAGGTTTGGCTGTCGCCGTTCTTCAACCGGTGACCCTCATCGCACAACATCAGGCCGATTTGAGTGTTCTTAAGCTCCTCAACATTCAGCCGAAGGGTTTCGTACGAGACTATGATTACCGGCCGAGTGACCGCGCGGCCGCTTGCGATGGCCCACTGGCGGAGCTGCCGCGTAAGTTCTTCCTTGGATGCTTTGCCGTCGATGGCAAAGGGAGTGATAGCATCGGCACCAAGCCATTTGGTAAGTTCGTTGGCCCAGTTGCGGACCAGACTAGACGGGCAAGCAACGATAGCCTTCTGGATGGTCGTCTTGCCAGCGTCTGGCGATTGCTTGAGGAGGGTCCAGAGGAGGGTAATGCACTGCAGCGTCTTCCCTAGACCCATCTCGTCGGCCATGATGCAGCCGTTCGCCTTCTCGTCGATCATGCCGGTGACGCATCTGTACATGAACTTGACACCTTCGATCTGATGAGGGCGCAACACTTTGGCAAGCCTCGGATCAATAACGACCGGCACTCGCGGGTGATCCTTGTCGACCTTGTTTTTTATGCCCAGAATCTCAGCCAAGCTCTTGTGCACTAGAGGCGCATCCAACTTCTCGGTGGCCGCGTCCACTACCTGGCTTTCTCCTGCTTTCTCGATCTTCTTGGGCTTATCATCGACGGTGGGGTCGTAAAGCACAATTGCAAACTCCCCGCTCGGGTCGTGCAACGGCTTCGCGACGAAGACCGCTCCCTGTCTCAGGCCAAGGGTAGGCGGCGGTCGGTTAGGGTTGTACGACGCGCTGTTCTTGTTGATTAGAGGGACGGCGAAGGCCTTCCTGAAGACCTTTTCCTTATCCTTGGCCTGGAAGACGGGAAATCGGTTGACATCGCGATTTGCGAGAGCTAGCCTGTCGGCATTTGTGTATGGCTTGTCGGCCGAATCATCACCGTCGGCGCCTTGGTAGTTGACCTTCTTGCGTTTCCTCGCCGGACGATCCGTGGCTGGGGTCCGGGTGGCCGAGCCTGGGCATTTGAACGGCTTATACAGCTGATCGACGGACTTCTGCGAAAGGAGGCGTTTGCCTGGATTGTTGTACGGTTTCACCACCGGCGTAGGGGGACCTTTCTCCCTATACGATTACACCACGTTAGCAACGGAGCGACGCGGGACGGCGCGACGGAGCGCGTCTTCAACTGGTTAACCGTGCCTACATTATTCGCAACCGATCGGTATCCGCACAGGTACGTCCCGGGCGCGCATCAGCTCACGGAGTCAGCTTCGAGAGCAAGTAGGCCGAGGATTGATGTTTTGTCGCTAAGCCTGGCGCTGGATGGAAAATCGACACACCCATCAAGAACCGAGTTCGATTAGTCAGCCATGTTTGTTGACTGGCGGCAGGCGCGACGCGCCCGGCTGCCTGGATGGAGAAGCGGCGGGGGTCGGAACCTGACACCAAACCACGTGATCATTGCTGATAGTAAAGTACGTAGGTACCTCGACCTACCCATTTCCCTTTATTTCCATATATTCATATACCGATGAGTAGCAGCGAAACGGTGTAAGGCGGACCGACCTCGTGAACTCGGGGAGGGAACCTATTTCCGTGCGTTCATCTCCTCCTCTATAATTACGGCGAATACGGACGGAGATATTAGCTGGGTATATTTCCCCGATGCGAGGATGCCCGCGGACCGCCGACTAGGTAGGGCACCCTCTGTCCCTCCATCGGCGTTGGCGTCTACCTGCCTCTACTCGGCTTATACCTGATTATGGTTTAGCTCTGGTGTCCCCCGCGCTCACGCACTATCATGTGCGCCGTGCGACTGGTATGCGTTCAGCCTATTCATCGTATTGATTCGCTTGCGTAGAAGTAGTAGGGCTAGGGACCATTGAGACGCTCCCCGACTGACTGCCCTATACCTATCTCGAACGTTTTCTATGGCTCGGAGTCGATAGCGCCCAAGCACGCCAATCCCCGGTATCGAGCCTGGAGGCCAATGTCCGCCGACTTCTGGGCCGGCTATCTTAGCGGGGCTGTCGGCATCTTGATCGGAAACCCCCTCGATCTCCTCAAAGTTCGCCTCCAGGCGCGTGACGCGATACCCGTCCAGACCGCCACGTCATATGCCCGACAGTTCGAGACCAGGTCTGCCCTGGTGGCCGGAACTGCCGCGCCCGTCCTCGGCTATGGCGCGCTGAATGCCCTCCTATTTGTTTCGTACAATCGCAGCGCGGCCGCCATCAACACCGCCCTAGCCGTGCCGCCGAACCTCTGGACAACCTGGTTTGCCGGCGCCATCGGTGGTCTGGCCACCTGGGTCGTGAGCACCCCAACCGAGCTGATCAAGTGCCGCGCTCAGCTCTCGTCCCCGCCCGCTTCCAGTTGGACGATCGCAAAGCAGGTCCTAAGGTCTGAGGGTGTTCGGGGCCTGTACTTCGGCGGCGTGGTCACGGCGCTGAGAGACAGCATCGGGTATGGCTTCTACTTCTGGTCCTACGAGCTGAGCTGCAAGTGGGTCGAGTCTGGCAGGCAGAGCCCCTCCGCCTCCTCCCAGGATGCGGCCAAGGTCTTGCTCTGCGGCGGGCTGGCTGGGATCGTCACCTGGGCGAGCATATTCCCTCTCGACGTGATCAAGACGAGGGTTCAGGCACAGACTCTCGGTGCGGTCGCGACCCCGTTGCTTAACCCAACTCCTCCGGCGCGGAAGCGCTTAGGCGCGGTCGAGATCGCCAGGGAAGCATACAGAGAAGGCGGCATGCGTGTCTTCTTCAGGGGCCTGACCGTTTGCAGCGTTCGGGCATTTGTCGTCAACGCGGTGCAGTGGGCCGTATACGAATGGATCATGTTCAAACTAGGGCAGGGAAGGCATAATAAGCCGGAGCCAACATAAGCATTATATACCTAGGTATATCATATGCCTCTTCTAGTCCCGACTTGAGCTATCTAATCCGGGCACCCCCTCGATCTACCTAGCAGAATCTCTTCCTACTAACGAGGCTAAAATAACAATTACCTACCCAACTATGACAATGGGCGTTACCTGGAATACTAGGCACCTGTGATTATTACGGACAGAACGACAGGTGGTGCCGCCTGGCAGATTTGACATGTGTATATGCTTCACTCAGGAATTCGTGCCGAGTCCCGTGGGCTTCTTCGTCTGCTGATCCAAAACGACAATGACGTATGCCTCGTCGGCACTCGGCAGACGAGCCCTCATCCCGCAGAGGTACCTTTGGTACCTCCCACCTTAGGTGAGAGGGGGTACCTCTCTACCGCCCACCCAAGGTATACGCCTAAGGGATACACCAAAGGTACTTGCATAGGTAGGTACCTTTTTAGTGCTTTACAGGTACCTCCTAACCTCCAGCTAACAACCTTCTCTACCTAACTCCCACCGGTAGCTTCATCAATGCGGCGCATTATTCTCTCCCTCCTCCTCCTCCCACCTCCCTCATCACACGCACGCATACGCATACGTATACGCATACTGCCTTGGTAGATCCAGACGCGTGGGCCAGCACCAAATACCGAATTCGACCTTGTAGCCCCAGAAGCACCCGTCGCCGGCGCTATCCGCCATCATGGCCAGCTTTCTCCGAGGGAGGCAGGCCGGCATGCAGAATGACCTGTCTGCCAACATCCTACCCGACTCCTTCGTGCCAGACGACCGCGCACGATATGGGATCAATTCCCAGATCAGGTATGGCGATGCGATGCCACTCGTGTTGTCGGCGTGCTTCATTACTCCTAGCGGTTCCGGCGGCTAACTAACTCTCTGCCCCAATCCCATCCCTACAGCTCCGTCGCTTTCGAACCCGTACAGTCTCTTCTCGCTATCGGCACGGCCGAGTCGAAATTCGGCAGTGGAAGGATATACGTCTACGGGCAGAACCGTGTCCAGAAGCTGCTCGCCCCCTCGAGGTCGAGCTCGTTCGCAGACCTGCAATTCTGCGCCAATCGTCTGGTCAGTCTCGACACTAAGAACGAGGTGACCATATGGGACGTAGACACGGGCAAGCGAGTTGCGAGCTTCCGCGCCCCTGGCATCGTTGCCTATATGCTCACTGATCCTACGCTGGACTGGTGCTTCCTAGGGATGCAGTCTGGAGAAATATGCGCCTACGACCTCGACAGGGAACGCATGCCGCCCTTCCGCCTGCCCAACTTCTGGGCCGAAAAGGATCCGAGTTCGAGAGCGGTGGCCTTGGTTTCGATGCAGCTACACCCCCGTGACATCGGGAAGCTGTTGATCGCCTACACCCATGGTGTTGTCGTCTATTCTTTCAAGCAGAACGTGCCCAACAGGTTCTTCGAGTATGAGGTGCCTCCCGGGGCGCCCGGCGGTTCCTGCCAAGTTGTCGAATCCGTGCGAAGACCCAAGGTCACTAATGCGCTGTGGCATCCCACGGGCACCTTCGTGCTCACTGCCCACGACGACGGAAGCCTGGTGTTCTGGGACGCGAAAGACGGACGTGTGGTGCTCGCGCGGACCCTGTACGACCTGAATGTCGATCGGCCGGTGCCGAATCCTGGAGCCTCGGATCCGAAGCGCCCGTACGTGCGCATTGCGTGGTGTTGCAAGCAGAACCCCGAGGATAGCGGGCTTCTGATTGCCGGGGGTCAGAGATTTGACGAACCTTCGACGGGACTCACCTTCATAGATCTCGGCGTCACTCCCAACTACGCAACTTCGTCGTGGCAAATCCTAGCGGAGTACTTGAAAGGAAAGCATCAAAATACGTTGGAAACCCCCGCTGGGGTTGAAGTCGCCAACTTCTTCCTCATCCCACGCTTGTCTCCTCACTTTGCTGGTGCCCAAGACCCGATCGCCGTGATGGCCTTGCTCTCCTCTGGCGAGATCTCCACTATGAGTTTCCCAAGCGGATATCCTATATCGCCAACGAACCAGCTCCACCCCTCCGTATCGTTTGTCCACCCGTTTGCGACGAAATTCGCCGCTACCACGTTTGATCGTGGCCGGTGGCTCGGAATGATCGAGAACAGAAATCAAGGTGAGCCGTTGCTGAAGGGGGGCGCCGAGGCACCTCGACCACGTCGACGATTTGAAGGTCGCACGATTATTCAGGTTGCCCATGCCGATAGTACTGTCCGGATTTGGGACGTGGGCCATGGCGACGAGATCGAGAACCCTTCACAGCTGCAGGTTGACGTTTCTAGAGCCCTGGATCGTTACGAGGACGTGAACGTCACAGCTATGTCCTTGGCCCCTGGTACTGGAGAGTTCGCTGTCGGCACAAGCAGAGGCGAGGTTGTTATTTACCGATGGGGCGTAAACGAATTTTTCGGGAACCCCCAGCAGCAACGTATCGATCTTAACCCTGGAGGGCTCTCGAACATTGCCGCGAGAGCCGAGCCTCCTTTGAAGAGCGGGCTTCAACCCCTCTCTCTGTACGAAATGATGCAGGGCCCGATCAGCGCATTAAAAGTGTCCGATTCGGGGTTCGTTGCCGTCGGATCCGAGAAGGGATTCATAAGTATCATCGACCTTCGAGGGCCTTCGGTCATGTTTCAAGCCTCGATGGCCGACTTTGTAAAACACGAAAAGAGATCTTCGTTTTTTAAGAGCCGCTCTAGTACATCCGCCAACCAAGAATGGCCAGTGGCAGCTGAGTTCGCTGTCATGACACTCGACGAAGACAAATACTCCAGCATATGTTGTTTCGTGGGCACAAACATGGGGAAGATTATCACTCTCAAGATCCTACCTGCTGGTGGAGGCTACAGTGCTTCGCTGGCGGGGGTGGCTCATTTAAATGACAAGGTTGTGTCAATATGTCCTATTATTACGGATAGCGGAAAGCCGGCTCTGGCCACGGGCGAGGCCGTGGCTGGACTTCGCCAGGGAAAGCAAGTGAACGGGCTCCTCGTCGTTGGTAATATATCCCAACATCCTAACGGCGTACAAATTAATTTCGACGGGATGCTAACTCTACCCAAGTCACCCAGAGCGAAGTTCGTATATTTAAGCCAGCCACTGCTAAGGGAGCTTCGAAGTCGTTCGACGACTACCTTTGTGATAGCGCCGCGGTAACCGAGTTCGATCTTCACGGAATGGCTTTGGTGGGCGTCTTCGGCGACCGCGTAGCCAGGGCTTTTAGTCTACCGGGCCTCAAGGAAATAGGCAGTGCCCCCTTGCCTATGATGGACGGTAGTCGTGGCGACAGCTCGGTAATCACTGAGGACGGTGAGGTGTTCTGCTGGACAGGGCCGTCCGAGCTTGCCATTCTCCAAGTATGGGGCACAGGAAGGGAGATGGAAAATACGGCCGATCAGCTCATCAACCCGGACCTCTCGATACCGCCGCGGCCGACTATTTCGAATGTGCAATGGATCTCGGGCACCCAATACGTCTCGCCCGCCGATTTGGATCTCTTGGTTGGCGGTCCCGACCGACCTGCGAGCAAGCGGATGCTTTATGCGGCGGCTGCCATGGAACGGAATGCCCAGGCCGACTATTCAGGGTCCGGAAGCCAAGAGGGCTGGGGCGATTATTTGACCAGGCAACTGAACGAGCGAACGGAGAAATTGAACCTCGTGAATGATAGTCTAGACTCGGCTGCAAATGCCAGCCAGAAGTGGGCCGACGAGGTTGGCAAATTCGTCAGCCAACAGAAGAGAAATATACTGCTAGGCGGTATCAAGGGCAAATTTTCTTAAATTACACACTCTTCGACGTATCTCGGAAGGGCTTTTCGCCTACCTTGCGATAATAGGTTTCCTGGGGCTACTGGAGGTGCTTGGTTCCAGGGTATTATTCTCTACGGCCCCCCTCGACAAGGTATGGGTTTTCTGGCGAATGATAGTGTAGGTAAGTAGTTTGTTGTCGCGTCGCTTTACGACTCGGGAGCAGGACGTAAGAGCAACCTCGTTTGCGTTCTCGGTGCAGCGCATACTGCGATATTGCTTCATCGACTTTATCCTGACCCGCCTCGACAATCTCCTCCGAAGATAGATGTCTCGCATTCTGCCGTATATAGCCGGCTTAATCGAGCGCTGGGGTCGGTGTGGTGCTGGATACGGCAGTAGGCTATGGTGTGCCCCGACTTGGGTTGGGGTATCAAAATGTTGCCGTGTGGTATATTCACCAATGCTGGAGGAGTCCTTTTCGTCTGTTTTCTTCTTTCTCGAAATCCGCCTCGTGTTGCTCCAGAAAAGAAAAGCAGACAGACACAATGAGGGCCTCGATCGTGGCATTCCTGCCCCCATTCGTGGGTGTTGGTGCGCAGCTAGCCACCTTCGAGCCGTCGTATCCCTCGCCCTGGGGGGCCGGGGGGCCAGACGGCTGGGACGAGGCGTACGCGAAGGCGCGGGAGTTCGTCAGTAAGCTCACGCTGCTCGAAAAGGTCAACCTGACGACCGGAACCGGCAACCAGGCGGATCTGTGTACGGGAAACACCGGGTCGGTGCCGAGGCTCAACTTCCGCCACCTGTGTCTCCAGGACGGGCCCGTTGGAGTTCGATATAGTAAGACTACCAACACGTAGGCCAGCTGCGGCCCTCGATGTGAGAGGGGTATAGACGAAGTAGGAGGACAAGATAGGACAGACGACAGACGTGGACACGCTAGCCGAGGATATTTCTGCTAATTAGCCCTCTCCTCTTCGAGTAGCCGATCTCAACTCCGTATTCCCAGCTGGCATAACGGCCGCGGCGACGTGGTCTCGGTCCCTGCTCCGGCGGCGAGGCGAGGCGATAGGCCAGGAATTTAGCGGGAAAGGGGTAGGTAAGTAGACAGCACACCCCTCCACCCCCCTTCTCTTCGCGTGATCGTGCGTGCATTCGCACAACCGAAGAGGAATGTGTTCGTTCCACTTACTGAACCAAAAACCAGACATTCACTTGGGACCGGTGGTAGGGCCGCTGGGACGCGACCCGGCGGGAGGGCGCAACTTCGAGGGGTTCGGGCCGGACCCGTACCTGGCGGGGGTTGCGTGCGCGGAGACGGTGGCAGGGACCCAGGGGGCGGGCGTCGTGGCGAGCGTCAAGCACTACGCGCTCAACGAACAGGAACACTTCCGCGGCGCCGTAAGTAGCAACGTAGGCGACCGCGCCGTGCACGAGCTCTATCTCTGGCCCTTCGCCGACGCTGTCCGCGCCGGCGCCGCTAGCGTTATGTGCGCCTATAACCGTATCAACAACACCTTCGCCTGCGAGAACTCGTACCTCCTCAACCGCCTACTAAAGAACGAGCTCGGGTTTCAGGGGTTTGGTCAGTTTCCCTAGCCTTCTTCTCCTCGTCGTTATTTAAGGAAAAGGGGAACTGACGATTGCTAGTTGTCTCCGACTGGGGCGCCCAGCACACAGGCGTCGGGAGCGCGCTCGCCGGCCTCGATATGACGATGCCGGGCGAAGGGGGTTGGGGTACCGCATATCCGTCGTTCTGGGGTGGTGCCCTGACCGAGGCTGTGCTAAACGGCGCGGTTCCGCAGTGGAGGCTTGATGACATGGCCGTCCGCATTATGGCGGCGTTCTATAAGGTAGGGCGCGATGTAAAGCAGATCGACATCAATTACTCGTCCTGGACAAACGCGACCGTGGGTCCGAGATATTGGACATCAAAGATGGGGAACACCACCATCAACCAGCACGTCGACGTGCAGGCGGACCATGGCAACCTGATCCGCGAGATAGGGGCTAAGGCGACGGTTTTGCTTAAGAATGTCGACCGTGCGTTGCCCTTGGTCAAGCCTCGGAGGATCGCAGTGATCGGAGAAGATGCGCAGGACAATCCGGATGGGCCTAACAGCTGTGTCGATAGGATCTGCAATCACGGGACGCTGGCTATGGGCTGGGGCTCGGCGACGGCGGAGTACCCCTATCTAATCTCGCCGGCTACTGCGCTCGCCGAGCAGGCCGAGGCTGACGGTACCGCGTTTATTAACATTAAAGGAAATTTTGACCTGGACGCCGCGCGGGTGGCCGCCAGCAAGGCATCCGTCGCTATTGTCTTCGCTAACGCGAACTCGGGAGAAGGGTATACTACGCTGGACGGGAATTTTGGGGACCGCAACAACCTGACGCTGTGGAAAGGCGGCGACGAGCTGATCCAAGCCGTCGCGTCTGTTAACCCCAACACGGTCGTCGTTATCCACAGCGTCGGCCCTGTACTGATTGACCACATCAAGACGAACGAGAACGTGACGGCAATCCTATGGGCCGGACTGCCCGCCCAGGAGTCTGGCAACTCGCTGACGGACGTGCTCTACGGGAAGGTTAACCCGCAGGGCAAGACGCCGTTCACATGGGGCAAACGGACCGGGGACTGGGGTGTCATGACGCTGATGAACTCGACGGCGGCGGCACCGCAACAGGACTTCTCGGAGGGTGTGTTCGTCGACTACCGGTACTTCGACCGGGCGGGGACGGAGCCAAGCTTTGAGTTCGGCTTCGGGCTAAGCTACACGAGCTTTGCTTACGCGAGCCTCACGGTACACTCCCGTAACTCTGGAGCCTACCGCCCCGCGGTCGGACTGACGCCGCCGGCGCCCACGTACGGCGAAGTCAACCCAGACCCGCGCAGCGCGCTCGCGCCTGAGGGCTTCGCTAAGATCCCTCGCATGATATACCCCTGGATCAACAGCGCCGACGTCCCCGACACCGCGGCCGAGATCCCACCCGGCGCCCATAACGCGTCGGCGCAGCCGCTCCTGCGTGCGGGCGGCTCGTCGGGCGGCAACCCCGAGCTATACAAAGTTGTGTTCGATATTAGCGCCGATGTCACGAACACCGGGGACGTGGCCGGTACCGAGATCGCGCAGCTAGTGAGTTGTTAGAGACAATAACCGCCCTCGCGGACTGACCGTTCTTAGTACATCTCCCATGGCGGATCGGGCGACCCGAAGGTCGTGCTACGCGGGTTCGACGACGTGAGCCTCGCCCCGGGCGAGACCAAGACGGTCGTGTTCGAGGTGACGTATCGCGACCTGAGCACCTGGGACGTCGAAGCACAAGACTGGCGCATCACACCGTACCAAAAGACTGCACATGTCGGGGCGAGCTCAAGGGATCTTCGGTTGCAGGCAGAGTTGCCGATTTCGGTGTGAGGACCCGCGAGGCTCTGATTTGCTGCCTGGCTTGAGTTCGAAAGCGGCGTGATCACGACGACGGGATCTCAAGACAGTGGTGAGACTCGGGAGTATTTCTGAGCGAGTGTTTTTTTTTTTTTTTGCACTCGGACTCGATATCTTAACCTATGGTACATCCGGACTTGGCTAATATTTCTTGCTTCGCTATTGTGCCTACCGCTATTTTTTGCGACACCACGCTATAGAGTAGACAATCCTAAAACGCTAATACTTTGGTGATCCGGACGCAGCTGCGTAGAGGATTTCCCGTACAAGAGCTGTAACGGTCATCGGACCAGAGCCTTAGGATATAACAATATCCACCGAAGAAATGAGAAGAGAAAGCCAGCCGAGCCCAATAATATACCTAGCCAGAAGCGCGCCCCTCTTCCGCCGTTGGCCGCGTGAGGCGTGTCACCATGAAGAAGGCAGGCACAATGTATTTCGGCTTCAAGACGGCGACGGTCACCTCCCTGATTTGAGCATGCTTGAATTCTTGGGCGTATTCGTTGAGCATCTTAATCTGCCCCACGAGAAGGGGATTGTTGATTATGAGCTCTTTCCAGCCCGTAGCGCCATTCAGACTGTTCTGCGTTAGCACTAGTTTCGAGACGTAGAGACCCGCCGTCTCGCAAGATGAACAGTTTCCGAGGGGGGAAGAAAGGGAGGGCTGTTCGGTAGATTTCTTCACGTACTAGAGAAGACGTAGTGTGTTAGCTGGTGCCTCCCACGTCCAAGGGTCGCAGTCGCGGTATGCGCTCTGATCGACGGTTCCGGGGGGGGGGGGGAGCTTTGATGCGGTGGGATCATACCATGGTAGTAATGAGCTCTCCCTCCTCAGGGAATATCTCCCCCTGCGCGGCAAACGCACGCCGCATACACTATTCGGCGTCGGAGTTCAAGATAAAGCGGTTCACGAAGTATTCCACGTCTTCGAGTCGTCCTCCGGCACTCTTGTAGTTGTCGACCACCATGTTACGGTGCTTCATCCGGGGTACCGGGAGGATGTTCATATGGACGACGTCGGTAATGTAAGCCCGGTTGCTGAGGGAGACCGAGTAGTCGGACACTAGTAGGTCGCCCTGCATAACTTCGAAGTCCTCCCATGCATCACGGTCTCGGTTCTGCAGCCCCATGTATCTCATCGTCTGGTCCATCAGAGGGGGGACTGTAACTGCTGGCCGTCTATATAAGCCCCATCGATCAATCGTTGTGTTGTGCGAACGAGGACACATGTTTGCGAAGCAGACGTGTATCGATACAGGAATGGTGAACTGGCTTTGGCTCTCGGGGAGATGAAGGAGAAGTGGTCAGATGTCCAAGTGACCACAACTCTGGGGGCTTTAAGTACTTCGGGGGTGGGAGCTGGACAAGAGTCTTGGAAGCGACGGTAACTTGGACTGCCACCTTCGACCGGCGCTTTGGAGCGTCTGATCGAGTAATTGCCTGTTTCGATCAGCTCCTACGGGTGAGGTTCTTTTCTGTGGCAGCCAGGTCCCATCCCCCCGTGTCGCTACTGTCAGATATCGATAGGGGGACATCGTAGTCGCCGTGCCACGATGGACGATGCATCTTCCTTTCCACAAGTACGATGACGAGTTACGAAGAAGTCAGGTGCTACTAACATGATATGCCACGATGCCCCTTTTCTCTCCCTTTTGGGGGGGAGGGGGCCCGTTGGCACGACGCTCCCAACTGATATTCCTTGCCTGCTGGGGGCCTTGCATAGGCCCATATTGTTGAGTCTTTATCATGGGACGTCGTGACAAAGACGGTAAAGGGTGGCATTCTGTCACGTTCTCTTTGTCTTCCGAGATTGCTTACACGGCCTTTCAGAGCGTCTTTTGTCGTTATTGACGTGACCACGCGAGACTGGATAATGCTGTTTGTTTCGCCGGATCAATAGCCTTGTCAGGCGCCGAGATAGGTGCTCAGTCCTCTCAAAATATGTGTATAAATCGGACTAACATCTCACAATCATGACGAGAATTTCGGCAGCACGTTCAATAAACCGCAGCAAACACTACCAAGTCAAACATTCTCCCACATCTTTTAACCAAAAGAACCCAAAGCATTCATCATGGCCGGCTCGAAGATCATCTCCCGAATCATCATCATCTCCTTCGTTTTCATCCTTTTCGTGTCGATGGCATGGAGCCACCCCTCCACCACGCTCTCTGACCAAGACCAAGCCAGTAATACTAGTTTGCTTCATCCTGTCACCGCCGGTTCGAAGGACGCTAGTAACCAAGCCCAAGGTGACAAGGGTGTTCCGTTCATGGGATTCGTCGGTCAGGAGCAAGATGCGGCTACTCCTGAGTGTGTTGACACGTTAGACCAGAGAGGCAACACGCCTACTTCTACGTCTAGCGCTAGGAATCTTACTAGGGATTCGTTGAAGAGGAAGGCCGTGCTGGCTTTCGTGATCTCGATCACGCTGATTCTGATGGCAAAGGCTTAAATGTCGCGTAGATCAGATCAAAGCATGATTCCGGTAGGTGATCACGACAATAATAGCCGGTAGTCACCATCGCTCGGCTTGCATAGGCGACTCACCGGCTATCCCCCATAGGGTCTACACGTCCAGTATTTCTAGGTAGTTGGCAACACAGCAGACAGCTTTGGCAATCACGACGGCAATTTATTTAGATATGTGTCTGTGCCATGATTCAGAATGGTCCGAGGGCGGATACCCCTTGGTAAGCACTTTTGGTCTTTTGACAGCCAAATTCTGAAGCGATTCCCCCTGTCTCTTTTCTTTTTACTAGATGAAGCCCAGCGGAGTTGCGGGTGAAGCTTGCGGTGATTTAAATAAATGTGTACGTATTTACCATAGGAATCCGCAACCCTCTCTCGTTTATCGCCAATATCTTCGCGAAAGCGTCATCGCGCGAGAAGAATCGCTAGCCGGACATGCTTACCTTGATGGAAATAGATGAACCGGTTCTATATAGGCCAATTCCCTCGAGCGATTGTCGCAAAGTGTATCCCACGTGCGGTCTTCCTGCACAGAATGGAAACGATAGACATTCTCATAATCGGTGGTGGCGCAGCTGGTATCGCGGTTGCGCTGGCTGTCCTCGAGAAAGCTAGGCAAGGCGTAAGCAACCCCCCCAAGTTATCGTTGACTAGCCTATCTCGGGAAGTTTGGCCCGAAAGACATGTTTGGGAACTCGAGAGGTCCATCCGGGATATGGAGTACTGATTTTGACCATCACAGTGGTTCGTGGAGAGCCTGACCATAGTAGATAAGAGCGAGGAGCCTGGAACGGGGCTGGCATATTCCGAATCGGCGAGGGGGACAGCCTTGAATCGCCAGGATATCGCAATGTCTCTAATGCCTGGCCAGCCCAACCACTTCAAGGACTGGAAAACGAGGCGGGGGATGGTAGAAAGGGATGGATCTGGCTATACCGACAGAGAGGTATATGGTGCCTATTTGAAGGATATGCTCTGTGATATTAATAGCACCGCATGGAAGCTCAAGGTGCACTTCGGACTCATCCGCAAAGAAGCTGTTGGTTTGGAATTCTGTGGCGAAGGAGATACGGCACACTACCGAGTAGATTTAGCGGATGGTTACGCGATATGGGCGAAAAGGGTGGTGTTGGCTCTTGGGAGTTTCCCAGCGGTCAAGAAAGCACATCTCCTCGACACGATGGGGTATTTCCCTACCCCTTGGCCGACGAAGAAGATCAAAGAAATACCGACAGATGCCGCTGTCGGAATTGTGGGTGCTGGTGCCTCTGCCATCGACGTCGTAGCGTTGTTGTATCAGCGCAAGCATAGAGGGAGAATTTATATGATGAGCAGAAGCGGGGAGTTTCCTCGCGTCGAACGAGCCTCACGGCCCTTCCAACAAGCTCACACCTTATATACTCCGGCTCGCCGGCTCGAAACCGGAGAACTATCCTTGGAGGAGTGTCTTAACGACGTCGGATTTATTCTAGCTTCGCCATATATCGATACGGATGGAGGCGCTCATGACAACGCCGAAAATCCTAAAAAGGGGCATGGTGACCGTGTATTTGCGGGAATAGATGAGGACATGGAGAAGGTGAATCGGAGAGAGACCCTCTTGCCCAAGGTCCCGAGTGTTATCTTGAAAAGTATAGGCGAGAGGATTTGGAGGTTCGCAACATTGACTGACGGCGTGAGCTTTCTGGAAAACCACCCGACTTGGAGGCTTATCCGACAGGAAACCATGCCAGTCGCTTACGCAGCCGCCCTCCGGAAATCCAGGCAGAGGGGGCAACTGGAAGTCATCAAAGACGACGGCGTTGGATCGGGAGCAGGCCATCAGTTCTCCATGGGAAGATTTAACAAAATCCCCGTCGACTGCGTGATCGAGGCTACGGGGCTGGAACATGATGTTGGGGTCCTGTCCTTGGAATCACCTATACTGAAGCAAATGGTTCAGCGAAAGTTGATCCACGCCGATCCACGTGGAGGAATAAAAGTCGGGTTTCTAGATCTCAGAGCCGGCCCCAACTTATACGCGCTCGGGTCGCTTACCAAGGGAACCCATTACTTCGTCGAAGACATCAGCCGGATTACCTGCCACGCCTCTCGCATATCGGACGGCCTTGTCGGGCTTCCGCCCAGCCAGCCTCTCCAGGTTGCCTTGTTCGTCAACCCGGACCTCTTCTCGGAGATAATCATGATGGAGCTCGTGCCGAAGCTCCTCGCGATGGGCCACATGCCGTTCGTCTTCCACCCCGAACCCCCCGACGACTCCATATACCTCGAGGCCCACGAACGAGGCTACCACTATATCAAGTCATTTATGCTTTCCCAGGCCATCCTACCGGATTACAAATCCCACGGGGGCCCTCCAGAAGTAGCGCTGGCGACGGCCTCACTTGAGAATGAGTATGGGGTGCTCGTTCGGGAAATCGGAGACCTCTGCGACCCTAGCCTCCCGTCCACCCTACGGCTCCACCATATAGATATCGGCATCATGATCGGCCCGACAAAGGAAGCCGAAGGCGAGATCTGCACCGACTGTCCGCTGCTACTGCTCAAGCCTGGGCTAGCGCCGCTCTACGTCGATATCGAGGTGGCGATGAGATGCGGCTGGGAACGGTTTGGGTACAGCCTCGTGTGGCGCTGCACGAAAGCGCAGGACGACGGGGTCGTGGCGATGAAGCACCGGAGCATCGTGGGGGCGCCGTGCGTCTGCAGCGCCATGGTCGACTGCTGCGGGGCGGGGGCCGAGATGGCGGCCGAGGCGGTGTCCAAGTTCGCGCGAAGACTGCCGCTGAGGAGCGCGTCGAGGACGTCGCCGCTCGGGAAAAGACCGGCCGGGACCGTAGCCGGTCCCCCTCCGAAGCTCGTCGACCCGCCGTCGGCGGTGCCACGGATCCTCTCCCGCTTCGCGACGCCCGAGAGCTGGGATCGCCTGCGCAAGACCATAGACGGGGATCTGCGCTGCTGGAGCTCGTAGCGTCATATTCTTGCTTCGCGCCATTACTGCCTCGCACTGGAGCATAGTAACATTAAACTCTTGGGTTGATGGGATGTGGAACGTGTTGACAGGACCAGTGCTGAACCCGACGTTGTTATTCCGGCCTCCGCTTTTGTTTCTGTGCTTGATGAATGCCGGATGCCGGAAAAATAAAACAGGAAACGGGGAAGAGAAAAGGAAAAATATATATATATATATATATAACCCTCGTTATCATAATAATGTAGAGCGCGGCTTTGTCTCGCGCAGATTCGAGTGACGGACTGACCACCTAGGTAATATTCTTACTATGTAAGCCTGCGTACGGATCTCCAGAGAGATATTATATCTTTGTTGGGTAAAACGTCGACGCCTACATTCTACGACTAGTAGATATGGGCTCACAAAGGCTGATTCCTGCGTGACAGTCTCGGATTCCGCAAATTTATATACCACCTCCAAATGGGGAATTACCTAGTTAATACATACAGGCATTTGACATACCCCAGCACTGATCAAGTGAACACATTTCCCGGTTTCTTTCTCACCATTTTCCCATCGCGTCAAGTCGCCAGCCAGAAGGCCGGTGAGCGAGATTGGAATAATAGGTATTGCCTGCCTTCCTATGCCTCCGCATGTCCCCTTTTATCCATCAAACTTACGTATACGTCAGGACGCCTCGCTGTTCTCCCATCCTCCTGTCACCCCCCCCCCCCCCTTTTCCCTCGGGGACGCATTTGCAGTTGGGCATTCCGCAGTAAAACGTGTTCTCGGTATAGAGGGTCCCGTCGTCCTCACAGCTAAGGTTGTAGCGCGTCTCGCACCACTCCGTAGTGGTAGGAGAGCCGCAGTCGGGCCTGTAGTGCGAGTGCTCTCGACTGGGTCGGCCCCGGAGACGCACCTTCTCGGCGCAGACGCGCACACTAATGTCATAAGCGCAAGCTGGAAAGCGTTGGACTGGCGAGGAGGCTGGAGGTTAGATGGTAACGCGTTTTTTAGACCCTAAGGGACGTACCGGCTGCGTGGTGTCCTGCGAGTTCTTACCAGCTCCTCCTCTTGTCGAAATTTGCAACGCCTTGGCCGTCGGGAATATATACGTGGGCGTAAGACGGTGAGGGGGGCACTCCCTGGTGTGCCTACAAAGACTCTCGGGCACCAGTCACTGCTGCTGGGGAGGTAGGGTAGAGAATACCGTCAAATGGACAGAATCGACGTTCCGCAGGAGATCCCGAGCATTTTAAATGTGTACCTCTTCTAGAAATATAACATATAGGCGGATATCTCTATGCGGTTATACAGAGATGTCTCCGTGGTATTGTACATCGAAAACATTACCTAACTGCATCGCTGAGGTTGCTCTAAAAAAATATGCACTATACGGGGTTGGGGTTGGGGTTGGTTGCTACCTACCTGTATGAGTCAACTCAGGACAAAGTGCAACTGCCTCTTCCCAGACTTGAAGAGAGCGGGAGGTTACACAGAAAGTCACCCTTATTCCCTCCCAACTGCCCCATGTAGTTCTCATAAGACAGCGGACCCGTCCAGCTATAATATAGGTACCTAGGTAGGGGTAGCTATCGATTACCCGTTACTATAATAATTCGTATATATCTATAGATAATTTAATATAACTTTTAAGACGAGTAGTATTAAAATCTCCCTATAGAAATTTCTAACTTATTTATTTTATATAATCTCTAGTTTTTACTCCCGAACCTTTATATATATTTATTAAGTAATTAAACGTTTATATTATTAATTACTTACTATTATTTATAATCGCCGAATTACTTAAAATCGTATTCCATGGAACGAAACGAGGAATATAATAATAACTTTTTCGATCTTTTAACGCGCGGAACGCCTTTAATTTATTCAGTATTTGTATCTTTTTTTTTCTTATTACCTTCGTTTCGTTATATTTAATATACGGCTCGTTATTTTTTTTACCATGATTTCTTTTTTATATTTTTTCTAAGAAATATTAAACAAAAGGAGCGTAAGTACGCTGTGATAAAAGCATGAACAAGGGCTACCTAACTGCCAACAGCTAGCTCAGTGCTAATCGAACTAGATTACAGCTGCAAACAGCTGATCAGTTGATCGGCCAGCTGAAAACGGCAGTCAGGAAAGGACTAGAAAGATAAGATGGTAGAAAGGTATATATAATAGGCTATGCCTATTGTAGGGCCCTGGCTAGTGCCAGGGCATAGCACGTAACTAGCACCCACGGAGGATAAGGCCAGCAGTCGCAGGTGCGGCCCACAGAGCACACCTTTTTCTCCTTTTTTCTCCTCGTCTAGCTTTAGTTCATCAATATATGGCTTTTACCCAGCGGACAGCTCGTAAAACCGTGACAGTATGGCAAGAAAGGAGTAAATGCTGTAGGTCGTGAATACTACAGGTCTAAGTCTAAGATGAAAATATGAGTATGAGACCCATATAAATACACATCCAAAAGGCTACGTAGCTTAGTCCCACCGCACCACTACAGTACCGGTTTCTTAAACCCCAACCCGCTTTTAATAAATTATGTTTATTAGGCGCTGTGGCGGAGTGGTCTAACGCGTTAGACTCGAAATCTAATTCCTTCGGGAGCATCGGTTCGAATCCGATCGGCGTCGGGTTTTTTATTTTTAACTATAATGGGCTGCGCCTAGTCATAGAACAGGCAAGGTACCTTTGTGGCCTTACTACCTTCTGTACCTAGGTACTACTGCTACTGCTACTAATACAGGGACAAGCACAAGTGACATCTGTTCTTGTACGCATCGCCTTACCTTACCTCTGAGCGTAGTTTGTGTCGTAAGGGGCGGATGACAGCTGGGGACGACAGTTTAGGTGCCTCCCCAGCCTGCCTGGAGGCTTCTTCCGTGCCTACCTACCTAGCAGTAGTGACATCTTCCGTACCTACCTACCTAGGTACCTTTTAAAGTCTACTGTTACTTGCTTACCTGAGGTTCTTACCAACGCCCAGAGAATACACCTACCCAAGTACATAAATACGCCTAACCAGGCGATGATGCACAAGAGCGCATAAAAATATACCGCTGCCAGGGAATGCTGTGCGTTTCTTATCCCCTCCTCCAAGTACGTGGGAAGTAGACTGGAATTTAATGTTTTCATTTAGCTAGAAAAACACTGCTCTCATAATACCTGCCGGTAATATCCGCTCAAAACCTATGATAATACCCATCCAGTAACCGTGTCCGACATCCCCCTTCAATAACACCTAGTTCGGCGGTGGACGGCTACTCGTCCTCTCCGCCTTAACGATGGTAGCAGGAACACCCCGAGGAAAGGGAGAGACTCACAGAGGGATGGTGGAGAAATGGCGGGAGGCGTTGGTGACGAGGAAGCGCGTGGCTCTCAGTGCCCAAGATACGAGGAGACCCAAGCCGCGATAGCGAAACACGCATCCCTCGCACCGATTACGAACCTGTTCAGATCCTTCAGGAGATCGATCCTGACGGTGAGAGTCGAATTTCCGGAGCTCCAGGCCCCGGCCGTCCTCGTCGGCCCCTCGGCTTGCCCACGCAGGTCCCCCGTCGTTGGGCCGGCCGTCTTCTTCTCCTTCTCCCCCGGCGGCTGCTGGCGCTCCGCGTCGCGGCGGCGGCTCTCGAAGTCGTCGAAGTCGCGGCGGATCCGGGCGGCGTCGCAGGCGACGAGGCGCGCGGCGCCGCCGCCGAGCTCGAAGTCGTAGCGGCAGCGGCCGGGGCCGGTGAGCGCGCGGTAGGCGTCGCCGACGCGGCGCATGCGGACGACGGCTGCCTCGCGCTGCTCCGCTGCCGCCGCCGCCGCCGCCGCCGCCACCTTGTCCGGGTGGTGCCGCCGCGACTCCCGCAGGTACGCGGCCCGGATCGCCGCGTCGGGAGCGAACAGGGGCACCCCGAGAGTCTCGTAGTGGTTCCCCGGGGACGGAGAGGCGGAGGCGGAGGCGTCGAGGAAGGAGAGCGCCGGCCTGGCGGAGACCAGGGTTGCCAGGTGCACGAGGTTAAACACGGCGATTATCGCCGTCGAGGCGAGGAGCAGGACCAGGAGGGTACCGAGGACGGCCCGGAGGACAGATCGGCGAGGGAGGGAGTTGAGGGCCATATTTGTTATATTCTCTTTTGCGTGTGTCTGTGTGCCTGCGTGTCTGTGTCTGATCTGATGTTTTGGAATGAAGGTGGCGTGGGGGGGGGGGAAACGTTTGGAAAAGAAACCTTGTTACTCTGCGCTTTGAGGGTTAGTCAGGACGGAGGAGGGCTGGCCTTACCTCCTCACAAGCTAGTACGGATGGGAATGCTCTGGCAACGTCCGGCCCGGTCGCCGCTTAAAGCGTATCTTGAGAGATCTTAAGTGGAATGTCGGCTGAGTTGTCTCCTTGGGTGGGGGAGGGAAGTCGGATGCGAAAAACGGGTGATAAAACAGAGAGTGTCACGGTTGGTTATATATAATATTCTTATGCGGAGAGAATGCGGTTGTGGGCATTAGTCTTTCTACAGATTCGGGGGTCGGAGAGGCAATAGCATTGTTCGCGACTATTACCTTTGTGTAGAGCCTGAAGGGCAGCAAAGAACGACACCAGCAGCGAAACCATTGTGTGTTGAACTGACAAGGGATCTAGGGGTTGTCTTGCTAGCAGTTGGCCATAGTATGCTCTTTGTCTAGTTTCGGCGGGCGGTGGGCAGATTCCCAATGACAATCATTGGGTTGAGTCTATATCGAAGCCCGGTTCTGTGTGCGATATCAATAACTCGCTGCGGGGAGACTAATAGGTATAGTGAGGTCCCATAAACCATGCATGTACCCAGGGTATGCACACATCTGGAGTCATGCCTTTATGTAGATAGGTGCCCTCTACAACGCGAACCAACCACGACGCCAACCAACCGCGACGTCAACCAACCACGACGTCAACCAACCACGACGTCAACCACGGCTGGAATCCGAAGGCACCCAAGGAAGCAGGCCAGGCAGACTCACACCGCCGGCAGCGCCACCTCCCTTCCCCTGTTGCCGCATGCAAACCCCGCCTGTCTCTTTCTAATATCTCCTCCCGCCTACTAGATGCATTCATTCCTCACCACTCTCTTCCCTTCACCTCCTCATCGTCCTCCTCCTTTGGCAACCGTCTAGATTCTCACGTAATAGACTGCAACTGGAACGTTTCAAGTGAGACCAGCAGTGGATACAAAAACGACGACGACGACGACAGCAGCCACAGGGGCGAGACTGGCCGGGCCGGTACCGGAATCCTCATCGGCATCATGTCATTCACCTGCGGGACTTGCTGGCGCGACTTCTACTCTGAAGGCTCTCGCGAGCAGCACCTCGACGCGCGGGGCCATGGAATCCCGGAGCACGAGTGTGATAGGTGCCCGAAATACTTCGGATCGCGGGCAGCCGTTGTGCAGCACATGAACGACAAGAACCATTGGAAGTATCAGTGCGGGAACTGTGTCGAAACCTGGCCCACCCAGGAAGCCCTGGTAGACCACGAGATAGGCACTCACTTGTTCTGCTCGAACTGCCAACGATATTTCACCAGCTCCAACAATATCAAGATGGTGAGATGCCTCGAATCCTCCCGATATTACCGCCACAAATACCTGCCAGCTAGGCCGTGCGACGGAGGCTGTCTGACCGGGAATATAATATAGCATCTCAACTCCCATATTCACCGCGGCTTCAACGTCCATTGCCCATTCTGCACCAAGAGCTACGCCACTGCTGGCGGACTCTCACACCATCTCGAGAATGGATCCTGCACTAGGGCCCCGCAACTGGACCGCGACACCTTCTATAACCTTGTCCGGTCCAAGGATCCCAACGGTCTCATATCTAAAAACCTGATCGGCTGGCATGGCTCTGCGACGTACGAGGCCAACGACCTGGCTTGGAACGGGATGGCGTGGGAGTGCTACTTCTGCCATGGAAGGTTCAGATCACGACACAGCCTCAACCAGCATCTAGCTTCGCCCGCTCGTAAGTTGCCCCCCTCCCCCTCTGGTATCCCCGATGTGCGAAACAACCCCATAATATTCCGTAGCGGGTTCTCGACGAGTTACCTACCGGTCGCGTAGTCGCTGCTAATGTTGACTGCGCGTCTGCCTTCCTCGGGAGTGTAGACCAGCAGGCGCTCTACCACTGCCCCCTGCGCGGAACCTGCGGCCGAGAGTTCACCACGTTTGCCGGCCTCATGAACCACCTCGAGAGCGAGAGCTGCGGGTACACGCGCTTTGAGAATGTGCAGGTGATCGCCGAGAATCTTGTCAGAAGTGACAGGCGCATCGGTTTCTAATAGGCCGAGGCGCCGGCCTCTTTCGAGGGCGAGAGGGAAGAGAAAAGGGGTTCCATATCCCCCGCCAAGATCCTAAGGCCCCGGACGTAGGATGGTGATGGTGTTTTTCACGTGGTTCTGTCTGACTCGATTAGCCATGCCTGTTTATTTCTCGAGCGGGATAGGGGAGGAATGGGACTTTGGTTTTATTTTCTTTCCGTTTTCTCTGGCGAGGCGCCATCGGAGGTGCTATTATATGCCCGGATATTGTCTCCCGTTGTGAGGTTCAGGAGGGGGGGGACTATCCCAAACAGAGTCGAGCATCCTGATGCCAGTTGGCACTTGAGCTCGTGTCTAGATGATACACGTTCAACCACCCGCCCGACCTTTTTGTCTCGGGGATGGGGGGACCAACGGGGATTGGCCAGCTCGACTAACTCCGGACACAGATTCGTAGTCGTTTCATTTTCTTGTCGCGTCTCACTCTTTCGACGTGGTTTTAACCTCCCATAGCGATATCGTGTCAGCTCTATGACCTCTAGTCGGGAACTACAGATAATAATGCTTTGCAAGACAGCGGAGTTGGAAGAGGGCTCCAGTATATGTGATGCACTGTGCGCGCCTCGACGCGATCGAGACGCGCATGGAGCTCCCCCTAGCCAAGCGCGGAGGCGGATGAGCAGCGCGAATGTTCGATATTGCCCCAAGGACCCGGTGCCCGAAGACGGTGTTTGATATTCTCTCTGCTTATGAGATGGTTTACCGATCTACGATCTTCACGAGATACCGAGGTCACACAGGTATTAGCAACTGCAGAGTGTTAGACAGGCAGATCTCGGGTCCGCACCGGAGAATAGCATATTACCTTGATCGCTGCCTGCTCCCGCCCACATGAGCGTCGAGTTGGTGCATAAGCGAGCGTGAGGAAAATCTTGAATTCCCTTTAGGGGTTCCCTCCCCTCCCTCTTCCCTCCCCTTGCGAAGTTCGGTACGTCGGGACAGCTTCGACTCCTGGGGCACCCGATGGTTTCCTGCGTCATGTCGCGTCCCGTTGAATAACAATGGTACGACTTTGGATCAACGAGCACGGCAAATTAGCTGGCTCCGGTACCACCCACCACACCCACCCAACGATGCTTGGCCCTCCGGTTCACGTATAACCAGGCCTGTTCGCGTATTAGGCACCGCTGTAACCCCACGCCGGCATGTGCAGCCGCCTCGCGATCCGGAGGAGGCAGCCTGCCAACCAGCCAACCAACTGCTAGGCTGACGAGGTGACGAACGGTCGTCGAGACGCGCCGAAGCGAGGTCTTTTCGTCAACGACGTCCCAGGTCGACGGCAAACGAGCCAATCGGAGACGGGGGTTCGCTGACTGGCTGGCCGGCCGGTGATAGTTGCTCGTCAGAGATGTCGTGGGTAGGACTCGGTGGAGGGATCCCCTCCCGCGCGCCGACCAGACATGCTGGATGGAGATTGCGCGCCAATGAGACGCGTCTCCCGCAAATGATGACAATCCCGAAGAAGAAGGGAAAAAAGAAATCAACAAGAAAGTCCAGGAGCTCACAGCTACCTCCCTAAACCAGCAAGGAAGCGGGTATGCGACTGGCCTGATGGCGATCGTTTCAAGGCTGGCTCTCCGTCGGTTTCGTTACGCTAGAAGAAATGCCGGAGCCTGCGTGCGTTGCCTTCGCGGTGTCGAACGTAGTATTCCTACCGCTATTACTGCCGATGCCACCTGGTGTCAACCACATCACCACTACTACTGGGTGCTGGGTGCGTGCGTGTATGTACGCGGATGGAGGGGTGGGGGGCAGATGGGCCAGATAAGGTGGTAGGCATGTCCCCTGAGCCGCCGCCGTCGTCGTCCAATGTTGTCTCGTCTAGCGTTACTGACCACTGGCCACTCCCCTTCGTGGTGGTACGATGGGCCTCGGACGGTCTCGATGGCCCCCGATCACGTAGGTCTGTACGGCACCATTTTATTGATGACCAGCAGGTCTGGCTAGCTTCGGCGTCGACTGTGGAACCAGAACGCCCTACTCGTATAAATGCGCACGTATGGATATCGTCGTTGACCGCATCGTCGTGACGGCCAGCGAAGTCTTCCCATGGCCAGCGGCTCGATGCGGCGGGCTGCAGACGCCGAGCCGTCGCGTACGTCAAAGGAGCTGGGGCGGGTCCCCTGAGCGACGCTCTGACCGCGGCCAGCTTCGAGACGGGATCCCTGGCCGCACGTGGACAACAATACGATACCGGTAGGAAGCTGTACCCACGTATTTCTCGTTCAGCGATGCGAGCGGGCCCCCCAAGCCGCTTCGCTCGTGTCTGTGGCCAGAGGGCAGGCCGGGTCCTCTGCGATGTCCACATAAGTACGCGGGCGACATCATACCCACCGTAGGCGTGTATGGATTCTTCCGTCGAAACGGCGTAGGCGGATGCCACCATTCATCGCCTCGCACCCCAACGTAGGTATTAATGCATAATGTATGCCTATATAGACAGCTGGCCCTCGTTAATGCCGTGATGATCCGTCGGGAAATTCCCCGACCTGGCCTCGCGCCCCGGTACATAGTATGGTATTGTAGACCAGGATACCTGATGGGGAATACCTGGTGACTTTTTTTCCTTTTTTTTTCTTGCAACCTGACATTGACGATGGGTGTGTAGGCATTCGCTACGCCGCGGTTTGGCACACCCTCTAGGGTCTAGTTGTGCTTCGCTTGCCGGGTGGTAAGGGAGGGGGAGGGGGGGGGGGACCTTTTCTACTGCAACCATGGCAGCGGAGAATGCAGGCCCTGAATTGTGCAGAATCCAGATCAGACGTGCAGATGGCAAAGGCTTGACTACTGAATCTGGGGTATGTTTGGGTTTTGTGCCTGGCGTGAGCGAACGAACCACGCAGAGCCCCGTGTAAGATTCGGTTCCGGCGTGGGAGTCTCTCTGGATTGCCTCTGACCTGTCACTTTCCCACCCGGCGGGGCTTTCGAAATCACGATGCTCGATTCGTAACCCGCTTTCCGGGCCGCCTGTACACGCAACCAAAGGGACAGATGGAGGTAGGACATATAGTATGTACGCGCGTGTGAGAGGGGCGAGGGGGTGCAGGTGTGTACTCATATGATGAAGACGTAGCAGAGAGAGAGGTGCGGACAGGGACACGCACACAGACTCACTTACTCATACACACGCCACTTACACCCACCACTCGCACACACATCTAACACCCAGGAGAGAACGAGAGGGGGGGAAAGGCGAGCCGGCGCCGTGCGTCGCGATATGCATAGGCCGCGCGCGCAGCCCGTCAGGGACCAGGGCGGGAGATCAGGTCGCGGGCGGCAAAGAAAGCGGTGTCTTTCTAGGTCGATTCTAGCCACCCAACATCGGCGGCGCCAGCGGCTCGTAGGGGACGACGTCCGGCGAGCAAGGAAGAGACTCCTACGCAGGACCTTCACCAACGGCTCTCTCTCTCTCTCGGCCGTCGCGGTGGTCTTTTCTTCTTTTCTTTTTCCACCCTCTCCCTATTCGACGGTGCGCGTAACTTAGGTATGCGAAGCACCGAGGCGAGCTCCCCTTAGCACATGCGGGGAGGTGTTGTTGGCTATGTGTAGGCCGTAGGTAGGCAACCTGAGCTGTCATCCGAATCACTTGCATGACGACGATACGCACATACACATCCCGTCTCTGCCTATGCCTATATTCTACGTGTGCACACACAGACACAGACACACACACAGACACACACACACACACACACACACACACACACACACACATCGCACAGACATATGCACACCATCACCGCCGCCGCCGCCGTTTAGATGCGCACATACATATACACAGGTACATGTGCGCAACCCACAGCCACAGCCACATCCACAACCCTCCTCGGTCGTAGGTGGCATGATTACGCAGGGTGAGAGAGCCTTGGCTGGCAAAGGGGGAGGGTATCATCTGATACGCTACGCAGCGGATACGGTAAAACGAAATGAGAGCGAGAGAGAGAACTTGTCGACAGCAGCCCTAGTGTAGATACGCAGGGATCCGTAACGTAGGTAGGAGATAGGTATGGCATATAGGTGCCTATCAAATCTCGACGTACAATGCGGATGGGCACATAGAGCAACCTACCTGCCGACTGTGCAGTAAAATATACCTACCATACATACCTACCATACATAATACAACATCTGCTTACCGACCTACCTACCTAGGGTGCGATGCAGGCATCCAGGTTGCCTGCCTACAGCGATTGTGTATGCCTATATTAATTATAGATATACCTATGCATACTCGCGTAGGCACGCATAGTAACGCAGGCGTGCGATCGATGCCTTTTCCGCGAGGTGCCACGTCGGGGAAGTCGGCGGCGGGCATCGAAGGCCCCCTTCGTTTAGGTATGCTAAGTGAGGCGGCGGACGAGTTGAGCCAGCAGAGATCTGGGATCGGTGGTGGCGTGTTGCGTGGTAAATAGCCAGGGGGTGCGTGCTTCACAGAGTTGACGCTGTTGGTTACGTAGGTAGGTAGGTAGGCATTGATGAGAGGTAGCGAGCGGGTTGGCTGGTTGGGGTACCGGTTCGTCGGTTCTCTCGCGTGCTGAATAGATGGATTGTTGTCGATGGATTGGTGACGAGTTTCTCGATTGGTTCTGTTTCTCCGACGGCGTGGGAATTCGGTTTCGTCATCCCTTCTCGCACCCCCTTTTCCCTCCTCGTTTCTTCTTCTTCTTCTTCGGTACGTCGGCGATATTATCCGCACCTGACTGCCTCTCTCCTCTCGTCCGCCCCCCCTCGCGACCCAACTCGACCCAAGCTACCCTACCAGTGCTGCGTACGCGTGCCCGAGGGACTCCCCGAGATCAGCGTCGAGTAAACCGTCCGAAGGCTCGAGCGCAACGAGCCCAAACAACGGGCCTACCTACATATACCAAGTGCCGCTAAGGCACCTCTACTGACTGCCCATCTCTGACCTCCCTTACCGGTAACCATCTGCAAACACATTTCTTCTCTCTCTCTCTCTCTCTCTCTCCCCGATCCCCGGTTGCGTCCCTAGCGGACAGGGGGAGTCTCTCGTCACACGCAGAGGCACCGAGTCACAGGCCAATCCACACTCCTCCCCCCTGGCTAGTTGCACCACGCAGATACATAGTGCAGCACAGACTCGGCTGGGCCCGCTTGGATCGAACGAATGGACGGCCATATGTCAGGTACCCAGACGTAGGTAGGTATGTGTTATCAGCAATTAGCAATAAGTAGCACCTACTAGGAAGAGGAGGAGGAAAAGGAGGAGGAGGGGGGGGGGGAGGGAATATTATCATCGCTGTTATTCACCGCATGCGGAACGGGCATCGTACTGTGTTACGTAGGTATGTGCATAGCATCGTGCGCATTACCCATTACACATCCATTTCTAAGGCGAGGCGGGTAACGGGGAAATCTGTTTCGCTACCGACCCAAGCCACAGCCGGGCCCCTGTCGGCCAGGGCGGACGGGCCATACCCACGACCCCCCGAACGCCTAAGCAGAGCTCGAGGCGGCACTAGGCCAGGCATGACTATCTCAGGCACCCGGCTGTCGGCCTCGAAATACTTATAGGGTAAGCTAGACCCCCCCTCTACGGACTACCCCTTCGCGGACTACCTAAAAAACCCTTACTGTTACTACTATTACGTAAGTAATTAAAGCTATTTAGATTATTAAAATTAATTAAAACCCTTCGATTACGGCGTTGCTACCCTAATATAGTCCTCCGCTTGCGATCCTTCGTTTTTAGCCGGTTCCTACGCCGTTTCTTGCTCGTTAGGTACCTCTTCGTCGCTTGCCTCGTCTTTATATACGATCCTCCTTCTTAACGACCTTTTTACTCGCCGTATATTAGCTATACGTACGAAGCGCTTACCTAGCGCCGGGAGGACCTTCTAACGGATCTTAGGAGTATTTCTTTCGTTTTTTATTACCGTATACTTAACCTATATTTCCAGAGCCGCTATTTTACCTTAGTTACGATCCTAGCTATTGCTAGCCTTCCGAATTAATAGCTTTAAAGCCGGGATTTCGGACCTAACCGTAGTAAGTATCTTTTTCCGAAAGGCATTCCGTAATTCTTAACCGTTAGAAAGCGTTTTAATATACTCTGGAATTAATAATATCGTAAAATTAGGTGTTTTAAGTCGCGTAACCGACTCCGATAGTTCCGATTATATCTAAGGGATACTTTTATCTTTTAAAACTACGAATTTCGACGAGAAAGGCTTCTTACGATCCCGTGAAATAATCCTAAAGGTTTTCTAAGCGCTTTTAATGTTTCGCGAAGTTATTAATTAGATCCTAGTTAATCGGTATGCCTTTAAAATATCCGTTTTCGATAGGCATAAGCTAAGAGCTACGTTTTAGCTCTCCCTAATAAGGTTTTTTAGCTTTTTTTTTAATAACCCGAATACTCTTACGTTTAAGACCTAAACGACGTAACTATAGTAAGGCTAGTAAAAAACGAGTTATATTTTATTTTAAAGATAGCGCTAAAGGAAATCGTCGTTAATATGCGATTCGTAGCCGTCGTAGATTAAAACTACCTATATATTACCGAAACGGGCCCGAATATAAGGAATAAAGATATCTTAGAGCTAATATAACGTAATAGCGTTACTAATTTATCCTTTAAGTAATACCTAAAACCGTTAATCCTTTTATAATTCGCGAGTATCGTTAGGAAATTACTACGCTTAAACGTCGATATCTTTAAAAAGTATTACGGGAGGAAGAGGCCTTTTACCGTAACCTATATACTTAAGAGTAATAATTTATTAGCCTTTTTCGACGCTTTTTTTAAGTATTTTTTAGGTATTAGTATCGGTAATTACCTAATGGTTCCCGGTAACGCCTTTAGCGATGCTTATTTTATTAACGTTAAAGAAGCGTTCGTTAAGGATAGCTACTAATTAAGAAGCCTTTAACTTATCGAAAAAAATATTAATATTTATCGCCGTAGCGCCTTTAATCCGCTTATAATCGACGACCGTAGCCTTAGACGACCTAACTTCCGGGTTTCGAGCTAGAAAACGATAATGTTAATGCTTTCCTAGCTTTCGAGAGCCGCCGTCGGCGTTTAATAAATACTAGGCCATGAATTTAAATTACGTAAACGCCGGCGCGAAGCTTAACTTAACTTACCCGATAACCTAACGAATTAATTCGGCTTCTTAAATAGGTAATAAAGCCTAACGATCCTTATTAAGCTCCTCTTTTATCGGTTTATTAGCCATACGGCGTATTAAATAAGAACGAAAGGTATAGGTTTTAAGGGTAGCTTAACGGATACTCGTACCGCATAAAACCATACGTATAGCGGCGTTCGCCCGGATTTAAGTATTTTTTAAAGGCATTACGAGAATTAGGAAGAATTTAGGAATAAGTTAATGGTAAGATAAGTTACGGAGGATTAAAACTAATCGAGAAATTATAGGTTATTTAAGTAACGGTATCGCGTTAAAAAACGCGTTCGTAGGTCTAAACGCGGTAGTCCGTAAAGGGGTGGTCCGTGGAGCGGTATCCTAACTTAGCTATGGCAGGCGATGGGGCCTTAGGGGGGATATATGTACATGCCTACAGCAGGTCCGTTACCGGGTACGAGGGCATCGTCTACGTACCTAGGTAGGTGGTAAAAGTAGGTAGGTAGGTAGGTAGGTAGTCCAGGGCAGGGCGGTCCAATTTACAGTACAGACAACGGACAACGCCTGTCCCCCGTGTGGACTTGGCGTAGAGAGAGACCTACCTCCAGGTAGGTACACTGTACATATATATCTGGAGGTACCTACAGGAAGGTCCCGCAACCTGGGCGCCGGGGCGGGGCCGCCCTCGGGCACCGGGCGGACTGGCTGGGGACTCGCGGTCAGGTACCCGTGACCTATGGGCGGGTAAGCCTATACTAAAATATGGAGCATCCGGCACGTTACTTACCTAGGTACCTACCTACCTACCTACCTACCTACCTACCTTAGGTACCTGTTCATATGTAGGGAGGGCAGACCCACTCTATTAGGTACCTTCTCCCACCTGGCAATAGACTATCATAGGCCCAGCAGCACCAGGTAGGGGGTGGGTGGTACTTGGGCAGATACCTGAGTGGGCGCCTACCTAGGTACCCAAGGTAAGAGGTGTATGATAGCTACAGGGCTACCCATTCCCCGAAGCCTTAGCTCAGGGTTAGGGGAGAGGTACCCGAGCCCTAGGGAAGGTATACAGGCCGTATCCGAGGAATTAAGTTAGGCACCTACCGTACCTACCTCCTCAGCTAGAGGTACCTCCTAAGACACCGAGACATCTACCATACCTACGTACCCAACGTACCTAACCTAAAGCATGCATGGCACGGGGACGTAGAAGAGGGTTGCGAGGTACACCGGCGAGGGTACCTAAGGTCCTGATACGGTTGCATGGAAGTACCGGCCCTAGCCCGGCTAGTACCCCCATCTGCGTTGCTACCGTCGAAGGGGCTTCGACACTGGACAATTACGGTGTCTCCGTCCTGTTGCTCTCTCTCTCTCTCTCTCTCTCTCTAGCTGTCCGCTCGCTCGTCCGCTCCTCCACCCCTCCACCTTACATACATCACACCTCGTTTCTCATACCGCCTTCTCGCCTCTCACCTCTCTCTCTACTCTGTCTACTCTGTCTCTCTCTTTCTCTACTGTCTGTCCACACATACACACCCTCTCTACTCTCTACTCTCTACTCTCTCTGTCCTGTCTCTCTGGCTGTATTCTATCATCTTCGTATGGGCACGCAGACGTGTAGTGGGTGGGTGTGGCGGATATAAAAATACAAATACCCGTGCGCGCACCACCCCTCCATATACCTACCTACATATATATATATATATAATATAATATAATATAGAATGTAAGTGCCGTAGGGTTTGGCCTGGGTTTGATTCCCAGCACCCGAGCTCCCGCCTCACAGCCACGACGACGACGACACCACCCCATCATCATCTACCTACATACGCATGCACATCTACACACCCATATATATCTTGCACACACGCGTACATACCTACATATATACACGCACCCCTAGGCAGTTTTACCTGCCTCGCAACCTCGCAACCTCGCTTCCTCGCTTCCCTCTTCTTCTTCTTCTTCTTCTTCTCCTCCTCCCCTTCCTCCTCGTCCGCCCAAGTCGGTAGGTATATACTGATTCTACCGCTCCCTTCCTCCTCTCCTCCTCCTCGTCTTCCCATCTTGCCTGCAAGCCAGCCCACTGCCGCTTACGGGTAACACGCATCAGACGCGCAACCGGGGTCCCGTCTGGGCACCTCTGCTGGATTCGGCGATCACCACGGATTGGTCCAGTCCGGTTGGATTCGGGTTGGTTTGGTTTGGTTTGGTCTGGTCTGGTTTGGTCTGGTCTGGGTTGGCGATCCGAGCACGTTTCGACACTCGACGTTCCTCCGCATCGCATCCCATCCTTCGACCCGTCCCACAGCTTGACCAGAACCCTCCCCCCCCCTCTAACTCCTTCGGTACCGGTCACCGTCGCCGTCACCGTCACATCCTACCCACTCGCTCTCTGTCCCTATCTCTATCTCTTCCTCTCCCTGTCTCTCCTCGCTCTCGTGTGTATAGCACCACGCACACAGCACACGCACACGCAACGCCGTACACGCTACCACCTACAACCCACATGCAACTGGCACCCGACACGCTCCCACACGTCCGCAGCACATAACACGTCCCCTACGCTCGGACGAAACACGACGCACCGAACCGAGACACACTACCGACACATCACAACTCAAACGGGATTTCCTCCTTCTCTTCTCACCCTGCCCTCGCCCACTATCCGGCGTTGTCGCGATCAACCGCCGCATGCCGTTCCCTGCACGACACCGTCGATTGTCATTTATCACTTGCGGCCAAGTCTCCCGACTAACACCTGCTGAAAGCGTGCGCGAGCTCTCTAAGCTGGACATCGCATACCTACGTACCCGGTGGGCTGGCTCAGTTCCTGCGAGAAGCCTATAGCTCGTCTGTCTTATAACCCCCAATCCATCAATCGGAACTGCGCGGTTAGACCTAAAAGGGGAGCGAAGCCGGTGGAGCTGCGCCAGGGAGAGTAAGCCAGACCCTCAAGAAGCTCCCTCACGCAATCGCCTCGGTAGGAAGCGAGAGAAAAAGACGAGGGGGGAAATTAATAAAATAAAATAAAAAGAGGCAAAAAAAAAGAAACCAGTGATTCTCATCTCCAAATTCCCCAACTCATATCCACCCTGCCACCCGCTATCATCGGCGATTCCTCTCCCTCCAAGCCTACCTACCTACCTACTTACCTACTACCTGCACGCAACGTATACACACGCCTTCACCACCACACGTAAGCGAAGAAAGTACAGTACCTACCGCCCCCAACAGAGAAACGATCATCGACGACAGCAAGCTAGACAGCTCATAGCCAACTCCACTCGTGTACCCACCGACTGGGGCCCGCAACCTAGCTGAGGCCGTCCTACCTTGGCTCTCTTGCTACGGGAACACGTACCGCTCATACACCGTATTAAGGAGGACGAGAAGACGCGGCGGGGAACAGAGGTATCGAGGACGGAAGAAGAGAAAGTAGGAGACGGGAAGGAGGCGGATACCAACAAGCCGCTGCGCGGATACGCCTCGACACACGCACACACATACCCGCGCGCACACCACCCGCAGCAATGCATCCCAGTTCGCAACACCACTTCCATCAGCAGCACTCCTCCGACGCGCAGCCGCCCGTACCGATATCAATAACAATATGCGGCGACGGCGGATGCGGTAAGTCGTCGATCACCCTGCGCCTTGTCCGGTCGCAATGGACGTCCGAGTATGATCCGACGATCGAGGACAGCTACAGCATCACGCGGCGCATCGACGGCACCACCTACCACCTCTCGCTCACCGACACGGCTGGTCAGGAGGAGTACCGCGGCATGTGGGCGTCCTCTAATCTAGGCGCCGACGCCTTCCTCCTCGTCTACGACATCACGTCGCGCGACAGCCTCGACGCGCTCGACTACTTCAACGACCTGATCGACATGGAGGCCGAGACGCGCCTCGACAACGCGGCCCGGGCGCAGCGAGCCGGGCTCGGCGGCGGCGGCGTCAGCGACGCGCGCATGATTCCCCCGATCAAGATCGTCGCCGGCAACAAGTGCGACCTGCAAGAGTCGCGACAGGTGCCCGCGGCCGCGGGACTCGAGTGGGCGCGACGGCGCGGGTGCGGCTTCATGGAGACGAGCGCGCGGCTCGAGGTCAACATCGAGGAGACGTTCGCGCTCATCGTGCGGCGTGTCATCGAGGGGCGCCGACTCGCCGCCATGGGCGTGCTCGACAACACCGAGATGGACCGCCGCGGCGTCACAAAGCCGCTGACTCCTCTGGGCAACAGCAGCGTCGACGACGGCGGCGAAGGCGGCGGCAACGAGAAGGCGAGTCGCGCCGGCGGCCTCGGGAGGGGACCGCGACTCGGCGACGGCCAGAGGTTAGGTCCGTTTGGAGGCAGGGGTAAGGACGGGTTCTGGAGGAGTTTAAGGTGTTGGTAAGGTTAGGGTCGGGACTGAATCGGGGAAAGGGGGCGCGGAAGGGGCGGTAAAGGACGACGCGATGAGGCTTTTCCTTTACATGATATCACCTCGATGTCGTCCCGAGGCGGTCGGAGTTTTTCTGTCGGTTGTTTCGAGTAACGCGGCCACTAGGCGAGGCCTTTCCTAGAAAGCAGGGAGGTTCCTCCCTCGCCCCGGGCCGAACGACCGCAAGTTATTCCCTTTCTTATTTTCTTATTGCATGGTTTCTGCCCTGGGAAGTGAACAGGCAGACGAATACAGAACGGGCCCTGGAGGTGTGGGACCTATCTCCCTCTCGTGTCTCTTGCGGGGAAGCGTGAGAGGACGAAAAGTAAGCAGGATAGAATACGAGAGGAAAGAAGGGGAGGGGACGCGGATGGTGGCGAACCTCTTTACGAATGGAATGAGGGCTTATGCGAAGGGAAAAAAAATACATTCAATTTCTCACGTCGTCGCCGCTTGGCGTCTTCGTGAGCGAGTCTTTGCAACATTCCCTGCCTCCCTCCCTTCCCGTCCGGAGCCCACCAGAACACTCCTAGTCTCGCTCGTGCTCACATATGGTAGACTAGAGAGCACCGCGGCGACGTAGCCAGCTGCGAAGCCGTACGGAGGACGGATTTAGGAATTGACCATCCGGCCAGCAAGATATCTATCTTCTTATCTAGTGATTATGCTACTACCTATTGACTACCGGTGCCCCGCCCAGCGAGTTAAAACGACATATGGAAAGTTCTTTCTTCTTCCTCTCTCTCTCTCTCTCTCTCTCTCTCTCTCTCTCTCTTTCTACCCTTGTGCCTCGCACTCCTGTCTCTCCCGACGACGCCGACGACAAGAACGAACAAAACAGAACTACCTCCCGACCCAGCCGCTCCCTCTCCGCCGGTATCCGCGCACGCTCCGTCGCTCCTCTGTTTCCCCTCTCGCCTCCCCGAGCACTGCGTCACGCCAGGACCCGCAGCACGCCGGCGAGAGCGAGCGCGAGCGCAGCCGCCGCGACGCGCGCCGGCGCCGGCGCCGCCCCGGAGCTGGCCGGCCCGACGATGAAATCGTGGCTTTCAGGGGGGAATGTGGGCACGGCGAAGGGAGGCGTTGTCGTCGTCGGCGGCGGCGGCTGGGGCGAGACCGCGGTGGGCGCGGCGCGGCCGGCGCCTCCGGTCGGCGCGAGGCGCCCGCTGGCGGCCGTCGCGCCCGCGCCCGCCGTGCTGTTCCGCACGTCCCAGCGGGGCGCGCTGACGGGGCGCGGGGGGGGCGGGGCACGGGGGGGGGCCGACGGGGGCGGCGGGGGGCCCGAGGACTGCGGGAAGCGCGACAGCGACGTCGACGGCGCGGACGAGGCCGGGCCGCCGGGGATCAGGGTCGCCTGCGTGACGGACACGGCGAGCGGCTGGGACGGGCGGGGCAGCGCGGGCGACTGCGGCGGCGGCGTGGCGAAGGGCCCTGGCTCGCCCGGGCAGAAGGTCGCGGTGACGGTCTCGAGGCGGACGCTTCCGGGCGGGGCGGAGGCGGCGCCGCGCAAGGTCGCGGCGGCGGACCCTAGGGCGCTGGACTCGCTGCGGCTGAACTTGCTCGCGGCGGCTGTGCTCGCCGCCTTGCGCGACGACGCGCTGTGGCTGGCCGCGGCCGACGCCGGACGAGCAGCCGAGCACGCGCCCGGGATCCGGGCCGCGGCGTCCGGCCCGCTGGGCACTGCTACCAGCCGCGGGCCGTCGCCGCAGGGCGCGTAGTTGGCCATGAACAGAGCGCTGTTCGTCTGGTCGAAGGCGACTATTTTTTTTTTTGGCGCGGGACGTGTGTTAGTATACGTACGTACGCGTTCAGAGAGGGTGAGGGTCGAGGGTCAAGGGTCGAGATAGGAAGAACTTGGTAGACTCACCGTAGGCCCCCCGCAGAAACGTGTCGCCCAATATCCACAGGCCCATCCCGCTCGTGTGCCAGGCTCCCAGGGTACACTCTTCCGTGCCCCGGTTCCAGATGAAATCGCGGTAGCTGACGCTGATGGTGACCTTGCCCGCGTCGTCGCTCCTTCTAGCGTCACTACTACTACCGCCGGCAGTCAAGAATTCGAACTCGACGCTGCCGTCGGCGTCTTGCAGCGCGCATGGGACCGTGTAGCCGCCCACGCCGTTGGGCTCCGCGCCCGGAAAGCCCTCCGCCAGCGCGGCCACGACAGGCTCCGGGAGTAGCGAGAGCGTGGTGCCCGAGTCGACGATGACGCTGAGCGGGAGGGGGTCGGCGGCGGCGTCGCGGGGAAATGTGTCCCGCCGCCGTGGGCTCGCCGCGGTAGTAGTAGCGTTCTTGGCGAGGCCGGCGCCGCCAGGGCCCGGCGGCCGGACGGAGACTGCGTTGAGCATTACGGCGTAGTGCCTAGAGAGCGCGGGTCAGGCGATGCCTCACATGTAGACTGGGATGGGAGGGCCCGACTCACGGGTCTGAAGGGTCAGCGGGGACCTTTCCTAGGTATCCCGAGTACTTGTTCGTGTCAACGCCTCCGAAGACCAGTTCCCCCGTAACAGCGACTATGTTATCACATAGTCAGCACGCATATACTCCCCCACAATCCACAAGATATACCTCCAGATAGGACACAATTTACCTCCAGGATCGGGCTGGTTGCCTAGGTCCAGGCTGAACAGCCGGCTATTCGCGTACCCCTGCGCGGCCACCGAGTCGACAACGAGGGGATACGATGATGTGCTGTCGGCTTGGCTGTGACCGAGGCCTAGAATGCCAAACCACACGTCGCTCGACTGATTTGCGACGCCGAACTGCTGGCCCTCAATCTTAGCCCCTAGTTGCGGGGGTTTTTTTTGGTTAGCGAGACATAGGCCATGAGGTTTTCTAGGAGAGATCTCTTTCCCTAGGTGAATGTTCCCTTTGTGTCATGATACTATCCTGAAAGCCAATAATCATTATTTTCGCCAAGGAGATAGCTCATCCATGGGGGCACCCTCCCTCTCCACTCTGCCAGGTGAACTACTAAGGGTGGAGGATGGGACAAAGTCGTAGACTTACCAGAAATATACACATCGTCGGTGTAGTACGCCCCCGACACGCTGCCGCGCCCGTACCTGATCGAGAATGTCGTGCTACGATTATTACTGCTTGCGCTGCGGAGGCTCTGCGCCGTAGAGGACGCTCCTGGATCGTAGCGGCCGAGTGCCTCGCACATGTCCGGCAAGCTTGAGGCGGAGCAATCTGGGTTCACCCACAGCTCGAAGGAGCCCGTGTCGATGAGGACATCCATCGTCTGCCGCGTGTCGCTGCCCGTGCCGATGGTCACTACGCATGGCAAATTACGCGCGTCAGTACGAGCGGCCGTTTTGGAGATGGCCGGATGTTTCTGTAGACACGGTCATGGTAGGGGTAGGGAGGGGAACATACGCTCCGCGAAATACGCTGTTCCGTAGACGCCTAGGACGTTGGCGCCGAAGAAACGCCTAGACAGACTGGGGGTCCCGGCACCGTCTCGGTGTTCCACGCGCCGCAGCGGCATCGACAGAACCCTTGCCGGGTCCTTGTGAAGGAGCGGCGCGTCGAGGGACGCGCCACGGCGGAGTCCTGCTCCCGTCCCAGCAGCCCCGTGGGGGGATAACGCTTTAGCCACCCCAGGTGCTTGAATCGCACATGCTAGCGAAGATATAGTAACGAGGGAGCTTGATAGAGGATGCCACATGCTGGATGATGCTCGGAGGGTCCCCCTCTGCAAGCGATACCGCTGGGAGAGAGGCGAGATCAAGCCTGTAGGGGAGGGAAACTCATCCGTTCAAGTACTGGGGTGAGTGGGTTCACTCAAGAATAACAATTCTTAGACGAAGCCAAAATACGAACGATCAGAAAGAGGTATCTTGTGAGCACCTCGTGGACTGGTATTTCACGTATCTTACCTGGCATCGTGGGCCTGTGGAATTCGAACGCGATGACCCGGGGATCGACTTGCGCGCTGCTTCTTGTCCCCCAACTCTCGCCGATCTTCGTGGGCTTGCCTTCATCTGGCCAGGTAATTTCCGATATTGCCCAACGAAGAACGTAGGGGCGCATGGCTTAGAGACATCCTCGCCTCCGCCCGTGTCACCGTTGCCCATCCGCCACAGGTGCATTTTTCGAGACATCGGCACCCGGACTGGATCCCTGAGACATAGCCACCCCTACGGGCTGGTCGGTATAGCAACCAAAGGTCTCGATGCCGCGCCACACGGCTATATCGTGTGAATCTGGATTCCAGGGAGTGGCGAGGCCACAGTCCTCACCTCTTCGTGCTACTTCTGGGAGACCGCGAGCTAGGTAGCTGGTTAGCACAGGATATCCGCTACGAAGAACAACTAGGAAGCACCACCTTCTTCTGTACCCTTCGTTGAGCCGGTATCTAATCGTGCCCAATCCCGCAAGCTAAACCTGTCCGATTGATTTCCCTGGTTTGAAGAGAGGAGCTCTTAGAATCATACTTGGCTTCTGCCAAGGTTCCCCCGACGGGCGGCTTTTTCTGGTCGTGTTCTTCTGGCAATCCAGGCGGTCATGAAGACACGTTGTCTCATCGGGCCAAACGGACAACCCTGAGGTGAAGCAGACGCCAATACGTAGGTAGGTACATAGCAGCCTCTGGTGCTTCGGCGCGGACCGCGGAACCCGAGGGTAAGGAGGGGGAGAGATGCCAACGGTCGTTGCAGAATAGCCTCAGACTCGATATCTAGACTAACCAGAGGAGGACGGTCTATAACAATCACAGAGGGAAAACAAAGTCCGAATCTACCTGTAGCATGAGATGACCCACCTGGCCGGCCTGTCTCTCGATGCGCCCTGACTCCTCCCACCGACCCGAAAAATGCCCGTAGGCAGCTGCCATCTGCCCAGCGTAATAATTAATGGTGGCAGTGGAAATCTAACTGCGCCTACGCTCGCGGACTCACGCGTGCGCGTCTGTTGCGCGTCTGTGCCTGTCTATGCCTCACCCTTCTGCTTGACCCAGTCGCGCCAGCGCTTATACTCAGGGTACTGCAGCGACTTCTTCCGCCCTTGGTAACGCACTACCTTGAGATCGACAGCCTGCCACTTGTCCTTCTTACCAACCCAGCCGGCTTTACGCATCAGGCTCACGAGAGTCTCCTCCTTGGTCCAGCCCTGCTCCTCGGCGACGTCGGGCAGGTAGGTGGCGCCGTAGCGGCGACCACGGTCAGAGAAGCTGATGCGTAGGCCGTGGGTGCCGATATCCCAGTCCATGGCGTCGTCGCAGTCCTCGAAGTCGGTTAAGAGGGTAACGGCAGCCTCAAGTGAAGGTAGTTCCCGCTTGGTGATGGGGTCGAAGCGCATATCGTGGATGGCGGAGGTGATGGCGTAGGAGGAGAGGCCCTCGTCAAGCTCCTGAGCTTCAAAGGTGCCGATGCAGCCGCGCAGAGAAGTGTCTCCGGTCCGAGCGGAGACTGTATTCCAGGTGACGAAGAGTGGTGACTCCGTAATCGCGGGCCCAGCAGCTGGGAGCGAGTCGGTGGACGTTGCGGGAGTTTCGGCGGTGAGGGATATAGTTGACCCGTCCGAGGGCGAGTTAGAGCCGCTGGTAGTGCTGTCGTCGGAATTGAGTACCCGCGCGAGAGCCGGGACGGGCTTGTCGGCGCTCCCAGACTTGGATGCCTCTGCATTTTGGCCGAGCTCGGCCAAGGGGTCCCGGCGGTATTCATCCCATGATTTCTCGACCTCGCCAAGACTCATAGGTTTGCGGGCTTCGAGGTAAGCAGCCAAGGTCTCGAAACAGTAGAGGCAATGCGCCACGGTAGCCATATCGGGTATTTTCGTCGGCTGTCCCGGAGGGTGGATGTGGAGCACGGTTGCGGGAATTAGAGGAAGAGGATACACGAGGGAGCCGTCGACCTATTCTTAGAGTATGAGAAGCGGCGAGCAAAAATCGAGTCGAGTTAACTCAGACCAAGTTAAACCACAGCATAATGTTAGTAAGGAGGGAGGGAACCTACCGTTGGGGATGACTAGAGTGTCAGGAGAAGAGGGGGCCCGAAAAGGAGGGACTATCCTGGAACGTACAGCCGGGCAGCGCGTGTGTGCGTGTGCGTTCGAGGGGTTCCGACGGCGATGATGGAGGAGGGAGGAGGGAGGAGGGAGTAGGGAGAAGGGAGAAGGAGAAGTGGTTGATACTGGTGGCAGTGATGGCGGTAGTGGGTGGAAGCGGTGGGGGTGATGATGCCTGAGCTTGGAAATGAGCTACTAATGTGATTTGGACAACCTAGAAGCGCCAGCCTTGTTGCTATGTACTCCCCTACGGCAGCTACAGGTATTACCTAAGACGAAGGACGAAGAGGTCGGGGCGGAGTTACTAAGCATCCTACCCCTCTTTCCGATGCGGGAGGATTGGGCATTTACACAACTTTCATAAGTCCGTAGGTGCGAGAGTCGAATATATGAGTACACAAGCCTGACTCTAACCAAGATTCTGGATCTGCTGCTACCTCTACGCTTCTCTTCGTAGGTACCTGTCAGGGCATGGTCCTAATGGTTCGGGCGTGCTATGACTCTCGTCTACGAAATGTGCACTTCGCGGTTCATTTCCATCGGTACAACAGGAAACTGGATATACCCTGAGAAAATATCTCAAACGCTAGGCTGCGTGAGTTTCGAGACCGTCGCTAGCACTAGCGCGTAGTTAGGAGGGCCTGAAAGTCCCCGACAAACTCGCAGAGATCCTCGGGAGTCTAGAGCCTGCCGAAGTGGGCCTCATCCGCCGGCGATGACCCCACCCTCCCACGGTTGTCCGTGGAGGTTCTCGTAGTAGCTCTTGTCCATACCAGCTTGCCGTCGGGCCTCGGCGTTAAAGGGCCCCTTGACCGCGCCTCGAAAGTGCTGCTGTACGTTGCTGCGGAATACTTGGACGGGATCCGTGCCTTCTTGCTGACAGATCCATACTAACCATCTGTGTCCGGTGGTGACGTGGGTAATCTCGTCGCTGTGGATGACACCCAACGCGTCGACGCTCTCGCCGTCGCCGGCATTCCGGAATTTCTCGATCGTCAGCGGGTTGACATCGAGTCCTCGGGCCTCGTGGACGAGTGCGATGACGCTGATTCTGGCGCGCAGGTCGTGTGCCGTCCTCACTGCCGATTCCCACAGGCCGTGATGCACCGGCAACGCCCCAAATCGACTTCCCAGCTCCTCCAATCTCGACCGGAGGAGCGAGAAGTGTTTCGCTTCATCGTTTGCCACCTTGAGCCAGTCATAGAAAAATGCCCGCGGAAGCCGCTGCACGCGATCCTCCTTGCCCCGGGCGTCGGGTTGAAATGGGGCGAACCGGACTATTATATCAATAGCCAGGTCGATAGCCCACTGCTCGATGTTGGCCAGCGCGTGGAGCATGGCAATCCTGCTTTTTAGGCTACCTCCCTTGCCCGCCCTGGGCATCTGCCCCGGTTTCACCTGGGTCAGGTTCTCCCTTGGCGGTTCCAGGGGAGGGGTACCAACCCCGACTTGCATAGGCGAAGGGGACTGTTCACGGGTCGCGAAGAGGGAGAAGAGACGGGTGGTGAGTTCGATCTTGTGCTCGGGATTGGATGTATTCAAGATGCGCACACACCATTCGCTCAGAGTAGCATCTTCGCCTAGATAGGGTGGGGGCCCTGAGATATCTATTTTAGGACCATGCCTGAATTTCACCCTCTCGCTGACGGGGTCTATCTTGGCGAGTTGCAAATTCTCGGTCTCTGCGACGTAGATGCTCGCCCTCCCATCCTGGACGGTAACCGGAAAAGTGCACGCCCTGATGCCGTAATTGCACTCACCGGTCTCGAGGTTGAAATCATAGGCATGCCACGGGCAGGAGGCAATGTACGAGGAGTCTTCGATATCTACGTGGGCCTCGGCCATAGGGCCGCCCGCGTGAGGGCAGTCGGCCTCCATAGCGTAGTAAATCCATGACTCCAGCGTTTGTGGGGTTGGCAACGCTGCCGCGTCCGGGGGGGCGATCTTCGGCAGGCGGAAAAGAACCAGCCGCCTCCCATCGGAAAGTGTGATGGTGTGTCTGGCGTGCTGAAGGCCTGTCAGTAGACCGATATCAACCACAGACATGGCGCCGGTTCGATGTCCAGTCCGCGGTTGGTCCTTATCGCGGACTACCTACGGTTGTCCGAGGGCAGGGCTGAAAAACAGCGGCAACGAGAGTGCTAAGAGGCATGGAAACTCTTGGCTGTGGCCGTGACAGGGGGATCCCCCGGAACATAGATGTTCCCAATTCCGGTGACGTCACCTAGAGGTTCATATGAGTAAGGTGAAGAGGCTCAGTACCAGGTAGGTACTTAAGTACCTAGTAACATAGAAGGACCTCAGGTAATTGGGTAGGGTGCCTCTTATTGGTGTTTCATTGCTGGCTGGTTTGGGGCTGTCTCGACAATCCGAATATGCCGCCGTCTCATCTCGTCGCACTGCCATCGAGATCTACATCTACATCGACGTACCGCGTATGAGCACGGAGCAATTCGACAACCTGGTCGGCTCCATGACAGATTCCAAAATATCTCCAGCAGGAATCGCTCTGCAAAAGGGGGATTTCTAACCAGCATGGACCTGCGCGCCCCTGGTCAGATTCATTCTGTGACACGGGAAGCGGAATCCCGACAAGACCTCTGACCCCTGATCGGCTCCCATCGCCAAGATTGTTTGGTCGTTGGCGCCCGCAGCGTCGCATCGCGGCGGCACCAATGCGACAGCGCGGCTCAAATAAGCATACCGATCTGTTACAGCTTCGTCTCAAACCCATGCCGCCAATTCTCCTCCGCGCGTTCCGTCTACTCTCCCCCTCTCTCTCCCCCTTTCTTCTAGATCCGCCTGTTAACCTTCTTTTCGCGCGAGATCTTTGGGGATTGGATCGCTATCTTCCCTGGTGGGGACGGGGTGTTCCTGTCATCTGGTATCAGCGCGAACTTGTTTGTTTCTTCCACACGCTTCCTTGCGAGGCGGCGTCGGAACCTCCACCCTGTCGTTGCTGGATCGGGGAATACGGACGGGTAAGGTCCTATCCGCATCGTCTCAGAGGCCTCGCCTACGCTGAGTGCCAGCATGAGGATGCGTATTCAACCGGCCGGCCGAGAGCGCTGGTCACTCCGTACCGGTAATCTGGTGAAAATCATAGCGTAGTGTAGGAGCTGTGGATTGCCTGTGTCAGGATACAATGCTCACTCGGGGGAGGCAGTACAAAAGGGCACATACCCCGGTGCAGGTTTGCTCGATTTTCTTCTTTTCCCTCCATCCTCTGCGAGTTATATCCACTTACTTCAGTTGATCAATCTTTCTTTTCGTTTCCACTGTATATTCGCATAAAGCTTGTCGCCGGCCGACCTACACTCTCTTTACAGCACAAGTTTGGGCACCAAACTACATCAGCCAAAATGAAGTTCTCCATTGCCGTCTTTGCCCTCTTCACCGTCGCCATGGCGGAGCTCCGTAAGTTCATGCCCGTTTATCGAAGCCTTCCCCGCCGGCGAGACTAGCAGACTAACCCCCGACCATAGGCAAGGTTCCCCGACAAGCTAACGTCCAAAACGCCGTCATGACCGATGCCAACGGCGCTGTCGTGGCCTTCAACGCCGCCGGTGTCGTCAAGGACAATGGCAACTAAGCCAAGCCGAGTTGCTTTCACATAAATACACGGCGACGGGGGTGAATAATACAAAGTCGCACCGACGACTCATGACACCCGACCATCCTGCGACTGCCGTTTCGCGCGAGACGCCTCGCGGAGGTGGACGATTGCCAGCGTCAAGGATATAATCATAGAGCACGAGGCGTACGGATGGGAAATGACACGGGAGCGGACAGGGCTCGACAAATCGAGCAGAGCTGCTTGGCCCTATGTCTAGAGTAGTATATCGTGAATATCATTTAACGTTAAATACTTGGACAATCGGTAGTTCTCGCTCTGCTCGCCCACGTGGTACCAATGGTAGCTTGCCTACGCGCGGAAGTGTCAGGTCTAGCACCTTTATCTCGTCGGCCTGCGCTTGACAGCTGCTTGTTGCACATTGTAGATTAAGTAAGTCTCCGCGCGTTCCCTCTTCCTGTTTTTAGGATGTAGGCACATGGACTAGAAGGTCGTATTTATGTGCCTAAGTTGTGATCTGGCACCGCCGCGATAAATCAGAGTGCATAGCTACCTACCTAGGTACGAATGGATGTAGGTATATGCCACGTATGCTGATCTAGATACCTTCCATACGATGCTCTTGGTGTTCGATAAAGTTGGCTTTGGGACCAGGCGACGGCCAGCCGACGTCCGAGGGGAATAAGAATACCCGGATGAATATCCCGGACTACGAATGCTCAGCTCAACTACATCGGCGATACGCGTACCTTATCGAGATAGATTATTACACAGGTAGATAGATCGACTCGTCGCGCAGAATGGTGGAATAATAGGTATAGCATACTAAGTAATAGCGATGTGGGAGACAGGCAGACGTGTTGTTATTGCTGCAGACCCGTAACTAAGAATATCAGGCTCGGTGCCAATTACAATGCCACCTGTTTAGCTCTACTAAGGACTGGCATGCCAGGTGGCGACGGCTGATACAAGGGTTAGACGTTCTGGCAAGCAGCTTGCCACCTACCGGCGATATGCAGACCATGTGACCAGATGACTAAAAGAAGAGAGGAGAAAGAGAGAGGCACCCACAAATCCAGATCATTTTCCATTTCTCTCTTCTCCCATCCTCTTGCGCGCTCTCTCATTTTTGCATGATAGCGCGAAGTGCTCAACTCCCTCAACTAAGACTGCGCAACATTTGCCAGTCTTGCGTGATCGAGCCACCCGTCGGTGCACAGCCCCAGACACAGGCCGCGCTATGGAATGGGGAATAGCAACGCTCCAAATTACTCAAGCAAGTAGACAGCGGCACCCATCGCCGCTCCAGGCTGGGTGGAATTGGTTACTAGGGATGGCGAGGGAGGGGCTGAGCCCTGTCTACTCATCCCAAGGACAGGAGATTGAATCGGCTATTCCCAATTTTACGATTGCGGGAACACGGTGATGGAATAATCAGTCTTATTATAGAACTGTCAACCGACCTGCGCATCCAGGACGATGAGGGTGGAGAGACCCCGAACCCGCGCTCTTCTTCAGCCTATCTCGCCCCGATGTTCCCGAAGATCATGCTATATCGCTTAGTCCTTGGATCCACGCCTCCCGGCGGGGTCAGAGCATCGAAATGAGCCTGGACACCTCGAATATCGCTGCCTAATCAGAATCGGGGCTAAGCCCTGTTCGCGCCAGCAGCGGGAAAGAGGATCATCGGATGTTGCGACGGGATGTCTCTGTCAGCTTCAGTCGAATGCATTTCGTGTCATGGTGACGATGCTGGATGATGAAGGACCCGAATTAATAGGGCGACGACGCACCAACGACACCAACGACGCCAACAACACCAGAGCCGGTTTTTGCTCATTGGCGTCTTGTCGATGACAATTCATCATCCTGCCCAAGTCCGTCCGTCCCGTCAGCCAAACTGCGGCCGACGCGTCGAATCCCAGGACGCCCCGGCAGCTCCCCCTCAGCCGCACACCTATTCGTAAACCCTACCATTTCCCATCCCAGCCTAGGAGGCGCCAGCCCTCATTCCGCTATGTGGGCACGGTGGGTGCTAGTTGCAAGCCGTCTTGCGTAGTCGCCCAATAAATCCTGCTTCTTACCGACGCCGGCGCCGCGAACCACACAAGGCGCACTCCTCCCGACCTTGCACCGGCGTGTATGTACCTACACATTGTTTACGATGGCAGTGCGCCTGGCCCTAAGCCCTATTCAACGCTACAGGACGCTGCAATCCCCAGAATAGCACTTGGGAGTAGCCTTCGAATCCAGAGGGGCAGCACCTGGGCGCGACGCCGGACCTGGTTGGCGCACTTTGTGCCAATGCTGGTATTTCGAAGTGAGATCCGTGCTTTGCTTTCCCTTGTCGGGATTGGCGGATATGGGGTTATTGAGGCTATGCTCTCTCGCCCGTACGGGCTCCTTGCCTCACTGCTTTCTTCAGCAAAACCTTTATATAGGAACTGCTTCCCGCTCACCAACTGGCGGCCGCGAGACCGGTCGAACTAAATAGAGACTAGGTCCCTACCGCACCGCCTTTATTCGCTACTCAACTGCCACTGGCTCTGAGCGTAAAGAAGAATAGAACCGACCGCCCGCAACGGTAATGGATCTATAGGGCTGTCGCCAAACTAACGGGCCGTTCAAGCTCTGGGCCTAACCTAACCAGAGGAACTAGGTTCCTTCCGCTCCCGATCGAGGACAGAACCTATTATACCTATCGGAATATCGAAGAGCTCGTTGTGACCAGGACAAACAACGAATCCGACGATGGGCTACAAACATCGCGATAATGGCCAGTTTAGCCGGGCAGGGTGGAGGAAGAGGCTGCTTCTACCGTGTTGGATCGCTCAGATTCTACTCCTGTTGGGCATGATGGGGTTATTCTCCTATCGGCTCTCCCATACGGCCAGAACATGGAAAGAAGAGGAGGATAATGGCCACGTCCCTTTGGTGGAGTTCGTGTAAGTTTCAAGGATCGATCTCTCGGTGGGAAAGAGTGGCAGCGTCAGGGGGAGAGACGAGAGAATCGGCTGGGCTAATCTGACTCGGTGCAGGTGGGAAAGCGTGAACGTCGGCTTCTCTTTTATTTCCCTCGTCGTAACGTTCATCGCGATAGCAAGGTTCATCGCCGAGGTGTTAACGCCACTCCCGTTACTGTTCGGAAATATCCTGAACTTGGTGTTATCCTCCGCCATCTTGGCGCTAGACATTGTTGTTTATGTCCAGCACGCCGACAAACAGTATTCGCTGATAGGACTAGTGATGGACTGTGCCCTCATGTAAGCTGCTGATGTCCTACCAAGGGACCACACCGCTGCCTACGAGACCACAACAATGTATAAATGCTAATGTGCACGGCTCAGATTTTTCACACTTATCCCTCTGTTCTATTCCGTCGTCATCTATCGCCGCCTATTAAGCTATGATGACTATCACATACCCGGAAACATCAAGCCGTACGGCTTCGCCTCGGGGGACGAGCCTGAAGACACTACATACCGATCGTCAACATTCGAACCGCCCGTGCCTTACGACCCGACAAATCCCTCTACGACTGCCGCGGCGACGACCACAACGGATAACACGCGCCCGCGCTCCCTCTCCGCCGCTAGCCGGCGTTTGTCGTTAAACCTGAACCGCAACGGTGTACCACAACCCTCACCGTCACCACAATTACGGCCACAGCTGTCATCTGAGCGGCGTGCGAGTTATAATCACGAGCGGGACACACAGTTTGACGAATACGTGCGGCGGCGGTCGAGCCTTTACACGAGGGAGGACGTGGAGCACGCTATGGGTGTCGAGTTTGGCTGGCAAGATGAGGAGCGGGCGCAACGTGATAGCGTCGTCTCAGCAGGCATGGTACCCGTAGCGCAAGCACGGCCCCGGGGTGACTCCCTATCCACGAGGCAGGTGAGCCTCGAGGCGAGTATCAGCCGGAGCGGCAGTGGTAGTACTACTACCACCACGACTAGTACGGCCACCGTTTCCGCACCTACTCCTTCGACCCTGGAAGCGCCGAACGCGATGGGGAGGGCACATAGTCTCAACAGCGTGCCCGAGGCGCGCGAGGAGGAGGACGGCAACGGTAACAGCTCAGATCGAAAGGCCCTGCTGAGTTACGACGTGGTAACGGTCAAAGGGAGGTCCTCTCGCTCAAGTAGCGGGGGGAGTGTATCCAGGATTGAGCACATAGACGGGCTAGAGGAGATTGAACTGGAGGGCCAGAAGCGAAAGAGGGGGCCGTGATTGATACCCGATACGAGGCAGTGCATATACCAAGTAAGAAGCACGCACGCCAATAGAATGTGATACGATAATCATTGACTACATTTTTCGTTCTTTATCTCGCCCCTATCCAGCTTCGTCGTCGCCGTACAGACACACACAGGGCAGGCGCGTGTAGGAGGGCCACCTAAGAAGCCCCTATTGATACGCACCATGAGGTCTCGACGAGCTATGCATGCCCTTCAATGCCCCGTTCCCACAATAAGCTATCGATGTCAGTTGCGTATGGTAGGACCTCAAGCGTAAGTATAATATCCTAAAGGGTCATCCGGATGTCAAGATCGCCGACAAATCCCCCCCCCTCTTCATGTCCACAACCCACGCTCACAACGCCAGGAACGATTTACATACGTATTCCAAACCCCGGTCGTCCTACCTATCCACGTCTTAAGCCAGACGCTTCCACGATGAATCAGCCGTGCCTTTGCCTCGACCTAGATAGCGCGGGCGAACGCCGGCCTCATTCCGCTCGCTGAGACGAGCTAGCGCGCGGCCCTTCGCGCGGGAGCACGCAGACCGCCGGTAACCGTCGCGTGACCTGCGCGCTGGCAAGCGCTGGCGTCGGCGATGGATGCGGCTCGGATCTAGGAGGCGGCTCGGTCGGAGGAGGTCGGGATCCCTGGCGCCAGACCGAGGCGAGGGCTTGCGCGTGTCGAGGAGGGGGGCGCCTCGGGCGCGAGGCTTGCGGTGGCGTTCCTCCGCATGCCGTCTCGAGACCCTGGCCGATGAGTCGCTACCCGTCCTGGGGGGCCTCGGATGCGTCGCAGTTGCGTCGACGGGCCCCTGAGTTGCGCGATCGGGCGTTGCGTGTGTACCCCCGTGCGAGTTTCGAGCGCTAGACTTGCTTTAACCCCGGTCGGTCGGCTTTCGCTGTGATACGTTGCGCCTAGAGAGTTCGTTGCTCTCTTTTCCCCGACTTATTCAGCGCCCGAGACACTGTTGCTTTGAGAGCTTGCGGGGATATGCTGTTCTACTTCGACTGCGGGAGTAGGAAGGGGGAGGGGGGAGGTATGACTATGGCCCGCGGAGGCTGGAGAGGACGCAAATGTGTCTCGGCGCATCGTGTTACCAAGAGGGATTAACAGCGGAAGCCTCGTGATCGTATTCGAGGCGCCAGGCAAAGGGCTGCTTTCGTCCGGTAGGAGTTTTTCGCATCGGCTTGGGCGTGAGGTCGAGGGGCGTTTGTACATAGGTAGGTTGATACCTACACATATACATATATCGGATACCGCGCCGTTTAGGGGGACTACACTTCTGGGCCCTACTCAACACGTATGAAGGATCCCGTAAGCGTGATGGGGGCAGGTAGAGGGAGCTCAGGGGGAAAGGCGGGCGATGATAACTGTTTTCTCAGCCAATCCATTCGTTACCCTCTCCAAAATATTACGGGGGGATGGTAGATTTGATGCGCCTGGGACAGTGACCATGTATTCATGGATATGCAGGGTACGAAAGGGAACAAAGTTGTATATCCGATCTCTTTTATAAAAAGGGGTTGCGAATAGTACCTGGTCAGACTTTGTTACCTCACTAATATTAACAGGCGACAGGGACAGAACCACGACTTATTAGCGAGAAGGGGACTCGGAGAGGGAGCAGGCTTCCGTACATGGGGCAATACCCAAGTTCGCGCTCGGCAACGACGGGGCGGAACAACCCCCTTCCTCGGGCGTGTTCTATGTGTTCTCCTGATCGGGGGCTACGATCTCTCGACTGAATCGTAGGTAGGTAATAGCTCAGCCATGGCCACGACGTTTCAGCTCTTCTTTGCTCCCGCCACGCCAGCGCTTGCCCGTAGGCAGGTCGATGATGTACCTGCCAACTTACCTGTCTGCCTGGTCACGTCGTCGCTCAGATAGGTGCGTCTTTTGTCACGGCGCCGCATCTATGCTATCCGCCATCCGCAGCGACTGGCTTATATAAATTTACGCTATATCTGCCCCCCTCCCCCTCCTCGTCTGTAAGAACTGAGTGGTCGTTCCGCCGTTCCCATCCGTGCGCCTGTAGTCTACAGACACTCGTCTCGGGTTTACTCATATGTAGGTATGCGGATCGTTCGGTTCGCCGGAACGATAGGGCGGTCCGGTCATACGCCGGGCCACGCGAAAGCAGGGACTCGGATGCTGCGTGCCTAGATTGGGATCGTAGTACTCTGCTGTAGCCGCGATAACGCTCTCTGCTCAGTGGTAGAAGGGCAGATGAGGGAGCCACGGAAGACAATCGGGTTGGGCCGTGTCGAGCTATATTACGTACACTAATACTGGCTTGCCAAGCACGGCTCGCGCAAGCTAGGTTCAATCCAGCGAGTTTATGGATCGCGTTCGTGTTTGTTTACGTGTGCGTTCATTTCCCGCGGACAAGCATCCTGTCGAAACCAGGGCTATGGGTAAGCAGAGGCTGAGACACGCGACGATCTCCTCCTCGATAGAGTCGTAGGGGCCCATGCGATACCTACCCACGTACCTCATAAGCATGTCCCCAACTATGCTTCCTGTCAAAATCTCAAAAAGCTACAGCAGTTCTTGAAGGATCCGGGAAGCATAGCGAGATACATGAATAGGATAAATAAGGACCGGACTTGCCAGACAGCTCTTGTCATACCATACGGCCCCATACTCGGATTCCGACTGCGGACGTGTCTACATCTCGCTATCTTGTGGTGACATGTGGATATAGGTACTTAACCGCGCTCAGAGACCATCCGTCAGATCGGATCCCTCCCTACAACTCACCCCTTGCCCCTCTCCGCCACTACTCTACACATTATACCTACATGGAAATCCAACGGCAGCGCTCTTTGCTATCTGCCGTGTCCTCTTTGCCTTCCCTCGTCTCCCAGGGTAAACTGCCCAGTAAATGGCTAACCTGGCTATGTACATGTCCACATGCAAGTAAGCAGAAAGTACGCTCATTGGTGCAGCAGCCCGTCGAGGGGCTAATTAGGAAAGTGGGGTGTGCTATGCTGAGCCGTGATTAGCTGAGCCAAGCCTCGCTACGCGACTACGCCCTCCTCTGTCCTGGGGCGGCGCGTTCTACCAGGAATACCGGCGAAGCGAGTTGGAAGCCCTCCCCCTGGTCGTCCTCGAGTATGGCCTGGCTGAGCACGATATAGGTAGGTAATGCGCGAGGGAATCCTCTTAGGGAATCTCCTTGCTGCTGCACCTCGACCTCGACGCGCTTTCGCCAACGTCATAGAGCTGTGCCTCTACAACAGCGTCATGGCCGCCGTGAGCCTCGACCACGAGGCCTTCACGGGCGATAACAAGCTCGCTAGCTCCGACGCCAGCAAGAGCGTCGGACGCGCTTCGGCTGGTTCTGGTGCGGCTGCCGCCCGCCCAGCATGGCCCGCTCGTTCGGCAGCCTTGGCGGCTACGTGGGGGACTACGGCGTCGGCCACGGCACCGACAGTGTCTTCGCAGACGTCCACCTGTACACGACCGCCGGGGTGACCTTCGAGGTTGGCGGCAAGACCGTCCCGTGCGAGCCGCGGTCCAGATGGCCCTGGGAGGGCACCGTCAAGTTCTCCAGCTGGCCGCCCCCGCCGCAGGTTAGGTTAGCATAGTTAAGGGGTTACCTGGCGCTCGTTACTAGCTACCTACGCGCCGCGTACCTAGCCCTCGTGCTCGAAATCAGGCACTTCGGGCCGTGATACGTCACGCCGCGCCTGCGCACGAACCGACAGACGTTAGCCCTAGCCCGCGGCCCCATCGTCTACTGCACCGGAGACGCGGACGACGCCTGGGAGACGAATCACTTCAAAGACGTCGCCATTCATCAAGAAGAGGAATCATCTGGGGTCGTCACAGAAGGGGGGCGAGTCCATGAGCCAACCGGCGAGGAGTACGTAGCGTTGCGGACGAGGTACCGGATGCGCGCTCTGCACGGCTAGATAAGGGCTTCCGGGGCGAACGCGAGAAAGTGTTGAGAAACTTATGGCGAGGAGATAGAGATCGTGTCTGTGTCATACTGTTTTTGGAAAAATCGAGGAGGAAACGGACATATGGAGGGTGGGACTGCCCAAGGGCTAGCTGACCATTGTTACGCTGAGAGAAGCCGGGAATAGGTATGCCTCCAAGGTCATAACAGTGCTCAAAAGTGATAGCCCACGTCTTCCCCTACCCTAAAGCGTAGTGGAAGATGATCATTCAACCTAGCATTCTGGATTCTGTGGGGAGACGCATATATCAATGCCATATCAAGACTTAGTTCATTCATAAGCGTGAATTCACTCCGAGTACTATTAACTATCTAGCTACCGGAAACCGAGCGTTTTGTGCCCTCCTTCATCGAATGCAACTACAACGAAATCTGCGCGAATAGCTTCGTGGCCTTAATGCTAACTCGGCTTCTAACGAAGTCCACCTTGTCCACCGGGAGCAGAGAAGGCTCAACCTGAAGCTAATATGACCGCAATGAAATGGTTCGCGATTGATCACAAGAACAAATCCCCCACAGGTTCCGGCAATACGCAAATCGGAACTTGTGAGGTCTTCGTCTCAATCGAGAAGAAAAGGAAAGAAATCGAGAAACCCGAAAATAAGGCTATTCGGGGCCTAGCTAAACTCGGTAACAACCGCAAGAGAAGAATTTCTGCAGGCCAGCCATAACGAGACGCATATTGAGTCGTGCTACTAAAGCAGTGGTGTACGGTAGCACGGCTGATCGATGGACACTATTGACCGCACGCACGAGGATTCTCTGAGAACCACCCAGAGCCGGCTTAGACGTACCACATCGTGGTGTTCATGAATCGAATGGCGTCTTTGGACACGCCCCGGGCAGCCATGGGAATCAGGTATGGCGCTATGGCGGACTGTTCTTCGTGGTCAGGGTAAATCTCCTCCGGCATCTTTCCGTATGGGAAACCAGGTTTACCATACGCCAGGATAAGATGATCGGGGTCGATGTTCTCGTGGCAGCGTGCACGGTTGGACGCCAAATGGGAATAATACACGGCCGGGTGAAGAGATACCGGCGTAGTCGATCGGCAATACTGGTAGCACTGTTGATAAATCATCTTTTGAAGGTCGTCAGGCTTGATACCTGCCTCGTCCAAGATGACTTGGTAGTGCACCGGTCGAGCGGTGCCTTGAATTGCCACGTGCGAACAGAGGTAGAAGTCGAAATGCTGAGGATGTGTCACATCCCGCTCAACCAGAGTGCCGGGCAATGGGTTTCCGTTATGGTCAGCGGTCGTCCTATCACCCGACTTCGGGAAGAAGCGCACGTGATGGCGTTTTGTCGCAATAATGACAGTAAACTGCGGGTGGCAGTCATTCTCTCTAAAGATTCGTCGAATCTCTCCCAATTCTATGTCGAGGACATCCTGGAACTGCCCCTCGGAAACACCATCGCGAATAAAGTAAACGTGCCTCGGCGCACATCCGTTAATCGACTTCCAGTGTCGAACAAGCTTGGGAAGCATCATGTGCATGGTCGTCGCCCTGACTACTTCAACGCGGTAACCGTTGGTCTCACAAGCGGCAGCATAGCGCGTTGCGTCTTTATCTAGAGACATAGTCAAAGCTGCCATAGACGGATTCTGGCCTATGGCGCCACCATGAGACACGTCCAGGCCTATGATGAGGGTAGGCCGAGACCAGAAAGCTGGTGCACGATTCTCCCTCACCGGAACCCTGCAAGTGACACCGCCAAGCTTGCTGTTCACCTTCATCGCCAGATTGCTTATGTATTGAGCATTGCACTTTGAGGCGTGTCCTCCCTGAAGGCACTGCGACACAATATTGAACGTGCAATCCATGGTCTTCTTGATACGTTCGTACGAGAGGATATTCTTGTTTTCTAGGAGGAAGAAGATGATTTGCGGGTACTCCTTGCAGTAACGTGTCGTTTCTTGGACCGCTATTTTGACGAGATCCGAGTAGTTGCCTTCGCTGTACGACATCATCCGCATGTAAGGGGCCTTTGTGATCTTCGCTCCATGGTTTCGATAGGCACCTGAGAACTGTCTGGCAAAGTTCTCTAGCTCGTTTTGTTTGCAGGCTTGTCCTAAGCAGATGAATGACCATGACTTCAGCTCATAGGCGTTCGGCTCTAGGAATGTCTTGCCCCGAAGATCCCATCTCCCGGAGGTGCCTGGGTTGATCTTCTGATTGCCGAATGACACCTCCGGGTTTTGCAGGAGTCTGGCTTGAGTTACCGCCATTTGGGGACTGATTTTGATTCCGAACGCGTTGAGGTATGGATCTTTCGGCCAATCCAACTCCCTAACGCCTTCCATGATATCTTTCAGTCGTTGAGGCGGTTTGCAAACCGCCTTCTTGATCATATCTTTGGTCTGTGTGTAAAGTTAGCCCATGATACTCAGCCCGTTGCAAGGTTGCCACACGAGGGATATTACCTGCTCAGGATTCAGCTTGAATAAGTATCGCTGATCTGGCAATGTATTGCACAGTTCCATCGGATACAGACCACCACGTGTAGTCTCTATGATCGGCAAATAGGGGTAAAGGAGCCTGAAGCCCCAGCGTTCAAGGTAGTGGTCGTGTACGGTTGTGGTTTTCGTCGTCCCATCTGGCATCTTCTTCTCGAAAGTGACAGCCTTTGAATGAGCGCCGTCACGACCATACTTCTGCTCGAAGATGAGACGCTTGAGCGTGTAGACCTTAGTCTCTCCCATCTTTCCACGATGGTTCACGACAAATTTAAGCTTCGTCATTCGACGCAAGCATAAGAACGCCTCAGACATGGTCCACGCCTGTTCGCCTGTTTTTGGGTGCACCCTCTCTTCCGGTCTCAGATAAGTGACCAGCTTATTGATGTCGGCTATTTTCGTCAATTAAGATCTTGCATTTTCTATTCGGAGTCGTGACGGCTTACCATGTGACCAGTCATACTTGTGACAATTCACCATTCGAAGGGCCAATTGGTCCAGGCTGTCGAACGGCCAGAACGCTGTGTTGCACCTATCGACATTTATGGCAAGTCCTGTGCCACCGCGATTGATAGCCTGCGAGAACATTCGGTTAGCTACCGTCAGTACGTGGCCCTTGGTGACGTATAGCTTACCTCGCTCAGCCGTACTGTCGAGTAAATTCCCTGATTGATGACCAGGTCAAACCCAAGTTTAGCCTTAGGGCGGTCTCGGTCATAGAAGTTGCGCTTGATGCACAACAGTTTCTGAGACGGATACTGGCGCATGCAATGATCGAAGAAGTCTATCGACCCGTTAGCTGGTGATCTATATAGTTTCCTTCGAATTCTTTCCCTGCCTGTTTTCTGTACTTACTCATGCATTCCAGGACATGGGCGTCCCAGGGGATCTTGCCTTGGAGATAGGCCTTGAGATAGGAAAGACGGATCGTCTTGGTCTGGCGAATTGTCAAATAATAGACGCTGTTTCTATCGACCACCTTCTTGTACACCTCGGGGCTCTGGGCCTCCTTCTCTTCCAGAGTATCCAGGTCAACAACAATGCGTGTTTCGTTACGATCAATCTTCTCGGAGGACCTTCGAGTATATTAGCCAACATTCTCCACATCGAGATATAAAATCACCTACCAGGCAAGCTTGTGGCCGTCGCACAGCCACTTGCCACCCTTGGCCCTTAGAGCCTCCAGGACTGTCGTTGTGTTCCACACTTTCGTCACCAAACCGCGAGAGTCGTGGATATTTGGAGAAACGTTGATCTAGCTGGATGTCAGAAGCAGCTACAACTCGAAACTTTGGGATGAGTATAATTAACGTACGTCATATTGGTATATCTCCGAGTCCGACCAGCTGGAAACGGGGAATAGGTTCAACTGAACCTTGATAGGCTTGCCCTTCTCATTATAACCGGGGCGAGCCGTGAAACGAGTCTGCTCTTGACCCGCCTATAGGTATCGGTCAGTTGGAGTTGAATTTAGACTGGCGGGAACCGTGTCTTCATGGAATGTTTATATTCCAGACGTGAGGCTGTAGCTATAAACGTACCTTGTGGAATGCCTCTGCAGGTAGGTCAACCCGCCTACCAATCAACTGCGCGTCTGTTAATTCATACTTGGGCTTATTGTCTTTGCCTCCTTGGTGCGAGGAGGGGTCCGCGGTGCCCCCGTGCGATGTTCCAGCCTGAGAAGCTACAGGGGAATCGTGACGGGAGCCTTGGCCGGCCGTGGAAGCATGGCCCGACATTTGGGCGGCCGGAGGGACTTGGGACATGTGTTAGCACAGAATCAGGCAAGGTAAGCGGGTGGTTTTTGGCAGCACCGGAAATCGCGTGAACCTCACGAGATAGGGTTAGAACGGGAATGGGTACAATTTGAGTATGGGAGCAATGGCTCTTGGGAGGGAGGATGGAGAGGTGTTGGGCAGTTAGTGTCGTATTTGGAGTAGAAGTTGTACGTGAGAGAAAGGGCCTACGGGATTTGAGGAAATGACATCTATTGCGGTGGACCATCCGCCTTGGGAAGCTTGGCCTAGGTTGGGATAGTGCTCATGAGGAACGAGAGGGAACCGGTGGAAGAATCTGAAGCTGATATAGCGACGGAGCGGCGAGGCAATGTTCCAATGGCGACGTTGAACCTCGGTTGCGGTCTGGGTAGCTACTTACCTGTGCGTGACGCGGCGGATATCGGTATTCCCTGTGAGTACGACTGTCGTCAATACTAGCCCCGTCGTTGTATTTGTATGGGATGGACTCAGTCCGATGCCTAGCGATAGGAAGTAGGATGGGAAGAATGGACGTGTTGGTGTTGTGTTGGTGTTGTGCTGGTGTTCAGATGTTGATGGAGAAGGGAGGGTTAATAGGACAAGTGTGTGTGTGTGTGTGGTGTTTATAGATGATGGAGAGAGATGGGCTATGAGGACACGTGTGTGTGTGTGTGTGTGTGTGTGTGTGTGCTCTCCGAGGGGGTGCTTCGAGGGAAGGCGTCGAGGTAGGAGGAAGGGGTGATGGGACACTTGCACTGTTTACACTGTGAGCAAGTTTGATGGGGACAGAGCAACGCAACGTTTGCTTCAGCGCACTGTATGGGAAATGTATTGTTGCTCTCTATGAAGCGTGTGCGAGCGGCGTGCGGGCTTGTCCTGTGGCAGGGAGGTTGGTGGGCATGAGAGGAGAGAGGGAACGGGATTAATAACGGGCTCGGTGCGGGATGTGGCGGTTCGTTGATGTCGGTCTGCTGGGGAGGGCTGCGAGTGGCAGATCAAGTTCCTACCTGAAGCGGCTGCCAGTTAAGAAACTGGCGGGCGAATACCTTGATTCGGATCGTTGGCCCAAGAGAGGGCGTGTCTAGTAGGGTTAGAGCTGAGCGTGAATCGGCGATGGGTTAGGAGACGTTGGTATGAGGCACGACAGATGAGGCACGAGGGCTCGGGAGGAGAGAGGCAGGGAAGAGAAGGGTGGACATCGTGGCTAGCTCGGGAAGATGGAAGGGTACGACGGCCAAGGCGGGTGCTGGGCTCGTCACTCTTACCTTCGGCGATTCCGTGAGCTTTCAGAAGCCGAAGCCAGCAATTAGAATGGTATCTGGGACGTTGGAGATGTCGATGCCGACGTTGAAGTTATTGAAGGAGAGCTCTCCTGGTGGGTGTTGGTGGTGGGAAGGGGAAGATGAGAAGATGAAGAGGGCGTCAGAACCGGGAAAGATATTTCGATGGGAAGGTGCCATGGATGTCGTCGATCTAGCTGATTAGGTAGGTGCCTGCCTCTTCAGACGTCCCCCAACGGTTTAGATACCCTTTGGAAGTTGATTGCTACAGTTCACATCAGTCGTTTAATACACTTGACACATGCCTTGGCAGGGCAGAACGACCAAATACGACTACTTTGCATTAGCATGTTCATTAGCATATTCCCCGACAGCTCTCATTCAAGTAAGGAGGCTTCGATATAATAAAGTACCCGAGGTAGTTAGAGAAACACTCGTAGCATCCCAGACAGATAGTTAACGCCAGAAAGGAAGTTCAGCTCAATATTATTCATATCCACAGAGAAGAAGAGCAGCACACGAATAGGAAACCATCAGATGATTGGTCCAACAAGCTGGGAGTATAGCAGCCAACTGGCAGACAGTGCAGACCCAGTCGGGGATGTCGCAGACCCCCCAATCAGCACTCAGTCCATTCGAGGTTAGGTACCTGAAGAAAGCACCCACAGAATCACCGCTTCTGGTGGCCTAACGGGCTAGGTCAACTACCTTTAGTATCTTTTGTTATTGTTACAAGCTACCTACCTACGTTAGGTACCGCCTAATAGGTACAACATCACACTGCAAGCTGCTCTTAGTGGTGGCTACAGTAGTAGGGTAGGGAATGGGTAGGTAGATACCTACCTACGTAGGTCAGGAATCCGAATTAGCCCACGCCACGAGGAGCAGCAGCAGAACAAGTGAACGTCGACACCCGCGCACGCGCGCAGATGGTGAGTCGCGGACACCGGCTTCATGCGGGATACTTGGGTATTATGTGGGACAACAAAGAACTGGTATCGGCTATCAATTAACATGCCATCCGCCGACTAAAACCCATCTATGGACCGACCAGGTTGACAAAGTCCCGAAGAGTCCAGGCCGAAGATTTTGATCATCAAGTGCCCCCCCCACGGTGAAGCAGCGTATAAGGCCCGCCGAAATGTCCCACAAGAAAACGCCGGAAAATGCACATCGTAACAACACACCGGATGCAGATCCTTCCCTCGCAACGCCGCAAATCAATGCCTCTCTCCTTCGGGCCGGCAAGAGGCACCGGGACAGCAATACGAGAACCATCGGCGTAACGACCGCGGCTGGTCATACGGATTGCTGGCCACGATTGTCCGCTAGAGTTCCCCGCCCCACCCGGCCGAGGTTCGTTGCCGACCACGTCCTCATGCCGGGACGGTTGGCCGATAAACCCGACTACTACTAGTAATATCCACCGTATTGTGACGTTTGATGTTGAGGTTGCGCCACGTTGTACTGGGTAGATGGCAGAAAACCGCCCGGCCAGCCGGCAAACCCTGCGTTCTCGGCAGCGGAACTGGGCGCCAACGGGTTGAACTGAACCGTCCCGGGAGCCTGGTAGACGGCAGGAGGCGGCTCGTAGGATCCGCTCGAGCCGGGTCGGAGCGGCGAATTACGGTAAGGAGCAGACGATTGTGTTCTGCTCATTCCGCCAAAGGGGCTGGTGGGTCGTCCCGAGGAACCCGGCGAGTCTGAAGAGTGTGTGTATATCGGGTAATCAGCGGCGGCGTGTCGGTTTTGCATACGTGGCAAGGCGTTCCCCTCTTTCAAGCTCCTCCACTCGCTGAGGCTCGGTACCGGGGTATCCCGAATCAAGCGTACCATACCCTCGGCGTTGAATTGGTAGACACGGAATGCCTCGGCAGGCGGAATCAGGCCGAGTAGGAACGTGATGTCCCTGGGAATAGGGGCGGGGGCATTGGCGTGGGAGGAAGCGCCCTGACCCTGCTGTGCGCGTCGTTGCTGGTCGAGCCGCCGGCCGGCAGCTCCTTTTAGCGGCGATGCTCCGCGGGCTAACTTGCGTGGAGGGTAGTCGTCCTGGTCATCCGCTTGGAAGGGGCGCTTCGGGGAGTTGACGGTTGGTAAATACTGAGGCTGCGGGCTCCGTTCGGCTTGGGGCGCTGGGTGGGGGGTGCTGCGGGCGGACAGAGACGTATGTTCGACGGATTGCATGACGGCCTTGGGACGCATCTGTCTCGCTGGCGAGATTATGACGCGAGCGGTAATGGGGTTAAATCTATCCGTGGAGAATCTGGCCGCAAAGTGCGCAAGACTGGGGTCTTCCGGAAAGAGTTCGGCCATCTGTTTCTCGAGCTCTTTGATCTGGGCCAATTCGCCAAAACGCGCTTCGTAACTATGGAAGTAGGCGTAGATCGGCTTCAACTTGTGGACGAGTTCTGGCTTCCCCTTGAACCGTTGGACAGTTTGCGAGAACACGACTCGAGCGTCTAGATGGCATTAGTATACTGTGACTCCGCTTGATGGGTCGGTTTAGACTCACTCGTAAAATCGCGCCGAGCGTGGAGGTGCTTCAGATATTCAACGATGAAGTATTCCTGTTCCGGAAATAGCTTCGCGCCGCGATCAAAGATCTTCGTAGCCACGTTATCCTGGTAGACATCCCACTCCATGTGAGCGATTTCGAGGTAGACATCGCTCGTGAGGCGACCCTTCAATCGAGCTTCGGTGAAAATACCCCGTATACCCGTAGCGGGTGTGCTTTTGCCCTGCCCCTGCCCTTGCAGTCTTCGGAAAGTGCGCGCAAGAGCGATCCAGAGGTAAGATATATGTTGGGATAGCATCTGGATCTGAACGGCAAAGCCATCCTGTATGGCCTTGATTTTACTCTTCGTGGCGTCGGTCGACTGCTTTTCCTTGATTTCCCCTTCGTCCTCTTCGTCCGCATCGACGTTTTCGGGACCGGAAGTGTCAGCAGCCGCCTCCTCTTCAATCTTCGATATAGCCGCGGCTTCGCGATCCTTCAACTTCTTAATCATGCCGTAGAGCGTCTCGAGGACCTTGTCATAGGGTTCCCGGATAGACTGCGCGAGATCAACCTTCCCTGTATCATCATCGCGAGCGGGTTGGGTGGACTCGATACGATCGGCATGTTTGAGGGCTAATAAGGAGCTTTCCGGGTTTGCCTCGATGCCATCAATGAGGAATTGGAGACCGGCGTCCTGGCCTGCTTTGCTGACGACGCCGTTTGAGAAGCACCACTCCGCCGCATCAACCCACATCTCAGGCCAATAGCGCAACGCCATGAGCGCCTGCTTGTAAACGTGGAGAACCCGTAGCCGATAGGTTTCCGGATCATCAGCCTTTATGACGAGCGGGTCGTCCTTCTCCCACGCAATCCAACCCTTCCACAACGAGACTTGCTCTAGATACTCCTGATCCCCCTCGAATCCGGGAGCAGGAGGTAGGCGGGGCAGAGTTGTTCTCTGAAGGCCACGCGTGATATTCTCCAGATAGGTATGAGCGCTCCGGGCAGTTATATACGAAGGAGATCGTTCTTGGATAAATTTCCGTCCCTGGGGGTGACCTATTAGTAACGTGTCCGCTCGAGCCACAGCGGACGACTCACCGTCATCTTATTCAGACCCATCTCGAATAAATCATACTCTCTCCACAGAGAACTCAGATTCGGGAGAGGAATCGCGGTAGCACGTTGGTAGGCTTTACGAAGAAGGTCCATCTTTTGTTGGTCCTGCCAGCCGGCCCCGCCGATCTGGCCGGGCCCCGTCTTGATGAACTGTATATAGTCTTGCCACAAGGCTGCCGAATCCCGATCTTGGCCAATTGTCCCCAAAACGAACTCGTAGGACTGGCTAACCGTCTGGCGGGCTCGACCCGTCGGGTCGCTAAGGTCATTGATGCGGCGTACATAGTTGAGATAAGTCGTCCACAGCTGGACGCTAGGCACCGCCAACAACGTGCGGGTGAAAATGCCCTCGGCTTCCTTATAGTTGTTCAGACTTAGTTCCATGTCCACATATGCGACCCAAATTTCAGCCTAGAAGAGATGGCAAGTTAGACCCATGAAAGAGCAGAATAAACAGGGGGCAGATTCGATGCGATGGTATGAGCTTACAGCCTGAGGGAAAACCTCGAGGAAGCGCTCGTAGACGGCACGAGCATCCTCAATCTTGTGTCGTCGTTTTTGCTCGTCGATGAGAGCCAACCAGGCGTCTAGATCTCCCCGAGGATCCTCTTTAATGCGGTCTTCAAGGAGGCCCACAACATCGGTGGGGAGTCTCGAGCGTGCTGTGGCGGCAGCGGAAGCATTGACGCCAGTAGGGGCAGTTACATCAGCAGATAGATCTGGTGGAGCTGAAGGGCCGTTTCCTGCCTGCGTATGGGAATAGCCGGGGGTGTCTCTAGTAAAAGGCCGGGCCTGTATATCTGAGGGAGTTGGCTTCAAGGCGCCGGGATAGGTCGGCGCCGGAACCGGCGTGTCATCTTCGTCATCAGACGAGCCGACGATGAACCCTCCAGCTGTCTTGGGTTTCTTAGACGGACGCGGAGAATCCGAAGAAGGGCGCTCTACAACCGGGGCGGGCGCAGTAGTGATTGTAACAGATTCGGGGTCGTATTCCCCACCTTCATCTTCATCTTCCACTTCCTCGTCCTCATCCTCGTCTTGGTTGGATGCATTCCCAGAGTGGTGCGGGGCGAGGTCAGGAAGAACAGGAGGCTCTTGGGCAGGCTGATCGCCAGCTTCAGCCTGGGGATTTGGATTTTCTAGGGCGACACTCCAGCCATCTGCACTCCAGGATGGGGTGCTGCCCTCCTGCGCGGATGCCCCCCCTGAGCCTTCGGAGACCATGTCGCAAGAGCTGGGAGGCCGAGGAGGGCCTAGGTTTAATACTCGGGAAGGGATCGGCGACAGGAATGACAAGGGATCCAGGGCGTCGAGCAATAACGAAAGCCCTATCTCCTAGGGAGTCGGTCGCGCGTTCGGTTCGAGGTGGGAAAGGTCGTCAGGTATGAAGGTGGCTGGGTATTGATTCTAGCAACGATACAGCTTATCACAACTACTGAAGAGGGCCTTTAGCTTGTTGCCTTTGAGAGATGCTGGCAATGCTGGTGATGCTGGCGATGTTGGCGACGTTGACAATGCTGGGGATGAGGGTGGGGGAAGAGAGTGCAAAGACGTCGCGAATCGGTCAGGTCATGAGAGGGAACGCGTGAAGGAAACGAGGATGGGGACGGAGGTGAAGGAAAAATTGATGACAATGGCAGTGACGTTTGAGTAAGCTGCTCTGGTTTATCTTCCAGCACTAGGATATCCGCGATCAGCCTGTATCAATAGACGCACGAATGATGTGGGTTGATGGATGTCGAGATGAGAAGAAGAGGTTCTCGACGAGAACAACGGGAAGAAAAAAGATGTTCAAAGAAACTTCATCCAATTCGGTACCTCGACGGATATGTCACAGTTAGTAAGGTTAGTTACATAAGATGGACAGGACCTGCAAAGGACCTCACCCATCCAGAGCTCTAACCCCTGTTAGCTCAGGTACCCAGTACTTTCTCGTCTTGATAAATACAGGCAGACATTTATGTTCATGTACCTACCTGCCCAGGTACCTACCTACCTTCTATCTTAGAATGAATAACCCGCCTGCCCACCGACCTCCTAAAGTGCTGAATCCAGTCACTTAAGGAGGCAAGTAAATACAAGGTACGGTATCTACCTCGGTACTTATAATAAGAGGCAGTAAAAGGTACCTGCCCTCCTAGAGGTATCTAGGCAAAGTACAGTATGTACCGAATTTAATATGATGTACTGAAGGTACCACACGAGGTACCTCCTTAGGTAGGTACCAAGGTACCTAGAGGAGGTAGGAGATCAGTAGGTTCCACACTTAACAAGGGATAGGTTCGATTCCTAACAGCACTACTTGGTAGTCTTCGTTATTTAGCTCATCTGCAGGTAAGGCAAAGGTTAAAGAAAGGTAGGTAGGTACCTGGGTTAGGTACCTAACCAATGTAAATAGGACAAGTACTGCAGCAACACAGTTGTACCTAAGTTAGCGCCTTACCTATATTTAAGAGTGTTATCTTGGTTTTTATCCTCCAGAATAAAACGTGATACTAACTTGCCTAAGTAGGTAAATATAGCCAAGCACATTACTTAGGTACTTAATGTACCTCCCTAAGTACCATCCAATGTCTTCTCTTAATTGGAGATCTTATAAGCACAGGTTCCTGAGAGGTTAGGCTTACTGCACGTTGGTTGATGGTTACCTGTAACAGGCTTGTTTACACCTATGAGTAAAGGTAGGAAGGTGCCTAGGATGTAGGTACCTACAGATCTAAGTATCGAATCCAACATGTGTTAGATGCATAACAAAGCAGATATCACCTTACCTATCTTAGGCAGGTAAGAGGTACCTTAGGTAGTTATATAAATATCAGACCTCACTATTTTGTTGCTGATACCTGCCCACCCACTGGACAGACGCAGGATCTACGTGTACAGAGTACGTGCCTTTCTTCCCCTGTTTGAACCCATGCAAGCACTGAACGCGCTTTTTCGCCAGAAGCGCGTTTCCTAGCTGGAGGTAGTCCCAGAAAAAAAAAATAAGGACCCAGTCCAACAGGCCAGCGTTGGGTACCTGGGTAACCTTTTCTTCCCTTCGTCGCGAAAAAACAATCTTGCCCGAATATTCGAGACACGCAGCACACAACCTCCAAACCTCCCAACCTACAACAACTGCACGCCTTTCCTCTAACAAACTGGTCTTCGGCATCTCTTCCCCTCTCCAACCTCTCCTTTTTTTCCTTTCCGCTGTCTCCTCTGATTTATCCACATCTTTCAACTTTGCACACCGCCAGTACCTATCACAATGTCGGTCGTTTCTCTCTTGGGTGTGAACATCCTAAACAACCCCGCCAAGTTCACCGACAACTACGTCTTCGAGATCACCTTTGAGTGCCTCGAGCAACTTGAAAAAGGTACAGCACCTATTTCTTGGCACCCGTTAAACCAATCGTTAATGGGGCCGAGCTTGCTAACTAAATGATACCAGACCTTGAGTGGAAGCTCACCTATGTTGGCTCTGCCACCTCGTAAGTCTCCTACTGATGGCTCGCGTCTCTCCCCTGCTACCCTGGCCGTTGCTGACCCATCCTGGCATAATAGCGACCAGTACGACCAGGAGCTGGACTCTCTCCTTGTCGGTCCTATTCCTGTCGGTGTCAATAAGTTCATCTTTGAAGCCGACGCCCCAAAGACCAACCGTATCCCCGATGCCGACATCCTCGGAGTCACCGTGGTCCTTCTGACCTGTTCCTACGATGGGCGCGAGTTTGTCCGTGTCGGATACTATGTAAACAACGAATACGAGACGGACGAGCTTAGCGCAGACCCTCCCGCAAAGCCTATTGTTGAGAAGATCCGTCGCAACGTATTAGCTGACAAGCCCCGAGTTACTCGTTTTGCTATCAAATGGTACGTTAGCATCCAAGCAAGCAGCTATATCCTCTTAAAATTACCCATTCTCCAAATAAATACTGACGCTGCGTGATAGGGATTCCGAGGCATCTGCTCCCCCAGAGTTCCCTCCCGAGCAGCCAGAGGCCGATCTGCAGCCCGACGAGGAGGAGTATGGAGCTGACGAGCTTGACGAGGATGGAGAGGAGGACGAGGCAGGCGATGCGGCCGCCGAAACCGCTGGCGAGGGCAGCGCCGCCGCAGCCACTGCCGACGGAGATGCCGAGATGGCGGGCGTGGAGAACGGAGAGCCGGCCGAGGAGGACGAGATCTCCGAGGAGGGAAGCGTCGACCTAGAGAACGAGAGCGAGGATGAGCTCGAGGAAGTCGATGAGGGCGATGGTGGCGAGGCTGGCGAGGTTGGCGACGACGCTATGGATGTCGACGAGAAGCCCGCCGCCGGTTCGACCAAACCCCCAGGCGTCGCTGCTCACTAGTCATCGTCTCGCCGCTGGCCCTTCCGCACAACTCGTCGCGTGACCATTTTTTTCTATCCCCCCTTTGGGTCTTCCCGCTTTCCGCGGGCAATGATGAAATGACATACGAAGTTATGAGAAGGTTTGCATGAGAGTTGAGGCATACGAGTTGGAACATGGAGTGATGGGTCGAGCACCTATGTACGGAACTCGCATTCAGGTACGAGGACACGGCACGGTAGATCCCCTTTGAGTTAATACATACACTACATACCACTTGATCTCATGCCTGTGATGCGTAACCGGATCGGGACTTGCGTTCCGTGGGCGCGCCCCTTTTCGTAGACGACCTGTACCCGCTCCACCGATTACCTGTCTCGTGGTGAAGCCAGCGCCGTGTCTATGCAAGGTGTTCAACCCCAATATCTCCCTTTGCCACCGAAAGAAGAAGCCAAGCTTCTAGTTGACAGCTCGGGCTCTCGATTATACGCCCTATTCCCTATTCGCATCGTACCGCTTCCGAGATGGTTACGTAGCCTGGAACTCGCGAATGCCGGGTCTGTCGGATCTTTTACTTGGATGATTCAGGCTCGACGTTGGTAACTGCATAATACACCTACCTGCCCATGCGCAGCACCCGGGTATTTATTCAACGTCGAGCCACCTCCAAGTCCCAGGCGGAAATGCGCGTGTATCGAGGTATTTACCTCACCTCCGTGCGCGACCCCGAGGTTGTAAGCCAACCAATTGGACCTCTCCCAAAGCTAATGCCGTGATGGTCGATAGGTCTGATCGCAACTCCCATGCATCTAGCTGGCACGACCTTCCCTATACGGAGGTTATAGGTATAGGGAGGCCCTGAATATGCATGTGGGGCGTAGTTGTATGGCGGGGTCACAGAACACACAGACATCCATCCTCCTGTCCTCTGTTGATGGAGCTCCAGCTCATTCCCGAGAGCAGATACCGGGGCGGGCAGCCTGCGATGCAATACATATACGCATCTGGCTGCCGATGGGGGTCCCCCCCCGTTTTCCAATGAAAGCCATCCCGCATCCCTCCTTTTTTTGTTGGAGGCATTCCCGACGAGTCTGATTGTCAAGCGGGTTCCAAGCAACCACCTCTTGCACTCCTCTCGACCGCCGCTCAGAACTGCGCCACGAATAATGGCACTCAGCGCCGCCGAGGTCTCCAAGCACAAGTCGATTTCCTCGTGCTGGATCGTCATCGACAACAAAGTCTACGACGTGACGCCGTATCTCGAGGAGCATCCTGGAGGAACAGCGATCTTGGTGAAGCAGGGCGGCCGAGTAAGTGAGAATCCGTAGGAACTGGCATTGCCTACCCCAGTCTACCAAGAAACCCTCCCTTCTCTGACGGGGGATCAGCACGCTCGAGATACGGAGAGAATTAACAATCAGGAAACAGGACGCCACCGCTGAGTTCCGCACGGTCCATTCCCCGGACGTCCTCGAATATCTGCCCAAGGGGAGCTACCTCGGCACGATGAACCCCGTAGATGTAGCCTCGCTCCCCGCGGGGACCCCAAGCCAGTCAGCCGACGCCGCTGCGACGGCGGCTACGAAGCCTCCGTCCCCCTCCCTGTCCCCGCCCTCGGCCTCGCCCCCGCCTGCTTCCCCGCAGCTCGAGGTCCGGGACGGCCAGGTGCCGCACATCGCGCACTGCGTGCGGGTGACCGACTTCGAGGACGTGGCCCGAGGCGTGCTGTCGCGCACGGCGTACACGTACGCGGCGAGCGCAGCGCACGCGGGCTCCTCGCTGGACAACAACCTCGCGTCGTGGTCACGCGTGACGTTCCGGCCGCGGGTGCTGCGCGACGTGCGGCGCGCCTCGCCGCGGACCGCCATCCTCGGCCTCGCCTCGCCCTTCCCCTTCTTCGTTGCGCCGATGGGCCAGCTCGGCCGCGCGCACGCCGGCGCCGAGGCCGAGCTCGCGCGCGGGCTCGCGCGCCGCGGCGTCCACTACCTCGTCAGCAACGAGTCGACGCTGCCCATGGAGGAGATCGCCGAGGCGCTACGGGCCGAGCAGCGCCGCCTCGGCAGCCGCGGCGACGCCGAGCGCGCCGACGCCGTCCTCTTCCCCCCCTCGCAGCTCCACTTCCAGCTCTACGTCCACTCGGACCGCGCCGTGACCGTGGCCCGCATCCGGCGCGCGCGCGCCGCCGGCTTCCAAAGCCTGTGGATCACCGTCGACGTGCCGGCGCTCGGCAAGCGCACGCCGGACCGGCGGCTGCAGGCGGCCGAGGCACTCGACGCCGGGCTCGAGGACGCGGCGGAGCAGGCGGGCTTCGGCCGGCGCAGCCACGCGCCGCCGGACCACTTCCAGCCGTCGCTGTCGTGGGCCGACCTCGACTGGATCCGGCGCGAGTGGGGCGACGAGCGGCCGATCCTGCTTAAGGGCGTGCAGTGCGCCGAGGACGCCCGGCTCGCGCTGCGTCACGGCCTGCGCGGCGTGCTGCTGAGCAACCACGGCGGCCGCCAGGCCCACGCCGCGCCCGACGCCCTGTCGACGCTGCTCGAGATCCGCGCTCATTGCCCCGAGGTCCTCGGCCACCTCGAGATCTACGTCGACGGCGGGCTGCGCGACGGCGCCGACGTGCTCAAGGCCATCTGCCTCGGCGCCACCGCGGTGGGTATCGGCCGGCCCTTCCTGTATGCGCTCGGGGCGTATGGTGCCCGCGGTGTAGAGAGGTGCATCGATAGTACGTTACCCCCCATTTCTTTCCCCTATGGCCCCCCGCTCTGGAGTTTTCGCTGACACTGCGTCTCCGTGTAGTCCTCTCGGAGGAGCTGGTCACGGGAATGCGGCTCCTCGGCATCTCGTCGCTCGACGAGGCGCGGCCCGACAGGGTGAATGCTAGTCGTCTGATGAACGAGATATGGTATCCGGAGAAGAGCCGGCTGTGAATCGGCGCTCCTGTACCACGGCGGATACTTGACGCATTTGTTTATGAGTTGTCGCGGGTTAGAGCGTCGTGTCCCTAGATCTACCTACATGAAGTTTGCAGGCAGAGACCGAATATGTGTGTGTACTTGAGCGACCATCTCACGCCCTGTTGTCTGGTCTGAGACCTAAGTTACGTTCTCCTCGTCACAATCTCCTCTGTCAACCCCAGCCTGTCGCCAAATATGCTACCGTGTGTCTCTCCTTATACCGTACGCCTGTCTACCCTTTCTTTGATGCCTATCATTTTGCCTCATCTCTACGTATCTACCTTCGTGCTAGTTAGGTATACTATCTTGAACGTCTCTAGCTCATCTTGTTCGGACTACTACGTTAAATCCAGAGTCATTCCATTAGCCACAACTCAACCCCCCCGACTATGTTCAGAACTCCATGCATTCCGTCAGCCACTTTGCCAGAATATGTCCGACAACCCACAATTGCCCTCTAGATTTAAGGGTTCCTTAATAGAAACAGCTTGCGCTCCGACGTGGTCGTGTCACCACGCCCAAGGCGAAGAACGAAATTACGCATCACGAGTCCTCAAATTTTAGAAATGAGGGTCTTCAGCTGTCTTTGTTCTGAGTACCTCACCGCCGTTAGATATCTGCCGTTCTACTGCCTTATGATCCCCTTTCCAAGAAACGATCACTGACATATCTGTTTTACGGTTATATATCCATGGCACCATGTACAAGTGGTTATCACGTATCTACAGTGAACGCGGTGTGATGCTGAGCAGGGCACCCGGCGGTGTGGCAGTTCCTCATCAGGGAACCGCGTTCAGCCGCAGCACTGTTTCATAGGTAGAATCTCTCTAGTTTGCACAAGCATAGATACTGAGGGACATTCTAGCACGGGGAAGTACGTGCATCTACAAAAAACAGTCGAGGTTTGTTGCAAACAAGTTTGACGGGACGGGGGAGCGATATACGGCCGGTTTCGGATGTCGCTAGTATGCGGTTCCGGGAGTGGCTGGCTGTCATAGGGTTCTAGAGCTGGGGAGAACCGTACGTGGCCGCCCTCGCCATGAGGGAGATGTGGACTATACGAGAGGCTCGTGCAGTTGACGAACAGTACGGCTCCGTTAGCCTGAGTCTTGGGAGTCTTACCTGTCATATCCACTGCCGGCGCTGTTGTCTTCCTAGAAAGAGCAAACATAAAGGTGCAATTGATATAGGTAGCGATAGGTCGCCAGATCGCAAGCCTTGACAGATAAGTAGCTTCCCTCCCACATGGAGCAGATATACGGTCCCAATAGTCTCTGAACGAGAAATGATGGGGAATCGGTCTAGACAAATCATACGTCGTGGAGCGCCGCCGCCGCCACCACCACCACCACCACCACCGGCGGTGACAATTCACCTGCCCGGAGCGATTTTAACCACGATTTCGAGGGCCGCACGCAGAGAAGACCGCTAGAAGGTCAGAACAGGGTTGCGAGACGGCGCGTAGGAGGCATCCGCTCCGCTCCGTTCCGCTACAGAGCTCCAGCCCGGTCCAAGCCAGCGGGGGGCGCGGCTTACTCGATTCGACTGGCGGCCCACCTAACCAAGAGACAGCTGACAACAACGAGACGGGAGCGTCTCGGCGAAGCACTAGTCGACGGGAGCATCGCTCGTTGGTTTGTGGCGGACGCATGAAATATGTATGTAAAGCCTAGGACCCGATCGTGTGTGTCGGCGATGGGTTGGGGGACCGGGAATCACGCGACCAAAGAGGACGCGCGCGAATATGTAGGGACAACCCCGCGACGAAGGATTGCCGCGAGGAGCCGGTCGCTTATATGTATATGTGCACGTAGGAAGATCTCAAGCGGCAGTCTATACCCGGATACTTGCGTATATCCGTTATCTTCCTGACAGCAATCTACCTCCATATAGGTAGGTAATTAATACGTGTCACATACCTACCTTAGTAAGAAGGTGAGATAGACCTGACAAAGACAACGTGGGCGATGGTCTGCGGTCTCTACCAGGCATGGCAAGTATCCGTATCGATGTGTTGATCGTTCGACATCGCGAATTAACTCCCGAAACCATCACACACACGCCGATCGACCATGGGCTCCAGAACGAGGTAGGAAGATCGACGCCCACAACAACAGCAAGAAAAACACAAAGAAAACTCCCGATGCGGCATTCTGGTGCTCCCCGGCCACCCCACCCGTCGGTTGGTTGCATGGGCGACTCTTGGATCTGACGCCAAGGCAAGCAGGGACTCTTCCCTGGTCCGTGTAGGCACAGAGAACGAGGGAGAGCCTCGGAACACGAGCGAAAGCCGATGCCTAGACCGGTCCACCCAATCTCCCTCTGCCGTACAGTAGCTCTCGATTTTACCCGCTGCGCCCGGTCTGCGTGTCTATACATATATACATAAACGTCTACAGTGCTACGGGTTGATCGCCGCTGCACAGCCCAGGAACAACTGCGGCTGTCCCGTGCGTTGAGGAGGTACCAGCTCGGTGGGAAAAAGAGCGCTGCTGTGCGTGGTATTACCTACATCGTAAGGACTGCGCGACATCGAACTAGCGACCTGGACGGGCCGAAAGGGAGACTTGGCGACGCCACCATTGCGATAGGCGTTTTGATTGTGGGTGAGGACGGCGAGACTAAGACGCAAAATATCGAGCAGCGTGATGGGTTCTTTTGCGCGCCGGCTTCTAGAAGGCGGTCAGAAGGGCCGTTGGCGCTGACAGACGGCGAGCCTCACAATACAACGTAACCAGAGGGCAACATCTCTGGAGCCATCGCCTCGACTTGTGTGGGGCCGGAGGGCGGAAGCTGCCTCGGTCATCTTTGGAGTTACGGCTCGACATCTGGCCGATCGCGTGCGGCCTGTCGAGATTTTCCGCCCTAGAGCCGAGATTGTAAGACGATGCCAATTCAACGGGTATCTTCTCGACATGAGCACAAGAGCGCGGAAGCTGGCGTCGCCTGGCTAGGCTGCGAGCTGAGGTTGAGCAGAGCGACTTTGTGGCCTGTCGGACTTCGTGGCGAGGAACTGAACTTCCTAACTCATCCATTCCGCTGCTTGGCTCTCCGTCAGCATGGCAATGTCGCGATAAGCCAATGGCGGCCTACGCCTTGGGCAGCCGGGCTGTGGCGTGACCCGATTTCCCATACTGGGCAGTTCGCTCACCCGCCAAAACGAGTCGTCAATCCGGCTAAGATCGTCAGACTGTGAGAGGAACCACAGGCAGGATCCGGAGACGGGTGGAGATGGACAGGGTAGCACCGCATGTGTAAGCGCGTGTGCATGGCTCGCTCCATGGTACGCGCTGTTGGACTGGGGCGCGGAGCGGCGAGGATCGCAGAGTGAGTGGAGGGACAGGATTGGGGGAGGGCAGAGGGTAAAGGGTACGAGACGGACAGAGGCGAATCCTACCTCTACTAGGTAGGTCGTGATGCATGCCTACTTACCTACCTATCTATCTCTACCCTCCGTATGGACGGGGACCCAAGACGGGACGGAGATGATGGCAGAGGTAAGGAAGCATTCCATATTGAGTTTCTTGGCCACGTCGACCAGGGAGTACCTTATATTTTGGTTGCATCCACGACACCCGCCTCGCTTCTGTACCTCTCTTTTTCCCTTCCCCCCTCCCTTCTTCCCTCCGTCTCACTCACCCTCCTCAGCAACGCGGTTTTCTGCTCGCTAGACGGTTTCCCTTAAAGTCTATCGAGTGACGTGGGGGGCGCTGGAGTATTGCATTTAAGACAGCGGTATCATTGTCAGCGCATCGCCATACCGTAATCGCGCTTCTCTGCACTGCTGTCGACTACGAAGAATCAGGACGCGCTCTGGCCTGCTGTCTTGTCTACAATGTCGGCCGGCGCGACTGATAGCGGCGTTGATGCTGCAAAGGGCAGCCCTTCTCCCGTGGAGGATAAGATACCGAAGGAATCAGGTGCCGAAGCGCCGGGGTCGGATGTCGATGAAGTTCTGAGAGGGCCGAACGGCGAGGTGTATCCGACCCACGACGAGCTGCAGACCCTGCGTCGCGTGAAAGGTCCCATCAACTTGATCATCTACACCATCGCCTTCATCGAGCTTTGTGAGCGATTCGCCTACTATGGCACGACCGCTGTCTGTACGTCTACCTAGCCTAACCACAGTCCCGCATCGCCCATCATCCGTCTAATATGCTTGGCATAGTCGTCAATTTCATCGCGGAGCCGCTCCCCGCCGGGTCTACTACCGGCGCCGGTGGCACACACCTACAGGCCGGTGCTCTTGACCAGGGCCAACAGGCCTCAACTGGTCTCGTATTGTTTAACAGCTTCTGGTCTTATCTGATGCCTCTTCTCGGTAAGCAGCTTTCCTGGGACTCTACGGCGTGTGATGCAGCCGATAACTGACTGTTTCTCCTCCGTTCCCTTCTACAGGAGGATACCTCGCCGATACGTATTGGGGCAAATACAAGACGATCCACATCGCCATCGTGGTAGCTATGTTCGGTCACATCATCCTCATCATCGCCGCCCTACCTCCCGTAATAGCGAACCCGCGGGGCTCGCTTGGCTGCTTCGCCGTCGGTCTCATCTTCTTCGGTATTGGCGTCGGATTCTTCAAGGCCAACATCTCGCCGATGATTGCCGAGCAGTACGAGAGCCAGCAGCCAAGAGCGGTCATCCAGGTCTTGGAGAGCGGCGAGCGCGTCATCGTCGACCCCGTTATGACCATCTCGGTTATCTATATGCGCTACTACTTCTTCATCAACGTCGGGTCTTTGGTCGGGTCTATCGCTATGGTGTACGCCGAGAAATACGTTGGCTTCTGGCTCTCGTACACGCTGCCTACTGCCATGTTCATCTTCTGTCCGATAGTCTTGCTCGCATTTAGGAGCAAGTACGTGCGTAACCCGCCTACCGGCTCGGTCCTCGGCAAGGCCCTCGGCTTGATCGGCTTATCTATGAAGGGTCGCTGGTCTCTCAACCCGGTCACCACTATTAAGAACATGCGCGAGCCTGGGTTCTTCGAGAGGGTAAAGCCCAGCAACATCCCCGAGTCCGAACGCCCGGAATGGATGACCTTCGACGACCACTGGGTTGATGAAGTGCGCCGAGGGCTCAAGGCTTGCAGTGTCTTCGTCTGGTACCCGATTTACTGGCTCTCGTACAACCAGCTGAACAACAACCTGGTTTCCCAAGCTGCTACAATGACCCTTAGAGGCGTGCCGAACGACGTGGTCAACAACCTTGACCCTATCGCCTTGTTGATCTTCATTCCCATCTGCGACAAGCTACTATATCCCGCTCTGAGGCGCGCCGGTGTTCGCCTCACCCCTATCCGGAAGATCACTGGCGGATTCATCCTCGGTACTTTGTCGATGGTTATCGCTGCCATCATCCAGCACTACATCTACATGCAATCGCCGTGCCGGGACGTGGCCGGATACGGATACGTCGATGACTGCAGAGCGCACCTCGGACTCCCCGCCGACGCGCCCGAGTCCGATTTTAAGCCGCCGTTGAGCGTCTGGATCCAGACGCCGGCATACATTGCCATCGCTCTGGCCGAGATCTGCGCGTCGATCACGGGTCTGGAGTACGCCTTCACCAAGGCACCCAAGAATATGCGCGGCTTCATCACGGGCGTCTTCTGGTTCTCGCAGGCCTTCTCCGCCGCCATCAGCCAGGCCTTCGTCCCCCTCGCCACCGACCCTCTGCTGGTATGGCTGTACATGACAATCGCCATCATTTCGGCCATCGGCGGCGTCGGGTTCTGGTTCAACTTCGCGAAGCTAGACCGCGAGGAGGAGGCCCTGAACGCCCTACCCGACAGCGTGTTCAAGGGGAGCAGGAATAAGGACGCGGACTTGAGTGCCATTGAGGCGGCTCAGGCGGAGCAAGAGAAGATCAGGCACGCGCAAGGACTAGACAAGATTCAGGGGTAGGATCCTCGGACAACTGGATCTCGAATAGTCCCTTAAGGACCCGCACACGTGTTTCCACAGCGAAGTTGGCTGGGCGCATAGAGATGAACCGAGGACCACCTTGTTCCTGGGGAGGTGGAAATGGAATAATACCCTTTACCTGTATCGATGTTGCAGTAGATACCTGTCATATATATACCCCATATTGAAGAGCTAATTCAGCCCTGTGATCTATTTCCTCGCTATCCGCGTTTTAGGCGTTACCAATCCTGACTGTATCAACAGCGAATCGACCTTGTGTTACGCGGTCTGAGGACTAAACTGAATCCACCACCATCGACTCGAGTCGGGCAGAAAGGACAGGCTGGAATTGATTGCTGGAGACAAGACAATCGACCTTAGGCTAGCGTGCAAGATTAAGGGGACCCCGGACGACCATGTAAGACCTCTCTCAAAGGCGGGCCCATCTCCTCACCACGCCCGCCGGATCTAGACCCAGACCGGGGCCAATGCGCAGAGGGGGCAAAGAACAGCCAGCAGCGGGCTAGCTTTCCAAAAGCTGGCGGCCGCGTCTAGCCGCGCCCGAAACCGGAACGTGCGGCAAAGGACCCCCCCGGAACAAAGACGACAGGCGAGGCCGCCACGCTGACAACAGGGCGTGATACTAGTTAGGTCAGCCTGGGGAGTCTGGGTCTCGCGTGTTTCTTGGGGCGTCGACGACGTAGTCCTTCTGGCGACCGCCCGGGCCGCCCGGCCGTCTCCCACCCCCCTTTCTAGCGCACGCCGCTGGCCCCTTCGCTGAGGTGGGCTGCTAAGGACGAGTCGACGGGGCCTCGTCGGTAGAGGCTCGTGAGCTAGCTGCCTCTCTCTGTTTCTCTTGATAGGGGTGTCTTGTTGTAAGTGTGTCTGGGGCGGGTGGGATCGATCGGGAGGTAGGGCGAGAGGAGCAGGCATGGTAGTGCGTCGACTGCGGGTTAATCCGCGCGTGTGGGCGTTGCGCATAGTAGCTTTCTCGAGGCTGTGTGTCTAGAGTTTATCTGGCGAGGAGAAGTTGCGCTCGTGTCGTCGATCATGGCAAGCGTCTCGCCGTGGATCTCCTAAGCTGTTGTGGTCACGGGCACGCTAGCTTACGACGGATTCTGTACCTGGCGGGCCAAGCTACGAACCAAGGACAGGAAGGGAAAGAGGTTTAGATAGGGGACCATCGTCGGCGGCATACTCTACCTCAGACGTCGAGTGCTAACGCGTTCAGCATCTTGGGGACTGTTGATTGAAAGGCATGGCCAGTTCGTTTATGAAGAAAGAAGAAGCTAGGTGTACGACATGTTGAGCGAGGCAACCGAGGGGCGGAGTTGGTAGAGAAGACAACGGGGATGATCACGCCGGCTAATTTATTGTAGTACGAAGAGATCCCCTCGGCTCTGTTCCTGTCACGGCACCTGACTGGGTGAAGTACGAGTTCTGATTCTGTATGCGGCCATAGGTATATATCATTAGTAAGGCTCGCTAGGTATCGCCACGCAATCTTCTTTCTTTCGTGACGCAGGCTGCTGGTCTCGTTGAGACGGAGTTGACTGCGGCGTGCTACGCCCATCGACTCGCAAGAAGTCCCTTATCCCCTCATACGGTGGGCTCCTCTCCAATGAATAGTATACAAGTGTAGCTGGGCATCCTCGACGTCGCCCTGTGTTGCGCTGGGTGCGACGGTGAGCCGTCGTCTGTCCTCAGCTCGCTGCGTCCCTCTCGCGTTGGCTCGACCGCCAAGTCGCGCGCGCGCGTCGTGATTCGCCGCTCTGCTAGAGGTCGCATTGATGTCTGGCTTAGCATCATCATGCCCGACGACCTGGCTGCAACTATTGACGAGCTGTAGTCTGGTTGGGGCCTCGTAGGCCAGGATCCGAGACCGCCGTTCGAAGGGTGTAAGAAGGCACCGCTCCCTTATTATTCATTCCCCTCCAGTCATTACTTGCTCGAGCTTGGTCCTCGGTTGCTCTGACCTCTACTCGGCACCTCTCGACGAGGGTTGGCGCCGGCCTCCCCCTCTAACGGCTCGTAGTCCATCGGCATCGGCATCTTCTCTGCCCAAGCCCTGATCCCTCTGGCAAACAGCTGGGGGTTCTGCAAATTCCAAGCTTGGATGGCATCCTTTACGAGGAACGCCCGGGTTTTCTGGCCCTGGTCTGAGCCTAGGGCTCCCAGAACTCGGGCCATTTCCTGTATGTGCTCGACTTTCTCGTGCCTGCTGGCGACTAGAGCGATCCGCTTGTCTCTCCTCCCGACCTCCTCTAGGTTTTCGCGCGTCCAATTTTGCGCTTCGCGGCAGCCGGTTTCGTACAGGCGCGCGGTGTTGTTGCGCTTCATCTCCTTAACGAGCTCGTCGTTCCGCAGCTCGGGCGCCCAGCCGGTGGCCTTGGTCATGACGCTCCTGGGGCTGTGCAGGATGACGGACAGGCCGATCTGGGCGATCTTGGGCTGCGAGTTGAAGCTCTTCCAGAAGTCCTCGAGCGGGGCTGCGCCCGACACGAACGCGCTCAGGACGGTGTCGGGGTGCCGCCTGACGAGCTCCAAGGCGACGTAGCCGCCGGCCGACACGCCGACAACGTGGGCGCGCCCGTCGTGCGCGTGGTCTCGGATGATCTTGGCGATTAGATCTGCGGATAGGAGGTACGAGAAGGGCCCGACGTGCCGCGAGCGCGAGTGTTGCGGCAGGTCGGGGATGAGGAGGTGGTACTCGGACAGCTTGGGCCAGCAATGGGCCCATTCGAGATGGGAACCCATCAGCGCATGCAGCAACACGATGGTGATGGGCGCAAGCGGGTTGAGCGAGCTGAAGAATAGGCCCTCGGTGCTCGCATCGGCCGGTACACTCATCGTGGTCCAGCTACTGGTCGATATCGTTCTGCTGACCACGGGCAGGGTATCTCTGCTGCGCCAGGCGGCATTGCCGGCATTACCGCTGCCGCCGGTGTTCGCACCGTCACCACTGGCACCACCACTGCCAGCATTGCCGCTGGCACCACCACCGGGAGTCTTAGCATCGGCACCACTGCCGCCACCACTGCCGCCGTCACTGTTAGTGGTCGTCGCCGACGATTTAGCGCTACGCATGGTGAGCGGCGTCGCGTTTCGTCCGTCCATCCTATGATGATCTCAAACGTCGGATACTAGGTACTAAACGGGCATCCATTCCTTCTCCAGGCACGACAACGCTACGCTTTCTTGTCCGACGACGGGGTCAGCGGCAAGAAAGGGAGGGAGTCTTGGGGGATGAAGAACGACGGCGCTGGCGAGGAGAGAGTGCCGAATTCGTTCGATGGGCAGACTGACGACGGAGTGGGCAAGCAAGCGCAACAAAGACGGGAAAGGTGTAGCAGCAACTTTGCTGCCCTTGGACCCCTTCTTCTCTGGCCCCTCTGATCGGGATCAAGCCCTTTATTATTATCGCTGGCTCCTGGCCGGGGCAGAGCTTGTTTAGACAGGCGCCCCATCAGCGAGACAGGTGACATGTTATTATTTTCTCCATACTCGCCTTCTCCTCCTCCTCTTCCCTCCTCCTCTCTTTCTCTCTCTCCCCTCCCCTCCCCCTTCTTGATGTGGTGGGTTCAGCATGGTTCAACCCAGGCGAGCGCGCATTAGTTGTCTTTCCAAAGCCATGGCTGGCGGTTTATGCAAGGGTTCTCTACGATAATGTGCCGACGCGTTGTCTCCCATTGGCCCCCGTCGGCCCCGTCTGGCTATACTAAAGGATTAGAGAGAATCGGTATCCGTGCTAGCAAGTCCAGGATGCCTGGGGATGGCAACCAAACCCTGTGTGTTTTCGAACCCGAGCCCCGTCGAGCAACGACGCACAGGCTTCGACGAGAACCAAGTTTTGTTCCATGGCTAGCCTGTGGGCTAAGATGAGACTAACCACCACGGCAATGACTGCGCCGTGGTGGTGGTCTTCCTGTCCAGAGTACGTCTGCAGAGAGGCCTGCTGCACGTCTACATTGGAGGTGGTGTGTGCGGCAGATAATAGGGATTGTGATAGGTATGTGTGCACACATCGTAGTGCCGACATGGTCGCGACCATCCCTGCCGGGAAGCTGGTAGACAGGCCTGTCTGCGCTCCTCTTGGCCTCCACACACACACGAGACCCCTTGCCCGAGACGGTCCACCAAGACAAACCTCAGCGAGCGCGAAGGGCCCCGACGTGGACGGGAGGATGCAGTCGAGCGACATCATAATCGAATTCACCGGAGTCCTTGTCGGTGTCGGCTGTGAATTCCTACATCATCTCCCCACGGTGCGCGCCGTCCCATACCTCACATAGTAGTGTACACACAATCGTCTCGTCGTGGGAAATTCGGAATGGCACGGATCACGCTGGCGAGGACTGCTTGGACGATTTCTCGCCTGTTTCGGCCCAAACATGGTGTGACTGATTCGCGTCTCCACCCTCCGGAGACCATTCCTACGCCTTCCGGACATGCTGGCTGGTGTGTATCCGTATATGTACGCATGTGTGCTGCGGATGGTGGTGGACGGACGGGCAGCATACGTCCTGGCCCAGCCCACCGTGTCGTGTGTTTACGCGAGATCTTCGTCTCGGGTGGCAGCAAGTAAATACCTATACTGCGTCGTAGCACTACCTGTGTCTACATCTCCCCATCCACATTTACATCCATCCATGTCTAACCTACATAACCTAATGCACGTACGCATTCATTGCCTGAGGACATATCAATGTGATATGTGACAGAACGGTCAAGCTTCTGTATGGTCCCGTGGGGTTGGTTCACGCTACTTGCATACATAAATATCCCTTGCCTGAAGTTCGTCATTGTCCTGCTTTCCACTTCGGACGAGAAAAAAAAAGAAAAAAATAGACGAACGCATATTTATAGTGACATATATATATATATAGCCTTACATCGTTCATCCTTCTTACCCGCTGGGCGACGATATATACCTATCGTGCTCGTCCCAAGGCACCGGGACCTCTCCCCATCCGCTGCCGTCTTCGACCGCCGACTCGGTTCTCACATTCCGCTTGCGTCTACACGGAACCTGCCTCTGTATCGTGCCCGCAACTTGGTGCCATCTCGCGTTCGTATGTTAGGTGTCGATGTAGGCACGCGCTAACACACATGGGTACCCAGATTTGTAGGCCTGCATCCCAAGTGGGTGTATACATATCGGATCGCATGAACCGCCCAAGAGTCTCTAGGACCGTTAGGGGTTGTCCATAAGTACATAGCTATTGCCTCTGTACACAGTAGTATGGCAGGGATGGAGATTATTACGTTGGGCAAAGACAACAACGCTATACCAGAGTCTTCGTATATGCCCACCTTCAGCCCTAGCTCGTCGATCCACAGTTGAAGCCTTCGCGCGCCGCGACGTCGAGGACCTCTGTTCCCAGCTCTACCGGTCCGCGTTTGCCGAAGTTGACACCTCTTGGCAGGCCACGTCCGTTGCCTGTTTTGTCATTCCTTGTATTCGATATTCGCCGGGCAACCGGGTCCTTCGTATGTATGGAAGCTTTTCAGCTTTCTAGATGTGTGCTGATCTTTCTCTCTTGCATCTCAGCTAGTCTGTAATCTTCCGTGGACCTGACCGGCGGCCCCTGGGCGTTCTCCAGCCCAGGATGCGAGGTTGGTTTGATTAACCGTGTGTGCATGCAAATGTCTACTAGTATGTAGCACTGCTACAACACCTGCGCTTAACTCGCCCTTGGCCCTTGGCTCCTCTCGGCGTCTTCCTTTTCTCACGACCCTTGCTCCCAAAATTCGCCGCATCGCTTAATAGCCACCGTCTCACGACACGCCTCCCCCATAAGGCATCATACGTCACCGCCCACCCTCTTGTCCAGAACGGGCAGTCCCGCCGATTCTATCCCAAAGGCAGCAGTTCCCTATGGATCAATGGGGGTGTTCGCGTATCGTAGATTTCGCCTCTTCCCATCCATATTTCACCCTCCTCTGGCCCAACCTCGCCAGGGTTACCCGAGGATACCCTTTTGATTACGATCATCGAGTCTGGAGTTAGCTTTTGACGCTAGATCGTTCTCACTTTCGTTGTTCACGAGTGTCCTTCCCCGGCCTCGTGGCGGACATTCAGGTCCAGTCAGTTTCTTGTATTATTATTCGGTAGGCCCCGTGATGTCATCCCTCCACCGTTACGTTCTAATAATTAATCGAAGCACGCTTCTAGTAACGAGTATAGAACGAACGGTGCCTTTCAGGCGTGGTTATCGTCATAATCTTCACCCAGGGTATCGTAATTAGCGTTGCCCACCGTTACGGAGTGGTCGTCCTCACACGGAGCGAAGTCTTCGGCCCTAAACCCAGCTTGTGCATGGACAATATCCGACCTTCCCAATCCGAAGCACCTAATCTCGACGTTCTTCTTTGCTACTTGGACCTCGTCCATCGTAAGTTTAACCGAGGGGACTATGACCACTCTAGTGGGGAGTACTGCAACTGTATCCACCATACGATTGTCCATGATAACCGTTCCGTGGATCTGAAATTGAAATCCGGGGTTGTATGGGGGATTTATTAATAGCGTAGGAATTGTGAATCTCTAAGGTAAGCTTTGACAGAGGGGGGCTCAGTTCCGGGCGTGTTGGATCTAGAATCCCACTTGCCTCAGGTGTCTTGGTCCATACTGGCGCGTGTATACAGGACGATGATCGAAAAGGTTCAGGGCAGGGAAATACGCGTTTAAACCACGGGGGGAACTGGTTGAACATGGGAAGTTCCCCTTCCCGGACAGGCGCCTCTCTGCGGCGATGCTTTGGCAACTCCGTGGGTGTTTTGAGGCTCTTTACTTCAAAAAGGTTATCCTGCCCAATACGGAGGAGAGAATGGTCGAGCGTGAACGACGTCAATTGGCATAGCACGTAGGTATATCATGAATTATGAGACAAGGGCACTTAACGCTTCGTGATAGATACAGTATCCGGGGAAGGTAGCTTCAGAATAGCAGCGTGGGTATGTTTCACCCGCTGCGAAACGTAAACAAAAGCTTTCGAGGAATATTTATCTGTCACCGGGCGTGATAACATACGACAGGGCCTGTCACTGTCATTTCCTACGTTTGGTGCCACCACCCTCCTATTTCCCCGTCGTCTCCCGGTTGAACGTGTTCCTCCCACTCAGCGAACCAGCCTGCGGCGACGAGGGCTCCTCACGGCCGACCGTCTTGCCCGTCCGCGGGAAGATAAACACAGTGCCTCGATCCTGGTCTTATATCTTCCAGCTTAGACGCGCCCTCGAAGAGCCTGGTGACATCCGCCCCTCTGTTGGCGCTCCCTACTGTCAGCTTCGGGAAGATGGTGCGCGTGTTTTCCGTGCCGAAGGCCAGGCTCTTGCCACTGGATAGACGATGTACGCCTCGTGGCAGTAATCCAGCTCTTCAGCTCGTCGACCTCCTTTTTTTGGTTGGTACTCGGCGCCACGTTATTCATGACAGCCCGCCTGACCGTCCGTTTCCGTTATTAGAATATCGCAACTTCAGAATTTGTTTCGTGCTCCGTTCCCGTGGTAGCGAAAATATGCTTCCAAAGCTCCTCACATCTTCGTGCCAGTCATCCTCGCGGCGACCGGAAGGCGCTGTGAAGCTGGCAATTCTGGCCGGTCCGCGGATGCAGTTTTCTTGCCCATTGCGATATATTACTCGCCCCTTTTCATCTCAGAATCCGGAATCGCTAATGTTTTGGGAGAAAGCTTTGCGAGATGAGAGACAGCATAGGTAAGGATACCGCCCTGTTCAGGATGGATATGAACTTCAACGCTTAGCCTCCTGTCTCGTCGCATAAAAGCTTAACGAATTCGTCAAAGTAGAAATTCAAGGCGACATAGAAGATAGTGCTTAGCTGTTGTATGTCGAATTTGATTCCCAAGGGTTCCAGGTTCCTCTTGAGGGCGCGCCGTATGAGGAGCTCCGGGAGATGAACCTTGTCCTCCTCGCTCTGTGTTCGACGCCGGTCCAGGGCGTGGTGCCATTTGCTTACAGCGAAGTGAGTGATGGTGAGGTCCGAAACGTCAAACCCAATTTCTACATAATACTCCTAGTCGCCGTTGATGCCTCTTACCACAATCTACTCAGCAGCTGCATCAGCCGTCCCTTATATTACCCCCGATAAACCCACGCGCCTTTCTTTGATAGAGAGTTTCCTTTGATTCCCACCCATCTCATCGGCGTCACCGCTGTTATCGAGACCCTCTTGGCCGACAGCGGGGGGCTGCTAAGAGCTGGAAGCAATGCTCGTGTCATCGTCATCGTCTAGCTTTGTGTGTGAACTGCGGTCCGTATATGGTCGACCACTTCAGGGTCCTAATGATCCGATACGTCCATGTCGGCGTCTTTTTAACATCGTAACACGGTACATGACTGTGAAATACTTAGTTACCAACGTGTCGACCACAAATAAGTGATGAGGACCGACTTCACCTGGAGCCCGTCTCGATAGGTACCTATCACCCCCATTCCCGGTTTCCTCACTGTCCGGTATTCCCAAAACTTGTCAGAAGAATGCCCAGCTGACCATAGCACAGCTTACTAAAGCGTCTATCAAGTAGGCAGCACCGCATACGCGAAGGTTACAAGCTAGAGGGTAATAGGCAGGCCGTACGTGTAACAGACGGAATTTGCTATTATGACAATGATGAATTATGTCATGCGGCGGTATCCTTCGCCCTGTACGTGGTCCATGGCGGTGACATCCCCTATCTTTAAAGGGCAGACGGACGTTTTGGTACGCCACTACCGGCAACGGCGAGCACAATCGAACGGAGTGGGCAAACAGGGAGTACAAATTCGTCGTCGGGAATCAGGACACGATAGGCCGGCTTCCAATTCTCCTGATAGCTAAGAGAGACCGTCTAGACCTCTTGAAGCTATTTACCACCACCGGCGAAGCGAGGGCAGCGAGCGGGAACGTCTCGGAGAGGAAGGCATTACATCTCGCCACGGGAAGCGCGGCGGGGTGAGTTATCCCTAGGGTACTTGAAAAGGACAGCACGTTGGTTGACGTGGCAGACGACGACGACGGCCGGACCCCGTTGCATTAGGCCTGTCTACAGCATGACGAGGGAATAGTGGACGCTCTTCTGCGACATATAGCGAGCCACCACCCGGCGTGGCCGTTTCATGAAGCCGCCATCGAGATGTCCTTTGGCGCCGTGGGTGGTCGCGGTGGGGCGCTGTGAGAACTACCGGGACCCAGAGGCAACAGACCTGGCACCGTATCTTGCGAGCAGCCGACTCCCACGAGTTCCTCCTCGGCTCCACCGGCCGGCTTCCGCACGGTGATTTGTTTATTTTCGACCTGCGGCGTCCCGCCGCGCCTTCAGGCCAAACTAGGGAGGCGGTCCAGCTTCGACCCGGCGAACCTCACAGCAGTCGCGTTGAAAGACCACCAGATAGTTTTGACAGACGCTGATGAGGACCCGGACAGAGCAAGCGGCGCACACGTCAGCCCGAGTGTGGGTGTAGATGAGCGCTTACAGGGCATCGACGGGAGACAGAGCGAGTATACACAGGGATGACTTCTCATAGGTGATTGTTTGGCGCAGGTCAGAGTACGAAACATCAACTTCTTTTCGCCGCAACCGCCTATATCATACCTAATAATTCTTCACAGGCCTCTCAGACGAAGTTTCGGACTCGATAGGCATCTTCCGAAGCAATCCTGCATGTCTGCGTGGAGAGTAAGGTGTATCTAGAGCTGATCCGACTTTGCCGTCACATCACACCAACGTACCGGGTTCCACCCCTTTCTAGCCCCTGAGCCCCGGCAAATTGCCTATCTAGCATATCCCCCAGACCACGCATTCCCGATCAGGAGATGCTTGCATTCTTGGCTGCCATCGACTACCCTAACACGAGAGACACCCGGGAATGAGATGGAATCGCCAAGTGGTCCGTGATAACTGTCGACCTGGATGCAATACCCTTGGCATGTGATGAAGAATTGCCTCCCAGAGCATATGCGGAGGAGGGGCCCTATCAGGTTGAACGAGCTGTCGAGACCCCTGATATAGTTGGAGGATCACCGAGTGATCTTCGAGAAAACCGGCTGGGCACCGGCGTTGCCTTCGACTTCTATATGCATAAAGAGTCTAGGCCATGGCCAATCTGCAGCCGCGTTTGAGGGATCTTCATCAGAGTTACGGCATAGACGGTCGATACATGCGGAAGTGTGTATTCACCCATAGCATAGTAGAGACCTGGATCCGGCAATGTTGGCTAGGCAGTGACAGATACCGATCAAACAAAGAACAGGAAACCTGGTCGTGAAACCCGGTATAACCATATCAGCCCACGAAACCTCCGCGTAAGCCGTCAAAACAGTAGACGGAATAAAGACGACAGTTCTACAGGGATCTCGAGTCCGCTCCGTTTAAAGATGCGATGGCGGGAAACGTAGATGTACGTATGTATTTGTGCTTAGGGATCGGGCATACTCGGCCGTTTCGATGCGGCAAAAGCCTATTGTCCCCCGTTTCATTGTTTAACTTGCTTTATTCGAAGCTTTGGCGTTTACAGGGCATAACATGGTTCGAACTTGATATAAAGCAACTGAGGACGCACAGAGCTCATCCTGAGGCGGCAAGCGGAAACGCACGTGTTGCCTGAACCTTTCGATCTGAGAGTCAGATCATCTACCGCGCTGTTTTACTGTTTTCTGTACGCCTTCTATGGACCAGGTGAGAAGAGAACGGAAAATACGACGTCACTTGACACCAGCATATTCGGGGGGGTCAACGCCGTCACAATCCCTGGTAGCGCTCGGAAACAGAGTTCAAAGAGAAATTGGCCTCACACTATACAGCGTCAGGGAGCCGTACGCTCTGGCCTCATAGGCTGTGAGAGACTCCGTTGAACTAGGAAGTCGGCGATAACTACGTCTAGTACGCGTAGAGTACGACCGACTCGGCGTGAGCTAAAGATTAGCCGGTGCCGCTACATATCGTACTCGGAGAGGGCCATGCGAAGGGAACTCCTCCGTGACCAGAGTCAAATTTCCGGGGCAACAGCACGGTGGGGTCGGTAGGGAGAGGAGAGAGGAGCGTAGGTAAGTAAGTATGGCATGGAACGGGGCAGGGCCAGAGAAAGCTCGGGAGGAGGGAAGAGTAAAGGGCTGTGAGTTCCTCGTAGGGCACGCGGGCCAAAGATCGGTCCGGGGCGGTCAGGGGCCGGAAATCCAGGGGCCAAGGTGACAGGCACATCCATCTCAGAAGACGATGCAAAAGGGAAGCCACTAGTATAAAGATGCAGACATCGACCTATGAATTGTCATCTGCCGCTACCTGTGAATACATACATACATTGCCGTACATGTGCCCGAGACACACTCCAGGGGGTTGTTGTGGAGGGGCGAAACAAGCGTGACAAGAGACCGTTCACACCAAGGATAGACAAAGAAGGCTGATGCAGAACAGCCGTATTGTTTCCTTTCTATGCTCGTGGCGCCGAGGAACTATTCCCATATATTAGATCGGATAGCCACGCCAGTCCCTCGTACTCGACTGCGAGGATCGAATGTCGAGACATAAAACTATGCTGAGCACACAAACTACGCAATACTACTCCCACGCTCGGAAATCAAGCCGCGCCGCCGCAGTACCAACTACCACGTAGCCTCGAGACCGCAACTTCTCCCGGGCACAGGGATCGCCCGGGTCAGGACTCAGACGCGGGGACTCCCGCTCCCGTCTCGGCCCGTCTCCCCGTCCTCCCTCTGACAAAGCCTCCCCTTTAGTCCCCCCCCTCTTGAATAAAAATATCAATGCTCCCCCAAAACTCTAACAGTATCGCGCTCACCGTCACAGCAGACCCGATGACCGATACACCCCCGACGGCGGCAGCGGCGGCAGCGCCCCCGCCCCCCCAGACGCTCAGCTTCCGCACGCGCATCCGCCAGCGCGCGGGCGGCGGGACGGCGCTCGCGCCGATCCCGGACCTCGAGGACCTGCCGTCGCCGCCGGCGAGCGCGGGCGCGTGCGCGGGCGCGAGCGGCGCCGCGACGTCGTACTTTGGGCGGGGGAGCTGGATGTCGCCGCCGGGGACGCCGCAGGCGCAGGCGCGGGGGCGGGCGGCCCTCCTCCTCCGCGGGCCCGCCGCGGACCTGCCGGCGGACGGGCCGCGCGGCCAGGCGCGCGCGCCCTGGGCGTCGGGCGACGCGTTCGTGCCGCGCGCGGGGCCGTGCCAGTACGTGCCGCGCGGCGAGGCGGCGCCGGCGCCGCGGCGGCGGTCCGGCATCGCGATCCTCGAGCGCTGGCAGGCGCGCCAGAGCAACAACAACGCCGCGGCGGCGGGGGGGCCGCGCCCCCGCTCGCTGCTGCGCCGCTTCACCGAGGGCGCCGGCTGGAGGCGGGAGGGCGCAGGCCCCGCTGGCAGGCCGCGCCCCGTCAAGGCCAGCACCATGCCCGTGGAGCCGGCGGCGCCGCCCGCTGAGCCGTGCGCCGCGGCGGACTAGGACGGAGAGAGGGCTGGGAGCGGGAGGGCAGCGCGGGAACCGGGAGCTGCGCAAGCGGAGGAAACCTAACCAACTTCATACGCACCTAGGAGGAAAGCTCAGGCGGGGCTAGTGGCTAGGGAGATAGATATCTACAGATGTCGTGTGTGCGAATTGCTTCGGCTGCTGTGCCGTCGTGTCAGTATGGATGTGCGTGCGGTGCTATGACTGCCTGTATGCCTGCTTAACTTCCCTTGCCCTTTAACCGTAGCTACGTCTCGTGTGCGTATGCACACAATAATATACTTACGTAGTAGCTGGTGCAGAGAATTAAGAACCAACCGTATCCGAGACCTGTCTCAGTGTCCGTACATTTCACCTGCCTGCGTGTAGCGGTCCTTGCCAGGTACTGAGCCTCTCTCTCTTCGTCTTTCGTAGCAATGCACAATACCGACGCCTATGTACGGAGGCGCGCGATGCGCACGCGCAGTCAACCCTCCTCCATACGGACGTTCTGCGAACGGTACCTACGCAGCAGACGATGACTTACAAGCTCGCGCGGCCCTCGGAGCTTCGGGGTGAAGCGGAAGCTAGCGAAAAGCGATCCAGAATTCGCACACCCTCCTCTCTCAGCCCGCGCGCCCTTTTTCGCAGTGGCGTTGCGTCGTTGCGTGGCGGGACTGGGGACATCCTCTCCTTAGTTGGGGGCGCGATGTGTCTGTGTGCCTTGCCTACGTGTACCTATGATTTCCGAAAAGAAAGAGAAGCAAGGGAAAAAGGGAAAGAAAAAAAAAAGAGAGAGAAAGAGTCTTAGTTGATCACACCGGAACCGAAAGGCTCTCCGGCAGCACCCCGGTCATGGGCCATGTACATACCTACATATTATTTATTGCATGGGATCGCGTTACGGATGACGTTCGTAAACGAAGGCCAGTGGGGATGCGACTGGCACGGAGCCATGGTGGCGATGCGATCCCCCTCCCTGGCGACTATCACGATTCCCGGGGGTATAGCTCGGCAATACCTGCGCCAACTAATACCGACCCTTGCTCGCATGGAAGCCGTGTAGAAGTTCTGGTTTGGGGTTTCGTCCTATTTTATTTTGTTTTTATTCCTTTTTTCGATATCGTAGTCAACCTCACCACCCTCCTCCCCATCCCGCTCCCCTCTCTCGCTCTCTTTGTTGGTGACAGATTTTCTACCTACATGCCTTCGTTACCTAGGTAGGTCTAGCGAGATGCAGCCCCGGCTTACACCCACGTTGCTGAGAACCTACGTTAGGTAGGTAGGTAGTTATACCTGCGTGCTACGTAGTATATATGCGCTACCAATTTCCACATGCTCTGCTGATAACGGTAATAATAGCGAGAATCAGGCTATTACCCCCTCTTTGCCGTCTGCAGAGTTGGATACATGACGGCGACGTCCTTCCTCGCGCCCCCAGGTCTAAGCTCCGTCGGGTAGTACGAGAAACGAAGGATGGAAGTGCGAGAGACGCGACACAGCCTGAGTCATATTGGATTGCCCGTCACAAGACTTATCCCGCTAAGACCTTGGGGGACCCTGGTCGTGATCGCCGAGGGAGGACAACAGGAAGGGAGGGAGAGGACAGAGAATAAGAAAAAGCAACGAGGATAGGTCCCGATCGGGTTTACCCCATGGGCGGAAATACGCGTGTAGGCGGGTGGGCGCGAAGCTGAGGAAGCGATCCGCGGCAGAGATTGTCTGGTCGTTAATATAGATCGGCGAGGGCGGCAGACAGTCTACGGTACGTAGGTATAGATGATATCTGTACCTATAGGTCTGCCTAGGAGGTGTCTGTAGCCCGTGTCTGTATGCATGGCAGGTAAGCAAGTAATGTATGTGTATGCATGCCCCTTAGGACAGGTACGCAAAATGCAGAACGAAGGAGACGAGACGACGGATGTGGGAGACGCGGAGATATTACCCCACAGCCACAGGCGAGCACGAGATTTGTCGAGGGACGGCGTCGGAAACCCATGTCATCCTGGGTCTGTCCGTTTCTGTATGCGCCTGTGTATGCACGTCTGCGTCGTATCTCTAGGCAGGGCAGGCAAGGGGGGCGGAGAGAAGGGGGCATCACGAACGGTCCCGACCAGTTGGAGTCGGCCCCTATCCTATATCTCTGGATATTATGGTTGTTGGATAGCCCGACCGACGGGCTGGGCAAGCGGGCATAAAACCCAGGCGCGCTGCACACACACATATATATATGTATGTATATATATATATATATTCTGGTACGGCGCCAGGGGGATCTCTCTTTCGCGCGGGCATTCGGCGGTTTCGTTTCGAGGTTGTCCGCGGCGGAGATTGGGAGCACGAGACGCCCAATTGTCGAAAAGCCAATGGCCGCGTCCGGACACGCCGAAATGGGACAGAGCTGCATATAGGCACATCCCTTACATACATATATGCGCCTTATATACATGTCTATATCTACTCCTACTTAACATACACAGGAGGTAGGCAGGTAGTATATACATGCCTCTATATATGCATATATATATGTATGTATGTATAGAGGCATGTATGTATGCAGAATATCGTATGCCCACAGGCGATGCACACCTCCTAGGCACCGAGGTAGGTATGATGAATCTGCCTACACAAGGTAGGCTAATTAGGGCGAGTGAACGAGCCGGGCGTGGGCGGACGGCTTAGTCGCCATGGTTCGCGGACTGGTTGCTAATTCTAAAATGCTCCGAAACCCCAGAGTCCGACGAGCTGCAGCTGCAGCGCTAAGATGGGTGTTACCAGAGCGCGCTGTCATCTGTCATGAATACGAACGCGCTTGGTGAGACGCTTGGGGAAGACGGTTTGGGATAGACTATGGGTACGAAGGGAGAGGGGGGGGGGCCCAGGGTAGCTAACCCTCGGTGACAGCTAGTTGGGTCGACCCCTTGCGTACTGTGTGGCAGACTCGGTCCCAGCAGGTGAAGCGCAGACTCGCGTACATGTACGTAGGTAGGTAAGCAGTAAGTGACGCAAGTAAACATGCATGTAGAGTCGATGATCGCCGAGACCGAGGTTGGGTTTTGGCTTCGTTGGTTACGGCGTCTCTTCGGATGCCCGAGAGGGGACTCGCTCACTCTGAAGCGACGCGAGGCGAAGAGGGTTGCTGCATTATGTGTCCACCGCGCGGTCCATATGAGTCTACAGGCGGCATTCGTACTTACAGACCTACATAATACATACCTACGTGTCACCCATCCATCTACCTGCCTACGTAAGTACGTGGGATGGTGCTATGTGAGGTATGCAGGTACACAGGTAATATGTGTGGATGGGTGTTTCGATGACAAAGGAATCTTGTGTGGTTCGGTTGGGGACCTCTGGAAATAAGAAGAAGCCAGGGAGCGAGCTCTTGTTCGACGTCCTCGCCCAACTGAGAAATCGAGGGGGTTGGCAAACCCGGCTGCCAGCGGCGATTGGTGCGAGATCCCTGTCGCTTATCTCCAAACCTGATCTCGTTCTTTTCCCTTCACCTGATCTGGCGGATCCAACGTTGGCGCCTTGGGACGGAGCGAGGGAAGCCGGCCTAGAGAAGCCTAGAGGGATGGAGAGAGGGGGTGGCCGCGAACTAGTCGTGACGTAGCCCGTTCGTTGACACACCGGTTCCTCACGTCGAATACGCCGTCGCAACCGTAGCCGGCGGGATCGCACGTGTCAGATACCTATCCAGCCCACCCTCTGTAGCGTGTACCGGCACCTGTCGACGCACACCCACATACACACCTACGTAAGTACGCAGACACACACTCTCCAGTAGGGCACCTTGTATGTATATAGCACACACACACACACCTATATATATACCTATATATATAGGCAAGTAGAGGGGGGTGCCAGCTAGGGCTGGGACCGAGGTGGGCAGCGGGCAGGTCGTCAGGGAGTCCGAGTGCCAGACTACGGCTGGTCATCCCCAACTCGGCCCCGGTCATCGTATGTCATTTTAGGCCATCGTGCCATACGTGACATATCGCGCGTGCAAGTTTGCACGCTTAACCAAGCCTAACGGATACGATCAAGGGTATAATACGCACTTTGTACGGAGTACATCGCACCTATGCGTGCTGTACGTGCGTACGCAGACATCCATGAGGCTGTCGATGCGGACGATAACGACGACGGCGATGATGACGGGTGACGATAGCAGGCAGCACTAGAGATGGCGATGATGCTGAGGATGGAGAAGATGACGGACGAGCCGTCGCTCGCACGACGAATGACGCGGGACGTTACGAGCTGACCAGGGTCTCAACAGTCCTATGAGTAGAGGGTGAGGCACAGCGATTCGCCCTGACGCAATGCTTTCCGTCGGCTGCCGGAACGTGGGTTTGGTGGATGGCAATTTTCCTCGATTGGATCGCTGGCTTGGATCATGCAGAACATACCTAGCTCCCATCTTTTATCGAATAATCCGGAAATCGCTTTATTGGCGTCTCGGCAGGTATCCGGGTACTGCATAAACGGGGTACATGCATGACTGTTGACCCCCTCCCTTCTCGAGCCTTCATGCCCCCTGGCTGCCCCTGTCAGACGGACACCTTTATTGGCAGTCATCATCAAGGCCGTTCCTGGATAACTGGAGCACGACGCAAGAGAGGAGGGGGGGGAGGCTGTTCTAGGCTAGATGGCTAATTCCGAAGAGCAGACTAAGACTATTGCGGTAGCTATATCGTGCGCTGCTGCGACCTTGATGCTGCGCAGTAGGAGAGAGGTACCTCTGTTGTAGGGGGTATCTCAGGGACCCTGGCAAGAGGGTATCTACTGCATGTAAAGTATGCGTTGATGTACAAGTGGATGCTGGCTACGGGACTTGACAGGTACCTAAGCTTAGGTAGGTACCTCTACGTTAGGGAGTTGCCCTCACCAATCTCCTCGTCCCGGATTTACGCCCTGAATGGTGTTGAGGTACCTGTTACATATATAAGCACCTACCTCCCTAGGTTAGGCAAGGTACCTTATACGATTATAGAGAGAGTCCGAGCCGTCCGCCGTACCAAAATGCCCGCGATGATCCGGCGCGCTGGAAACGGCCACTGCTGGGGATCAAATCGCCTTGGGTTTCCCTGCGTGTCTCGGTCGCGGCCAGCTAGCGAGCCAGCCAGCCAGCCAGCCAGCCAAAACCGCACACATGCCTCGCAGACGCACCGGTGCCTCTCCACGGATGTATGAGTATTATGCGTGTATGGATTCGGAACCCTACGATGTCGAACTTGGGCCAGATCTCAGGAACCGGACAGCACATGCGTACCTAAGGCATACAACAATCATCCCTCTGGCTCCAGCATTATAGGTACCTGGCTTTCCCCCTCCCCTCCTGCTTGTGCCCGGGCCAAGGGCCAAGACCGTCCAGGGCCCTGCATGTCTTCCGTGGTGGGCCAGTCAGTGCTTGCGCAGAGTCGCATTCTCTAACCACTCCTACGGGATATGGTTGTATTTCTCAGACAACGCGGCCGTGATATGGCTTGGATTCGACGAGGATGGGACGGGGTGGGATGCACTGGGTCCGTGGAACTACTTACATATATGGGATGCGATCAATATCTGGTGCATGATCGTTGCTCTCCCCTCCCCCCCCCCCCTTCTCCGCCCCTTTCCCCGTCGGGATTCCTCAACGCGAGGCGGAAGAACAGGCTGATGAAAAGGGCACTCAGTTAAGCCTTTGTTGCTTGTCCGTCGTCTGCCTGTTGTACGCACGTATGTCTTCTCTCGCCGTCAGCTTCTATATGTAGACCTGGCCCTGGTTTCGTCGTTTCGACCCTGCCGGGGATTGCCTCGAGGTGTTTCACGAAATAAATGCACTGGCTGACCAGCCAAGCCACGGCGTCAAGATCCTGCCTATCCATCGGCACATCCATATCCATCCTATGCGCCTTGTCAACCATCATCCTGGCCCATCGGCGGCGGTGGCTGGCACGCGGGCGAGGTGAGCGGCTAGCCCACCACCTATGGTACTCTACATATCTGAGTCCTGGGTGGCGCCGGGGCGAACGGGGAAAAATGATGTCGTGTAGGATCTGTCGGTCCCTTCAAGCCATCAAACGACCGAACTACTCATACATATGCCCGCGAGGGTATCGACAAGGAACCTGCCGTACACCTACTAGCACGACCACAACCTGGATGGGGTAGATGCACAATCCACAGACCCCCGCCCGCATCACCACCTTCTCCCTCTATCTCAGAAGCGTTGTCCCTGCTGCTGTGGAGAAGAGATTCGACTCCCTTGGCTTCTACCTAAGAGGTGCCTGGTATAGTGTCAGCGAGGTACCATCTCGCCTAGAAAGGTGGCGAATGGCACAAGCAGTACATTATGATCCATACATGCCTGATACCCAGGTACGTCGCACGCAGACGGGTCTAGCGTGGAATGATCGATTGACCCTATTGAAACATTTATGTGCTGATATATTTACGACCTCCTTTGTATGCATACGTTATATACACACATGTATACCTATACAGGTACCTGGGTAATATATTAACTGCAATCCGTACTGCTACGAAATTTACTAACCGAAAATATGTACATACAATCCTGCCCCTTTTAGGTAAGGAACCTACGGGGAAGGTTACCTATATGCATATTCTTTGCGGGAATTGCCTTTGAGGTACCATCCATGGATGTCCATATTTTGTGATTGCGACTGTGCGACCCGTCGAATGGCGTTGAATTGCTTGACCGCCAAAGGCAGAGCCAGAGAGAGAGAGATAGAGAGAGACAGGCGAGAAACCCCCCTGGCCCAGTGGCATCCGTTGCACCGCATACCATTTAAAATGCTACCCTCCCAGGGCCTTCCCTTCACCGAAAAGAAAAGAGAAGACGACGAGGGAAGAAAAAGCGAAAAAAGAAAAAGAAAAAAAAAATTGTAGATCGAGGTCCTCAATATTGAGCCTCATCTACCTTTCCTATATTTATTTATTTTATCTGTTTATTTTTAAATCTTTTTCTTTCTCTTTTTTTTTCGGTTCGTTTCTTCTCGACGCATTTAAAGTCCAAGTAAAGATGCGGTGCAAAGCCGTCCGTCCGTCTCTTCACTCTGGCCCTATCGACCATCGCCTTGCCTAGGCTGCCTCTGTTACATACCCAGTCGACGTAACTCGACGGCATCCTATCTTATTCGACTTGCCGTTGTTGGCGCCTATCTGTTCACCTGTCCAATCTGTCCTCTTGCTGTCCCCATTATCCCGTCTCTCTCGACCCTGCACCCCCCCCGCTTTCCAAGACGTCTCCTATCTACGCCCACCCATATACTGCGTAGTATGTGCGTTGCATACTTGCCTTGCCTGCCTCAACCTGCCGCCATAGTCGATATCTGATATCGGTAGGTCTTTTCTCTGCTTCCATTCTTGCCGGTGAGGAGGAGGACGGATATCCCAAGTAGGTAGGTAGGTAGCTAGCTATGAACCTCGATTCAAGCCTGCACGCCTGCTCGTACTCATATACCTCTCACCACATATAGATCGATCGACCTTTTATAGATGCGTTTTGGGGGTTAGCCGTTGCTTCTCTGGGCTAGTTGCCCCTGTCTGTCTGTCTGTCTGTCTGTCTGTCTGCCTGTCTGTCTTGTCTGTCTGCCAGCCTGCCAGCCTTGAGGTACCCTCGTTCTTGTTCTTGTTATTATTATTGTCGTTATTACTAGGTATTGCCATCCTCCGCCCGCTTGAGCACTATTGCTTCGCTAGCCCGATGAGGGCTCCCGCTTCTGATTCCATCCCGCTTGCGGTTTAATCGCTATAGCTCCGGCCCTTCTTCCAGCATTTGGGTACCTAGAGGCACGCTACCTTCCCACCTCTCTGCCTCGTAGGTACCTCCTCCTCCCCCTCTCCATCCATGCGACCTTCCATCAACCCCCCCTTGCCTTTTCACATGCGTAGGATGTATATAGGCATATGTGCATACACGCCCTCCGCCCCCGGTATACGCATGCGTACCTGAAGCGGCCAGGCATTTGCCCCTGGTGTTCCCGTCACGTCCACTGGCCCCGACCCCTGGAGAGAAACCCTAGTACGTTAAGCAGAAAATCCACCAAGCGAAGCCCCGAGTTTATCGCAAGCGCCAAGAAAGTGGCCGAACCCGTTCATCCCCCCCAGTCCAGGTGTATTATTTCCTCCCCCCCCCATTTTCCGTGAGCATCTCGCTGTCTATCTACGCGTACATACACACACACAGTCAGCCCGTTTTCCTGACCCATTTTGCCCTCTCTTCCCCTCTTCTCGCCGCGACTCGACTTTGGCTTAGTCTCTCGCTGTGTCCGTCCATTTCTCTCACTGACCGGGCTCGTTAGTATCTGCCATTCCGGCACGCCCACACATCCAACACGTCCCAGCACCGAACACCCTTCCTTTTACCCCTTCCCACGATCCCTACCCTCTCTGCCTCTCTCTCGGCGACCCTCGCCAGCCGTCGTCGACGCCGCAGTCTGATATCCGCCTACACCACACACACCTCTCTCGCATCACACACGCGCTGCACCACACGTCCCACGCCCGACCGCCTTGCGCGCCCTTGTCGTAGCCCAGTCGTGAGCGCCGACCCCTCTTTGTTCTAGTAAGTCCACTCGATCTCCAATCAGTTCCGTGCGTCCAGCACGACAAGCTCGCGCGAGCCTGTGTCTCGACAACGGCCCGCCCCATCTGCGTGCGACCTGCCTTTCTACCACACCCTGCCCTCCTGGCCCTCCTCTTCTTCCTACTCCCCCCCCCCCGTCTTCTCCTCGTCGGAGCGCAACGCCGCGCCGCCCTTCTCGTCGCCCTTGCACGCAACCGCCCGCACGCCCTGCGCCATCACACCTTCATCTACTGGCCGAGCGAGCATTGACGATTCTAACGGTACAGTTTACCTTGAGTGCCTCTTCCCTGAGCCCCCCCAATTGGTTATCGCCACAGCCATTTCCGTCAGCCTTTTGGCCCGTCCGTCTTTGATCCTGCCTCGTGGCCGACGACGCCGGCCTTGGGCCATATAACTAACCATATACGCCCACCTCTCCCGTGTCGCTCTCCTATTAATTGATTCGAACGACCGAAAGTATCTGCTCTCCCTTCCGGGACCCGAGTCGTCGCCTCACCAGGTTTCGACCGCCCCAGGCTGTGTTCCGGTTTAACCATATCGACACTGGCGCTCCGCTGGCCCGTTGTGCCAACCGCGATCCCGACCAGCCCCGATCGACTTGGCGTCCTGGCTCGACAAACACGTCCGCGCAGACCACTAAATAAATAAATCTTACCGCATTAACACAAACCTGCTAGGCACGAACCGACGACGAGACGGCCCCCTTGTATAACGCTTCCCTTGAATTTGGACTACACATGGCCAATTGAAGCTGGATAGGCTGCAAGTTGTCATCATTCACGAAACGACCCCCTCCGTGCGCGATCTGTATTGAATAAACAGGACTTTACCAATTGCGCACTACGTATAGGCTTGCATTGTCCTGCATTGGCAAGAGTGGAATGGTCCCCCCCGTCCACCGTCATCCCCAGCCCGATACTGCAGTCGATATTGATGGTCTAAGGAGCAGCAGTTAAAGACTCGGGACCCCGTCGACTTTTCTAGGGCGGTGTCTGCTGCCGAACATGTCCGTTATGCTGCAAACACCATCGAGGGCATCCACAGCCTCGTCGTCATCCTTTCAACCCATCTCCCGCCAGAACACCATGTCTTCCTACGAAGGGTCGCGCTCCGCGCGCCAATCCAAGCGGTACTCCATGTCCGCGCTGTACCTGTCCATGTCGGCCAACGAGTCGGACCTCGAGATCGAAGACGACCTAGCTAAAGGTGGGACGGCGCTGTGCCGCATGAGTCTTTCCCGGCTTCGAAATTGATGCTAACATACGGTGAATTTTTACAGCGCAAAAGATACTTCGCGAGCTAAAATCCAAGATCTCCTCGCAGTCCAAAAAGAACTTCGTGCTCGAAAAGGACGTCCGATACCTCGACTCTCGCATTGCCCTGCTTATCCAGAATCGCATGGCGTTGGAAGAGGTTTGTGGGATTTCTCCACGGCGGTTATGATTTCCCAGCTGACACCGCAATTAGCAAAACGAAGTAGCAAGTCATCTCGAAGACGCCACCGAATTGCAAGAGGGCGCATTTCCGAACGATGACAAGACTCAGAAATACGGCAATCTCATGTTTCTCCTGCAGTCCGAGCCGAGGCATATCGCTCATCTGTGTCGTCTTGTATCCATGTCCGAGATCGACTCTCTGCTGCAGACCGTCATGTTCACCATCTACGGGAATCAGTACGAGAGTCGTGAAGAGCACCTCCTATTAACCATGTTTCAGGTACGATTGTTTCCTCCTCTTCGTTCAAGAAGTGGTTTCGCCTAGCTGCTGACTAATCTCGTCGATGCGTAGTCCGTCCTAACCTATCAATTCGATACGACTCCCGAGTACTCGTCCCTTCTCCGAGCCAACACGCCAGTCTCTCGTATGATGACCACCTACACTCGCCGTGGACCGGGGCAGAGCTTCTTGCGATCGGTGTTGGCCCATAGAATAAACAGCTTGATCGAGCTGACCGATCTGGATCTCGAGATCAATCCGTTGAAAGTCTACGAACGAATGTGTGAGCAGATCGAGGAAGATACCGGCGGTCTCCCACCATCGCTCCCTAGGGGTATCACGGGCGAGCAAGCAGCCGAAAACATGCAAGTGCAAGCTATCATTGAGCCGCGTTTGACGATGCTCACCGAGATCGCGAATGGGTTCCTAAGCACGATCATTGACGGGCTCGAGGAGGCCCCATACGGTATTCGATGGATATGCAAGCAGATCCGGAGTTTGACCAAGCGAAAGTATCCCGACGCGAACGACCAGGTTATCTGCACACTAATCGGCGGCTTTTTCTTCCTGCGCTTCATCAACCCCGCTATAGTCACGCCCAAGTCCTACATGCTCATCGATGGAGTGCCTTCGGACCGGCCGCGGCGGACGCTTACCCTGGTTGCGAAGATGCTTCAGAACCTAGCTAACAAGCCCTCCTATGCGAAGGAGCCCTACATGGCGAAGCTGCAGCCGTTTATCCAGCAGAATAAGGACCGCGTCAACAAGTTCATGCTTGACCTCTGCGAAGTTCAGGACTTCTACGAGAGCCTCGAGATGGATAACTACGTCGCCCTTTCGAAGAAGGATCTCGAGCTCTCCATAACGCTGAACGAGATATATGCCATGCACGGCTTGATCGAAAAGCACACGGGAGAACTGTGCAAGGACGAGAACTCGCACTTGTCACAAATTATATCAGAGCTGGGCCACGCGCCTCAGCAGGTACCGCGGAAGGAGAATCGCGCCATCAACCTGCCACTGTTTAGCCGCTGGGAAACCGCGATAGACGACCTAACCGCCGCTCTAGACATCACTCAGGAGGAGATCTTCTTCATGGAGGCCAAGTCCATATTCGTCCAGGTCATGCGCTCTATACCCGCGAACAGCTCGGTCGCTCGAAGACCGCTGCGCCTGGAAAGAATTGCCGACGCAGCAGCCACGTCAAGGAACGACGCGGTCATGGTGCGCAAGGGAATCCGGGCGATGGAATTGCTTAGCCAACTGCAGGAGATGAAAGTAATCGACAAATCGGACCAGTTCAGCCTCCTGAGGGATGAGGTCGAGCAAGAATTGCAGCACCTAGGTTCCCTCAAGGACGGCGTCATCGCCGAGACGGAAAAGCTCGAGGAGGTGTACAAGACGATTCGGGATCATAATTCTTACCTCAACGGCCAGCTTGAGACGTATAAGAGCTATCTCCACAACGTGCGGAGCCAGTCCGAGGGCACACGGCGGAAGCAGCAGAAACAGCAAGTGCTTGGGCCCTACAAATTCACCCATCAGCAACTAGAGAAGGAGGGCGTGATCCAAAAGAGCAATGTTCCTGATAATAGAAGAGCGAACATCTACTTCAACTTCACCAGCCCGCTTCCGGGGACTTTTGTAATCTCCCTGCACTACAAAGGTAAGTCAGGGTTCGCGCACATCACATCATCCCCCAGCTAATCTTGCGTAGGGCGCAACCGTGGCCTTTTGGAACTCGATCTCAAGCTCGACGACCTGTTGGAGATGCAGAAGGACAACCAAGACGATCTGGATCTCGAATACGTCCAGTTCAACGTCACCAAGGTGTTGGCCTTATTAAACAAACGCTTTGCCAGGAAGAAAGGCTGGTGATCACGAACCGGCAGCATCTTATTGACATACCCCGGGCCTTTGCGGCTCGTTACCGAGCAATTTGCGGCACCTTCGTTTCTAGGACTTGGCGCGGCGTTTACGGCTGATTACGACGTGATACCAATTTCATTTGATTGCCCAAGTCATAACATCGACTCCGGGTATGGCTCGTGTGCTTTCACCGCCTTGGCTGGCGCGCACACGGAGGTGTTTGTTTTACTGTTGGAGGCGGACTGCGGAGACTTTAATTACCTGTCAACCCATACTTCTCACGACTCATACGAACAATCTATCTTACTGGGACCCTCGTCTCTCGGCGGGTTAGGCTAGACCGAGCGATCCCTATCAAAAACATCATGCCCAGTTTCCCAGGCCGTAATCATGAATCTCTTTATTATATGCAGGGAGTCATTTGGTGGCTTCCCTAGTACTTCTTTTTCCTTTCCTTTCCGTTTCCACTCCCTAATAGTAATCGTGGTATACCATGACAGGCGCGCGCGCGGGTATGTGGCGTGGTTTTTTCTCGACGGAGTTGGTGGCCCGGAATAACAACTGTCAGTCTCTGGCCACATCTACCTATTCGGTAGGACCGGGTAGTCGGCGAGCGAGCGACAACACCGAAGGAGAGGCGAGGGCCTCTTGCGACTTGCGATTACGTATGTGATTCGAATGCAGACCCGACTTGTCGGAGGTCCCCGTTCGCGTGGAAGGGAAGACAGAGGCGGAAGACGGTTCGTCTTAATCGTCGAGGTCTCCAGGGCCTTCTTCTTTCGTTTATCAGACGGGAGGAAGATCGAGAGCGAAAGGGGGGAGGGGAGAGGGTGGATGGGACAGGAATGGAACGGGATAGGATGGACGGGCGTTCTCCACACGCTCACACGAGTTCCTGTTTCCCGCTTGCTTTACTTAGCTGTTTGGTGAACTTCGGCTGGTCCGGCGGCAGAGTTGTCATTACGCTATTTTTTCGAAGGAATCCTGCTGTACCTGCGAGCTATTTATTGTTTTATTTTTATTACGCAGTGGTGATGGCGGTGGGGGGAGGAGTGGTGTTGAATTGTAAGAGACCGATCGCTCACTCAGTTGACATATATACACTATATATGTATGTATGTGCGGACTGCGGATATGTAGCGTAGCCACCATCGTGACACGCAGGCGCAGACAAGAGGCACAGGCGCAGATTCATGAAGTTAACGAAAACAGCCTCCCGTTGCTGGGGAATGCATCCCGACGAGAGCCACATCAGTATCGCCGTCGTATTCGATTGTGTCAAAAACCGCCTACTACCTATATTCAGATTGATCTCCGGCAGACCGAGGCACACAAGCAGATGGTGTAAGTGCTCTCTCTCTCTCTCTCTCTCTACACCCCCTTCTCCCCAACCCATCCTCGACACCTCCCCTCCGTCGGCGAAGCAGCCACGTACCTAGATACACCCTTTGCGTAAGCTCGCCCCCGCTCCTCGGCCCTCACTGCACCGGCACGATGAGGCGGTCGATGTCAGGGCCCCAGCGGCCGTCGCCGACGCCTTCGAACACGATCTCGTTCTGGGCGCCGGCGCGGAGGTCGGCGTGGAGGGTGCTCGCGCTGACGGCGCCGGCGGTGGGGAGGAAGGCGAGGGTGGCGGGGGCGCCGCCGTTGACGCGGACGCGGGCATAGCGCGGCGCGGAGTCGCCGTTGGCGTAGCGCACGCGCACCGTGGTGCGCGCGTCGGCGTCGCTGCGCACGCCGGTGAAGGTCACCGTTCCCGCGGCCGCGGCCGGGCCGCCCAGGTACCCGGCCGCGACGCCGCCCGAGCACGCGCCGCACTGCACGTCGCGCGCGCCGCCGCCGTACGCGGCCGCCTCGCCCTCGTAGCTCGTCTCGGCGGGCTTGGCGCGCGCGCCCGACGCCGCGCCCAGGTCCGGCACCCACGACTCGGCGTCGTCCAGGCTCACGGTGGCGCCCGCGATCCGGAGCGGCAGCCACACGTACGTCGACGCCATCAGGTTGCGGCTGACCCAGCGGTCGCCGAGGTAGAGGGCGCCGGTGGGGGCGGAGCCGTTGGCGTCGCCGCCGACGGGCAGGACGAAGCTGGTCTGCGAGGTGTACGTCTTGGAGCCGGCGGCGGCGAAAGTCTGCCAGGCGGACCAGGGGCCGGCGAGGGCGGTGGCGGTGCTGTAGACGTTGTCGTTGGGGTCCCAGCCGGTGAGCTTGGAGCCGAAGACGTAGTAGCGGCCGGCGAGGCGGACGAGGGCGGGGGACTCGATGCTGTCGCTCCAGAGGTGGGTGTCGGCGGCGACGGAGAGGTAGTCGTCGGCGAGGCGCAGGATGCGCAGCCCGCTCTCGCGGTCCTCGGTCAGCAGGTAGCCGGCGCCGTCGTCGTCGACGAAGAGCCCCATGTCGCGGCTCTGGCGGCCCTGCGGCCGGAAGGACCCCCGGTACGCGTACGTGCCGCACACCGACGTCCCCGTCGCCACGCCCACCTTGGCCTCGCCGTAGTTGCTGCTGTCGATGTGCAGGTACAGCACGTACTGCCGCGTCCGCGCGTTGTACACCACCTTGGGCCGCTCCACCACCCGGTTCGGCCCGAGGTCGCCCGCCTCCGCCGTGCGCGACAGCAGCGCGCCCTCGTACGTCCACTCGACCAGGTTCTGCGACGAGTAGCAGTTGACGTTCTGGAACGCGCTGCCGTTGGTCTTGTCCTCGCCGATCAGGTAGTACGTCGAGTCGACCTTGATGACGCCCGGGCCGTGGGCCTGCAGGTGCTCGTTGTTTGACTGGTTCCACGAGGTCAGAGAGGGGGGGGGCGTTGTTCACGTAGGTAGGATTCTTCTGGTGGCCGTGGTAGATGGCCACCTGGAGCCTAGAGAGGGGGGTGGAGGACGCACAGTAGTCCAAGTCGCGCCGGGAACGATCTGCAGGGTCGCCTCCGCGAGGGAGGCAAGCGCCCCAAGGAGAAGCGCGCGCAGAGGATGCATCTTTGCGCTTCTGTCGTGTAGACCTAGGTGTGTATGTATATAACCTTGAGGTGAGCTCACAATCTGCCGACCTACTTACCTCATATAGGTTGGACGCAGGCAGGTAACCGAGATGTGCATGCGAGATCGCCGACCTACATGCTGCTCAGCGGCAGAGGGCGGGGAGAAACCCGTGCCCCTACGTAGGTATAAATATAGGCGATAGGACAGCTCCGGGGGGTAGAGGGGGGGCGCAAGGGTATATTACATAGATGAATGCTTCCACCCGCGGTGGAGAGAGAGGCAATCTCGAACCGGATTCCTCGGCGGACATCACCCGTAATTGATTGCGATCTGCCGTCGCGAGTCGAGACCTTCTCTCCACGCTTCCCAGCCGGGGACGGCAGGGCGAGCAAGCGCGCCAACCGGAGCACGCGGCCGCGTGCGGGCGGCGAGCGGGTCGCTTAGAGCACCACCATCATGCGTCTTCTTGCTTTATTCTCCGAGCTGCTCTGTTGAGACAACAGCGCCGATGCTAGGCAGCCAACAACGTGCAGCGCCTCCCCGCCTCTGCTTTTCTCGCTCGTCTTCCTTGGACCTCGCACCCCGGTCCTGGCGGTTCTGCGCGTGCCCCCCCCCCCCCTCCTCCGTTCTCTTCTTCGCGCCGGCTAAGTCGCGCCACGTTTATAGGGGCGGCTAAACACCAATTTGCTGGCTGGCTGGGCTGATATCACGCCGGGTTTTCCTGGCCCGCCGGCCGGCCGGCTGCATGCAGATCGCAGAGAGAGAAGGGGGGGGGTGGAGGGTGGAAGGGGGAAATGTCCCATCAATGGGACCGCTCTGGGTACCAAGAAATGCTGGCGATGCCCCCCTCGAGGGGGGGAGTGGGTAGCCGATGCTACGCTGGCGGACAGGGAGTATGGGGCGCCGTCGTATTCTGCACGAACTCCCTGCGTTTCTGGGGCGCGTTCAGGGAACCAAGTTTCCCGTAGCTCGACACCGACAGGTCTTGTCGTTTCGGTAATTTGTCAACGAGGACATCTCTCGGTGATGTATATAACTACAAAACGGCCGGACGCGTGAGTCATGAGAGTATTGCTTCTCGTGATAAAAGCTGCCATCCGCTGCCACGTATAGGATATACGCCCAAGTATTCGCTTCCATGACCGACGGATCTCACACACAGACGTTCTTAAGGCATCTCACAGTTGCTGTATCGTTTTCCGTGTCTTCTCCGGTTGTCGGGATTGGCCTACATGCCCGAAAGGAGCGAAGTACGCCTCGATTCCTAGATTCAATAGAGATTCTAGCCCAAGCAGCCGAACAGTTGAATACCTAGTTAGCCGTAGTGCGTTTCCGGCGCTCAAGCTTGAGCTAGATCCATCACGTGAGGCCCGGAGTTTCAGGCCGGGGACGGCCCTTTAAGACTATTTGACAACATGGGCCTTTACTGTTAATTCGTACGTTCTCGCCAGGCTTCAACAGCGCGCAATATGTTGTAAGGAGGGCCCTGGCAGAATCGAAGGATAGGCTTCTGAGTTACGCGCACCTTCAGTTCATCTGCTGCCTCTCCAAGCTGGAGAGGCGGTTGCTGCACCACAGCACGGAAGCAAAGCTTGCGGCCGGGGTTGAGCTCGGAGAAACCGACTTTGCTAATAACTTGGAATCGGCAGTAGATGAGCCGTCCCCAGGGTCCGAAGGCGACGAATACTAAGTGACATGGCGATTTTTATTATTATCTTTCGGCGTTCGAAACCCAGACGAGAAATGATGGTGATGATGCACCTATTAGAAACCATTCATGTGCCGGGGCTAGTGCCCCGCCATGCGTAACCCTATTCAAGCCCATCTCGAGCACAAGCGGCGACGCATCCATCCCTGACCCTCACCAAGCAGACATGGCTCCCAAAAAAGGCGAAGCTTTCCAAGTCGCCGTGAGACGGTAGTACTATATCAGCTACGGCGCTATTCGTTTGATGAAGGCCCAAGCCGGCGAGACACGATGTCCTGGCTACAGGCAGCAAAGATCGAGGCTGATGCTCCGCCGTAAACAATTCACTTCTATCTACTTGCTGCCGGACTTGCGGAGTTCAAGGTCGGTTGCGCATCCCAGTGGCCTCATCTAGCCTATGGCTTGCGGTTTTTGCTGCTTCCTGATCCAGGATCAGCCATGGTCCGACACGTTGCTGGGGACGAGTTGAAGGGCGGGCGGATTACATCAGAAGGGAACTCTGTGAACCGCGGGGTGGCGATCAGCACTATCCAGCGGAGAATGGCGATATGGTGTACCTATAAATATAGCAGTGTGGTCTTCCGTCTTGTGTAGCCTTGCATCCATACCTGTTCATCTATCTCTCGGAAGGCCTCCTCGGTTAAGTTATCAAGGCCAAGGTGGAGCATGCCTGGGGCTTGTACCCGGAGGGCATCGACGTCGTCATCAACAACGCCGGGTACATCCTAAACGGTGCCGTCGAGGAGCTCAGGTGAGGGGTGCCCCTACCTACGTGACGAGCCCATACATGATGTGCAACGTTGCTTAACATCCACGGCGCATAGCCCGAAGGAGCTGGAGGACGTGATGAAGACCAACTTCTTCTGCCCCTTTCACATCACCCAAGCCGTCCTCCCCAAAATGCGCGCCAAGGGCCACAGCACCTTATTCTACATGAGTTCGCAAGCAGCGTGGCACGCGGACCCCGGCGCTTCGGGCTACTGCGCGTCGAAGTTCGCCCTCGAGGGTACGTTGGATCCTCGCAGCATCGACTCCTCAGCCCTGCAAACTAGAACAGCGATAATGACTCCCCCCACTTTCTCTCCTCTAGGCATGGCCGAGTGCCTCGCGAAGGAGCTCGCCCTCGTGGCGCCGGGGATCAGGGTGCTGCTCGTGGAGCCGGGCTACTTCGGGACGCACGCGTTCCGCAAGATCAGCTTCGCGCCGCTGCGCAACGCCGCCGACTACGGGGCCTTTCAGGCCAGCAGCCGAGCCTACGCGGCCGGCGTCATCGGCCACGAGCCCGGCGACGCCGACAAGGCGGTCGACCGCATGATCGACCTCGTCAAGGGGACGGGCGCAGCGGCGGGCCGGGAGGTGCCGCTGCGCGTCCCGCTCGGCACCGACGGGTGGCTGCGCATCAAGGCCAAGTGCGAGGACACGCTGAAGATCTGCGAGGCGTGGGAGGACGTGGCTAGGAGCACCGATAAGACCCCGCCGGCTTAGGAGGCCGGCCGCAGCTCGCCCCATGCTGTCGCGGTTGTTGCCGGCCTGCTCATGCTGGTATCTAATCAAAGGGACAGAGAGGAAATCGACAAGGTTATAGGCCCAAAAGAAGAGATTGGTATTTCCGTGAACCGCTCTTTTCCTCTCGTACCCAGAGGCTTGTTGTGGTGCTTCACCAGGGCTGGCTAACTGAAAAAGGGGCATCGGCCACGACAGGTCAGACGTACTTCAAGGATCCCCTACTGGAAGTTAGGCGTAGACGTGTGCCTAGCCGGCGAGTATGAGGTATTCTAGGCAGGATGCTGTACGTTTCCATGTAAGGTACTTCCGGTTTAAGAGACGCTGAAACGGGGGTTGACCGAACCGCGATAGGCACCGTGGAGGCTCGGGTGTCTGTGGCATTACACGACACGACCTGTTGCACTCTGAGATCGCAGTTTCGACATCAGCCCCAAGGAGTCTGCAAGGAAACACCAGAGTTGTCAGATTTGTGGCAATCTGACAAATGTTTATAAACTTAGGCCCCGAGGAATCGCTTCTGAATAGCCGAACGCGTCGTCCAAACTCAGAACCAACCGACCGTCACCACACGGGAGTGTGGTGACGGTCTTACCAACTTCCCCTTTTTTACCGGAGATTACTACTACAAGACTCTCCCAGGCCGCTGGCGCGTGTATGCCTCCAATAGGCTTAGATTTCGCCTGGTCCTGTCCTCAAGATCGATTGTGATAGGACGGCTTACCTCGAGCGGTAGCAGTTATGAGACCCTCCCGAAAGAGCGTACGAGTGTGTATCGTCGGCCATGTCGAGGGAGGCAGCGCGGGATCGAGGCGTAGCTGAAGGGGTCGCGCGTTGTCTGGGCACGGCAGCGTCCCCGCGTACTCGCACTCGTCGCGCACCGCGCCTTCGATCTGCCAGAGGAGCAGCCGGCACCGGGGGGAGGAGGTAGCCGTACGGTTTGGTGCAGCAACAGTGCTGGCCTCAACTCGCTTGCCGGCTAGATCAGGACGGTGATGGTGATGGTGGTGGCTGCTACCTGTGTTTTCGATAGCTTCGTCGGCCGCCCACCTAGCTAGGGCGCGGGCGAGCTCTCCGGTATGCGTGCTGCCTGCTTACCGACTGGTGGGCGACTTTGACCTGGTCGGGGTGGATGTAAAAGTCGTCGAGGTGGTTAGCCGGCAGGAAAGCGCAAGCCCCGAAAGGATAATTATAGGCATGTTAGACTGTAGGCTGATCACCTGTCGGCGACAAGGCGACGCGACACGACGCGCTTCACATGGAAGTTCGTGGCGACAAGGAGGTCCGTGAGGATTCAGGCAGGGGACATGATTACGTACCGGGGGCTCCTATAGTCAACTCCAGGTCGGGGAGCAATATGGGAATCGCACTGGCTGTTGAGCAATGCCTCCGTGTTGTTGCCCGGCATCATCACCATCATCATCATCATCGGGATCAATCAGTCAAGTCGATCAGTAAAGTAGCCTTAGGTCAGGCAGGTTAGGTACCTACTGAGGTCCTTAGGGACCTAGGTATCTAAGTACCTAACCTGCTTGAGATCAATGCGTGCAGGTACCTACATACCTACCTATGTAAGTGTCTGTACTTCCGGCTCGGGTTAGGAACGAGAGCGATCCGATCCTGCCGGCACTCGCAAAACGCCAAGGGCCGCCTGGGCAGGGGCGCCGGGTCAGCTACTTGCCCCCTTTAGGGCTACCTTAGGTACCTAATCTTACAGTGGTGAGATGCCACTTTATACCGTGAAGAAGTACCTATGAGCAGGTACCAGGGCGAAGGACCATCACAATGACTGCATGCGCGCATACGTGCACATCAGGCAGGCGCGACGGCGACAGGAAGACACTCATACAGCAGGAGAATGGTAAGTAGAGAGAACCCCTTGGGCATGTACCCTAGCCGGCGAGGTTGCGTGGGAAAGGGACCGCGAGCACCCAATCGGGTACCTCCCTTGCTCGGTAGAGGTACCTACGAGTGCGAAGGAGGGAACAAGGGGGGGAAGCTGCCAACAATACCGCTGCTGCTTTTTCCTGTTACTGCCATCTGAGGTGGTAATACGGGTTTGACCCGAGTGTCACTCGGGATCCCTTCTTGCTGACGCTTCTCTCTCTTCTTCTCCTACTCCCCCTCCCCCATGTGCTCCCCTGATTCGAAATACCACCCAAACAAAACTCCAAGCCGACGTCGACTGCCAATATGAGCCGAGAAGACGCCGGCGACGATGTGGTCTCCGCGCCCGCCACCGAGCGTACTCCGCTAGTTGGGCCGGACGCCCCCGCATCGCCTGGCAAGTCCGGCCATTCGGGGCCGTCTAGGGCCCCGTCCCTCTCCCGCGGCAGCATTAGCGCCTCGACGCCGTACAGCACGAAGCCCGCCATCATCGGCCTCTTCTATTTCATAATCTTCCTCGTTTCCTCCGCCGGCGCCCTCTATCAGATTCCCATCACCAAGATATACGAGAATATCCTGTGTCGTCAGTACTACGACGATCTTCGGGACACCACGCCCTTCGACGCCGGAGACTGCAAGAATGACATCGTCCAGTCCAGGCTAGCATACCTTCTTGCCGTCCTCGAGTCCCTCAATTCCGTCATTAGCTGCCTCGTGGCCATGCCTTGGGGTATCGTGGCCGACCGGTGAGATCGAGTCCCTCAGCCTAGTCTCTCCCCCCCTCCCCCCCCACTGCGTTCTACTGAGCTAACCACTATTACCTACGCGTCGTAGCGTCGGCCGCAAGCCGGTGTACATCTCGAGTGCCTCAGGCATCGCACTCTCTATCCTGATGATGACCGTGCTCGCCTGGTTTTCCGACATCTTGCCTGCGCGGTCCATCTGGTTCTCCGCCGTTGCCTACTTGCTCGGGGGTAGTCCGGTCATGAATGCTTGTATATATAGCATTCTCACCGATCTCGTGCCAGAGTCTAACAGGTAATTACGCATAGATTTCCTGCTCTGGCCGGTATCGTTTCCGACTCTCGTGCTGATCGCGCCGTTCAGGTCCATCAGCTTCATGCGTGTTCACGTCACGAGCCTGGTCGGGAATCTCATCTCGCCCGCGCTGTCGTCGGCGATGATGTCCTCGACTGGCCCCTGGCCCGTCATGCTACTTACCCTCGTCCTCTGGGCCGTGTCCACCGCACTCGTCGTCTTCATACCGGAGACTTTCCGCCGGAGTCCGCACGTTGACGGCACCGAGTCCCAGCCCTTCACCATCCGAGCGCGCGCACGCGAAAGCATCGCCCAGGCTCGAGACACCCTGTCTATCGTACGGTTACCTTCAATATCCCTGGTTCTCGCCATCTGTCTCCTGTCGCTCCCGGTGATCGTATGCACCTTTCAATTTATGGTGCAATTCATCTCGAAACGTTATCAGATCCCCTTAGAACAGACCGGCTACGTCCAATCCATCTATGGTGTTGCCCACATAGTCGTGGTCCTACTGATAGTTCCGTGCATCTCTAACCTAATAGTCCGACCGTCGCTGCCCAGTTGGCTACGCGCACCGAACGAGAACCGCCGGGACTTGGTTCTGGTCCGTTGGTCCTACGCTGCGTACGTAGCAGGCACTTTTATCCTCAGCATCTCTCCGTCGCTGCCCGTCTTCGTCGCCGGTCTCGTCGTCATGTCTCTCGGATCCGGGTCTGCAAGTTTTATCAAGAGCATTGCCGCGCTGCATGTTGATCCCGAGCATAGATCGAGGTTGTTCACTCTCATGTCCCTCCTAGATGTTGTCAGCAATGTGTGGGCTATGCCTGCTCTGGCGGCACTTTTCACCCTGGGCATGCGATGGGGCGGCGGGTGGATCGGTTTACCCTACCTCGGCGTCTCGCTCACCTGTGTTGCTATGTTTGTGTTATCGCTATTCGTACGCGTCCCGGAAATTAATGGCCGCGATGAAGATGGGCCAAATGTCTTGTAATACAGAAAGGAGTCGATAGAAGATAGATATTGACAAGATGGCCGAAGTTGAACTAGGTATTTAGAAGGATTTTTGACACTCCCTCCTTTCCTCCTCCAGCCCTGGCTGGTTGTTTTCTTTCAACACAATCCCCGATACTTTTTGAAGACAACACGGAATTCTACTGCGTCCGTCCCTCGCGTACAAACATATATCCGAACGGAACAAGAGAAATTCTAGCATCCTGACCAGTCTGTTTGTTTATTTTGCCCGCAGCCGACGAGCATACGGAGAAATGCACACGGTAACCGCACGGTGGTGGGTGCCCCGGGGCCCGATGTTGCGGCCACATGAGGCATCAAGTTCCGGTATTCACGAGGTTGGTTGGTTGCCTTGAGAATTCTCACAACTGTATTCTTCCCTAGTCACCTAATGTTTAACTCGCCCACATCAACCCAAACCCAACTTTCTTAAATTTATAACAACCCATCCGGAAACCGAGAAGGGAAAATCCTTTCCTCTCTCCTAACCGCACTCTCAACCTCAGTACTATTATCAGGTCCAACCAACACATTCCACTTCTCTCTTCTCTCTCCTTTTCACCAACAAAGCCACCAACATATCGGCTTTGCACAGGCTGTGCTTGTGCAGACATCTCGACAAACATCAACCAGTCCCTGCCCGCTAAGATGCCCTCCGGAAATTTGATTGTACGTATACGTCTACCTATCATCCACCTACCCGACGCAGCAGTTTGTACCTAGAATGGCAGCGTGCTGACGATAGCCTCTTGACAGCGGCCATCCCAGAGCGGAGCGGTCCAGCAGCAAAAAATCTTGGATCGCTTCCACCTCTTCTCGAAGCTGCCCATGGAGCTTCAACTGATGATCTGGGACCTCTGGCGGGCGTCCCAACCCATCATCCGCCACTACATGTTCACCGACAGTGACGGAAAGCGCCGTTACGCTGCCTACGACATGTCTAAGGGCGCCATGGCCACGAGAGCCTTCCTAGACCCGAGGCCACTTCTGACCCCGGGCGAGGCGGTGGACCCCATGGATATCAAGATCCGCCTGACGGGAGAGGTGGCCAGCGCGGACAGCTGGTACGAGCTGCGCAATGTCTCGTACGACTACAACGTGATAGGGAGGCCGCTCCGCTCGCCCTTCGCCCGGGTCAACTTCCACAAGGACTTTTTCTTCTTCCATTCGTGGTCCGAGATGCCGGGCCATCTGCGCTTCATGTACCCGCGGATCAACAGCCAGGCGCCCAAGCAGCTCGACGATGGTCACTAGTGCCGACACATCCGTCAGTTGGTTATTAACATCCCGAACAACCGGTCGCTGGCGCAGGCGGACAAGATGGTGCTCCGCCAGCTGTGTGCACTGAAGACACTATACATCTGCGCGCCGTGTCCTTGGATGCCGATCCCCAGCTGCCCCGGCGACGTTGACGAGCTTGGCTTCATGGCCATCGACCGGTCCGCCGGCGCTCTCCGCACGAACCCCTACTTCGCCGGCGCTATCCGCATGAACCCCTACCACGCGGCGGTGCGCCGCTACAACGAACCGCAGTGCGCCACGCTCCAGCGCATGGCCGAGAAGTACGCCGGCAGGGTGCGCAAGGTCTTTCGCGACAACAGGCAGGAGGTAGACGTGAAGGTCGTCGAGGACACCCTTGACTTCGCCGTGTCCTTTCAGCCCGACCTCTTCTAGAGCCGTCGTTTGTGGCAGACCCAACTCTCCCCATCTCTCGAGATGCCAATCCGAGGCGGCTTCTTGTTATTAATTGTCGTTTTACGTTGCGGCTCGGGCCTTGCTTCTGTCGTTCGGTTTCCATCGGAATGGCTACGCCCAGGTCGTGCCAGCCGCTAACGATTTGCTATTCACCATCACCGTACCCAGATTGCGAGAGAGGCCCGCGCCGTATTCATCGTCTGTAGGACTTGGGGGGGGGGGGGGGGGTATTAGAGCGAGAAAAGAGACGAGGTAGGTGGGCAAAAGAAGCCTCCAGTCCTATTTAACCATCGCCGACTAACATTTGCCTAGGTACCAATTTCTCTCGACTTCGCGGTAGGGGCGTGTTCAGTGCCCCAACTCCAGGTAGGTTAGCGGGGGGAGCCCTGCGCAGGAGTTAGGGCGTTCTTAGGGAGGAAGTCGGCCATGAGATTGCATCGGTATTATTACTTCGTTGTTTATGAGCTCGGTGACAGGCACTCCTGGAAACTTCAGCTCCCAGCATGTGAGGACTGTCCGACAGCCTAGCCTCCTCCTTTAGTCTAGTATGCAGAATAAACAGAGCGACTTTCGATCCCACCATCAACGCCCCTTTATTCGTTTTATGTGATGGCGAGGCAAGGTTCGCGTTCGAGCATGCCTCGCCGTTCCGTAGTAGTAATAGCGGTGGTAAGAGCCATAGCATCAGGGACCAAGGCCCTCGGTGCCAAGCTTATGGCACTCGGTACGTCGCTAGACACCCCCTGCTCATCGTGAAGCAGGTTATCAAGTCTCTACAAGACATGCGGACGCGGACTGCCAGACTAGGCGATGCGACTGCCTCTCGAATACCTACATCCTCCTCTTCCCTGCGTGTCTCTCCCACGACCAACACCGACGGCTCCTCTACCGGTCCCGTTAGCTCTCTCCTACGGTGTTACTCCACGTTCGCTGTCACAGCAGCAGCGCCTCCCACGGCTCTTCCCGCAGGTTGACTAGCGACCTCTACGCGACGCCACAACTACAGAGCGGCCGTTAGCGAGTTCATCCTGCGCTCGCGCGCTCGCTAGTGTTTCCCGTGGGATATGGCCGTCTGCGCAGGGGGTCCGAAGTCTACGTCCGCTGCTAGAGAGAGAGGGCTGGGGACGAAGGGGAAGAAGAGGCTGAGTTGGCCGATCTGGGTGCCCGTCCCTATGATGGAGGACCTGACGAAACGGTGTATGAGGAAGCAGTGCTCTTTTTTCATGAGCGGGAACTCGTCTCCTAACGCTAGACACGCTGTAATCGTAGGTAGGTATTAACCCAAGCGGCCACGTGTGGCGGCGCGAATAGATACGTGGAGCACAGCGCGAGGGACTACACAAGGGCAAAAAAAAAGGAGGTCCTGGAAAAAGATAGCAGGCCCCGAAGCAGATCGTAAACTCCCAAGAACTCGCTCGCTCGAGACGTAAATGATACAGGTACCCGAAACTGCTTAATGAAGCCGACACAAGGTATTAATAGAGAGGACCACCCTGCCGCATCGCCGGCGCGGTCCCGCCCGAGAGAAACTAGATAGTACTCATAGAACACCCAACTGCCGCTGGCCCGACCCGCAACGCGATGCCCTTGCGCTTCCGTGAACCCGAACCTGAAAAGCCCTCCCCCCCTTTACTTGTATATCCCGGATTCGCCCTCGCGCCGCCGTGTAATATCTTCGTGTAGTATACCGTTGTAACCCCGAACCTGTCTTGCCGTGCATCATAGTTACTTTATCCCAGTTGTTCTTTTTTTTTTCCGTCCTTCCCTTTTGCCCTTTGCCCTGCGCCACTTTGCCTCCTCTATCCCTTGTTCCCGATTTCCGGGGTTTTTTACTCCTTTTTTTAAAAAAAAAAAACCCCCCTATTTACCCTGTGCGCCGTCGGAACTGACCCCCCCATCACATGTCCTGCGGTGCCGCAGCCTTCGCGGGGACCTGCAGGTGGCCGCGGTCGTCGTCCAGGGTGTCGGCGCTCGCGCGGGAGTCGGGCGCCGGCTGGTGCGGCTGGCGCGTGACGGTGACGTCGAGGGTCTTGGTGATGCCGTCAGCGTCGAGGATGAGCTCGGTGCTGTCGCCGGTGCCGCGGCGCACGCCGCTGACCTCGGTCTCGTTGTGGCTGCGGTGGCCGAGCGCGCGCGTGCCGCTGCCCCAGGTGCGCAGCGCGTACCGCAGCTCCGGCGGCCGGCGCGAGCCCGACCCCGTCCCGCTCCGCGACCGCTCCGAGAAGTACTTGAAGAGCGGCGCCAGCGTCGGGATGCACGCGATCGTCACCCCGATATTCGCTTCCACGATCGACCACGTTATCGGCTCCGCCGAGTCCAGGTAGTTCGCCAGGCTGCGGATCGTCTGGATCCGGATCACCTGGATCACCGTCACGAAGATGCCCAGCGCGAAGAGGATCAGCAGCGCCGCCTTCCGCCGCCGCGGGATCTTGGACTGCAGTAGCACTGGGAACGGGAGGATGATACTGGCCGCCCCAACGGCTGGTTAGAGTCTGTGGGAGATAGGTACGGGCGCGCGATAGCATTGGCGGGACTTACACCATCAGGTCGAAGCAGATCGTCAGAGACGAGAAGCTCAAATAAAATGGCACCGCTGCGGCGCAGTGTCCATACGTGATAGCTGGATCCCATTGCTTGCTTATCTACGCCGCGCTTGTTAAACGACATCGGTCATAACCGGACATTCTCTAAGGGGGAAACATACCGGCGTGCAGAGGAAGAGGAAGACACAGACGAAGGCGATGTGCGCCAGCGTGCAAGCTATCCCTACGAAGACCGCTGCTGTGTGATATCTCCCTTGGAAGAACCGGAGGTACGACAGCAGCAGGCTCATTTTAAACCCCCATATTCCCACAACGTAACTGGCGCCGACGGCGGCGATTAGCGGTCGAGCTCTCGGGTCGGCATTCGTCCGACGACTTACAACGGAGCGCCGATGTACTGGACCTGTCTAACCATAAGCATCATGTTGCTCCACCACGTTGGCGCGGGTGCGGAAAGCTCACCAGTCCGAAATTGTAGACGTTTCCGGGGGGCATGTCCTCGAGGCTCATCACGCCCAAGCCCCATTTCGTCTCTGACCGACGGTCAGAGGAGAGCGAGGGGAGCAGAAAAAGGGGAGGGGGTACGAACGAACTACCGTGCACAGCGAATACACGCACGTCCCGACCTAGAGTCGTCTGTCAATAAGCACGGCACGGCACGGCACTCGGCTCTGGGATGGGGGTTTTCGTACCCACGACACCATTATCATCCAGTCATCTATATCGGGCGGGAATTGCCATCGTTAGCATATACACCTTAGGGGGGCGAGGAGGATAGCAATCTACCGAAGCTAGCTCGAGGGTACCGTGGACTCACCGTGGCCGAAAGCCTTGACCATCCATCCTCTCACGTAGGCCCGCAGACAGACTATGGCGAGGGTGAAGCCGGTAAATGTGATCGTGACGGCCACGATCCGGGGTCCGTTCGTCGGCGTGCCGTCGGGGGCGTTGTACGTCCAGCCCATGGTGATATAGGTATACCTTTGCCTGTACAGGGCGCCGGGCGCCGTCGAAACGCGCGGGAATAGATGGACAGTGTCAGGTGCCGCTCATCGAGTCTCTTCCCGATCTTGCTCTTCTCTCAGCGGGAAGCGGGTTTGTGGGGAATGAGGGAGAGAGGGGGAAGGGCCGGGCATTTTGTACACGTACATATGTGTATGAGAGACGGCACATACGTATTGTGAGATCTGACGAGAACGACGAGGCGAGGAGGCGGGATGAGGGAGGGTGGTCTCGCTGGAGGGCAGAATCGTGCGTGCACACCCACATGCGTGTTGATCACTGCCAAAGCAACTCAGCGTTATTAGGTGTTGATGACGGCCTCGAATGGCCTTGTTTCCAATCTGCCGTCTCGCCATGCAAAAGCAGGCAGGGAATCCCTGCCGGTCGCTATATGATGTGACTTGGGACCAAGTTGGATGGGCGAGTCAGAAGAGACATCGTCGAGCCCACACACACACACACACCGTCAACTGCCATCCACACCCTCTCCTTCACCAAGCCGCCGCACGTGAAACCATGCCGGATCAATATCGACGCCGCCGGTTTTCATCGCAGCTCGTTTACAGCGGGCCTGCCCTCGCTTTCCCACCCCCCGCGTGGGTTGCCCTGCGGGAGCGACGGGAGCGATGGGAGCTTAATATTTCTTCAACGTCGCATCCGGCGCCCTGCAGGTCAGACGCTGCGACCCTACCCAGGAGAGAGAGACCCGTGCTGTGCTACGCGCATACGGGGATTGCAGTGCGCGTAAGAGACGATCGCTGCGGTCCTTCTCAATACCGGCTGTGCATCTCATGCAGGCGCAAATTGTCGCCATGTATATTGCCAATCGACCTGGACGGGGCTCTCGTCGCCGTGTAGTCGGCCTGGTCATCACATCCCGCGCTCGCAACACGTGCAAGCAGGCTTGGTATTATAAGTAGGCGTGCGCAAGCAGGCTGGCGGCCATACCTATCATTAAGATTTGCTTGCCATCGATGCCACGTGAATCACGATAAAACGGCTTCCATTCTCGGCACGCCGAGCGGAGGGTGGCCTGTATGGGGGACACCACCGAGGACAGGCCGCGCGCTCGCCCTCGCTGCCAATGCTGCAACGCAAGCAGGCATGTGAATTGTGACAGTAAGTTAGGTAGGTAGGCAGTTAGCTGTCCGGGACCGATGATAATTGCCGTTAACACAGGAATAGATAGAGCTCCGAGAATCCAAGCAGCATCTCCTGCGCTCCCACATGAGAGAGGGGAGGGAAACACAAATACATTCACACCTGCTCCTCACTGCCTCTCCTGCGTCCCCCTCTCACGAGCCGATGAGGTATTGGGATTTTGCCAAGTGTCTTTCCGGACTGCTTGTCGAGACACATGCATACACCCACACACACCACACACACACACACACATGTAAACGCACATGTAGTTCCCGATCGCTCGTGACGTGACGACCCCGTCGCTCGGGCTTGGGGAAAGATGGTACCTACTGGGTTGCCGAAGGGCAGCCGGGCATTCCGGTCATCGGGGTCAAAGGAGGAGAAGCCCCTCTCCCCTCCATCCCCAATTCGAGGTGTTTATGCATGTCTGGGGACGCGGCAATCTGCTACATATTCGTCCCGGCGGCGCTGTCTGGTGAGCCGCTATCACAGGACGAAGCGATAGGGGAGCCGTCAAGTAATCTTGTCGCAAAATGCCTCCGTCAGCCGGTGGTGACAGCGAAGATAAGAGCAGGGCGATGTCAGCTCCGTCTCAACAGAAAAGAAAGAGAAAAAGGAACATCGATACGTTCGTCTTCCGTGATTGGGTTTCTTTAAGAAGGATCACCGGGGATCTTCTACAGTGCGCAAGGATTTTGAGAAGCTTCCCGGAAGTTGTTGGGTTAGTTGGAGTAGGCAGGTCCGAATTCGAGAGGAGCGCAACCAACCGGCATATTAAACACCAGCCAACACACATATCTACACTTGCGCCCTTATTATTTATATCCACATCGTCACCCGCGCTTGGGGGTGGTGCTGAAAAAGAAGAGGAAAAAATCGAGCTCTCTGACACGGCTGAGTCTTTCGGTGTCTATATGGTTGTACCACCACGATAAGCTGTGTCTTTGTCAGTGCGAGAGGGGAGGGTCTAGGAACCGGGGGCCCAGCGGGACGACATCGGTCATAACGCCACAAGGGAATGACCTCGATCATGTCGTCGTTAGTTCGTCTTCTTCTCCCGGCTGTATTGGGGCTGGTACCGTCCCTATTCGCGCCGTCTGCGAGCGCCGTCGCCGTCGGCGGCATTGCGCCGAGGTGCAAATGTCTGCCCACCGACCCCTGCTGGCCGTCGGTAAAGACCTGGGACGCCTTCAACCGCACCGTGGGTGGCCGTCTCATCGCTACCGTTCCCCTGGGCTCGCCGTGCCACGACCCGACGTTCGATGAAGAGAAGTGCAACTTTCTGAGAGAGCAGTGGCACGATTCCGCGATCCAGTGAGTGTGAACCCATCTCCTCCGCTCTGCTCTCCCTCTCCTCTTCTTGCTCTCCTACCATTGCTGTAATTACTTTCTCCGTTATACGCATACATCCGCAAACGCAACATATCTTATAGAGCTAAACTACTGACTCCGACGGGAAAATAATCTAGTCTGGAATCCTCGTCATCGGTGATGGCTCCGATATTCGCAAACCAGAGCTGCGACCCGTGGCAGCAGCCGCGCAGCACCCCCTGCGCACTCGGCAATTACGTGAGCTACGCCGTCGAGGTCTCGGGCGCCGCCGACATCGCTGCCACCCTCCGTTTCGCGCGTGAGCGTAACCTGCGCTTCGTCGTCCGTAACACGGGCCATGACTATCTCGGACGGTCGACTGGCGCCGGCGCCCTCGCTGTCTGGACGCGTCGCCTTAAGAGCATCGAGGTCGTCAACTGGCGCGACCCCCCCTTCTATTCGGGCAAGGCGATGCGCCTCGGCGCCGGCGTCCTCGGCTACGAGGCCCTCGCGGCCGCCCGCGCCGCCGGCCTCGTCGTGCTCACGGGCGAGTGTCCTTCCGTCGGCGTCGCTGGCGGCTACGTCCAGGGTGGTGGCCACTCGGCGCTGAGCACGAGCTTTGGGCTCGCGGCCGACAACACGCTGTCCTTCGATGTTGTCACGCCGAGGGGAAAGCTGCTAACGGCGTCGCGCACGAAGAATAGCGACCTCTATTGGGCGCTGAGCGGCGGCGGCGGCGGCGCCTTCGGTGTGGTAGTCGCTATCACGGTGCGCGCGCACCCGGACACCGTCGTCAGCGGCGCCTCGTTCGATATTAACGTCCCCTCTTCCTCATGCTCGTCTTCCCCATGCGAAGGAGAAAATGGTAAACAGAACCTCCTCTCTGAGGTGATCGATACCTTCCACGCGGCGCTGCCGGCCATCGTCGATGCCGGCGCCATGGTCATCTACTTCTTCGGCGATGGGTTCCTACGTGTTCCGGCGTTGACGGCGTACGGCAAGACACGCGAGGACGTAGCGCAGATGCTGACACCGCTGGGGAATGCGCTAGCCGCGCTCAACGTCACGCTCGCGCCGACGCTGACCCAGTTCGACAGCTATGGAGACCACTACAACCACTACTGGGGCCCGCCGCCTGCAGGCAACATCGAGGTCGGTACGCAGCTCTTCGGTGGGCGCTTGATCCCGCGCTCGGAACTCCCGAGCTTCGGCCCCGCCTCGCGGAAGCTTGTCGAGCTCGGCGTTGTGTTCATCGGCGTCGGGCTCGACGTGTCTCGGTTCGGGAGGGGTGGGAGAGGCAAGAAAGGCGGCGGCGAGAGAGTGAACGCGGTGCTGCCACAGTGGCGCGACACCCTCGTCTCTGCGTCGCTTACCCTCGCCTGGGGCTCTCAGGACCCTTTCGAGCAAGGTTTGGCCGAACAGCGGCGCATCACCGATGTCATCCAGCCCATCATCGAGGCCGCGACGCCCGGCTCCGGCGCGTACATCAACGAGGCCGACTTCCGCCAGCCCGACTGGCAAGACGTATTCTACGGCGCCAACTACCCCGCGCTGCTGCGCGTCAAGCAGAAGTATGACCCAGACCGGCTGCTATACGGCGCCGTCACAGTCGGCAGCGAGTTCTGGACTGTCAGCGAGGAGGGGCGCATGTGCAGGGCCGATGGGGGCAGAGCTCCCGCCACCGACACGGACGGTGATGACCAGGCCGCGGAAATGCGAGTACAGCTGCCCTAGAAGCCTCCTTGTCCTCCGGAACTTACCAGACCGCAGAGGCATTTATGTATATAGAACAACCAATTGCATCCCCTGCCACTAATCACCCAGAGCATGGCCCAGTCTTCGGTACCCATTCCGGCGTGCCCTGGTCAAACTTCTCTCCCCATTGCCTCACAAGGAAATATAGACGCCCACAGCTCCTATTTGGATATGCATGTCTACATAGCTTCCTACATGCGACGCAATGGATCTCAGATCCATGGTAATGTCGACTTCTTCCGTCACCGACGGCCCCGTGTCTCGGGCGGAACGCGACCATGCTGGTAACAACGACCAAACCACGTGAAGCAAAAACGCACTGCACCTACAATCTGAGGAAGAACTATGCTTCTCACGAAGCGACGTAGCCTCACGCAGAGCCAAGATGGGAAAATACACGTGTATTTTCCTCCACGAAACGATGAGTTACAGCCCAGGGGACGGGTGATATATTCCGTTCCGTCACACGTCCCCGAAGCGCGACATTCAGCGGATTAGACTCTTCCACCGGATGCGACGACCGTTAGCCGCCGGCTCGCCGCCGAGTTCGCCCCCGAAACTCCAGGCTATGTACGACGGCTCCGTAACTAGGATCAGGAACTCGCCGTCGCCAACGATCCTGGGGAGCCCGATGCCGTTGCTCTGAGCAAGCTCGCCGAGAAAGCGCTGGCAAGGATCGAGAGCGAAGTCGGCATCGGCAAATTCGGTGCCGAGCCGGTGCCTCTGGGGGGGGACTTTACACCGTCGCATGAGATCGCCTTGCCCACTAGGTATCGTCGTGTAGAGACGGGTCGGAGGCGGGTCGACGGGCGGATAGGCGACGCCAGCGCAAGCACGCAAGGACACGACCGGGTCTCCCGAGCTATCGGCATCGCTTACGATTATTCGACCGTTCCAGATTTGGAACGGGTTCGGAGGCGTGTAGCACAGGATGTTATGGCAATGAAGGACGGTGAAGGACTTCGTGTAGATGTTGAAGCACACAGATCTAAGGCTACTGCTCTGGGCATCGCAAGTGGTCTTGTGACGGGTCGAATCCCAGCCAAGTCCGTTTGTATCCAGAATGCCTCGAGGAGGTTCGAATATAGCATGTAGCAAACTGTATCCGCCGTACGAATCGGCCTTTTCCTGGCGGAATCCCGTCGTCATAGGCGACATACCGAAGACGGACCACTCACTCTTATCTAGTGTATACGTCCCGCAAAGCTCACCGTTACGTATTTCGTGCACCTGGAGCTCGTACGCGGGCGACTGGCTAAAGGTGACGACAAAGAAGACATTACGTTCCGTTGGAGAGACGATGAATTCTAACTGGGTGCCGTCTTCGACCAGGCGCGTACCGGCACTCCGAAGAAAGTACTGTTCCGAAAGTATGTTGCTAGACTGCCGTGACCCGAGCGGGCCCCTCTTGAAGCGGCCAAAATCGGCTACAGCAACGTGCTGTAGCTCGTGCCCGAAGTTCCATAGAAAGAGTTGCGCATTCCTCGCAACGATTAGAACGGTTTCCCCCTCGGCACTGCACCGATGAAACTCTTGCGGGATTTCGATAGAGCAAAGTCGGTCCTTCTCGAGATGCCAGGCGTGCAGTGTCCTCCCATGGCCCATGAGGAAGAGCTTGTCCCCCATGGTGGTTTTGAAGCCTTCGGTCTGACCCCGATGGCCGGGGAACAAGTAGGCGCGGCGCTCTCTCGTACGCAAGTCGTCCACGACGGCAAAATAGGGAAGCATCTTCACCTCGGGCCACCAGGCCAGCCGGCCATTGTTGTACAGCATGAAGTAGGGGAAATGTTGGCCAAACTCGGGTTCGAGCCCATCGACATCGGCGTATGAATGAACGCCGCCCTGCTTGACGGAGACGCTCTTGTTCAAGGTGAATTGGTCGGACCCCAGGCGCATCTCGCTGCGCAGAGCGGATGCAAACCTGCCACCCACCCTCTTCTGGACCTTGTGCAGCGTGCGCCGGAACATGTCACCAGCGGACTTCTCATCGGCTACAGACCCGTGGATGTAGTCTTTTAGACCTGGGAACCATATATCGGCGAGCCTAGGCCATATTTCGCCGCTCAGCCAGATGTTTCGCCAGCGGTGGGATGCGCTTAGGCCAGCGTCTATGTCTTGAGGCTCGAGATGAGAAAGGACGAGAATGTGCAATTCAAAAGGTAGGCGACTGACGATATCGACCTTTCCGCCTCCTGGCATATTCGCCGACTTCCGGATTTTGCCAAGAAGGAATTTCATCGTAGCTGTCAAGCGGAGGGAGGAAGCGGTCTTGGAGGCAGGTCGATTCAGAGGGGTAGAACCGTCATGGCCGCCAGCCGGGTGCACTAACGATGCTGCTGCTACTACGTTCTAGGGAGAGGGCGAGGACTGGACTGGAGGCGATTGGGAAAAGAAGACTGGAAATGGTGGGAGAGGATGGAGAGAGGAAAGACGTCGAGGGGGCGGAGGGGGGCGGAGATCTCAGCTCTATCCCAATGGATGTTCATGAGGAGATCGATGGGGGCAGGCAGGTTGTACCCGTGTACCGAGGGGTACCTTATTGAAGTATGGTCCACAGGTACTGCAGATTGAGATGGTACATCATTACGTAGGGTTATGTATGTGGCGATATGGTAAATTTAGGTACCCTGTCGAGTCCAGGTACCTAACCTAGAATAGGAGGAGGCAAGTACTTGCCTCCCAGGAGACAGAATTGTGCATATCTGAGGTACTTAGGTATTCACACAGAAACTGGGATGTACCTAGGTACCTGCCTACCTCAGAGGTGACGCACTTAGCGGAGTGCCGTTGAGCCTGCTGGAATCGTAAATGTCAACGACGTCTTTCTCTCTCTCTTTTATCTCCTAGAACCAGACTCACCGTATAGCATCTTACCCGTCTTGCTTACCGAGGTGGTAGGAAGACTATTCGACGTCGACGGTTGGCCGAGTTAGGATAACAAGTGATCGTCACATACTAGCTGGTTAGGTGTCTCACGTACAGAAGTATTCGTTATCGTGAATGTGCTGTGTCTCTAGATACCAATTGGCCAGGCTGTCAAATCTCCATCCACCATGGATCCTAAGCATCGAACACCGTAAGCCTAACTAGCGGAACACTCCGACGGGAGCCTCTATCTAGAGAGAACGTCCCGATGAATATCCCACTCCCTGATCCGCATACCAATGCAAAGATCCAGCAGAAGCATCCCACGACCCAAAGGCATCTCGTCCCGGGGCAAGGAGACAGAAGAGTACAAAGCACCCCTCTCGCCCACTTTGATCCGAGACCTAGAAGAAAGCGACAGAACAAATGATGCTCCCATCCGACTAGACCCTATAACAGAGGCATTGTTCCTACCGACCTACCTCTTTCTTGCTATTTTGATATGTAGTTTTGTTTTCCTAAGCCGCGAGCCGTGTGCTGTACAATGAAACTGAACGCCTAGCGCCAAGCCACGATAGTATAACACACGCTCCTCCCATTAGGGGCCATCGCGGTTTCGTCTAGTGTGCTGCCAGCTTCTGCTTATCTTGCTTTGAGAGCTAACCCAAGGTTATCTATCCCCAATATCCTGTTTAGAGGGTTGAAGTTGAAGCGCTCTGCGTCGGAAATCAGGTAACTATTAACAGGCTTTCGGTAAGTAAGAGTTCTGCAGATAGGTAGCTAGGCCGCAGCGGGCAAAGGGGGCTAGCCACTCAATTACGTCGGGGAATCTACCTGTGCTATACGAGTTGATAGTTCCCATCCGACGTGACCGCGCATCCTTGCCATGGACCAATCAGGCTCGTCGTCGCCGTCGTGTACGCCCTCATCAAGCGCAGCCAGGAGCACAGATACGAGCACCTCTTCACCGTCCGCTCAGTCTGTGTCCCTGTCAGAGGTCGAACTCACCCCATCCACACCCTCTGAATCAGACGCCGGTGAGTTCGGCCTCCCCTACGACCTGCATCTGCTCCATGCCTACAATTGTATGCACTCGGGGTATTCCTCTGCCACTACTGACACGTCCCGGGACCCTTCGGATATGGCGTGGAAGACAGACCAGAGTAGGCCCGCTGAAGTCGTGGGAAGAGCAGGCGACAGCGACAACGACGCCTGGGGTGTTGTTCGGAGCGCTGATGAGGACGAGGAGGACGAGGATGAGGAGGAAGAACATATGAAAAGAAAGAGGACATGTACTCTTAACGCCTTCTGGAACGACCCCGACTGCGACTGGGCAGCGGTGCAGCCTTCGGGGGAGGAGCTCGAGAATAGCTCCCGCCGCGGAGAACATGGGGGAAAACAAGAAACAGGCTTGGCGAGCTGTGCGACAGCACCCCGGTGCTATACCTGTCATGAGCCGCTTGATCTCTCCGTCATCCTCGGAGGGGTTCCATGCCCAGTATGTTGCTGCTTCAATTAGGTTGGATTGCGTGTGCGACTCCGTAGTAACGAGCACCTACGCATAGGTAGATAGTGATAATAGACATAGGTGCTCGTCTAGAGGAGACGGGACTCCTCCGAAGATGGGACCATGCGTCGTGGTAGGTTAGTCGGCAGACAATGGCGTCTTCCGAAGCGAGGGAAATGAACTCAGCCGAGTCTGACAGATTAAAAAGCGAAATTGCTCCGCCAATAGTTGATCGATCGAGCGTCCATAGGTTGCCATTTGGTTTCCATTGCCAATTCACACAAGACCCGGGTGCGTGTCACGTCGACCACTTCAGAGACGTGATGCGTCATGCATGCGCCCAGCCTGCCTGGTCCTAAGCACGAGATAGTACGGCAAATGAAGTAGAAATTGGACATGGTACCCTACCCATCTCTATCATGAACCCAAGGTTTTGATACCCAAGGAAGACGATATCGATCCACCCTTTCCCTCCCCGATACGCGGTAGGCCAACCGCTCTCGTGGTCTACGGTAAAAAGCAGCACACCGCGGGTGGGACCGTCGCATCCCCTCGTGAAAGGAGCCCTAAACGGGGAACATCGGCGGCAGGGTCGCATCGGGGGAGCCGCTCCCGTATCGGGAGATTGAACGCTTCGTGAGAGGCACGTCCAGCTAGGGCAGCGTGGCAGAAATCATCGAGGTGCGGCCGGGATATAGGTATGGGTTCCGAGGCAGTCATCGGCCCGGTCAGAGTTAGTTGACTTGTACTCGGTGTAAGCCCTAGATACACGCAGCAGCCGCATAAGATCGCCTGGGCGCTTCGAGCGTGATGTTACTATAGGATACGTGTAGACAGCAATTCCAGCGGTGGCTGATGTAGTTGGAGTGGAGAGGAGGTCAGGGCACGGACGGTGTTGCACGATTTCTCCCTACTTGCCTAGAGTAGCACGTGACATCGAGCAAGAGACACTCGTAAATTGGTGGCTAGGGGCTGACGCAGGTGATGTCGGGGCGTCGGGGGGGAGGCTCCGGAAGGGACCTCAAGCCCGCTATTAGGCGCCTCGGGTGCCCGAGCGAAGCCATAGGCGACCTCAACAGGCTTAAACTGGTCCCTTATAGGGGGTGGGCTACCTGGAGGGACCCGCTTGAGCTCAGTCCGCAGCTACTACATACTACCTACCTAGTAATACCTAGTACACGTAGTATTGATTAACGCCCGCAAAAACCGCCTATGGCTATCCCGTGGCCTCCCTTAGGGTACTAAGGATGCGCTAAGACAAGATATTTATACCTAGTATAGGCGCGCAAGCACGTAATCGGTTACGTATAGCTACAAGGTAAGCCCTGCCCTAGCGAGGGCTAATCGGGATATAAAAGGTACGTAAAACGGCTCTAAAAGGCTACGTAAATAACTATAATTTAATTAACTATTTACCCGTTCCTTAGATAGCTATATGGTAATACCTTATACGTTTCGTAAGCTTATTACTACGTTATTTTATTATTATTTAACTACTTACGCTACGGAGGTAATTAAGTAACGAAAGCTCTAATAAACGAGCGGCCCGGGGTAACCGTATAATTACGATTAACGGTAGAGAGAGGTTATCGATAAGTTAAACGATTAAATCGCGAGGATAGCTACGAGGATAGCTACGAGATTATAAGATAAGGCGGCCGAGGAAGGAACCGAATAAGAGATTACGTAAGATATCGCGTTAAAGAACCTCCGTAAGGAAATACGTAAGGAGCTATAGGAAGGCTTACGTAAAACGACCGAATATATTAATTAGCGTATAAATACCGTAAAGTATTTCTTTAAGGAAATAATAATTAAGTTAGAAATAATAAGCGAATAACGGTAAGGAAGTTATCGTTAATCTTAATAAGACGTCGCCGATTTAATAAAAAAAGGCGACTTTACCGACGCTAACGAAGGTAAGAATAAACCTTATATTAAAGATCTAGAGATTCCGAGGAAATTAAATAAGTCGGCTATAAAGACTTAACGAGTTTACGGTAAGGACTACCGTAAGAGCCGCGAGGATAGCCGCTACTATCGTACCTCGCGCTTAGCCCGGCGTAAGAGCTACCGCCGCCGGGGCCGTAGCTTAAGTAGCTTATTAGGAAGCTCTTCCGATAGTAACTCCGATTACGATAAACGACGTAACCGAAGGATAAGAAGTAAGAATAAAGGTATTACGTTTAAGAAGGACGGTAGGATTAACTAAAAGAAGTTCGTTTTTAACCCCGATAAGGACGCTTATTTTAAAGGAATCTCGAACTAAAGCTTATATCGGGATATATTTATACTCTTTATAAAGAAAGTAAGGTATAGAAAAGGAATAGAATTCGACGAATAAAACGAGATATTCCTAGCGAAAGTAATCGCCGGGACCTACCGGGATTAACCCTTATAATTAATAACAAACGTACGCTTAGGTACGAAAATACTAAAGATATTCGATTAAACCTATGCCTTTATAGAAAAGGCTCGTTAATAAGAGTTATAGGAATAACTTATTAAAATAAAATACGACGATAAGAACCCGGTAGAGTTTACGTTTAAGTAATAACTAACCGTTTATTAATATATAAATACCGGCCTCGTAATCGGCGAAGAATAATAAATTACGATATTCCTTAGCTATATATAAGATAAGGTAGCTAACTAAGTTAAGATCGTAAATACTATAATTAAAATGAGACCTATAAACCTACTAAACGTACTTAATAACTTCCGCGGAAAGTTCCGTAATAAGATTAATAAGTATAAGGATAATAAGAGTAACGGCGGTAATAATAACTAGGCTAATAACGCTTAAGGCAAAGAAAAGGATAAGAAGAAGAAGCCCTCGTAAAATTAATAAGAAAAGCCCCTTTACTTTAATTATAAGGAATATAGGTATAAAACTAAGGATTACCCGAAACCGCTAAAGGAACGAAAGGGCAAAGGTAACGGCGGCGGTAATAATAACGGCGATAGCGCTCCCGGCGGATTAAGGGGCGGTTTAAAATAACCGTCGACGTAATATACTACGTACGTATCGTATACGCTACCTTAATTCGGTTATTACGATAACGGAGGCGGGATATATCGAACGAAAATAAATACGGTAAAGCTCTCTAAGTTAATAAACGCCTATAACGAATTACGCCGTAAGAAGGACCCTAAATAAAAGCTTATTCTTATTAACCCCGGTAATAACTTAATTATAACTAACCCGTTAAAAGGCGAACGGCCCGTAAAGCCTTTAAGAATTAATTACGGAACAGAGGCTAACGCTTATAAGGATTACCTATTCTTCAATATAGAAGCTAACGTTTACGTTACAAACGATTTAAGAGATCTAGACCTAAAAACGATAATAACGTTACTACCGGGTTACGTTATTAATACGAAAGGAAGCCTTATAAACGTTACGAAAATAAGTAAGGCTATTTATTACCTTACCGGCGACGACGGGGAATATAACCGAACGTAGTTAAATTATACGTTATTTATTAGCTCCTTTTTAATTAAGATCTTCTCGGGAGAGTTATTTTATCGTAGCGGAGGTTAGTTAGATAAGAATAATATTATAAACCCTAACGGGACCGTTTTAACGACCTTAAACCCTAAGAAACGAGGTTTCTTATTATAGGAACATAAGAAAGAAAAGCCGAAACTCCTTCCCTTTAAACGGTACTAAGGAGGCGCGCTAAGGTACTAATTCGGTAAGTTTAATAAGATACTATAAGCGATACTAATATAGCTAGACGATAATATTATAAAGTAATTAATATTATAGTATCGCCGCCTTTATTACCCTAGTACGGAGAGACTTATATAAACCATTAAAAGGTCGATAGGGATCGACTTAAACCTAATACTCGTAAAAACGGTGCCTTATTACGCGTATAATCGGGTAAAGATTACTAGGATATCCTCGAAGGACCCTTAAAGGCGTACCTAGATCCCTAAGGAAATTACTTAATACGACCTCGGAAAGTTATAGCCTCTATCGATCGAAAACTACCGTTATTTTATATTAATCGTAAATAACGATAGCCGAAATAAAGAATTTACCTAATATAAGTCTAAGGAAAAGGCTTAATAAGTATTAATAACTTATCTTATCCGAGTTTATTAGTTATTTAAGGTATTACCGAGCGCCCCGGATAAGAGCCGGCGATAAATAAGAATATTACGCTTTAACGGCGGCCGAGAGTTCGGTATAAGCGCTATCGAATAATTTTATAACGAAAGGAATATTACGTTAAATGCCTTTACGTTAGATAATTAATATTAGAACGGCGTAGCGGAAAGGAGCATACGCTTCCTATAAAACGATACTAAAGTAATCTACGTTTAAATAAAGATCCTTACTTACTTCTAGGACTACGTTTTCGTAGTAACGGCGTATACGATTAATAGGACTAGCGTTTCGTTCGTAAAAAAGCTTACGCTATACGAGAGATTTATAAACGGCATAGAGCTAGGAAAGAACTATAAACCTAATAACGCGTATTTACGTATCGTCGGTAACCGTTACGTAGCCTATATCGATAAGAATTATCGGGTAGTTTCCGAGAAGATAAAACTACGTAAAACCCGCGCCGTTTTTATAGGTTACGAAGGGAAATATAACTACTTAGTTTAATTCGTAAAAGGAGGTCGTTTTTTAAAAACGCCTTACGTTATCTTTTACGAAGAACTAAAAGATTCTAAAAGGGCCTTAAACCTAAGAAACGTCGTTAGGTTCTTACCTAAGTACGTTTAAAAACGGCTATAGCATCGAAAGAAGATCGCGGCGACTAGCGTTCGTAATAAGGATAATAATATCGTCGACGAAAACGTTATAAACGAAGATAAGGATAAGATACGCCCCCGGAAAAGGCGCCCGAAAAAGAAACTACCTTAGATTTATATGCTAGAGGTATTACTTAAGTTAAATAAGGTACGTTCCGTTTTAGCGCTAAGCGGCTCGTAAGAAAGTAAGTTAAAGGGAGTATTTAAAGGCGAATAAGATACGCTTAAAATCGCGTTTAGAAACGCGCCTTAAGAGAAGCTATATTATATTAATACGCTTACTACCGTACCGTAGGAGTAAAGCCATAGGTAAATAGCATTAATAACGGCGGACCTATTTAAGATAAACGAGAATAAACCGCTCTTTAAAAAGGTAATAAAGGAATTAAAGCGTAATCTTTAGACCTAAGCCGTTTTTAAGGAGATCCGAGAGAACCTAGAACGTAATACGTTTAAGTTTATATAACCGAGCGAAGTAATTAACGGCTATTTTATCGACGCTAAATAAGTCTTAAAAAAAAAGTTTCTATTTAACGGAGATCTCGATAAGCTAAAGGTACGGATTTACGCCCGAGGATTTATATAAAGAAAAGGCATCGATTATAACGAAATTAAGGCGATAACGGCGAGGATAATATCGTAAAGAATGCTAATAGCGTTAGCCGTTATTTATTAATAATATATCCTTTAGATCGACTTTATTACCGCCTACTTTAACGGGAAGCTAAACGAAAGGATCTTTATAAAATAATTCCTTATATTAAAGAAGTATTTCGAGGCTTATAAGAAAGAGAAATAAACCTATAGTTATAACGAGTCGAAGATTATCGAGCTAATTAACCCGTTATATAGCTTAAAATAAGCTAAAGCCGCGTAGTAATAACGTATAAGAGGTATCTTAAAGAAATACGGCTACGTTTTATTAACCTTAGACGACGTTATTTATATAAAACCCGAAATAGGAAACGTAATCGCTTCGTATGTAAACGATTTCCTATTATTCGGACCTAAAGAGGAACGACTTTATAAACTCGCGAATATAATTAAAGAGGAGGTTAAGGTAATTAACTTAGGAAACGTTAATTAATTTCTCGGGATCCGGATAAGACGATCGTTTCTTACGGGGGACGTCCGGCTCGATTAATAGTAATATACGGAAAAGGCTTTAAAGGAACTTAACTACGGCGATACGAAGCTATACCCGTTACCGTATAACCCGAAGAATTAGAACGCGGTCGTACCGAAAAAGGCTAACGATAAAGCCGACCTACGAAAGGTTTAAAAGTATACCTCGTTAATAAGAAAAGCAAACTTTTCGGTATATATTACGAGGCCTAATATTAATTACGTAGCTTCGACCTAGGCGCGTTTTATAAATAACCCCTTATAAGAGTATTAAATAGGAATTAAACGCGTAATGCGATATCTTAAGGGAACGGTAAGCCGAGGAATCCGGTATCGGTAATTAAACGAAAATTATCCTTATAAAGAATATAACGAAATAAGTCTTTACGGCTACGTAGATTCGAATTACGCGGGAAATATATTTATAATTAAGTTAACGAATAATTACGTATTCTTTATAATAAGAGCCTCGATCGTATAAATATCGAAGCTTTAGTCGGTAGTCGCGCAAAGCTCGGAAGAGGCTAAGTATATAGCTTTATCGACGGCGGTAGTAAATGCCGCGTAAATACGTAATTTTCTTACGGAATTAAGCGTAATATTCGTAGGCCTTATTACCTTACGATACGATAATACGACGGCGAATACGTAAGTAAAGGAAACCGCGATAAATAAATAAAAGCGGTATATCCGAAAGGATTACTACTACGTAAGGTAAGAGGTAGAAGAGGAATACGTTAAGCTAAGATACGTATTATTAGCTAAGAACGCGGCTAATAGGTTTACGAAGCCTTTAGAAGCGAAGGAATACCAGAGGTTTATTAAGCTATTATATCTAAAGGACCCGTAATAGCCTTATTCCTTAAACGAAATAAGTATATAAATAAAGCGATAAGGGAAGAAAATACTACGGAATTAAGGCCTTACGTTATTTAAGAGCCTAACGATAGCCTTACCTAGGCTAAGAAGGCGTATAGGCGCGTAAGTACGTAATCGGTTACGTATAGCTATAAGGTAAGCCCTGCCTTAACGAGGGCTAATCGGGATATAAAAGGCACGTAAAACGGCTCCAAAAGGCTACGTAAATAACTATAATTCAATTAACTATTCACCCGTTCCTTAGATAGCCACACCTAGCATTTAGCTCCCTATTTAGGTAACATCTTGCTGTTTCGTGGCGCGCGTTTTACGCGTTTTACGAGTAAGCCACACCTAAGTATTCTCTCTCCTTTCTTTAAGGGCAGTTCCTGGCGCGGTTTTAAGCTATCTCTCCCTCCTTTTCAGCATGGTTTATCCTGATACGTGGTAGGAGGCAAAAAGATTGTATGAGGTTGGTGCTCTCGACTTAGAATTTCGTGTACATCCCATTCGCGTCAGTTACAGCTTAAAGTCGCGCAGGGATACCTAGTGTCCAGAAGCTCACGCAACCCATTCTCCGGAACCTTCTCCCGAGCATCTTTTACGGCAGTTAATATTTTGATACCCCGCTCTTGAAGTTGTGATTGACGCGAATGGGAGGCGGAGACCTGCGATCCGGCACGCTCGTGGGTGACAAGCGACGCCAACGACGTCAACGGCGTCAGCGACGGCCTCCGGCCAAAGACGTGGGGAAAAGTCGGTCATTGTTACTTTTCTGCGCGGTACCTCCCTTGGGTGGATTATAGGAGGTACCTACCCTAGGTACCTACCTCTATTACGTCGATCTGTAGGCAGGTTTAGGTACCACCTAGGTAGGTAAGTGACCTCATAGACGAACCTCCCCGATGTTGAGAAGTAGTGCTCAGTTTTTCCTCCGTCCTCTATCTCAGTCCTCCAGTTGCTCAACTACCAGACACACTCTTCCCTACGACTTGCCCGCACATAGACAGCCCTACCTGTATAGGAAGGATTACACATCGCATCATCAACCGACGAAGCCGGCTCGCCTCCCCGCTCCCTGCATCCTACTCCAACCCCCCATCGTCCTAGCGGAGCTGGATTAAAAAAATGGCCGACGACAGGCAGAACAAGGGAGTCTCCGCTCCCCAAGACACGGCTAAGCCAGCCGACGACCCAGCCTCCCACGGCACAGCTCCGGCAGATCGTAGCGAGGACAAGAAGGCCGACGGCCCTGCTGCCGATGCCGCGTCCAGCACCTCGCAACCCGCCTCGCAACCCGCTTCGCGACCGCAGTTGCCCACGCACTTCCGGGGCATGCCGAAGCAGTGGGAGAAGAACCGAGGCCAGTAGACGGACCGCGCTCGCTGCCACGCCCGCCCGACAAGACGAGTCTAACCAGGTATCGATATCAGTGAGTAAGGATGCCTGGGGTCGACGCGTAACGCTATGCACCGCCACCGCCCCCGCGCGTGTCACTTGAGACAGGATTGCATCTGGAGCTGGCGGTTCCGGGGTGGGCTGAGGCACTTTTGACTTTGGGATGGACGAGAAGCCGAGACGAGGAGTCATGAGGAGAAACACGGTGTTCCGCGAAGCTTCCGCGGGCTTACCAATAGTCGTAAACCATCAACGATAGGTACCTATTGTGTGCACTTGGAAATCTCGTGGCTTCGGCGGCGTCAATTAGCATCGTGACCTCGGCGGTGTCGACCAGCATCGTCGAGAAGGCATCGCCTCCTGGGGGCCTCGCGGGCACTACCTGCCTATAACTTAATACCGAGCCGAATCCTTCGGGCTCGAAGACGGAGCAGGTAGGGCATTGTGTTGGCATTCCATCAGGCGGTGTTCTCCGCCCTGCCCAGGTTGAGCTGTTGCATGACTTGCCGACAACTGCCGACTACACAATGCGATCCACTTACGATAACCCGCCCGGGTATAGTGGCATGAACAGCCCCGCGCATCACCCCTTAACCGCGCTCAGCGCCATTACCTATCAATCGATTCGGCACACGCCTACAGAATCGACACCGACAAGCCTGACTGAGATCTCATATTAACCTCACGTCTCTCTGCCGCCTCGACGACTCTTGTCCACTTTCCACAGCCGCTCACTTCCACCCAGCTTCGACCCATCCTAGTTGTTTAGGTACTACTCGTTCAAGCTTCTCTTCCCTCAGCCCGCCCAACCCGCCTGCTCGCTACACACAATGGGCAGCAACTCGGCCAACCAGACGCGGCAGCTCAGCGTCGTCGTCACCGGCGGCGCGAGCGGCCTCGGGCTCTCGATGGCGAAACATTTCGCATCGCAGGGGCACAAGGTGGCCATTCTCGACGTCAACGCGAACAACGGGCCTCAGGTCGCCGCCCAGGTTGCCGCGGAGAACCCCGGGTCCACGGTGACCTTTGAGCGCTGCGACATCGCCTCGTGGCACGACGTTTCCGAGGCCTTCCGCTACGTATACCAGCGCTACGGCGCCATCCACGTCGTCTTGGCCAACGCCGGCATCTCCGAGCAGGGCGTCAGCAGCCTTACGCTCGTCGACGAGGAAGAGCCCTCTCAACCACGATTGCGCACGCTCGAGGTCAACCTCACAGGCACGATATACAGTAAGTGCAGCCATTCGTGCATGACTAACACCCACCCGCACCATCTTCTCCGTCCCCTAGAAACGGTAATTCTGCGTGCTCGGCTGCACGTGTGACAAATTACCCTCGTTCTGGCGACTGACAATGCGGAAATAGCTGTCAAGCTCGCGGCCCACTACATCAAAAAGAATCAGCCAGATCCCACGACGGGGTCGCGCGGTAGCATAATCTGCACGGCATCGAACGCGGGTCTCTACCCTTTCCCCGTAGCGCCGGTGTACGCTGCATCCAAGGCCGGCGTCATTGGGCTCGTGCGGTCGCTCGCCCGCGTCCTCGGGCGCGTAAACATCCAGATCAACGCTCTGGCTCCTGCCGTTCTCGGTGAGATTCCCCCCCCCCCCCCCCTGGTGTTCTTTTTCACGCCTACCTCTCGGAAACTCGGCCGACGAAGGAATGCGGTTCTAATCGTGCTGCAGAGAGCTCGATCGCGCCATCGAAGGCCCTGTTTGAAGAGATGATCGTGACGCCCCCGGAGACGCTAGTACGCGGCGTCGCTCAGCTGGTCGGGGACGCCAGCGTGTCCGGGGCCGTGGCCGAGATCCACGGCGACAAGGTTACGATACGGCCGCATCACGACTACGTCGACGAGGACACGGAGGCCAACTTGGAGACGTTCTGGAGACGCGGTGAGGCTTAAAGCCACCTTACTTAGCGGCATACTACTACTCACTTGAAGGGGGCGTCGGCCTCGGGCCTCGGGTAACGGTACACAGGTTGTAAGATGGAAAAACAGCGTGTAGCTATAGAATTCGCGGGAGACGACTGCGTACGGAGTCAGCGGGATCCCAGCCGGGCTCGGCTGGGCACTTGGGCATAGTAATGGCATTGTTATGTTGGCATGCCTTGGCACCTTACATCGGTGTAATTCCTTGGGTACATTTTCACGTAATATTAGGTACGTATTCGATACCGGACGTTCAGCGTAGCTCTAAATTGTGAAGGGCGTTCAACTTTGTCTTCCTGCATAGCCCACGAGCGAGGTGTGGCCGTCCCATGTTTTCGGGCCACAGTTTTCTATCCTACTCATCCCTCTTGCGGAGAATTACACCCGAATGAAAAGCCAATTGACAATATACAGGTATCTCGAAATCTAGAACCCCAATGATTCTCCTTTGTGTATGGCAGGTGTGAGTGCTTAGGACAGGCCCATCGGACGGAGCTTCGGACGGAGCTTCGACGTACATCCAGAGTCACGAGGTATCACGCCTGGGTTCCGGTGCGGATAGCGGTGGGAATATTCCAGAACTCCTGGCCGAGAGGCTGTTACAAGCGGAGAGCGCAACCGTGTAGTGGCGGCCAGAACGAGACAGGGAGTGCCTTTTCTAGGGTGCTCAAATACTGCTGCCGCGTTCACCACCACCACCGCCACGACTACCGGACGTTGCGTATATAGAGACCCCATGTGACAACGCCATAGATTTAGAGTTCCCATCCAGCCCCCAATGTAGCTTCACGCGACGGAGGGCCGTATTAACGGACTCTTTAAGTCCGATACTTATGACGTGGACACGTTTCTGTAGTATAAGTTGAAGAGGGGTGCGACCCCTTTTTCTGTCGAATTCCACGATGTCTCCCCCCAGAAACTTTAACTAGGAACTTCAGAGGGGGAGAGGCCCTCGGGTTGGGGATTTGTACGCAGCACTCCGCCCCGTCTATGTCTCTTGCATTCGTTGTCCGCTATTACCTACTACTGGAAAGGCAAACTGTCTGTTCTCCGTATTTAACCCGCCCTCTCCCCTCTTTCGTTCCTCACTTCCTTCTGCTCTACTCAACCCACCCTCTCTCGGCTTCGTTCTTGTCGGCCCTCTGATCTACTTAATCTACCTTGTCCCCGCTTCGTTCTTTACTTCCTTCCGCTCTACCCTGTTCAGCCAAGACCATCTCTAGGCGGTCGCGGTCAGTTAATATTGTTTACCTAATATCGCCGCAACCGATCGTCCAGGGAATCGCTACACTATCGCTACTACAAGCACAGAGCACGCTCTTGGAGCATACCGGCCCGTCTACAGGCAATATTCATACGGGTACATAAGGAGGAGCCACAAGATCTAACGATCAGAAACCATCAGCCTCTTCACCCAATCTCTCTTTTTCCTGCCCCGTTTTCGTTTTTGGCCGTTATTTGCCTTCTGCTTGAGCCCCAAGCGTGGGGAGGAAAACCTATCGCTTCTTATCCTTCTTGCTCTTGGTCTTCACCGTCTCCCCCCTCGGCCGTTTCCCTCCATCAAACGTGTGAAAGGAAGAGGCAGGCGTTGCCACCGCGGCGCGTCGGCGGCATTTTTAGAGCGTGGGAAAAGACGGAAACGAGAAGTCTGTCCCAGATATCGTTTCTCTCGCCTGTTCTCTCCTGTCTTCAGGCTCGACCTGCGCACCCGATTTGCCAACAAAGTTCGTTTTTCTAGGCGATTGACCTGCTTTATTGAGCAACCCGTTTCGTCTATACCCAAAACATATCCTCGCCAGCCAGGGCGAGACCCCGTACTTGAAGGAAGCGACCGCGTCAACGCCGGACGCAATGGCCCCCCCAATCATCTTCCGTCAGCCCCCTACCCAGGTTCGCATGCCAAAAGACTTCAAAGCCCTGTCGATCTCCGACGAGGCAATCTCACCACGGGAGTCTTCGTTGCACCGCCCACCGGACACGAATGGCGAGTCCTGCTCTCGTACGGCTTCGGCGTTCCCACAGTCGGACAGAGACAACCGGTACCACGGCAACGACCGCAGGGCAGCCGGCTCGAACATTAACAACACCAGCAGCAGGGCTAGCTACAGGCCCAATATTGTGACCAACCCCCGCAACGCCAGGCACATCGACGCCGCGAACAAACACCCCGTCCACAGCGCGCACGCGGGACCCAGCTCCGGCACCCCCCGACCCGGCCCCACCAGCCAGGCGCCCGCAGACGACGGCGCCCGCGCCAGCAACGACTGGCGCGTGTGCGAGGACCGCGGGTGCCGGGTGTGCCGCGGGCGCGGCTACACGATGGAGGACGGGGAGCACGTGGACCGGTTCTTCGCGGACATAGCGCGGCGGACGATGGAGCGGCGGGGCGTCCCGCCGCGGCGGCCGCGGACGCCGTCGTGGTACTGCCCCGCGGCGTCGGCGTCGGCGCTCGCGGCCGCGACGGCGGCGGCCCAACGGGGCGAGCGCTGGCCGCCGGGGCGCGCGGCGCCGGGGCCCCCCCACCGCGCCGCCCCCGACGACGCGCGCGTGTCCGGCCCCTACCCCGGCGGGCCCCCGCCCAACGAGCGCCGCCGCGCCGAGCAGGCCGCGCCGCTTTCCTTCGGCCCGGTAGGCAGCGGGGCGCCCCGGGGCGCCGGGGCCGGCGGCGAGAGAGAGAGAAAGAACCCCGCGGCTGGGGTAGCTGAGGAGAGGAGTATGCAGCGGTAGATGAAAAGCGAAAAAGAAACCAAAAATTTGGGAGAACGGAGAAATGAGAAAAGATTTTGGGGAAAACGAAAACCGGTAGGGGAAAAAAAAGGAGAGAAGGAGACAGAGACGGAATCTGGATGCTTTTGATATCACTCGTTGGTTGCTGAGGACGGACGGCGCAAGCGGAGAATATGACCTACGTGGTTGATGGGATGGGGGACAGCGTGCAGAGATGCTGGTTCGACTCTACGTGACACTGTTAGGTATTATACGAGCGCTCGCGAGAGCATATTATGCGTTGTTATTTTGGGCTTGTGAAATTCGGATTGGATTGGATTCGATTGTTTTTTTTGCTTCCACTTTTCACCCTCGTCTCGGCTAATACCCCCCCCCCCCATCTTCGCCTTCACCTTCGACCAACCGGGCCGCCGCAAAGTCACAGTCAGCAAATACCTACGTCCGCCGCGGCCTGTCTCATCCTACCTGGGCCGACGTTCGGATCTTACGGGCGGCCGTATGGGGGGGGGGCGCGGGGCCGGGTCGAGGGTGGTTCTACGAGTTTTTGCTTGTGGTGTTTTTTTGTGTCTTGTTTCTGGGAGGTCTGATTGATGAGTTGGGATATCGTCGAATTGGGACTGGGAGCTTGGGTATCTGCTGGCGACGTACAGTCGTTGTTTGTAAGGTTGCACCGGGGACGGATGGACAGACGGGCGGGCGGGCAGAGGAGGAGGGAGGAGGGATGAGAACGGATCGAGACACCAGGATGGACGGAGGGACGGGCAGAGACGGGAGGAGGAACGCTAGGGCGGACAGACGTTACCACTTAGCACCGCTTCTACACCAGATTGTCGCCGCCATCATCAACATGGAATAATGATGCCCGCTCGTTCGTCTGAGTTTTCCACGCACCGCGCCTAGCTTGCGCCTTGCCTTCTCCTTGCTACGTGCTCGTAGGATCTGCCAAAGCGGTGAAGCGAATGAATGGGTGAAGATAGCTAATACCCTATGTAACCCTGCGCGGGTGCATCTACAATGGACGTGCAGGTCTACTACGGATCCACACGGGATCTCTCGTCTCCATATCCCATCCCACGCTGGCCGGCCGGCAAAGTGCTGCTCGCTCATTCGCCCGTTCGCCTGCTCGGCCGTGCGGTGGTCAACGCGGCCTCGTACGACGGCGAGGATCGAGAGTGCGCACTATAGGCGGGTTGTATGCGCATACGTATACCTAAATAGGCACATATAGGTGCGGTGTGTATCGCGCGGGACGGGAGGTTCGAGGGCGGGAGCGACGAGGGAGAGGAGCGGGAGGGCAGACGGAGGAGAGGAGAGCCCGACGATTCCGTGCCCCGTCTCGAACCCCGGATCGCGAGGTGATTGGGAAGACGAGCGCTTGTTTTGGGGGGAGAGCGAATTGAATTGCCATCTCTGGCTCAGACGACGACGACGAGAGCACTGCCCCTCCTCCGCCCTCCCTCGTCCTCCCCCCTGTCCTCTCCCTCCCTGCGCTGCACGCTGCACGCACCCATCCCCTCACACCAAAGGGTCGGAAAATCTTACGACTACGATATCTGTCGATGCTCAACCCACGTCTGTAGGTATGTATGCACGTATGTGTACGTAGGTAGGTATATTTATGTGTCTGCTTCTATGTGAGTGTACGCAGCTATGTAGAGTATTGTAGAGCCCTGTACATGCGCATGCGACGTCGTGGGGAGAGCTGATTCCGTGTCCGTACTATATCCCATCCCCCATACCACCATACACCTATACATGTACTCACGCACACAAGCATAGGCCCCCCGTACCATACGCGACACCTACGCACAACGTCCACACACGACACAACACATACATGTGAATAGACAGATAGACAGTTGGATAGACAGACAGATCAGACGGCACAGACTAGGCCACTTGGGCGAGTACGCAACGGTCTCTCCACACGCTCGCACAACGCTAGCCCCCGGATCCCCCAGACTCAGGCCGCACTTAGGGGAGAACACTAACGGCGAGAGGCGGACGTGCGGGTCCAGGGAATCAGGGATCGCCAGCGAATCAGCGGGCTCGCGTTGGGGGCTGACAGCAGCGAGCGAGGCCTTTTCCGCCCCAGGCCCACGCGGGGAAGAGGACGCATCTCCTGTACCCATGTCTGGGCTGGCCCTCCTCGCCCATCCCCCCTGTTCTGGGGTAAAATAGCAGTCTGGGGTAGCATTACGCCCGATCGAACAGGAAGGTTGGCACACGATTGTATGAGGAGAGGAAGAGACACAGAACGAAAGTCAGCAAGACGTAGAGAGAGGAGATTGCAACGGGAGAAATAAGGGAAGTGTGAGAAAGCAGTGGGAATGGAGAAACGAGGAGAAGAAGGACCCGAGCTTGGACGCGCAGACGAGCTCAGCAGGCTGTGGACCGACCAGGTTAGTGGGCTCAGAACCCGCTGGGAGGGGGGGGGAGCACAGGACGGTGTGTACGTATGTGTACAGGAACGGAACTGGATGGGATGGAGATGGGGATGGGGACAGGGTGTGCGATGGACGGCTAATTATTATCGTTCTGGCCGCACGACGTCGACTCTTCCCTTTCCCTTCCCCTCTTCCCCTTCTCCATTCCCCCGTTCTGTTTTCGGAGAACTCTTATTTCAACCTCACGTCGTCTAGGGATTGCTGCCTCTCTTTTTTGGGCCTCTTTCCCCTTCTTTTCGCCTCGTCGACCTTCCCGACATCGATGGATAGATATCCGGCCTGCCCAGCATGTCGCTACACGGCTTCGTCCGCAGGGTACGGTGGTTCGCCTTCGTCCGCCTACCTTGGCTGTCGAATCTACATCCGACACGACATACCTTTCATTTCTAATTCCCGCATGTGCCCCTCAAGTTATCGTGCGCACCTGTATTCCTAACCGCGGCATTTCCCCCCCCCTCCCTCACTCGTTATAGCTCTCGGGGCATCTGAAGACACCCCGAGACGAGACGCGTCGTCGGCCTAGACACGACGAATGAATGATGACTCGAAATCCTGAGCGTGTATATAGGCTACCCGCCCTACACGTTTAGCCAGACTTTCTTTCCGTTGACTACACGGCCGAGGTTGTTTTTCTTTTTCGCCTGTGAGGAGGCTGTGGTGCCGCTAATGGGATCGAGTGCTCCCGGCGGTGCTGTTTTATCCTACTCACTTCGAACTCTGCGTCGTCTCGAGTACACCTCAGTTGGTTATGGTGGATCGGCTTAGGCCTCGAGTTTGGGCCGCGCGGGGGACCCCGACACAACGGTATATGAACGGTGGGCGCTGCCAGCCGCTAACGCGTCTAATGCTATCGGTAATCGTTCCGATTATGGGTTTGAAACCATCGCGTTGATGTGCCGAAAGGCAAGGAAATGACGGTACCATCGTTTCGAGGGAATCCGGTAGGAAGGACGCCATCCGGATCTTGAGATATCGCGACTATCTATCGTCCACGGCGGGGTATCGATGGTGCAATACGTTCGGGCGCCGACTCTAGGTTATGGTCAGCAGTTGACGCGAACCCGCCCGCATTCGGGAGTTGCCGTCACAGAAGCACCAATGGCCGTCACAGAAGCACCAATGGCCCTCAACAACACGAAGAGTAGCCTCATCAGCCCGACATTGGCGAGGTCAACTAACTGGCCAAAGCTAACGGGGCTGTCTGGTTCCTGGATGTTCATATCATTACGACAGGGTCTGGGAACTTCTCATGGGCAAGCAGCCTAGGCCCTTGGGCCGGCTTCCACGAAAGGCGATATTGGGGAGCTGCGGGGATCTGTGGTGGCTGACCGAAACATGGGATGGGAGCCTCTCTGCTCTGCGTCAAGCCGTGCAGCGGTTCATGCGCGTGTCGCATCGGCCCGCATCCATGCCTATCTATCGATCGTTAGGCTCCTTGGTTGATCCACCTGTCCCAGCCTCTTCTTGATACCTTCCATATTCGCTATTCGTCGGTTTGGCTGCGGTCAGCTCTCAAGGACGGCCAGTCACACCGGACTTCCTTTGGGCACCGGTAAAGCCACACCAGATTCTGGCATCGTCTGGAGGCCGATCCTAGGTCGAAGTAGGAACTCACGGGTGGTCCGGCTGGCTTGTTAACGATGTAGCGTCCTTCGTCTCGCATGTCGGTAACCGACCGATGTTATTCTGTCGCGGGTGCAGCAAGCTCACAGAACCAAACAGGGCCAACGTTGGCGTCATGCCTGTCTCGCCCCGTCTCGTCTCAACCGGACCGTGGCTACCGAGATGCTGTCGTTGATGTAGGAGCCAGGCCTGTTCAATGTCTGTCGCGAATCGTCGTCATGAATTGCTTCGTGTCAGTATCGCTCCAGGTCTAGCCGAGTCTGGTCTTTGTCGGATCGAATCGTTCGAAGGAAATCGCCATGTCCCCTGACGCCGTCCCCTGGGGGTGGTTGAGGAATGACATGGTTGCCTACGCACAGTTGTCGATCCATCAGATAATTCTAGTAACGATCACGACAACATCGGTAACGAATGGTAATGGCCGGGGACGCTGAAGGCTGGATATCACCGTGGCCGTTAGTCGTCAACGATTAGCATCGCCACCAGAAATGGGGGAGGCCGACTCAGGCCCCATCTCGAGAAAGAGTTTAGTAGGAACGGGATAAGGGGGGGGGGGGGGGGCGTCAGATATATATATACACTTGTATACCCATCGCCACACACACACGCGCACTCCATACGGCGTCAGAGACCCACCGCCCCCCCTTCGCTGTTGGATGCCACTCACTCACCTTACCGTACCCTCCCGACGACGAGTGACCCCCATCTCCCGTGTTCCCATTATATACCATGTATGTATACGCATGTATACATACACACTAGGAGAGGGGAGTGAGGATCACAGGGGAGACCCACGCATGTCACCTCTCACCCCAGACTGAATAGACGGGGACAGCGGCACGACGCAACGCAGAAGAACAAGAGACGATTCGCCCCCAGGAAGAGGGATGAAGAAAGGAGGAGAGAAGGGGTTAGCCCTACTAACTAGCCCAAGGCCGAGCCGACCCAGCCCGCAACGCAGTCTACCTACCCGATGTAGCTAGTCGGGTCCATCCATTTTACCTCGCCCCGTCCCCGATTCCGTCTTCTGGCTTCGTGTGTCTGTGTGTCGATGTGTACTCTCGTCTCTGTCCGTCTCTCTCTCTCCCGGTCTCTCTCGAAACCCCCATACCAGCCCTGAGATGTACCCCCTTAGGAGTCAGCATCAATGGATGGCATGGGAGGGATGGGCCGTACGTGTGTACAGACGCCATCCCTCCCGATCGCTCCATCTTGTCGTATGTACCTCGTTTGTCTGGCGCCTCTTCTTGCGTAGTACCCTCTACCCACACTGCTCCCTGTCCCTCCTCCGCTTCTTCCTCCCCATCACGCCAACCCGAGCGTCCCCACACGATCGGCCTAGTGGCAGTGGTAGCGTGTAGCGGCCGTCTCTGATTGGAAGAAGCTGGAGGAGGAGGAGGAGGAGGAGGAGGGAGAAGAGGAGGAGGGGGAAGAGGAGGAGGAGGAGGAGGGAGAAGAGGGAAGTATCGTGTTCAAGTGTGCACAGCACGTACGGGGGGAGGGGGGAGATGCGTTACGAGAGAGAGACACGATAAACTCTAGCTGAGAAGCCCTCTCGAAGCCGTCTCGGAGCCCTGTCGTGCGGCAAAAGCCAGAAAGAGTCGGCCGTGGGGAAGAAGGGAGAGAGGACGGGAGGGGGGGGGAGGAAGATGAGTTGCAGCAGTTCGATGAGTTAGTTGGTGCGATGGGCGGGTGACCAAGTGGGCCAGGCCGCCCCTTCGCTCTTCTCCCCAGGTACCTCTCTCGTCTCTCTCGTCTGTTTCCCGCCATCGCCCTGTACCTCCGCACTAAACCCTACCTTAGGTACCTACCTACCTAGGTGGGCATGTACCTACACGGCCTGATGTCCACCGTGCAATGCTCACTGTGCAGCGCATGTACCCGAGGTACACTTACCCATACACCACTTGCTGGTGCATAAAGTTGTGCACTTCCACAGAAGGGGCGGGGGCCTGAACTAACCTAACCTATAACCACTAACAGACAGCTCCTAGGTGCCACGCAGGTAACACTTGAGATGATATCCAGGTAACTTAGGTTAGGTACCCTACCTCCATTAGGGTACCTACGGGGCCCCGAACCTCGGATACTCAGGGCCAGCCACCCGCCTGAAAACCCGAGTACTCCTGGGCTACAACCCGCTGCACCGATCAGCCCTGTAGGCGGGTTAGGCACCTGTAGGGTCCTACCCGCCCGCCCGAAAAAAAACTACGCAAGTCACGGGGTTTCTTTCGTACGCAGGTGGTTTCTCCCTTCGAGGTAGCGTAACCAGCTGTTACCCGCTCTCCAGCCGGCCTATGTGACCGCTACACGACGGGATATCTATCTATCCCGGAGGAGCCTGGCATCGATTGTACCTGCTTCGCGGACGACCTCGAGGCGGCTTACATCTGCTTGTACGGATCCCGAGAGAAAATTACTCATACGCCGCTTCGCCGTGTGCTAGAGACCATGTCGAATTCGAAGGGGGGAGGTAAGGCAAGGGGCCGGAACGGAAAAGGGGAGGAAGAAGAGGGACGAGATCGATATCGGTTCGGTCAAGATGGTTCGTATTGTTACAGATCGCCCCCGGCCGCCCGAGATGGCAGCAGTGTTGGTTATTTTCTCTTTTTTCGGCAGAAGCTTTTCTTTCCATCTTTACACGTGGATGCAATGCAATCGATGCCCGATCCGCTCCCGCCTCCGTCGGGTTTCCCGCCGTCTCTCCCCCCCGCTCCTATGCACAGGAAGCCTCTCTAACGGACCTCTATTACTCTATTTGCTGGTTCTCCTAAATGGACACGGCGGAGCAGCGCAATGCCGCCATGCGGCCCTCCGCATTTCCAGCCCGTCCGTCCGCACCGTCCCAAGCGGTGGCGCGAACCCCAGCCTCCGTAAGTATGGAGGGAAAGTTGCTTAAGTCTGTTCGGACACGGGAGTTAGCAAGTCCATCGGACCAATTGACCATGCTGAGGACCCGGACCGGGGCCGAGGCCGAGGCCGGTAGTCGCGGAATCGGCGGGTGCGGCATTTTATTTCCGAGGCGAGGGGGTGTTGGGGAGGGAGGAGGGGGGGGGGGGGCACGTACGAACTTGGCCATGAGGGCAATCATGAGGTCGAAAAGACCAATGGCCTCGACGAAGGCGAAACCCAGAATGGCGTAAGAAAAGAGCTGGCCACGGAGGGCGGGGTTGCGGGCGACGCCGTTGAGGAGGGCGGCGAAGACGAGACCGATACCGACACCAGCGCCGGCCAGACCGATGGCAGCCGAACCCATACCCAGGTTCTTGGACACCTCGACCATGGCCTCGGCGATCTCAGACGAGTATGCTCGGCGGGGCACCTGTTGGAAGGCCTGGCGGGTTGTGATGCTCAGGATCTTGGAGACCTGCTGGCGCTTGACGGCCTGGAAGGGAGAGACGGTGCCTGGAGGGGTCGGGTTAAGTCAATGGGCTTGCGCAGAGGCCGAGAGAAAAAAATTTTTCACATCGACGTCGTCAAGGGGCATTGAGATGAGAAACCCGTGGCATCGTGGCCCCTTTGGCCGTGCGTCAATGAGGGGTAAAGAGAAGGTGAGGACATACTGATGGCTCGCGTAGCAGCGACGCCGCTCAAGGGAGCTCGCATGGCAGGTCGAGCGACCTTGGTGCCCACGGAGGCGATTCGCGAGGCGACAATGCGAGCAGAGGCCATTGTGACGGATATACGGATGTGTAATGGAGGGGAGAGACGTGAGAGAAGAGAAGGCTGACGGGCAGGAGAAGATTCGGAGGAGCTGCACAAAAGTCAGGGAAGAAAAAAAGAGCTTGCTGACTTGGTGTGTTTTGTGTGAGAGGTATTGTGTGTGTGTGGGAAAGGAAGAAAAGAAGGGAGAGGAGGGTGTGCGGGAGAACAACGGGAGCGCGCGAGAGGGCAACCGGAACAAGTTTGTCGCCTGGGTAGCCGGTGACAGGCGATGTACCTACCTGAGAGGGAGGAGGGGGGGGAGGGGGGGGACACAGTGCCAGGCGCAGACACACCTGGTATCCGGTCGGTCCTTGGGAAGAGAAGAAAAAGAGAGATACCTGGAAGCGGAGCGAGAGACGATGTACCGTACGGGATGTATACATACACACATACCTGTCTCCAGTACATGTCTACACCCATACCTCTAGGTAGGTAGGTATACCTACCTAGGTATCTCTGTCTGGCCTGCAACGCCGGCACGCCCAATCTACGGGCTCGAAGCCCGTCGTAAGGAGAAGAGACAGTGGGCCACGAGGGCGCCAGGAGCGCGATCCCAAGCGGCAGAGAGAAATTTTCATTTCCTCAATTTTTTTTCTTTTGGGCTGCGGCGGCGTCGGGAACTACCCGAAGAGGACAAGGCTGACGAGAATTCATCATGGTTGGACACAACTGAGCGTGGCCAGTCGGGCAATACCGGGTCTCTGCTGCGACAGGGGGGATCCCGAGCTTATTTTGTCGCTGGTGCTGTCGAGTTCTTTTCCCTCCGCTTAGGTATTTCCAGGAATCCTCTTTTTTTATACTTCGTCGCCATCTTACTTGCGTTTCCTTGTCTTCGCCATCTATATAGCGTGTAGATGGGACGGGCGTCCTTATTTCAGCCTCTGCGGAATCTTGGTTTCTTGGGGGGTTTTTTCTTCCCTTTTTTTCTCAACCAAGATCTCGCTTTTCCAGCGCCAGCACGTCCTCGATGAGTGTGTGGCCTGCGTGTCCCACCCTGTAGGGCGACACAGGCGACACGAAACGAGGATGCGCAAGGAGCAAGAAATGTGCAGACCCGTAATGAAAGTGACCCCCACTACCTGTCGTAACCTAGCGACACTCTCCCCTCCTCTTCTTCTTCTTCCTCCTCCCCCAGCAACTCGTGGGCGACAACTTGCGACTCGGAGAGACACACGTGGGTGGAGCCTGGTGGGAGCGCAGTAAACCGGCGGTAGTCTGGATGCGAAGGATAAAAAGCGTGAGGCACCCTCGGCTTCTCGCCTTTCCCCGGGTGTGAGTAATTCCCGCACTCGCTCGCGCACTCTCCCACACGTACGCATACCGCTTGGTATGCAAGTGCGCTCGCTGGTCTTCTTCTCCCCCTTTACTGGGAGGGGCGTATTCGCTAGGCGTGCCAGGTAGGCCACGATAAGCTTCGCGTTCCTCCGCCCGGACAATTCAGTTCTGCGTCTGATCTGTCGCTCTCCCTCCTCTCCTCGCCCTCACCTAGCTCGCTCGCACAAAAGTACGTGTGAGAAGGAGAGGAGAAAGACGAACAAGAGAGGTTACCCCTGGATTGCTGTCCGGCATCTAGCTGTGTGATGAATCTGACCTGTCAGGTCGCTCTCGATCTAACCCTTGTTTATGGGCCAAGCGACCAATGGGGAAGACCACGACGACGTACTGCAGCATCCTGGTTTTCCTTTTTTTTCTTCTTTTTTTCCCCGTTTCTTCCTTTTCCTAGGTCGCCAGCAAAAGCCGAGCCGGACTGGCGGTTGCATACTCTCACATGGGTGGGCGAATTTCCGTTGGAAATGTGCCCTCGATACCGAGAAATACACGTAAAGCAGAGGAGGAGGAGGAGGAGGAAGAAGCGGGTGGGCCTGGCACGAAAACTTTTCGGGCCAGCCAGGTCGGACGTTGCAGCGGCCAGGGATGTCCCCTTTTAAGCCTCATTGCCGCAGGATGTCATCACTCGGTGCCATCGCCGCTGCGCCGTCACCCACCCGCGGGCCATTGCCTCCGCGCCTATAGTACCTACGCGTAAATGCACGCGAGCGGACGTAGAGAGAGAAGAGACGACACGGAAGTGTAGCCGCGGAAAAGAGGACGAAAAAAAGAGATGGGAAAGAAAAGTCGGATGGAGAGGAAAGCGTGAAGACAAGATGGATAAGAAAAGAAGAAAAAGGAGTCCATCCATATGTAGACGCATGCGTATGCCGTCGTCGTAGTAGCACAGAAACACACACAATCAGCAGTAATTACCTACATCAATACTGTTGGGCTCACTCTGCACCAGTTCTACTGCCTGCGTCGACCAGGGTCTGTGATGGATTTTTATTTTCTTATTTTTCAATTCCCTATTTCTCCCCCCCGACGCACGAACCGAAGCGAGCTGAGATCAGATTCCGCTCCTGCAAGTGTGACGAGGGAGAGAGCAGGAAAAAAAAAAAGTTTTTCGATGATGGCTGACCACCTGATCAACCCCCCCCCCCCTGCCACCCCCCCTGCCACCCCCACGCCCAGCGCCAGCGCACCCGCACCCTCGGCCTCTCAATCTTCCGCGCCCGCAAGCCCCGGCCCGCCACGCGAACCCGCCGACGCCGGGTCGCCCCCCCCTGCAGCGCGTAAGGGGCCGGCGGCGTGCTCGTCCGCACAGAATAGATAGCCAGACACGTCGCAGTCGAGCGCGGACAGCCGCCGTCTTGGGTCCCGCGGGGTGGGGGAACGGGGAGGCGCCGAGACTACGACGCAGTCCGACGGACGGAGGGAGAGACGCTGGGTGAATTGCTAGGGGAGGCGGCGTGCCCATCTACGTGAGTGTTTGCGGCCGCATGTTCGCTGTCCGCGTCCGCGGATATGTATGTATATATACACAGTAGCCTATATACCCTATGCCATGTACAACCTCCATGTGTTCCGTGCTTGTCTCTCTTCCCTTCTCTGCTCGCCTACTTCTCTCATCTCTTGTCTCCTGGCTATTATGATTCCTCTCCAGTCTTCTCCTTCTCCACGCGGTCTAACCCCCCTACCTCTACCCCTCCCCCTTCCCCTCCCCTCCCGCTCCTCCTCCCTTTCCCCCCTTCGCCCCCTTTTCCTCATTTTCCTCCCTTCCCCCCTTCTTCCCCTTGCCCTCTCCGACTCCTCCTCCAGCAGCAGCAGCCGCCGCGGCCGCGCCCTCGCCCCCGGGCGCCAGCGCGTACCCCTCGACGAACCCGTGCGGGTCGCACGTCCGCGTGAGCTCGACCCTGTTCGCCTGGACCCAGCGGCGGACTACCTCCCTGTCGAGCAGGACCCGGGGCGGCCGCGGCGCGGTCGTCCGCGTCGGCGTCTTCCGCGTCTTGCCCTCGTGCTCCTCCGCCTCCACTCTCTCATCTTCCTCTTCTTCCTTGGTATCCTCCTCTCCCCTCCGCTCATCGGCCGCTGCCGTTGCCACCACCACTCCCATCTCGCGGAGCACCGCGAGGCAGTCCTCGGGCACGATCCACGTCGCGCGCGAGCACTGTTCGACGCTGACAGTCACCTCCCTAGTCCGCCTTCGTCCCCTCGCCTTCGCCGCCCCTCCCCCGTTAGGCCCGCCTTCTCTCTCTCCTTCGCCGTCCTTCCTCCGCTCGTCCTCCGCCCTATCCCCTAGCTCGATCATCTCCACCTCGTCGTCGCCGTCCTCCCCGGCTTCCTGTTCCGGATCCGGCTCTTTCTCCGCCGCGTCGTCTCCTCTCCGTTTCCGCGCGTCCGCTTCGGGCGAAGGCGGCGGCGACGGCGTCATGTCGAGCCCCAGGATCCACCGCGCGATCTCGCCCGCCCAGAAGCGCCGGTACCCCTTACGCCCTAGCTCCGAGATCGGCTTCTCCGGCCCGCCGAGCACGCCCTCGCGCCGCGAGATCTCGTACGACACGCCCATCAGCAGCGCGCCGAGCCCCTTGCGCTGCCAAGGTGGGAACACCAGGATGCACGCGAGGTTGTTGTTGTCCCACGATAGCTTCTCCTTCGAGAAGAACCCGACGACCTGCGGCCGCCGCTTCGTCACCGCCGGCTTCTCCTTTCCCGTTTCCGTCGGGGACGATGGCCCCGCCGGCGGTTGCGAGGGGCTGTCGGTCGTCGTAGGTGCTGACGGAGGAGGCGGGGATTGAGTCTGCGGCTGGGAATGGGAGTGGGGATACGGATAGGGGTGAGGCAGGGGATAGGGCGGGGGTTCAGGCAAGTCCATGGCAACGGAAAACGGTGGCGGCGGGGGCGGCGGGAGGACGGGATTCTGGAAGAGTTCGGGTGGCGGCGGCGGCGGGGTGTACACGAGGAGAAAATAGTTAAACCCCGTAACGTCGAAGAAGACGGACTTGTTGTCGAGAAAAAGCTTCGCGAATAGGGAGAGGTTCTGGCAGAAGAGCTATAGAATGACGGAGAGGTCAACATCAAAACTAGATTCAGCGCTGGGTAATGAGGCAGAGGCCGCTGGTAATATGTTATCACCTACCCTATCCTTCTCGCCGTCGACCTCCCAGACGCTCCACTCCCCTTCGTCGCTAACAACCACCTCTTCCATGGCTACAGGTGTGAACACGCCCCCACCTACGTCGCCTCTCTTCCCCTTGCCCTTCCCCTTGCCCCCGCCTACGGGGACCGACACGCCGTGCTCGGCGGCCGGGGGCGTCGCGGCCGGGACCCTGATCGTCCTCGTGCCCTTGGGGTGGGTGTACACCTTCGTGCCGGGCATCTGAAACGTACGCTCACAGGTCCGCACGTGCTCCCACCACATGACCAGCTCTCTCGAGTACTTGAAGCAGCACGGGCACACGTACAGGCGGTCGAGCATGGGCGGCGGGACGGTCGCCCTCTTGCCGCCGCCTATGCGTCCCAGCTTTCCGCCGTCCTTGCCGGCGTCCCCGTTACCGCTGTTGCCATGGTTGTTACTCAGGTCGCCTAGAACCTCCTTCCCGTAGTATGACGGGTACCACGCTTTAAAACACACATTCCCCAACACAACCTTATCGACATTACGATCGGAACGGGGTGTCGGCGGAGGCCTCGGCGGTTTGTCCGGGGACGAAGCGGGGCGCCTAGGTGTCGACGCTACCGGTGCCGCGGTGGGATGGGCTAATCGTGAGGTTTGTGACTGCTGGGTCGTCTTCAGCAGCGGCGCATGGCGCACTTGAGTCGGCGAAATCGGTCTCGCTTCCGGCAGTCGCACCGGGGAGACACGGAGCGTTTGTGCGTGTCCCAGGGGGGATATGGACAGATTCCGGTGTCCGACCTCACCCTCGGACGGGGAGGAGGGCTTTATATTCTCCTTCGAAGCTGCGATTGCGCTAACGGTCGTACTCGCAGCGGCCTCTTCTACCGGGTCGTGTTCCGCTATACTGTGTCTCGTCGCTCTCGTCTGTTTCTTCGCGGGGGGCACCGTGGCGTCGTGTGCGATTGTCGTCTTCGGCGCGTCATTTCTCCTGCCTCTTGGCGCCTGCAGTTCCACGGACGCGGCAGGAAGCTCTTCGGTGATACTGACGCGTTTACGACCGCTCCTCAGCTGGTGTTTCGGCTCAGGGCCAGCGAGCGGATGCTGGCGAGTCGCGCGACGAGGTGGAGCTTGTGGCGAGGTCTCTGGCGCGACCGTGTCGTGGGGTCTCTTGCGCTTCTGGGGAGGCATCGTTCAATCGAACAAGAGCGCTGTCTATCCAGGTCATCGCACTAACCATTGACATCCGGCACTGAGCAGAATGAGTTCGTAGAGAAAGATAAAGAAACGGGAATCCCGTAAAGTTGTCGAATTCAGTCAGCGACGGTTCACTATGCGTATAGTACCGACTCGAGAACGATTACATAAGCAGACGTAGCGGAGACCGGTCCGTCCTCAAGACCCACTTGACGTAGAGAGTCGTCACGTGACACACATGAGCGGTGGTTCCCTGCTCTACGTGTATGAGCACGCCGCCATCACCATCACACGCGTACCGTAGGCGGCGGATGTAATAATACAGTATAGTGCTACAATATGTTCGCCCCAGCACGTCCCGTGTCGGATATGCCGCGGTGCAAGATATGCTTATACAAGTAGTACTAGCAATGCGCGATATCAATTGTGCGCGAGAAGGGAGGGGGCTCTCTCCTCGGGCCAACCGGCATCGTGCGAAGAGATGTCAGAGGCTTGCCAAACCACCGCGCTCCATTTCCCACCCTCCAGGTGCCGAAATAAAAAAAGAGTCTGCCGTATCTATTACAATGGGCCCGATGACGCGTGTTTATAATAGCTGCGCCGGCGATGCAGCCTCAAACTTATCTGTAGCAAACTACACCTCCGTCCATCCAGCAGCTCCTACTTCGCGTACCACCGTCACGGGTCGGTAGGAGCCACGAGGTGGCGCCGGTGAGACCTCCCGTCCCGGATTACACACGGCTCCCCGTGTCTTTACATGCCTTCGAAGTCCCCGCCGAGATCGTCTTCGTCCAGGTCCCCCTCTTGTATCTCTTTGGCCATCTCGCGCTCGCGCTCACGCGCTTCCTGCGCGTTCTTCAACTCGAGACGGTGCTGGTTCATCGGGAACCGCATGGCCTGTGAAACCCGTCAAGTTAGCCTGCATCCTGTCTCACATAGCGCGCTCTGAAACAAAAAAGCGGCGACATACCTTGACACTCTCGTCATGCAAGGCGAGACAGGCTCGGATACGGTCGTGGAAGGCCTCTCCGGGTTCCCGGGTCGCGTACACGTCGCCAATCTCCTTGCTCTTCATGAAGCCTCGTTCCCGGTCGAGGGTAGCCTCGATGACGCCGTCTCGGATCGCCTTCGCGACGATGTACTCGGCGCTCTCTTCGCTTCCTAGGTGGAGCCGGATGCAGATGTCGCGAAGCGAGATGCGGCTATAGCTTAAGCTCATCATGCGGATGCCCGTCTTGATGACGTTCTGGCGGAGGCGCAGGATGAGCGAGTACGTGCCGTCGTGACGGAAAGTCTCGGCGTGGTCGGCGATCGCGATCTCGAAGTCTTCCAGGTTGCCCACCCGCACGGCCCGAACGAGCAGGAAGTACGGGTGCAGGGTTTGCTCCATGCTGGGGATGCGGAACGTGGCTCGCTCGGGAATATCGCCCATCAGCAGCTCCACGACGAGCAGGAGCTTCGTCGCCGTCTGGGTGAAGCCGAGGGCGCAGGTGCTGGCTGGTGCTTTCCGCGTGGCCGCGGTCAGGTGCTCGTGTGCCTCGGTGTACCGTAGCTGGATGGCGCGGATCCTGCCCAGGTAGTAGAGGAAGCGGGCGACTTGGTTATTGGCAGCATTCTCGGGGAACTGGGTGTGGGATACGAGAAGGTCGGCTTGGGAGATGTGAGAGGTGAGGAGGTAACTTCGCAGCAGCAGCACTATGACGGAGGCCTGTATGTCTATGTCTTTTCGCAGCACGGCAGTCCGAAGCGCAGCCAAGAGTGTGGGACGGATGGCGACAATCGGAGACTGAGGCGATGGTGGTAGGGGGGCCAGCTGCTCGCAGAACAGAGAGTAGTAGAAATAGATCTTGGCGGACAACGAATCTAGGGTCCGGCGGTTCAGAGAGTGGATGCGCTCGGATAGGTACTTGGAAAATTCGGCACCCAGCTGGAACTGCTTCGTGTCAAACAGGTAGACCTGGACCAGGATGCTGAGGAAGATGTCGATCTCCGGGATGATGTCTCTGCTCTCCTTCTTGCTGCCGCTCTTAGCCGGCGCCTTCGGTTCGCTATCGACGTCCATCTCCGGGCCCACCTGGCGGCCCAGGGGTACATCTGGCTTCCCGACGGCAAGCAGGAGCTGCTTCGCAACGCTGGCAGACGGGCTCGTGGGGGAGAACGTCTCCGAGATGACCTGGGCGAGAATGTCCGGCGTGAGGCGTTTGCGGAGGGAAGAGATGGACCGCAGAGCTCTTAATGAGAACCTAGCATCAAAAAGGGCCACTGCGCGGTCGAGTAGGGCGAAGTTGCTCTTGATATCTGGGATGTGGGGAGGTACGTCAGCACGCAGATGGTAACGAGTCATTTTGGACAGGCCTGGGGACGCACCTGCGACGGTCTGAGTGACGGGGTCGACCTTGACCTCGAGGTCTTCTGTCTTCTCGGATAGCTCCATGGGAACGTCTCCGTCAGCGTCGGGCGGGGGCGGTTGAGACGATTGTTTTGTGGTCTTGGTTAGCGGAACGACAACGGTGATATCATCGCCCTCGTTTACACCCTTCTTGGCCTTTCCCTTGAGAGACGACTTCTCGTCAGTCATGTCGACATCCTGGTTATTCCGGACACCATTCTCGACCGGCTCGTTGCCGTTTGCATGAGGTGTTTTCCCTGGCATAGCGGTTGTGGGAAACGGGAGATAGGAAAGAGACGAGGCAACGGTATTAGGCCGTGGCGGGCGGGCTAATCAATCGGCTTGGGTCGACGTCTAGTCATATATCGAATGATTAGACCGCGTCAACACATAAGACGGACGCCGGAGAAGGGAGAAGAGAGGGCGGGCGGAGAAAATGGAGAAGACGGGGGAGGGCTACCGTGATAATGGTGACGACGACAGAGGCGACGCCGGGTTTTCGCAGGGTCGACAGGTGACTGTCGCGAGGCGCGCTGGATCGGGCGCCGCAGGGAAACCGAAACGGGGCTGGTGTGGTCGAAGGCTGGCAGCCGGCCGGGGGTGGAACACGGAGTGCGTGTCTGGATAATGATAAAAAAAATCAACAAAGAGGAGAAAGAAGACTGACTGTGCTGTACGTACGGGTGAAGGAAACGGGAAGAAAGCGGCGGCTGTGGAATTGGAAACGAGTCGGATGGTCAGTCGAGTATGTAGACGGAAGAGAGAATCGGGCAGGGCAGATAAGTCGGGTAGGTAGGCAAAAGTACAGGTGTAGGCAGGCCGTGGTGGTTGGTGGTGGTGGTAGTGGTGGTGGTGGTGGGTAGCAGTTGTTGAAGGGATGATGAGGTGAGAGGGCGAGTTTGAGGCCTTGATGGACTTGGCTGACTGATCGATGTCGTTTGTCGGTTCCGTCTCCGGATACTCGCCGAAGCGCCCGAGCCATGTACCTCTAGCTAGGCGGCCACGCAGCTGCGCGCTCACCGTGTATGCGGCAGACCCGGTAAGCGTATCTGATCTACATGCGGAAGCCGACGTCGCAGGTACCCTTTCGCAGACGCCAAGTACCGACCCGACCCTGCCCAAGATCCGCTTAGGTTAGGTACCTGTTGGGTATGTGTATGTGCCATAGGAGGTAGGTACCTTAGGTACCTAGGTAGGTAGGTCGCTGAGGGCGGACCGGATGGAAGAGGTACCTCCTACCTCTACGTACGGTCACGGTGATGCAACAGGAAGAGACAGGAACCGGAAAGACAGAAAAAATATACATGCCTGCTGCCCCGGGACCTGGGAGTGTCCTATCAGGTATCCAACAGGTACCTAGACCGTCTCGGCGCACCTACGTTAGGGCACTTACAGCGCCTACAGGCCTCAGCAGGCGAAACACCGGAAGCTGTAGCAGCTAGGTACCTACAGGCGGATAGTCGGTGGGCCGATAGTGGGCTGTGCGTGCTAACACGGTCGAATGCGACCTCTATATGTACTCGTAGGCAGGCTTAAGGGCGCCAAGTTAGGGTACAAAGCTGGGACCGGGGAGGTACCTACTCGAGGGGGGGGGGCTAGGCCAGTCCAAGAGGCAGGTAGAAGGTAGGAGGTACGTCAAACCCAGTGCCGGCATTGCTACCTCCTACAGGTACCTAACTACGGTGCCTACCTACATTGGAGGTACCTCCCAACGCAGTACGCACAGCCCTAAGGAGAGGCAATGTGTACCTCGGGTCCAGGTACATCAATTGTACCTACCTAGTAGGCAGGTACATTCGTGGGTTGGATCGCAGAAGAGACCCGCATTCTGCCCCGTGCTGGAGGCGAGGCAGTGACGTTTGCGAACTGGTGCCTGTCTGGACCTTCCGAGGCCTGGAGACCCAGAGCTCCGACCGAATCTATGGCTTCGAGGTACCTAGGTACCTGTATACCTAGGTACCGCCCGTTTACCGGGAACTCTCCAGCTGACTTACAGCTTACCTTCCATATGAGTACTCCTCCAGCTCAGCTTTGATATACCTACCTCCTAATACTGAAGTCAAGGATTTTTATTTCTTTTATTGCATTTAATTTCTAATTTATTTAATTCCCTATTCCTTTATTATTATTATTTCCTAATCTCGATCCCCCACCGTCGGTATGCCTACCTACATATGCCGTCCCTGTTCGCGACGCTTCCCTTCAAGGCATTCTCTACGCAGCCGGGTTCAACCTCGTCCACATCTCTATCCCCTACCCTTTCCTAGCAGCAAAGCGCGCCTGAGTGAGACACGCCGAGTTTGCCCTCGCGGCCGTGGTCAATCGAAATCTGCTGTCTCCTACAGCCACCTCCTTATATCTCCTACACCACACCTGGTATCGTCGTCATCGTCGCCACCAACGCCGGTACGACCACCGTCGTCATCCCGCCGCTGCTCCAACCTATCGCACCATGCACAAAGGTATATATATATCCGCTTGTACCAATAATACGGTAGAGTCGACGGTCAACTCCCCCATCATCCACACCCCCCCCTCCTCCATCCCGTCCGCCAGTCGCCATAGGCGCACCGCCCGACCCCCCTCGGGCCTGGAGCGCCACATGTCGGCACTCGAGAGGTACGCCTCTTCTCGCCGGCTGCCTGTGCTGCTAGATCTATACCTCGGGTAAGTGTATACGACGGTGCGTACACCCGCGACACAACTGCATCGCGGTATCTCTGAGGGGGAGGAGAGTCATCAAAGTCATAGGGGAAAAGGGCAGGGGAAGTGAAATAAAGTAAAGACGAGGGGGAGAGGGAGACAGTATGTGTGGGTGCGCGAGCAAGTCTTACTCCCTTTCTCAACACGCACACACATACACACACATGTATATATACAGATGCAAATACAGGCAGGTAGTGGCTCTCAACAGGCGCCCGCATAGCTACGAGGCAGGGTCCATAAGCCCCTGGTGAAAACACCGAAATTAGAGGCGTAAGCTGTATATCAATGTCTGAACCAGGCGTGCGTCGCTGGGGGGGAATCGGCCAATCAATCGAATTACCTGCCTGCCGACCATACCGAAAGACGACTGCTTTTTTCTCTTCCCTCCCCCCCTATTCGGAGGATGGGCCACGAAGATGCCAGCATCACCCACCGACGGCACGCCGCCGGAGCCCGCATGCTCGAGAACACTGTGTGGGAAACACAGGAGGCGGCAGCAGTTCACGCTTACTATACTATCCATCCATCCGCCTCCCGTGGCGTTCGGTTTGTGTGCACACACCACAGCATATCCGTCGCCCTTCCCTTCTCCGCCACACCCAGGTAATAGAGAGATGGCCCGGGGGGGGGAGTAAAAGTAGGATGTATTAGAACAAAGAAACGCATCGGTAAAAAGATAAGCTATAGCGAACGCCGAACCGGGGGTGGATTGCTAGTTATACCCGGCCTCCTTTCCGTCCCTTTCCAGGCCGCATTATCGGCATCGTGCCGTACAACCCTCTCAAATCAGTCCCTGAGAACGCCGTCCCCATCACTTGAGAAACTATGCATAGCCGCATTGTCAAGGCACATGGGAGTCTTTGGGGGTATATCTAGTTTTGCCCCCTTCCTCCCTTCTCTCCCCCGCGGCAAACATGCGCAACACCCTAGACACCTGGGTGAGTTGTCCTGCTGCGTTTCGTGATGGTGGTTCTCTCTTCCGTCACTCCTGATGCTTTCCGCTTTCCGCTAGCCTTACTTGCAAGTTCAGACATGTCCTACTTGTCGTCCTTGCCAGGCATGACTTTGGCGGCTTGCACGGCGTGCACCTTGGAAATCCAATTGGCTGCCGGCTGCACCTTGCGAACGATGCGCAACTCGTCCGAGGTGTAGCCGGGGATGCGGATGTTGTATACGCGCTCTAGGACGAGTTGAATATCGCGAATCTCGAGCACTTTGCTGCCCCGTTCCTTAGCCAGGCGGCAAGCCGTGTGCAAGACGTTATCGACGAAGTTATCAGCCACGCTTAGGACGGACTATCGAGACGGATTGTCAGCAAAGCACACGGTCTATCGGCGGCGGTAGGAAGAAGATGGAGAGAGAAAGAGAGAGAGAGAGAGAGACAGAAGGGTAAGTGAGGGCGGAAAGAGGACGGGTTCTCTTGAGGACGGCAATGAGCTAACCTCCTCAACATCCGGCGTCAGATAGTTGCCATCAGTGCCTGGGGAGCCACCACCGCAAATCTGGCGGACGAGCTCGTCGAGCTTCTTCTTGGACAACACGTGGTCGCCCTCGGTATCGTACTGCGGGATGGTCATCTTCGGAATGACGGTCTGCCCCATGACTCCACCGCCGGTAGCGCCACCTCCGCTCATAGAAGGACGGCCGGGCGTGTTGCCGCCACCCACAGAGGTCGGCTGAGGGGTCTCGGTCGATTTGGCCGGCAGATTCTTATTGATTGGCATCTTAGTGGTAAGGGCCGGCGGGGGGTTGGGTTGCGGGTGTGCGTGCGTGTGGCCGGAGTGAGAGGCGCTTCCGACTAGGTTACCGGACCCAGGCGTAGGGGTAATACCTCCGGAAGAGTTGCTTGGCTGGCCGCTGATGTTCGCTGACGAGTTAGCGCGATTCACCGCTGCCGCATGCGACAATGGTTGTACTCGGGATCCCGGCGCCTGTTGTGATGCAGATTGGGGTGTCTGAACGCGTGCCGAGGGCTGAGTTGGTGTCCCCACCGAGGCCGGTAGGTGAGCAGACGAGGCGGCTGTGGCGAGAGCGGTATTCACTGGCGGCGGATGTGTTCCAGGCTCGCTCTTGATCTGCGGTTGTGGAGCTGGGGTCGGATGCGTCTGTGGAGGTTGCGGTTGCGGTTGTTGTTGGTTATGCTGTTGCTGGGCACTCATCGGCGTTGCCGGGGTGGCTGGAGTTCCAGGATGCTGTATCTGGGTTTGAGACTGAGGTTGTCCTGTAGGTCCTGGTGCCGTGACACGAGCAGCAGCAGCGGCCTGCTGAGTTTTTGCGGCGTCCATCGCCGCAGTCACGGACGCCGACGCAGCCTGCATCGGGTGGCTCGAAGCTGTGCTGGCTAGGTTTTGAGGCGGCGGCATAGGCTGAGGCCGAGCCTGCTGAGCGTTCGGCCCCTGGGAGCTACCGTTCTGCCCGGCAGCATGCATCTGAGCGCGGACCCCCTTGATGAATCTCTCAGCGTCCTGATAGCTCCTCTGATCTTGTATTTTCTGGTCTTGGATCTTCTTGAGCTCCTCAGGTGGGAGAGACTGCCCTTTTTCCTGTCGATCCTTGACGAGCGCATCCAGTCTCGCGGATCTCAGCTTGAGACTCTCCATCTGGGTTAGGTTTCGTATAAACCGATTCTTCGTCTCTGCCAACCATTTCTGGGCCTGGTCTTGGGGTAGTTGAGACGGGATCGGAAGTATGCTCCAGGGCAACTTGTTGACATGGTCCAAGATGGGCTTGGAGACGGGTTGGGGGTTGGAACCGGTGGTCGGTCCGGTCCCCGAAGCTGGTGCGCCGGGGTTCGCAGCGCCAGCACTGGTGCCGGGCCCTGGTGGCCTGTTTGGCTGCATCCCGGGTTTCTGTGCTGCCTGGGCTGCCGCTAGGGCATTCTGATATTGTCCGTTCTGTGCTCCTTGAGGTTGCACGTTGGGGTGCCCTGACTGGACTGGCTGACCTGGCTGACCTGCCTGGGCTTGGGAGGCGGCCTGATTCCTCGCTTGTATACTCTTAATCTTGGTGAATACCATTCTGGAAAAATCGGTGACTTTCTGTTTCGCGCTCTGGTGCTCTACAGTCTCGGGTCCGTACTGCTCCATCTTGGCATATAGCAGTTTCAGGCCCTCTTCATACTTCGCCTTGTCGTCAGGTGTCAGATAGTTTAGGTTGCGCATGTGTTCAGGTTGGAGGAGGCGAATGGGCGGAGGATGATGGCCTTGACCGGCCTGGCCTTGTGGCTGCGGATTCATTCTGCGATTCCTATTCGGGTGCGCGTGCTGGTGAATTTAAGGGTCGGGTCTCGTTGCAAAAGTCGCTACGTTCTGGGTAATCGGCTGAGGGATACTGATGGGAGAAACTAAACACACGGTGGAAGGATGAGGAGCTGATCTGGTACAGGCCCCGATGGAGATGGGGGTCGCTGTTGGTTGAGCTGCTCTGAGGCTGGAAGAGAAGAAGAGTTCGCTACCAGCCTCAGCCTGACAAAGTCCCCATAGCCAAGTGCTGGATAAAGTCAACACTGCTTATAGCGATGTAGCCCCTGCAGACCCTGCAGAGCCCCGTGAGTGCTATAAAGGAACCGGAGATAAGTACCTAAAGTAATATTCTAGTATGTAATATACATCGTTGCACCTATAACATGTAGTCAGGTACCTGACTTAAGTATCTGAGGTACCCAGCCTCTTAGGCATACCTAGGTAGGTACCTATGTAGGTATTCATTTAATACATCTTACTTTATGTGCTCGTGCTCCTATCAGCCGGGCATTCAGTGTTGTGTTAGGTGCCTGAGGTACCTGAGCAGGTCCCTAATTAGAGCCGCATAGGTACCATACCGGGAGGGGGGGGTCTACGGATAGTATGTCAGTAATAGAGTCGGGGTACGGATACGGTAACTAAATCTAGTAAGGGTTACCTATTCTTTCGAAAGAGCTAAAAGAATTACAGCAAGGGTCGCGGTACCGACCTTATTACCTTCCCTTCTTATAATTTCAGGATGGTTTTTATGACTACGTAGGAACTAATGTCCAGACGGATATGATAATGTCTAGACGGATATAATGTCTATATATTCCATAGGTACCTACCTACCTACCTACATACCTACCTTAGGTACCTACCTACCTATCTATCTACCTAGACCTACCTATTGTCTTCATCTTTTTTCTACAAATACTATGATCTATTACCCATCTACGAACCTATCTGCGAACCTATCTACGAACCTATTTGCGAACCTATCTTCGAACCTATCTGTAAACCTATCTACGAACCTATCTACGAACCTATCTGCGAACCTATCAACGAACCTATCTGCGAACCTATGGGAGCTAGTTCAGGCGCGTGGAATCTATCTATCTTCGAACCTATCTACGAATCTATCTGCGAACCTATAGGAGCTAGTTTAGACGCGTGGAATCTATCTATCTATCTTCGAACCTATCTTCGAACCTATGGGAGCTAGTTCAGGCGTGTGGAATCTATCTATCTATTTGCGAACCTATCTTAGAACCTATCTTCAAACCTATCTACGAACCTATCTGCGAACCTGTGGGAGCTAGTTCAGACGCGTGGAATCTATCTATCTATCTTCGAACCTATCTTCGAACCTGTGGGAGCTAGTTCAGGCGTGTGGAATCTATCTATCTTCGAACCTATAGGAGCTAGTTCGCACGTGGAATCTATCTATCTATCTTCGAACCTATCTTCGAACCTGTGGGAGCTAGTTTAGGCGTGTGGAATCTATCTATCTATCTGCGAACCTATCTTAGAACCTATCTGCGAACCTATCTGCGAACCTGTAGGAGCTAGTTTGCGTGCGTGGAATCTATCTATCTACGAACCTATCTACGAACCTATCTACGAACCTATCTACGAACCTATCTGCGAACCTATAGGAGCTAGTTCGCGCGCGTAGAATCTATCTACCTATCTTCGAACCTATGGGAGCTAGTTCGCGCACGTGGAATCTATCTATCTTCGAACCTATGGAAGAAAGGTAGGAGGTAGGTAATAGACGTAAAAGATACAAAGGTACAAAGGTACGTACTTAGTAACCTAGAGGTAACCGGGTAATCCTATGGAATATACCTTTTTTTAAAATAAAGACATTATGTCCGGATGGTAACTATATCGGGAAATGGTAATAATATTAGCTTAAAGTTTAACTCCTTTTTATCACGAGGCAGATACTATGTCCAGTCATAGAAAGGGTTACTAACATAGTGTCAATAGACCCCCCCCTCCCTGTATGGTATATAAATAGTACCTACCCTAAGGTTAGCGAGATTGTATACCCCGCTAGTTAGCAAGTAACTGAGGTAATTTTAGAATCTTAAGACACTGAACCCGATCTTGTTGATCTAATATTAAGAGAATAACTAGGAGCTATCAAGCTTATTTATCTCAACTAAATTTAAGTAAATATTACCAATTGCAGTATACCACTTTATTCAATAGGTAGTCAATAGGGCAGTCAATGGGCAAGTCAAAGGATGGTTGAGATTCAGAAGATATAACAACTCCTAATTACATGAGGCTTGGGAAGAAGAGGTAATCGATTAGATACCAGAGAGTATTCGCGTATAATAGTTATAAGCAGTAGGAGGCCCTACGAACCTCCGTGTTAATATTAGGTAACCAGCTAACAAAATACCCAAGTGGGAAAGCCTAGGTATCTCGTCCTTATCAATATACCTACCTACCTCACCACCCACCCACCTCCAATGCCACACAAGATCACGGAGCCGGTGCTTCATATCTCCTATCGTGGTTGTGTCGAAGGCTAGCTAGGTAGGATTTGCTAAGATCAACTCCCACAGAGCTGAGATCAGCCGCAGAGCCAGGAGTCACGCAGCTTATGATGTTGGTGATAGATTCGCTCCATCGTCGATATCTTCGATGGGGTAGCACGCAACAAGGGCGAGGCTGCTCTCCATTTTTTGCCCTGGATCGGCCAATAAATACCTACGCACGTACTTGCATCGTTGATACGGCCTATGTCTCCCGCCCTTTCAGCCGGACACTAGAAAGGCAGCGCAAAGACGGGCGGCCGTTCGATATACCTAGGTGTAAGTAATACCTACAGGCACTTGTAGATGCCACCCACCCGATAATCCCGGGACCTAACGGGGGGCACTGTAGGTAGACATGTACTGGCATACGAAATAGCGATATGACGCCGGAGAAGATGGCTTTGAGCCCAGCACACACGAGGCCCTCGTAGGGTCTAGGAGGTGGTGATGGACGTCTACCTACATGACGCTCGTAGGCAGCCTGCACAGGCAGGCCTCTAAGCCAAAGAGACTACACACACTCCAACGCCGAAGCACCCGACTTACACCACACATTATTGCTCACCCGATCCATCGATATATTGAGATGCCGCACACTCCCCTCTTCCCCCAAAGTCTATATGTCCAAACGAGAAAGCCGCAGCCGCGTTCCCCGCCCCCTTCTTGATCAAGCCGCGATGCAAATGTCGTAAACCTCGTCATCAGATCATCCCCCGTCCTCGTCGTTGTCACAGCGCGAATCGCGCACACGCTTCCTAGCCGTCAGGTTTCCACAAGTCTAAGAGGTATCTAAAAGCAAGACGAGAAACGGCCACCCTCAAAAAACATAATCATCATGATAAATAGGAATGGTGACAAAACTCCCCGTCCGGTACGAGACGGAGATGGGGCAATCCGCGGTTATGCCCCCAGGCCACGTAGCCAAAACTTCTATGCAAGGAATCCCGATTCACACAATATGCTAGGTATATGGTGGGTACCGCCCTTTCTTCTTTTTCCTTCGCAATTTCTGCTCCTGCGACGGTCCGTTCAGAGCCCATTTCCGAATTAAGGCAAATCCCGTCGCGATGCCGAATTCCAATAACGAGGGGAAACGTGCTGATAACTGACTGAGCCCGGCTATAATTCGTGAGGTGTCGTGTCGTGTAATCGTAAGTGGCGTGCCATGCGTGAATTGCGAATTGATCTAGCGCCCGGTTTTTTTTTTCTCTTTTGGCCAAATGAGGCTGGGGGAGGGGGGGGGGATCGTCTCGTTCATTTTTTGTATTACCGTCCGATCTCTAAAACGTATCATCGTTGGTCTCATTCGGAGTCGACATCCATGTAAGTCCAGTATGGCAGCTCTCTTGCGAAGAACTCAGCGTCGTCCAAGATGATCTCGTCGTCGCTGTTCGGTTCCTTGAGCTCTTCGATCCGTTCGGGCAGCGGGCCTGCGAATTGGATGCTGGTGCGGTCGCCGACCTTGCGCCGCATCCGACGGGTAGTAGGGCCGGTGTCGTTCCCCTCGTAATACGGTAGCACATCCTCCCTATCAGAATCGCTGCCCCGCTCGCTCACGGTCCGCTTGCTGAGGCTGCCCGACTTCATCCTCCGGATGCGGCGTTCCTCGCGCCGCTTCTGCAGCTGCCGAGTGAATTCGTCGTCGTGGTCGATATCGACGTCGGAGTCCTCGAACGTGTTCAGGTTCTCTATGCCTGCCATGACAGTCGGGTCCATATCTGGCGGAGGGCGAGGCTTCGATTGGCTTCGGTCCGACCCGGCGTACTCAAACGCGTACGGCCGGAGGACGTCCAAGTGATCCCAGTCGCTGCTGAGCGAGCAGTCGTCGCTCAATTCCTCGACGGAGAACGATGCTTGATCGATCCGGACCGGGGCAACCCGCTTTACCGGCTGGGGTTGCAGGTTGGGCATATCCGAGAGGGGCGATTGCGGCGGGCTCGCGGACAATTCGGACCCCTCGTCGGAGGAGTTGGACGAACGAGGCGATATCTCCTCGGGCCGAGGCCCGCGAGTGTAGCTGAATTTGGTGCCGCCCAGAGGCCGCAGATTAGAGGGGTGACCGTTGTGGCCATGGCCCTTGGAGCGCCGTCGCGGGCGACCATTCGTCATTTTGCGGTTCATCTTGGGAGAACCGGTGGTGGGCGTCTCTGGTGGCGAGGTGGGCGCGGCCGCCGCGGTTGTGGTTACGCGGGGGGTATCCAGAGACGGAGTGTGCGGCCGCATGGTGGGTGTCGGCTTCGTCGGTGTGCCCTCGCCCGTGAATTGCGTGTCCCTTGCCTTGGGTTGGGGTCTGGTCGGGTTCAATGGACTTGGATGTAACAATGAGGGGTAGGAATCGCGACGGGGCAGAGAGGCGAAACGGGGGACTTTTAAGGTGTCAGCACCCAGAGCAAAAACCTCCAACGTGGAGAAGTTGTTGGGCTCCGGTAACTTGTCATGTTAGTCTCTTGGGAATTCTAGCAGGTCGGGGGTCGGACGCCGCTGCACAGATCCTCCACAAAGACGATGGGGTTGATGCCGTCTCGCTGAGGGAGGATGCGACCCTACGGAGGCTTGTGGACTTCGCCAGGGCCTGGGGCGATGGCGATGTGCGGTCGAGAGACGTGCGGGCGAGACGGTGGGCGTAGAAAATCGCAGTCCCGGACGGTCTCTGTCGGCGGCGAGGCAAGACTGCGTCGGGGTGAACAAGTGCACCGCCGACAGCAAGATAAGAGGGAGAAGAAAACAGCGAGGCGGCAATTAAAGCGCGCCGAGGGAATTGCTCGAAATATCTGTGTAGTGCCAAAACCCTCGCTGGGCTGGTGGATCTCCAGGAAGCGCCTGGGTCGGAGGGCTAAGAAGACCCAGGGAGAGCAGGGCAGCGGAACGGTCAATGAAAGTTATGAATGTATTTATTCCAGATGGGGTGCGAGAAGCGGCAATGTCCCGTATGTATATGTCTATATGTATGCGCATGTATGCGTCTGTATGTGGCATGTAGCATGTATGTATGTACGTAGGTAGGTATGTATGGATTCCCGCTGCCCGGGCTTACTGCGTAGGCAATAACAATTCGTGTGTGAGAGAGGAACTCGGTATGCGCAGAGAAACAACGAAATGGGGGGTCGAGGGGAGATGTCCTTGCACGCACCTGTATTGGGGGCGGGACAGCCAACCGTCTTATAGAGCCGGGCAATTATAAGAGCTTCACCACCCCTGCAATACCGTGATGATAGAGCAGTTTGGGCGTGGTGAGCATATTAGATAGAGCCTGGGCTGCCGGGTCGGGGGAGAGAGAGTGAGGAGGGAAGGGGGACTAGTCTCTCTCGGTCTCGTCTGCCAAACCAGCCAGCCTATGGGGAGCGCACAGCGGGACGATCTCGCAGAGGATACGGCTTGGGCACCAATGCTCCCAGGACTCCCTGGCTACATGCCGTGGGAAGCATAGCGTGTCCAGAGAAAATACGACATGTAGCCAGCGTGCGGCATGAGGCATATAAGGGGACACAAGAGAGCGAGAAGAGACGCGTGAAAATGCCTTGACCCTTCGACCGGAGGAAAGCAAACTGCCTACCCAAGGCGGGCGATGTCGTGATGAGAGAGGCCCGGTGGCAATTCGTTGTTGATAATACTGACCTAGGTACTGTAGCGGATGGCCCTCTGAGACCCCGGACGCTGACCGAAAAAAAAAAAAAAAGGTGCCCACTCACGAGACTCGAATGCCAACACCAGCCAGTAGGCGGTTCCGAATAGGCGGGATGCGGTCCCTCAGGAAGCTGTACGAGGAGAGATAAAAAAAAGAAGTTAAACAAGGGGTCAGGTAGCAGCACTCATGCCGCTCGTGCCCAATGATTAAGGAACTGGAGGGACACCAGCTCGGACAAGGGAAGAAGACGATGGAAGGGAAGTAGCCGTAGTGGAGAAGGGAAAAATCCGCTGCTTGGCTGGCGATGAGGTCAGGGATCCGGCCCAAGCCTGCACTAGGTCTGCAAGTAATATCAAGCCCGTGTGTGGCTGTCGTAGGCCGTCCCTTCGTGGGCTTTCTTCTCTATCGTGCTTCCGCCGTCCGTCCTACAGGACAAGTGCGTGATGCTTCCGTCAGACCAACATTTCTCCAACGCTGCCGTGGAATTGATGACTCGTGTAAATTCCCGCCCGCTTTGGCTGAATCACGCTGGATATTCGTCAATCGATGCAGCTCCCCCCTCCGCCCCCGGGGCCGACCTCACCTGCCTACTTGGGGCAGGAAAGGGGCGGGGTGCGAAGAGAGAGGAGAGCCAAACCCGGTGGGTTGGGGTGCTTTCTCCGTCGTGAGTGCATTGTATGAGCAGAGGATATTGATGGCGAATTCATCCGAGATCAACCCCGAGCGTCAGAGGTAGGCCAGGCTGACCCGGACACGATAGCGCTGGAGGCGAGGCTTGCTAAGGTAACCCCGGACGAGAGCCACCTCGCTCTCTTCACCTAGAGCGGCCTAGGACTGCTGACACACACGAGAGACAGAGCCGTACGGATAGGGCGAGGCGTGTAGAGCTCGCGGAAGTGATGTAGGGATGCGCAATGATGGGTGTGCGTGTGTAGACCCGTCTGCGAGGTGTATGTGGGCACGGAGGCGGATTGGGCGGACGGATGCGGGTGCGTAGGCATAGAAACGATGGATTTTGACAATTCAGCCCTGGCCGCATGAAATGCCAAAAGCTCCAGGAATTATGGCGATGGAAAAAGGCGGTCGGTGGCCGGCACAGATAAGAAAGTACCTATACGTAGTACCTGATGTAACTGCATTGGGTACCTCGCTGTAACATGGCCCCATGGGCTGATGGCACCATCAGTGCGTGTACCTATATGTACCTCCACCGCCTATAGGCAGGCTGTGGCTCAGCCACAACAGGCAAAGGGATGCCCCAATTTCCCCCACCACCGCCGGGTGAGGAGAATTGGTACGGAGAAAGGTACATAGGCACCTAGGTAGAGGCCTAGGTGTGCCTGGGTACATGTCCACCAATGTACTGATAGGTAGGTACCTTAGGTAGTTATGGGGTTCCGTACCTTTATAGTAGGGCTAGCATATTTTAGGTACCTACCCGGTACACGCCCTAGGAATTCCTCGCTATCCATTTCTCGGTGACGTCGCGTACGGCTCTGGCAGAGCCGACAGTTCTCGGGACAACTCCCGCCATAGTGTGCCAGCAGCACCGCTTATTGTCGCCTGATGAATCGATTGATCGGATCGCAGCCTTGTTTCCCTCCTTTTCGTTTTCAACCCGCCATACCCGGCCGTCCCGTTGCGTAGACGCGCGTCGACGCAGCCATGTCGCTCCTCTCCGCCCATTTTGAGCAGATCGCCATATCTTGCCAAGGCATCGACAGTCTCCCGTACGTGTCTACGCCCCCCCGATGCCATCATCCTGTTTGGATCCGCCCCCGGAATAGCTAAATTGGTTAACGCGTGCGCCGCGTAAATAGCTTCCCGCCGCCGAAGATATTCACGAATGCGCTCCTCGCCAACGACGACATCACCTCGCTGATCCGCGACACTGAGGCTCACGAGCGTGCCCTCTTCTCCGTTCCCCCGCCCCCGCCGCCACAACAACCGGCGTCTCAGGACCCCGAGCCCCAGAAGCAGTCCTCGCGCCGGCAGACCGTGTTCAGTGTCGCGTCCGGCGAGGTGACCACGTCCGGCACCGGCGCGACGGGGCGAGCCGTGGGCGGGCCGCGGCGGCACACGGCTGTGGCGGCCGTGCTGGGCGGCCAGCTCCACGACCAGATCCGGCGCAGCGAACGGCGCGGCGGCAAGGAAGACGTCGACGTCGAGATCCTCCTCAAGGGTGCCGAGAAGCTGTGCGGCGTCTACCCGCTGCCGGGCGCGCTCGAGAGGATAGCCGCCCAGCGAGCCAAGTACGCCCACAGCCGCAACACGCTGGCGTATTACGAGGCGAAGGTGGCCGAGCAAGCCGAAGCCCTCGGCCGCATGAACAAAGACCACTGGATGGGCGAAGATGAGGAAGACGAAGACGAAGGCGAAGGCGAAAGGGGCCAAGACGAGGAAGGGGAGATCCTGACGGAAGAGGATTTGCGGAGAGGAGAGGAGGAAATCCGGGAACTAGACAGGAAGAAGCGGGAATTGCAAGAGCGTTTAAAAGCGATGGACAAGGACCTCGGCGGTCTCCTGAATATGTAACGCATAGATACATCTCTATGTCTCACCTACGATTCCCCCCCCCCCTCCAACCCCTCCGACCGACGTGCTTCTTAAACGCCGTCGACCAACTCCGCCAGCCCTTTTCGCTTTCCATAGATATCCGCTCAATTCCCTTGCCTGGCCTTCGCGAAGGCCTCGAGGAACGCCTGGGGATCCTGGGCGCCATCGACCTCGTACTTGCCCTGGATGGTGTAGTGGGGCACGCCGTGGATGTCGTTGGCGTAGGCCTCCTGGACCTCGCGGTCGACCTCGGGGCCGCCCTTGCCAGAGTCGAGCCAGTCCTTGACCTCGGCGCGGTCGATGCCGGCCTTCTCGGCGGCGGCGATCAGGGTGTCGTGGGAGGTGATGTCGCCGTCGCCCTCGAAGTAGGAGCGGAAGAGCTCGAGGACGACGCGGCTCTCGGCGTCGGGGCCCTTGGTCTTGCCGAGCTGGATGACGCGGTGGGAGTCGCGCGTGTTGCCGAGCTTGCCGGCGAAGCTGAAGGTGATGCCCTCCTCGCGCCCGATCAGCGTCAGCCGCTGCTGCATCGCCGCCACCCGGTCCGCCCCGAACCGCTGCGCCATCCGCTCCAGCACCGGGACCCCGACCGTCGGCGACGTCGGGTCCAGGTAGAAGGGGTGCCAGCTGATGGTGAAGGTGTCGTCCTTGCCGCCCGGGTACACCTTGCGATACAAGTCGATGGCCCTGTCGAGCCGCTTCTTGCCCACGTAGCACTGCGCGCGTAGGCGATTCCGGTCGCGTCAGCCAACCAGCCACTTCCGAGCTGCCGAATGTCTTGGAGAGGGGGGTGGGGAAGGGCGGTCTTCCTCAGCCTCGTATAAGGCTAGGTAGGTAGTAGAACTCACCCATGGGCAGACGGTGTCGGATATTATCTTGATGTTGATGTTCGCCATGGTGCGTAGCATTCGCCGTGTGCGGGATGAGCGAGGTATAATTGAAGATGGCTCATGCCTCGAGTTCTGCGACGGCAGTGGTAAGTGTGCATATATATGTGTGCGTTTGTGATCGCCGAGGGGAGGCGACAACGAGATTAGCGAGTATGACAAATCCATCGCGACGCACTGCTTCTGTATCATCCTGGCCCCGCCAACCGCGAGCGAGCGAGGCGTCGACCGCCAGTCCAAGGACGGGTAGTTCGCTGGGAACCATCCACTAAACCCCGGCTAACCACACATGTCATCATCCGCCATCCTGGCTTTGTCTTCTTCGCTGCGACCTTGGCGGTCCGGCTCCGTGTCTCATAGCGCGCCGCCGTATACCTACCTAATGTAGACGTATGTGTATACATACACACAGATACGATACATGCACGCGATCGTTGCCTTGTGTGCGTACTAAGTAGATGGTGCGCGATACACTTGCACTGGCACTCTCGTTCCTCCGTCTATGCCTACTACGCGTACCCCGCCAGGGGTCCAAACGGGATCGCAACCTCCGGAGCGCAAATATGGGCCGAGATCACCCCGAATTCGATTCCTATGCGCCTCCTATTCCCTGCCTCGTCCTCGAGGACGGACCGTACCAGGGGAGCAGCACGACTACGGCCTGGCCCGTGGGCTCGGCGTTCGAGTATCTCCGGGGTCAAGGATCGCGGCGATGTGTACGTCGGCATTGGGCGAATATTATCAGGAGGTCCCGCCCCGGGAGCGCGTCGCATCGCGACCCGGAAGGCCTCATCGTTAATGTAGGTAGGTATATAAGACCAGAGCTTGGATCGCAGTTTCACCCTGTGGGAGGAAGATCAGCGCGAGATGGATACCACTTCGCCCGGTTGTGCTCGTTGGGCGATTGCGTCGGGGCAGCTCCCGATACTCATACCCCCGACTCGAGTTCGGCAACCCCTCTAGGAGGTATCGTCGATATCCGAGAGTCCTCGATCTATTCTCTGCTAATCTGCTTCCCGGCAATGTCCCCGCAGGCCCTCTGCCGCCGACTCCTGAGTCCCTCTTCGAGGCGTCTAGCTTCCGAAAAGCTTCCCGCCCGAATCTCCAAGCTGTCGAGTGGAGGTCACGCCTGTCCCGCCTCGAACCCAGCATAGGTACATGGTGGCGTTCTACACGTTCGCTAAGGATAACCCTGGAACCGCTCCTCCGAGCTGCCTAGGCGGGGTAAGACGGCTGCCTGTCGTAAACGAGGCTCAGCTTTCGCTCGAGAGAAGTCGAAATAACTAGGTAGGTAACTAAACACTTCAGACGCGTTGAAGCAGACGATGGCAGGCAGGTCTCAGCTTCTAGCACTGCTATCTGAGGCTAAATGGCCCGGCGTCCTTCGCAATCTCTGTTAAATATAGGCAAAGTGTAGGAATTGGGTGGGTACAAAAGAAGATATACGTGTTTCAATGTCCTGTTTCCTCTTTCGATCAAGCTACCCAACTGACTGAAAGGGTCTTGGCGAGGAGCGCTCGGTTCGGCCACTTGATGAACGTCGCCCTTGTCAACGTTTGGGAGGCACCAACACAGGTAGTATACAGTTCAGTTTTTGCCTTAATTCTCCGCATCTAGGGTATCAATGCTGTAAAACAAGGGACGTGGAAACCGTAGTTACAGAAAAAGAAGTCTACCCGCACAATAGGGGGTGAAAACATCAAAAACATTAGGATTGCAATGATCGAACCCAGGCTCGAACTGGGGACCTTCAGTGTGTTAGACTGACGTGATAACCAACTACACCATCCGACCGATGTATCCATCCAGAGAGGATCGGACATGCGTTGGAAGCAAGCGGAGTTATTCCGTTTAAGTGCAAAGATTGCATTGCCAAGCTTTGGTATCTACGTATACCTACTTCTTGGGCATATTCAATGGCACTTTTCCCTTCTTTCCTTATCACCAATCGGTTATTTCCCCTTTTCCTTCTTCCTCCTTTTTCACCCAGGTCATCGACGACATGGGCTGTGTACCAACGCCTCCCTTTCTACTTCTGTACCGGGGATTGCCGGGCCTATCTCTATGGGTATATATACGAGGCCATGGCACTACGACTTTCTGACTTGATGTGATCGTTGGATTCTGTCGCATGTTCCCGTCGAGAGGGCTCGGGGTCGTCTAGTAACGTAACCTCTACGACCCCTCGTCCTTCCGATTGCCATCTCTCCTTTCGCCGGCCCGAGGCGGCGTAGTAAGGAAAGGGGAATAACGGGCCGCTGAAGTGTTGATAAGATCTCTACACAACTATACTATTTTGAACGAGTGGTTTGACAGACAGAACCTTCGAGACTACCTCCTATCTCCTATCTGCATAGCTATGCCGTTATCCCTTCGCCTATCCCGCTCTCTCACGGCTTTGGTTGACTTGTGCAACCCCTAGGCTACATTCAGAGGCTCGCCCCCCCGGGCCAATCGGTCAGTTCGCGGCGACCAAGCCGAGCTCCTTGGCGATGATGTCCGCCGCCTTCTCCCCGATCATGAGTGCTGTGTTGTTCGTGTTGGCGCCCACGTTCTCGGGCGCGATGCTGATATCCACGACCTTGAGCCCGCGGACGCCGTGCACGCTGAGGTTCGCGTCGACGACGCCGAGGCGGTCGCGCGGCGCCATCTTGGCCGTGCCTATCGAATGCCACGTCGTCTGGACGTTCTCGCGCAGGTACTGCTCGATGGCCTTGTCGTCCTCCGCCGTGTACACGATGTCGGCGAGGGCCTCCTGCCCCTCGCCTCCGCCCGCCTGCGAAGGCCTCTCCTCCACGGCGGCCGCCGCCGACCCCGCGGGAAAACGAGGGTGCGTCCTCGTCACCTCGCCCCGATAGATGCTCGTGCGCCGCATGATCTCCCGTGCCTTCTTGTACGTCCAGATTTGCGTTTTGATGTCGATCGCGCCGTCACCTTTGAAGAAGCCAAGCTCGAACTCGACTGGGTCGTCGACCTCGGGCCCCGTGATGTGTATATGTCCTCGCGAGAGGGGGTATGCCGCATACGCTGCCGCCGAGACGTATTGCTCAGGGGGCAAGTCAGAAACGGGGGCCAAAGTCCTAACGTGTCGTTAGCGTTGCTTCTCGCGGCTCCCCCTCCCCGGTATCACCGCGCGCTATCTGGCATCGAAGGGCTTTTTTACACATACCCGCTGGCTATCGCTAGGAGCGTGAGCGGTCGGTTAGGCCGATCCTTGTATTCTCTGTCCCACATGGCCCGAAATTCAGGCCCCAGCTCTGCGACATCCGCTTCCGTCGGCCTGAGCTTCGAGGAGAGGTCTATAAAGTTCCATCCGAGATGGGGGTGGTTCTGGGCTTTAGCCTCCTCCACGGACAACCTTCCATTAATCAGGGCGTCGCATGTCTCGTGCGGCTCTAGAGATGTCCGGTATAGGTACTGCACCAGGTGGTGGTCCTGATAGTTGCTCCCTACGCCGGGGAGGTCTTCGACTAAGGGAACCCCGGCCCGGCCCAGCACCTCCCTAGCGCCGATTCCGGATCGCTCCAGCACGGACGGCGTGGCGCAGGCGCCGCAAGATACTACAACGAGCTTGCGGGCTTTGACGGTTTGCTTCGGATGCGGCGCTGAGCTAGAGTGAACGCTGAGCCGCGAGGTGGGCACGATCTCTACTCCGCAAGCGCGCTTGTCCTCGTCGAACAGAACACGTACGACACTTGATTCCACCAGGACGTGCAGGTTAGGATGTAAGCCGTCGCGCAGCCGGGGATGCAAGTACGCGTGCGCCGTGTCTGAGCGCCTGCCTTCGGGCGAGATGTAGCGAAGCCAGCGCTGGAAGCCGTTGTTGGTGTCGAGGTTTTGTAGGTCGACGATTTCCGGGATTCCGACCTGCGCCGCGGCGCGTAGCCACTCGTCCTCCAAACGCGTGCTGCGGAATGTGCCTCCGGACACTTGTATCGGGCCATCGGAGCCGTGGTGCTTTGGGTCGCCAGGGCCATGGTAGGTCTCAAGCTGCGGGGAGATCGCCACGATTAGCCCTACGTTGCTTAGTTGCTCGGGGCCACGCAGCAGATCGCCTACGTACCTTGTTAAGATACGGCCACAGCTCGTCCGCGGTCCACCCTGGGGTTTCCCACGCGTCGTAATCATCGCGTTGGGCTCGTGTGTACCTACTAGCCGCATAAATCGTACGGAACGGAAAAGGATCGGTGCTACCGGAGACTGGGCAGCCTTTCCATTTCAACACCCAAAGCTGACCACCCTCTTTTGTCACCATATTAGTACTCACATCATGAAGTTTATGGACGATCCGCCGCCGAGCACCCCTCCCGAGGGGACGATGCGTTCTATGTTGCCAAGGTCCTTCGACTTGACCGTCTTGTGGAAAATCGCTGTCTCGGATCCAGGGAAGAGGTGGGAGGCGTACATCGCCGGCGTCACGATAGTAGGGTCCTCGTAGTTATCACGGCCACCCTCGATGACTAAGATCGATAGCTGCGGGTCGGCCGCGGACAGGCGACCGGCTAAGATACATCCTGCCGTGCCCCCTACGAATTGTCCCTGGTTAGCCCCGAGGACGCCACTAGTGCAGCACGATCAACTTGCCGCCGGCAATAATAACATCCACCTCCTCGATATTCGGGTTCAGCTTTCGGTACAAGCCCATTGTGTCTCGGGGACTTTAGAGATGCGGCTTTGGTTATTGGATGGTCTGGGAGAGTTGTTAGGGGTGGCGTTGGGGGGAGGGGGGGTTGTTATTATACAATTAGGGGGGGGGGGGGGGAGATTTCCAGGGAGCACCGTATGTGGCCGTCCACGATCTGACAAAGGACTTGCTTGACACTTAGATCCATTTTAACAACACTCTATGCGGCGCAAGCCCCCCCCCCCCCCGTAGTTTGTTTAGTCATGAGGCACACCTCCCCCGCTTAGGACTGTTCTCTGTGATCGTCTGATGCTACGGCACTTCACAGATGAGCCCTTGGCCTCGGAACCTATCTCGGGGAGATCACGGGACATACCGTAATATCATCGGCCATTGGTTTCCGTAGGCGTAGCCGGATGCGGGCTGCGAGGACTAGGTGCCCTTGATGCATATTATGTCTCCAAGGCCTTGTTCTATAGGGGTCTCTTTAACCGCAGTTCGGCATCTAGCTATAAAGCGGTGAAGCTCCGAGCGTACAACCATCGACGACTAACGAGGACTAGAGGCGAGATTTGGCCATCAGTTTCCGCTAGAGGCGATACCAGGAAGGGTTTAGAATCTGGGGTTGCACATCTTCTCCACGCCGCCAAGTTATCGAGACAGCACGCTGCAGTTTTCATTGGGCGACGCTTCGGTTTTGATGAGTGAGATGGCAACCAAGGGGTGTCATAAAAGCCACAATATAATATGCCAAGGGAACCGGGCATCCTTTTAGTCTGTACCAATGAGATGGTGCATGGTTCGTGGTGCAGGCGATGTGACGGGCAGAACAGGAACCTGCATGAGACAGCGAGGAGGGCCGCGATCGACCATAATACGACGGCAAGGGAGTGAGTTCTCCTGGACCTGCGGAAGTGTCCCGTAACCACACCCGGAATACTAGGAAGCGAAACCAGAGCCGATTGGGAGAAAATAAAGCCACAGCCAGAAGCCTAGCACCACAACCCTTAGATACAGCAGGATCGGTCTACTAGACTGGCTCGCTATACATCGGGACTTGCCCACGGGTGAGAAACCATGCGCGACTCGGAAATCCCCCCCTCCCCTTCTTCTCCGAGCGACGGGAGGGTCGTGTGATTGACACCGGTAATACCGCTGCTGCTCGTCAGCAGCGGTCGCCTCTGATCGGGAGGGCGTGAGCTGTGCCGAGCGCGTCGATGTCGGCGAGGGGGAGTAGATGATATAGAGCAATACTAGGGATTTCGTAAACAGCAGTACTAAGTAATATCTTACCCACCGCCCCGGAGCTAGTACGGCTTAGATTCACGGCTGATTAAAGGGAAAAAGTATACCGGGTACGCATGTTCTAGACCGTGATCCCCATAGCACTTCGATATTCGCTATTACTAAGTAGTCTAAGGCAGAAAACGCCGATGTTTTCAAAACTCAGAAGTCAGGTTGGTTCGGATTATACCGGCGGTCCCCGTCCTAGCGATTGGCCAGGACTTGGCATATCAGCACGCACGTATAGACTGGACGGCGGTGTCTGTCCCCGGCTCAATGTTGTCTCTTGATGTGCTGACTAGACCGATACTGTCGGTGCCTAGAAACTGGGGTCAGGATCCGGGCTCTCCGGATTCGATGGCTTGGAAAAGGCCGATTTTAGAAGATATAGGAATCGTGAGCTGAACGCCCATCACTTTAGACTAGCTGTTCGATAACTGCCGTGCTCACATACTACGCCTACCTCCCCTATTACCCCTCTCCAAGCCCCGAAGCAGAGGCCCCCCAGCCTACGACCCCGAGGCAATAAATATTGCTGAAGAAATGACTATCCCGTATCCGTACCGGCATACATTGACTAGAGTTGGAGATTCGTACGGCCCTATACCGTAATAGTGGACTGTATAGGCCGCCCAGCATAGCCAACACGAAGCCCCCTGGAAGGCCAAGGGGGGACTCGGAGATAAGAAGAGGAAGAATAGGTTAGAGCAGAATCGCTTACTGCAACAGCCCCTTTTTGGTATGTCATTCCACGCCCTCCCGGAGATTTGTCTGCGTGTAAGTAAGCCAGGAAATAATAGGCGCTCATAATTATATCTCATTGAAGCAGACTACCTGGCCGACCAACCTTCGTGCGCGTTTTATTTCGAGGGTCAAGTCGCCGGCAATAAATATTAACTAGGTACCTGCAACTGCGGGGCTTTTTTCTTCCCAAGAGGTATCGTTGTTTTATTCCCAGACCAGCATCGCTAATAGCCCATGAGTCCCCTCGGACCGGGGGGGGCACCCCCATTTCCTCTCCCATCCCCCCTCACTTTCCTCTCCTGTCCACCCTCACGATTCAACATCTCACCTTCAGCGTCAGCCCGGCCTTGCTCACCCTCGCGACGACGAAGCTGACGAAGCCGATGAGCGTCATGCAGGCGGCCCAGGCCTGGGCGTGCTTGAACTGGCCGGCGTGGGCGGCCTGGATGGCGCCGCCGATGGGCGGGCCGGTGAGGGACGCGAACGAGGAGATGCTGAAGACCATGCCGAGCCGCGTGCCGACCATGTCGAGCCTGTCGGTGATGCTGGCGACCGTGGTCGGCGTGAGGCACTGGAAGCTGCCCGACATGACCCCGTAGAAGCATGTGAACACGTACAGCCCCGGGATGCTGTCGACTGCGAGCCACGAGAACGCCACGACCGCCCAGCAGAGGGTCACCGGCGTGACCACGTTGATCGGCCCGATCCGGTCCGCGATCAGCGGCGGTATCACCCGGAAGACGATGCCGGCTCCGTTGATTAGGATGACCATGACCGACGCCTCCGAGTAGGGGAGGCCTAATATCTCCCTGCCGTACGATGCAATCTGCTGCCGCGTGAGCACATTCCCGTCTGAGGATGCTAGGGGAAAGGGAGAAGGGGGGGAGGGGGGCTACTCACGTAGTAGAAGGTAAAGTAATTGCTCATCGACGTGGCGAATATCCCAACCGTCACGCCGTTGTATACGAGCTCGCGGAAGGCAGTAAAATCGATGATGGGACCGGATTTGCGGGGCGGCAAGCGGGGGCGCATGAAGGTGAAGACGACGGAGAGGCAGGCGAGGTTGATGAAGGCGAGCACCCTCGCGGTCCAGGCGAAGCCGAGCGTGGGCAGCAGCTGCCTGACGACGACGGGGTAGATCATGCCGCCGGCGGAGTTGCCGGTGGTGGCGAGGCCGACGGCGAAGCCGCGGCGCTTGCTGAAGTAGGTGGCGACGAGGGCGAGGGAGGGGGTGAAGAAAATGCCGCTGCCGATGCCGGTGAGGACGCCCTGGGTGAGCATGAGGGACCAGTACTGGGTGGAGATGCTCATGAGGAACATGCCGACGACCTGGATGACGGCGCCGACGAGGAAGGTGGGCAGGAAGAGGCCCGCGTCCAGCAGCCGGCCCGAGAAGACGCTGATGATGAGGCAGAACCAGATCTGCACCGACCCGATCCACGAGACCGTCGACGGCGACTGCGGGAGCACTGTCGTGTAGTAGGCCTGGAAGCTGCCGAACGAGTTAACCCATCCCCAGGTTGTGAATATGACCAGCCAGCCCACTGTCTCTCGCGTTAGCAAACCCGCGCGCGCGACACTTCTGGAGTAGGTCGGGGAGCTCGACAGCTCGCACGAGGAGTCTACGGCTCGCAAGTAGGCTCTAGGGGGGAAAGGTATCCGCCTGCTCCTCCCTTTCCTCTTTCTCTCTCATTTAGAATAATAGGGAGGGGGGGGAGGGAAGGGGAAAGAAGACTGTGTAAAAAACGAATAAATAGGGGAGTGGTATAAGGGGGAGGGTGATCACAAAGGCTTGCATACTCGCGACTTGCGTCCAGGCGTTGAGGCCGCCGTCGGGCGGCGGCGGCGGCTCAGGCCATGTCCTCGTAGTCATGCGCGAGGCGACGCGGGCGAGAACGTTGCTGGTCGTCCTCCTCAGGTCCTCGGAGATCCTCGAGGCCCGGTCTCTGGTTTGCGTTCTCTGCACGGGCAGGGATTCGTCCTTGGCGACTCCCGCCCGGGTCGCGTCGGCGTCGGCGCCATCGCCGTCGTGCGAGGAAGACGTGCGGGACCCGCCGTCGTCGTGGGACTCGTCCGGCGCGGCGTGAGGCTTCTCGCCGACTTCGTGGTCGCGGACCTGGCTCGCCATGGCCGGCGGTGTTCGCTTTCAATGCGAGGGCGATGCTTGGGGTTATTGCAACGGTCGGCACAGCAGCCGGTTCAGTAGTTGCGGCTGAGGCGGGTGCTGGTGTGGTCGAGGGTCGGGTAAGCAGCAGAATTCCGTGAAGCCTAACGCGGCGGTGATAACCATCTCAAAAGCGAAAATTGACTGGACATGGAGGGAAAGCGACATGAAAGAAATTTCTCTAATACGAGGCGAATCCTACTACTGACATAGACCGTCTCACCGCTCCGTCTTCGGCCTCATTTGACCAAGTTATTACCCAAGGGACTTTGATAACGCAACTTGCGAGCCCCCTCCTCTTCCCCAAAAGCTCAGTGCGAGCCCATCGACAGGCCCTGAGCACGGTGCCGACTGTCTTCACTGTGGAGCCAACGTGCAGGCATCCGGTGTGAAGGGGAGACCGGAACGGATCGAGGCGATCGTCGAGAGACTACGTAGCAAAGGGAGAAGTCGATGATCCTCGTGCCTCGCCATTGGGCAGAGGCGGTCGACGTCGGACCGGGTCGCTGCGAGGTCGCCAACCAGCCCAACTGGTCCCCCTGTACCTCACCCAAACCTCTAACCGGAGGGTTGATCAACCCCAGACTCTCGTCTCTCAACCTTGCTCGCAAGGGTTGTTTGGGCGATTGGGCCCTTCCGTTTCGTCCCAACAGCCCCCAGGCGACGGCATGAATTGTTGGCCGTCACAACAAGACGCGAACCTCAAGCAGCCTAGCCGGATTCGTCTGGGGGGGACAAGCGGATGTGCGCCGTCGAAGCCGGGCGACATCCACCAGCCAGAGCCAGCCCGTAGCCTCCTGCAGCCCGACCTCCGAGTCGGCGCGGATCCCCCAGCACGCCGGCCGCTTTACGTAAACCCTGAGCATCGCAGGGCCCTGGGAGCATTATGAGAGATTGTGCGGGCGGTGAGGGGGCCCCACGTAGCACGCCGGCGCGAGGACGAGGACAAAGAGCTTTCGATCTCTCTCTTGTCTGCTCCAATCGCTGTCGGCGGAATATATCACAGGAATGTCGTATCAGTATGGCTCTCTCTGCCTGGCCGGATACTACCTGGTCAGTCCACAAGCCGCGTGGTGTCGGTAATATTACGTGCGTACACCCGTGCGTGGCTTCGAATCCATGTCTCTCTGCTGCCGTCTTGAGACATGTCGTTGGTCGTCACGTACCTAGGCGCGATACCGACCGAGCCGAGAACCCGCGAATATCTGACGACAGCGCCAGCTTAGAATGGGAAATGTGGGCTTCTCCGGCGTGGCACCTCAACGTGTTGGTCTACGGCCGCTCGATTGGCGATAGCACGCCGACTTATACCTACCTGCCTGGGTGCCCTCACCTCGGCGCGTGGAGAGAAAGGGAAACGGACGTGGGAGAGAGAACGAGACGCGAGCAGACATACCGATAGCTGGAGATGCGAGGGGCGACACGAGAGATAACAATTATGTAAAATAACAATTCCATGTCGTCCGAAATCGCATTCGTTATCTCTGCATCTCGGTGTGGCCATGTTGGTAATCTCTTGTTGCTGTCTGTCCAGCTCTCCGCTCTTCTCCTCATTCGGGGTCTTGCTACCACCCCGGGGGGGGGGGGTTTGGTTCTATTTGCCGTGGTAAAGCCTCCCTTGCTTACCGTGGCACGACAACGGTTCCTCACCCGTCTGCTCGAGACATACACCGAGCTTCGGCCTATCCCCGGCCGAGCCTGTCTCATCTCATCCCCTTAGTTCATCCGTCGTCTACTCATGCATATACATATCTCCTTTGGGGGGGGGGGGGGGTACTTTCAAACCGCTTAGCTTGTACAAGAATCCCGTCCTTGAATGCTGGAATTCTTCAACGTGTTCTAGCGAGCACCTAGTCGCCGAGGCTTAGGCGGGGCCGAACTGCTTCCCTTATCTCCCTTTCATATAGGGGATCCTCTCGACCCCAGAACCAAAAAGATCTGCACCCAAAGTCAGTGCGCAGGTGCTTGACCTGGGTCCTGGTCCTGACGAGACTTCAAAAGAACACCCGGCCGACCAGAACCAGCGCTTCAGGTCGCAGACGAGCTGGCCGTCCAGGTACATATGTAATAGGCTGGTGTTAGGCAGACTGGGAACACGAAACACCAACGCTGCCACGCCAGATGCGCTTCGCTGGAATCAATATTAGTCTAGTCTTTCGCTCTCTCCCCCATGCAACCCCTTTTCAGCGCTTTACCGAATCGAAACCCTGGACCAACTTGGGGCCTTCGCTAGTATTATTTTTGGATACACCCTTGACCTAAAGTATGTAAGTCTGGGGAATCACAATATTAAGTAGTTCCACGATGCGCATGTATACTGCGTTAGGCAGTACTATACAGTACGATGTATGTTACGTTGAATAGCGAGACAAGTTGGGGTCGGGGTTTGTCCTGTCCTCTCCCTCCACAGCCACCCGACCTCACGGTAGAGAGATGGTACCCGAGTGTGCCTGGTGACCAATAGGGGAATACACCTGGAGATGCTTGTTCTTCGACACGCTACGCCAGGGATGGCGAGCCCACCCCTGGACAGGATGGGGATATAACGTGGGCGAAAGAAAGAGGCGGAGGAGCGGGACACCCGCTTACCTAGCCCGAAACCCTCTAGCCGTCGTCCTCGGCCTGGCATTTGGTAATCAAGTCGTACTAGATAGCTATAGGTACTACTACCTACGTAGTACGTTGTACTGTGGATGTTATTTTTATAACATGCGGCTGAAGGTGGCATTTTGTCATGTGTTGGTCTACCCATTCAGGTAGGTTGTGGCTCTGGGGCGCCTGCAGGCTAAGCTATTATTGATCCTTCGAGCCTGGTGCGCTTAGAATGGCCGTTGGGAGAGTGATGACTCGGGCTGTCGACGGGTGAGGCTCGAGTGGGCGAGACGACGACGACGATGCTATTTTCGCTGCACCGATAATCTTCGAGCTTGAGCTGGCGTCTTACCGCGATGCATTCCGCCGTCGAGCTGGGTCAGTGATGTGCCAGTTCTCGACGACCTGAAGCTTCAAGAGCTGTTGGTAACACGTCCGGCGATGCCCCTGGCGACTGGTTTCAAACAGTTTCACCCGTCTGCTTTTGGCGTGCCATCTGCAGCCTTCGCGAGGCCGGAGGAATAGCTTCCCTGCCCTGCCCCCCAAATATGTCCTAGATCCATATTCGGGAGCATCGTCGAGACTCCGCCACGGTTTGGCAAATGCGCTCCTTAGGGGGGATACAATGTGTGTATGAGCACGTAGATGTATGCATATACAGGCATATAGGAAAGGATCGCGTGGCTGTTCTGTGAGATGTAGTAGGTATGTGCCCATATAAGATAGTTATGAGATCCTTCCCCCGGATGGACCTCTGCTCTGTACTTTCTAGTCTGCGAACCAACTAGAAAACTCGTATCACAAGATGTTGTTAGCTAATTCTTTCGTTGCCCTGGGCTGGGCCGCCGTGTGGGGTGCCGCCGCAGCGACGATACCTTCGTCGGACATCTCGGTGAGCGTGAGAGATATGCCCGGCGCCTCATCAGCCTACACCCTCCAAGCTCTTGGGAGATCCCTCCGAAGGCTCCAATCCCAGAAGAGGGATACGATTTTTAAGAACAGCACGTCGTTGGAAAAGAGCTGGGATGGCGCGACGCTGCTTAGCATGTAAGAACCCCAACTACCGTGCCGACGGAGGGCCCGATTCTGATTCGGTGTTTGCCACCAGGACTACCCAGACTGAGAGCGCGGGCGTCAGCGTGGCAGGTGGTGTCGACATCACCTGCACGACATGTTATATCCGGGGTTTGGCGACGGCTGAGTTCTCAGTCGACAGCAAGTTCAACGTATCCAACGCTGTCAGAAACTTCACCGGTGAAATTCGCGAGGAGGTCCTGAACACCACCGATGCGGCCATCGACTACGTCCAGAGTTACTTCTCAGGCGTACTCGCCAATCTCCAGGACGGGATCGACTTGGACGACTTCGACTTCCCTCCCCTGGACATCGACTTCAACGTCGACATCCCCGACATCCCTGAGTGCCGTCTAAAATTCCAGTTCGACAACCTCGAGCTGTACATGCTGGTTGACACCGTGCTCACTGCCGGGGCCACTTACAACCTAAACTTGTTCTCGTCTAACACGCCTATCGGTGTCGCCGCGAATAGCGACCTGTTCATCGGGGTCATCTTCTCGGTAGACTTGATCCTGAGCGTCGACACCGAGATCGACATCAGCAGCGGCATCCATATCCTGCTCGAAGACGGTGTTGGCCTCGACATGGCCTTGTTCGGGAAGAATGTCTCGAGCATCACCTTGTAAGTAAAACTGGCGCTCCTCTTTGCCACTGCGTCCGAGTCACGCCCCCGATTCGCTAACGGTCTGGCAATCGTACAGCAACGGCGCTAACTTCGAGTTCTTGCCCGTGACGGTCGAGAGCGCGGGCGGTCTCATCAAGGCGGTGCTGCGGATCGGCGTGAACGCAGGCTTCGAGATTGAGACGCCGCGCGTGACGATTCCGAGCGTTGGCTTCGCGACCAAGGCTAGTGCTGGCGTCGCCGTCCGCGTGTGGGCTGACGTCGCCGAGTTCGCTACTAACATCACTGCCGTACCCGACGCCGGCGACGGCGAGTGCGCCCTCGTCATGGAGCAGACCTACCAGTTCGGCCTCGGCGCCGCCGCCGGCGCTACCCTCGCCATCGGTGCTGAGACATGGGGCCCTGCTCCCGAGGTGAGCTTTCCTTTCGAAACGGCTGTTTCTCCTTCTTTCAAATTGTGCATCCGGAGTATGCTAACCCTTGTTCGTCGGCGTATCTAGACCAATATCCCCATCTTCTATACCACGATCGCCGACCTCTGCGCGACAAAGGGCCGCGGCGTAGCCACAACGGCGGTGACGGCCTCAAGCGGCAGCACCACCGTCTCGGTAAGCGGCAGCGCCAGCGCCAGCGCCAGTGTTGACACCAATGTGGCGGCTTCGAGCGGTAGCGGCGTGACAGCGCTGCCGAGCGCGGTGCTCACGGCGCGCGCCGATGGCGACGGCGAGCTGACAACGACGACACTGACCAAGAAGGTGACATTCGTCGGCATCGCGTGCCTGACCACGGGACTCGTCAACTGCCCACTGTCCGCGCAAACGACAACCAAGGTCACCAGCACGCTGACGCACGTGACAGCCGTGCCATCAGGCGCGGACGAGCCCGTGTTTCCGGAGTCCGTGGCGACTACGGTCGCCTCGCCCGTGCCCTTCGGCCCCGGCGCCGTAAAGGTCGCCGCGACGACTGGCGCGCCGGCTTCGTACGTACCGCCGCCCCCACCGGCATCATCTACCGAGGGAGACGGCGCTGCGGCGACGGCCGACGAAATCACGTCGACCGACCAACCCCTCGGCACGGTCAACGGCGTCGACACTCGCCTCATCATCGGCTTGAGCGTCGGCCTCGGTGTCCCCGTGCTCGCGGGCATCGCCTCTGTGATATAGTAAGTCCCGGTACCCCCTTTCACCGGTACGCCAGTATGCTAACGCGTACGCTCCCTCAATAGTTTCTACCGCGGGCGGAAGCGCTACGCGCCTGTAGCTAAAATTGAGGACCCGACGCACCTGGGTGCGCCGCGGCCGTACGGCGGCGCCGGGAGACACTGATAGGGTAGCAGTCACAGTGTGATATGGCTCGCTAACTAGCTGAGGGTGCTTTTTCGTAGAAGTGGGCTGGGAATGGTGGTGTACCTGCGCGGTGGCGGCGTTCGGATCTGCTTCAAATACCGTTATGATACCAAAGCGTGATATAGTTGGTGATCTAACCGTGGCCCTGTTTACCCGCAAGCATACATACGTAGCTTGACGTGTTCCCTCTCTTTTTTGTGCTGTTGGTGACCGGGCGGTCCTGGCGCGCGTTGCTTTACACATAACCATCCCCAATTTGCTGCCAGGCGAACTTCCTGGGCCAACATACCTAATGTTCCACGATATGATAGGTAGATGTCCGGGGGAGGTTCGACGTGGGTGTGTGCTCTGGCGATGACTATTGATGATGGAGGGAACACTTGCCTACGGCACTGGAGCCACAATCGTGATACTAGGCGATGTCCTCGCGGGTGGGCTGCCCCATCTAGGTCTTGTCGATGGAAAATGTGCCCTCACCTCGGCCTGTGAAGCGCGATGATTTCGGGACTGTCCCCGTCTTACCTTTATTCGCATTTCCCACCTCGGTTCTTGTAGGCATCCGCACGTACGCCCTCGCCCATGCTGATAATTGGTCGTTTACGAAGCTGTCTGTAGCGGGTTACCCTCCTGACATTTCTTTGGGGGGGACCGAATTGCGATGCTTGAGTGGATATGCCTGTTGATGAGCCCCCTTCTTGTCGGATCCGCCGGCGTCATGTTGTCCGACGCCCTTTACGCCCATGTACCAGTTGCTGCCTGCCGTCAAGATTTATGTAGGGGAGTAAACGGCGCCGGGATGATGATGGCTCAAACTGGGTAGCGGTCTCGATGAATATGGACATATACCTAGGTATAGATGGACGGGCAACTTCACTAAGGGTTTCCCTCTTTGAGGCATCCTTGGGGAAGGGAATAATTGGGTCATTCTCCAAAGTATGACTTCTCAGGTCGGCTGATGAAGGAGTCTCGGATGGTCTACGTCGATCCTGGCTGCGGGCTGTTCTCGAAAACATGTATGCACATCATCGCTCAGCCCATGCTGGCGGATGGGTTTGCCGTCTTGTTTCCCGCTCGCGGAGCATACATACCTAGGCAGGTCACCAACATTACGCACGTCGTTCCTAGTCGTGGCAGTGTCGTGGGACCCATGTTGGTTGGTTACCTGGTATCTAGGCCTCCCTGACACGACCGTTGCTATTTAGGTATGTCGGTATCGAATCGCAGGTGGCAAGCCGGAATTGGCTCTAGGCACGGACAGCCGCTGTATCCCGGGACCGGCACCTTTCGGAAACGCAGAATACAGTCTCTCTCTCTCTCTCTCTCGGTCCATCTTGTTCGTAGCCGGCGGGTTCGCTGTCGGAACAAGCGTATGGGAGGTTTCGGGGGAAGCCGGATGTACTGGAGAGGCGTAGGAGGTTGTTAGCGACGATGCGAAGCTGTTGTTGGATGAGCGGTTGAAATCCCAACTCTTAGTTTTCGCGCCTCGTATGATAACGACGGCACTTGCCCGGCACGTCATGCCACAGGCCCTAAAGCCCTCGCTAGCCCTCGCTAGCCCTCTCTCTCCAGGCTCTTTCTCTCTATGAGTCTATGGATCCTCTCCGTGGTCGTCGACAGGTAGGTACCTCCTAAGTACGCTAAGGTACCTTAGGCAGGACGCCACGAGACTCGGCTTCAAACAAATAGGGAGCGGCTGAAGAGTCGGCGTTATGTACCTTAGGTACCTGATGTACCTTAGATGTTTAACCCCGCCCCCAACGCCAATAGCAAGATGGAATAGGAGGTACCTACCTGATACGTATAAGCAATGATTGGGTTACCTGAGGTACCTCTAATGCCCCAGTTAGCGACATTACATACCATACAAGGAGAGGGGGGTCTATTAATATTATGTTAGCAACCCTTTCTATAACTAGACATAGTATCTACCTCGTAATAAAAAGGAGTTAAACTCTAGGCTAACATTATTACCATTTCCTAATATAGTTACTATCCGGATATAATGTCTTTATTTTAAAAAAAGGTATATTTTATAGGATTACCCGGTTACCTCTAGGTTACTAAGTACGTACCTTTGTACCTTTATATCTTTTACGTTTATTACCTACCTCCTACCTCTCTTTCATAAGTTCGAAGATAAATAGATTCTACGCGCGCGAACTAGCTCCTATAGGTTCGTAGATAGGTTCGTAAATAGATTCGTAAATAGGTTCGTAGATAGGTTCGTAAATAAATAGATTCTACGTACGTAAACTAGCTCCTATAGGTTCGTAAATAAGTTCGAAAATAAATAGATTCTACGCGCGAACTAGCTCCCATAGGTTCGTAGATAAGTTCGTAAATAGGTTCTAAGATAGGTTCGTAAATAAATAAATAAATTCCATACGCCTAAACTAACTCTTATAGGTTCGAAGATAGGTTCGAAAATAAATAAATAGATTCCACGTACGAATTAGCTCCTATAGGTTCGAAGATAGATAGATTCTATACGCCTAAACTAGCTTCCATAGGTTCGAAGATAGATTCGAAGATAAATAAATAAATTCTACGCGCGAACTAGCTCCTATAGGTTCGTAGATAGGTTCGTAGATAGATTCTAAGATAAGTTCGTAAATAAATAGATAGATTCCATACGCCTAAACTAGCTCTTATAGGTTCGAAGATAGGTTCGAAGATAGATAAATAGATTCTACGCGTCTAAACTAGCTCCTATAGGTTCGTAAATAGGTTCGTAGATAGGTTCGAAGATAGATAGATTCCACGCGCCTAAACTAGCTCCTATAAGTTCGTAGATAGGTTCGTAGATAGGTTCGTAGATAGGTTCGAAGATAAGTTCGTAAATAGATTCGTAGATAGGTTCGTAGATAGGTAATAGATTATAATATTTATAGAAAAAAGATGAAGATAATAAGTAGGTCTAGGTAGATAGATAGGTAGGTAGGTAGGTAGGTAGGTAGGTAGGTAGGTAGGTAGGTAGGTAGGTAGGTAGGTAGGTAGGTAGGTAGGTAGGTAGGTAGGTAGGTACCTAGATAGGTAGGTACCTAGGTAGGTAAGTAGGTAGGTACCTATGGAATATATAGACATTATATCCGTCTAAATATTATCATATCCGTCTAGATATTAATTCCTACGTAGTTATAAAAACCATCCTAAAATTATAAGAAGGGAAGGTAATAAGGTCGGTACCGCGACCCTTGCTATAATTCTTTTAGCCCCTCCGAAAGAATAACTAGCTAAGGTAACCCTTACTAGATTTTATTACCGTATCGGTACCCCGACTCTATAGCTGACATACTATCCATAGACCCCCCCCTCCCTATATGGTATCCCCTATACCTACAGGTACCCATGTAGGTACCGAATGAAGGGTCCCGCCGGAACATTGGACGAATGATAGTCTGTCTCATTTGCCAGCTGAAGAAGCAATCAGATGTTGAAGATTGCAAATTGCCATAGGATGGCTCCGAGCATAGCCTTCTCTTCTCTTCCCCTCTTTTCCCCAATCCTTTCTTTCCGATTTTTTTCCATTTGCCTACCAATGTCATATCATGTCATCTGTTCTGCTCTTATACCTCTGTTGGCCCGCGGCGGAGAAATGAACGGCACCCACCTCAGGGGTTCGCAATGCGTAGCGTCTCGCTACGGGAGGGACTGGGTCGGTCAGGTACCGAGCAGTACATCGACGTATTAGCACCTACAGCTGCCTCGTTCCCCACCTGACGTAGGTACCTTAGGTACCTACCTACCTTCTCAGGTCCATGCCGCTGCCCGCTGTGACTTGACCGGCCACTACGTACCTGCTTAGTACTGCTTCTGCTGTTTCCTGCTTGTGTCGGTGCACATCTGCGTTTGCAACAGGTGGGGGCTGGTACCTCGGGTACTTAGGAAGGCACTTTGTATTGCTCTGACCCCACGTGGACGGTGCTGTGGCGCGAAGCTCTGCTGCCCCACGTCAGGGTACGGGAGAGGTACAACGGTGCTATTCACATGCACCACCTGTCTCGGAAGTGGCTCGAGTCGTCCTCAGCTGATGAGGGCGGGAATGACAGGTGTGGCAGCCGGTCCCAGACGGCGTCTCCTTGGCGACCACTTGAATGACTTCTCTCTTTTTTTTTTTTTGCCGAATAGGCCCGCGCCATTATTCTGACCGCCCGCCCAACCGTCCTGTCTATCCTACCCACAACCAACCTGCGCTTCTATTTCGCTCCGTGATAATCCTCACGGCGTCATTGAGCATCGATAGGGAGTCAGGCAAACACAATTGGACCACAACTTCTGCTGCTGCCAGTCGCGCTGCCGAATGATACTATAGAGTCGACGTCTGGCCGACCCGACTTTTCCCCCTTCCAATCAATCCCGTCTCCTTTCGCATTCCCTCCGCGGCTGCTATCCTGGGGCGTCGTCCATCCTCGCCTGCTCGCTTAGGACGCAGCACCGTGGTCCACGACACTGCTACCAAGCCCTATCCTCTCTCTCTCTGGATCCGCTCAGCACCCATCCCTGAAATATCAGGCACGATGTCGAGCGCCTCGAGAAACACCCCCAGCCGCAACCAGGGGCGTGGATCTGCTGCCCCCTACGGACCTGCCAGTCCCGCCAATTCCGGCATCCCGAGACCCGTCCTCGACAACCACCTGTCGCAACCCCCTCCGCCCGATGCTGCCGCCGGCATCAGCGCGAGCAGGCAGAAGCAGAGCAAGCGGGATGAGGTACGTCCCGTGACACGCTGTCTGTCCCCCGCCAGCCAACCGACCCTATGCTGACCTTCTATTCGCCAGGCTATTCGTCGTAAGCTGGAGAGCGACCTCTCCAAGAAGAAGCACCTCACGAGCCGAGCCCGACACTCGCGTAAGGCACCCCCGGGAACCGTCCTCGCCCTGAAGCCGAGCCCTGCCCTTCAGATCAAGCCCGGCACGACGGTTGCCGAGGCAGCCCAGCTGATGGCCGCTAAGCGAGAGGATTGCGTGTTGGTAACCGATGACGACGACCGGATTGCCGGCATTTTCACTGCCAAAGATCTCGCGTTTCGGGTGGTCGGCGCTGGCCAGAAGGCCAACAATATCACCATCGCCGAAATCATGACCAAGAACCCGTTGTGCGCCCGCACCGACACCAGCGCCACCGATGCCTTGGATCTCATGGTTCGCAAGGGGTTCCGGCATCTACCCGTCATGGACGAGAACCAGGACATCTCTGGGATTCTCGACATCACCAAGTGCTTTTACGATGCCATGGAAAAGTTGGAACGGGCTTATGCATCCTCGACTAAGCTTTATGCCGCCTTGGAAGGTGTCCAGTCAGAGCTTGGTGCGAGCCAACCTCAGCAGATCATCCAATATGTCGAGGCCCTCCGCTCCAAGATGTCTGGCCCGACTTTAGAGAGCGTCCTTAACGGCTTGCCGCCTACGACCGTGAGTGTCAGGACGACCGTGAAGGAGGCTGCGATGATGATGAAGGAGAACCACACTACCGCCGTATTAGTCCAGGACCAAGGCCAGATTACGGGTATCTTCACGAGCAAGGATGTCGTCCTGCGCGTCATCGCTCCGGGCCTGGATCCCGCCACGTGCAGCGTCGTGCGCGTTATGACGCCACACCCCGACTTTGCCCCCATGGATATGAGCATCCAGGCCGCTCTGCGCAAAATGCATGGTGAGCTCTCGAGACCAACGGGAAACGCTACGTCAAAACCTGTTTAGCTAATGCGTCTGGCAGATGGCCACTACCTCAACCTCCCGGTCATGAATGACCAGGGCGAAATTGTTGGCATGGTTGATGTGCTGAAGCTGACTTATGCGACACTCGAACAGATCAACACCATGTCTACCTCCGCTGATAACGAGGGCCCTGCATGGAACAAGTTCTGGCTCTCGCTCGACAACGAGACCGAGTCCATGGTCTCGGGTGACGGTAGCCACCATCACGGCACTATCGCGACCCGCTCCATCATATCCCCCGACGCCGGCCGTGAACGTCTTAATGATACCGTCGCGCCCGGAGATAGTGCCTCGCACGTGGGTATCGAGTCGTCGCCGATACACTCTGCCGTGGCCCCGCACTCGCCGGCCGAGGTGCCTTTCGCGTTCAAGTTTAAGGCGCCGAGCGGCCGCGTGCACCGATTTCAGGTCATTGCCAACCGCGGTATCGCTGAATTCGTTACCAACATCGTAGGTAAGCTCGGTGCCGAGGTAGAAGCTATTGGAGGCGCGCCCGATGTGGACGAAGACGGCAAGGTGATCCCGGGGGGGTTTGCCATGAGCTACCTGGACGACGAAGGGGACACGGTAAGCATCACAACCGACCAGGACCTCCTCGAGGCGATCCTGCTAGCGCGGCACCACCACCTCGAGAAGGTTGACCTCTTCGTCCACGACCCCGACAAGCCCCCCGTCACCACTTCCCAGCCCGAGATTACGGTTCACACACCTGCACACAGCACCGCCCCTTCAGATTTGCGCCGCAGGCGGGGTACGGTAGACGACGACGACGAAGACAGCGAGGAAGAGGACTTCTCGGCTGTCCGGCGTCGTAGGAAGACCAATTCGTTCGCCGAGCCCGAGCAATTCATCGCCGGTGTCCCCAATGAGCTGTTGCTTCCCGGCGCCATCGTCACCCTCGCGGTCGTCATCATCGGCGTCTTTACCATCTCGAGGGCCACTAACCGGTAGGGAGGTGCGCGTGTTCCGTCACTCGAAGTCTTTCCGGGGTTGATTGATGGTGCATTGCGCCGCTGGAGTTCCGCGATTGCGTCGGGGTAATAGCAATTTCGTGGCATGGCAGCCGGGGATAGACGCTAGCTCTCGTGTTATAAGACTTAATAGCCTACATAGTACTTAGTCAAAGCGATTATTATTATGGCTGAATTTCCCTGTAGTATGGAGTTGTCTCTGGGTCTTTATAGATCGGCAAGGATCGCCGTATGTCGCGTGCTCCCCTATATCCCGTGACATACGTCCTAGCAGTAGGTACCTTTAATAGGATGTCAAGTAGGTAAGGTAGGTACCTATTGAGGAGAACTCGGGGAGACGAGGGGTAGAGGAAGAGAGGAAGAGAGGAAGAGGGGGTTTGGCAAGCGGCCAAGGGGAACCCCTCCATTACTAACAAGAAACCAGCCAGCCAGTCTGAGGTAAGCTAGAGCGGACAGGAGATACTCGGTTTCCGGGGCATGCGATAGATCCCCCACCTATCGAGATAGACCCCCACCTTTTGAGTTACGTAAGGAGGTACATACAACGGTACCCAGGTAGGTATTTTCGACCATCTGCTAAGCAACGTGCATTTGGCCCTCTATCGAAAAAAGGTCGCGAGAGCTCTCCCAAGCTTACATGCGACGGCCAAAACACGTCCGCCACCATGATTATAAGGGGATCCAGTGTCCGCCAAGGTGAGTTCGTCGGCATTCCATGCCATTGGCATCCGTTGACGTTGTTACCCTCGCAGTCCGGGCATTGGCGGCACCCTTGCGCCAAACCCGCCTCCGCACAATGTCGACACAGCCAACATCGCCGACAGGCGCAACCGGTCTCGCAGCACCGACTCCGCCCCCCCCGAGTGCGCAAGCGCAGCCGCCGTCTATCTTCGAAGCCCATGCAAAAGCCGCCACGCGGCGGCCTAAGCCCAAGGAGGAGGATAAGACGGTCGAGAATTACTACCTGGCTAAGGAGCTGAAGAAAAAGATCAGTAGGGTGGGCGCGAAGGTCGAGCGGACGTACAGGCCGGCCGACGTCTTTATAAATCCTCCCGGGCCGAAGGATGTCACGCTAGAGCTTCTCATGGCGTCCCAGGCGCACATGGGTCACCACGCCTCGCTGTGGAACCCGGCGAATGCGCGATACATATTCGGTATTCGTCAGGGAATCCACATCATATCGCTGGAAGAGACGGCGGCGCACCTGCGGCGGGCGGCGCGAGTGGTAGAAGAGGTCGCGTACCGAGCGGGGCTGATCCTGTTCGTGGGCAACCGGCCGGGGCAGACGCAGATCGTGACGCAGGCGGCACGGCTGGCGAAGGGGTGCCACCTGTTCACGAAGTGGACGCCGGGGGCGATCACGAACAGCGACGTGATTCTGGCCGGTATGCCGCTGCGGATCATCGACGAGCACGACCAGCCCCTCGAAGGGTTCGATCGCCACATCAATGACCGCCGTCCCCTGATCCCCGACCTCGTCGTCTGCCTCAACCCCATGGAGAACTACGTGCTCCTGCACGAGTGCGCCCTCGTCAACGTGCCGACCATCGGCGTCATAGACACCAACGCCGAGCCCTCGTGGGTGACGTACGTCATTCCGGCCAACGACGACAGGTACGTCTAGTCCCATCCATGCTCCTGACATCACCTCGTCGGCTCCAAACCCCCCTTCCCCTCCCACCACGCATCTACGTCCCCCCCCCCCTGGGATGCTAACCAACTGGTGTAGTCTGCGATGCCTAGCCGTCATCGCTAGCGTGCTCGGGCGGGCCGGCGAGAAGGGCCACAGCCGCCGGCTACAAGACGCGCAGAGTGGCTTCGTGGCCTGGCAGACGCCGATGGACATCAGGGCGTTTATGCGCAACGAGCTGGCCGGGGTCGCGAACGAAGAAGCGAAGGAGGCCGAGGCGAGAGAGGTCGCGGCCAGAGACGCCGCGGCCTGGCGCGAATTTAGCGAGGCCAACGAGGCACGGGGTGCGACAGAGGGGGGTACGGACAAGATCCGATTTGTATAGACCCCGGATGGGAGAGAGCACATCGGGAGATAATGGACGTGCCATTGCTGTAGATACGCTCGTGTTGTATATGCACAGAGAAAAATAAATAAGTTAAAGCTCAAGAAACCTGGTTAGAACGGGAGGGAGCGAGCATCACTTGCGTGTTCGACCTACGAAGTGACAAACAGGTCGGTTGTCCATCTACCTAGGTATCTACCCCCTACCTACCTACTTGAGCCGTACGGACGAAGTGGTTGCCGATGTGTGTAGTCTCTCTCCGCCACGACGACGGTGGTCACCACCCCGAGGCCAGGTCAGCCCTCCCACCTAGGCTCTTCTCTCCCCCCCTTTTCCAGCGTAGCTTAGGTAAGCGCTCGACGGGCAATGCGCCACAGATAAGTCCGACGGTTTGTCGGTGGTCGGCGAGTCAGCCACAGGACCAGCCACCGGAAGAGGGCATAGCCGAGAGAAACCTCGCACAGCCGCCGCGGGCCTGTCGTTCCAAAATATTCACACCTACGAATTTCCCCTCCCGACGCACACTCCATCACCATCGCCAAATTGCTCTCCTATTCTTCCTCTCCCCTAGCTCGGCCGACCCTGTCCGTCTCGCCCGCCCGTCTCCTATCGGAGGAGAGGGCTCGAGTGTGCCATAAGGCTTGACTCGCTTGGCTGCGGTCGTACGGACAGATATACCTATCCGACACCGAATCGAGCGGCGGTCCCCGTGGATCTCTCTGTTACCAGCCATTGTCCCAACTCCGGTAAGACCGCCATTATATACATAGCGAGCTCTGGTGCATCATGTCCGGTGGCGGCAGGCAGGGGTTGTCTGACACCCCTCCTTTTTCATGCTAGCGGGGGCCCGTCTCCCTTAGGGATCCATACACCTATATACATCTACACCTATACGTATATACACATATATATGTGTGTGTGTATTTGTGTATTTGTGTGTGTGTGTGCTCACCTGTGGGGTCGAGGACATCGTTAGCGATGTGAAAGGAAAACGAGGAATAGGGAGAAGAGAGGCTAGCGATGACGGCGAGGAAGGTGAGGAGGGAGGAGACGAAGGAGGGGAGCGAAGAGATGGAGATGACGAGACTCTCGCCAGTTATTCATCCATCGAGTGCGAATTATTGATAGGTCACACATCTAGGTCCGGTAACATAACCGCCTCCACGGCCTTGGAGGGCCTGCGGGTCACGATGCCGGCAATCATGGATGACCCATCGAGTCCCACCATCCACCGTGTTACCGGGCCTGCGCCGTACCCAATCCCCGGCAAGCCGGAGCTCCCGCCCAATGTCCTACCCCGCCAAGTCACCCTGCGTGACCGCCAGACCATTGCGACCGTCGTGCCCTTCGCTTCGCGCGACCAGGTGCCCGCCTCGTTGCTCGCGTATCTCTCGGACCAGTTCGCGAAGGAGATCGAGGGCGGCGACACCTATCCCATGATCGAGCCCATGCCTCTCGAGAAGTTCTCCGCCTACTGGGTGCAGAACTTTGCCGGCATCATGCTGCTCGGCCGCATCGAAAGTGCCTCCGACGTTGTCGAGGGCAAGGACTGGTCCAAGGAGTGTCTCGGCAGCTTTTACATCAAGCCCAACTACCCTGGCCGTAGCAGCCACGTCTGCAACGGCGGTTTTCTCGTCACCGACGCCTCTCGCAATCGCGGTGTCGGTCGCCTCATGGGCGAGAGCTACCTCGACTGGGCCCCCAAGCTCGGCTACACGTACTCGGTCTTTAACCTCGTCTACGAGACGAACGTCGCCTCCTGTAGGATCTGGGACGCCCTGGGCTTCAAGCGCATCGGCCGCGTCAAGGGTTGCGGCAATCTCAAGTCCTATCCCGACCGGCTGGTCGACGCCATCATCTACGGCCGCGACTTGGGCGACGCCGGCGAGGGTGGCGGCAGCGGCAGCGGCGAACCCCTTCTCGTGAGTGAAGAGCGTTTCGACAAGATCAAGTTCTATCTCAAGTACGGGCGCTACCCGAATGGCTCTGACCGCGCCGAGAAAAGTAGGCTCCGTAGCGCCGCGACGCACTATAAGCTGCTCGACAACGATGTGCTGATGTTGAAGGATAAAGAAGTCATCAGCGACCCCGTCCGCCAGATGGATATCTCGCGCCGTCTCCACGAGGCTGGTGGCCACGCCGGCATCAACAAGACCACCGCTACCATTGCCGAGAAGTATCACTGGAGCCGTATTAAGGAGACGGTCTCGGATGTAATCAGGATGTGTGACCAATGCAAGGAATCGGGCAAGATCCCCTCCGTTCCAAACACTGCCAGTTACCGGCGTCCCATCGTAAATTCCGACAGGGCCACCGCCGGCTCTAGCGTCGATCCTCTCTCGCCCGAACCGTCGCCCGTGTTAGGCACTGGGGTATGCGGCAACGGCGCGGAGGGGACCGGGAGGGTCCTCGAACTGCAAGCGCCGGCGCCGGCACACAATGACCTACCGCCGCTACTTGGCCCTGCGAACCCTTACGAGCATCACAGTGACATCTCATCCTTGCTGAATCCCCCTCCGATGCAGTCGTCACACGACGCCGGGTTGTTATCACACCACCACCACCACCAACACCACCCCCTGCTACCGAGTCAGCTCCACCACGACTCGGCCGCGACCCTCGCTTCGCTCCATGAGGCTGTAGATATGTACCACCCGATAGACCCCCAGATGATATCCCAGGCCGCCCACCACCATTCCGTCTCTCATCATCATCATCATCCCCATTTATTCGACCCCTTTCACACTAATCCTAGGGATACCATCCCGCATCATAGCTCGCACTCCGCGCACCATTCGCTGTCGGGGCACGAACCGTACAGTCCGCACGATCCCCACATCGTATCATCCCTCCACGCTATCCATGCGCTGAGCCATGATCCCTCGTTCGACACTCCCATGCACCACCATCATCATAATCATCATCGCCACGACCCGGATTCTTTCCAGGCCCTGCTCCACGACGAGTCTGATCTAGATCCCACCAGCCATCATCATAATCACCACCATCACCACTTCGCTCTGTCCCTCACCGACCCAGAAAACTACCACCATGTCCACAGTAATCATAATCACCATCAGCATTACCGCCATCGGCTCGACTCCCACCACGAGCACCAACACCACCACCACCCAGTAGATCTAGTAGTAGACCCGCACGACCATCACGATGCGAGCAACTCGGTAGTGGTAGACCAGGACGCTATGGACCGCGACCTGGACATGCTCATCGAACACCACGACTCGTCGGACTCGTCGGGCTCGGGATCCCTCCACGTCTCTCCCGGCCCCGCCTCCCCGCCCTCGGGAATCCACATGGATATCGACGAAGTCATCGCCCGCGGCTCCGATCCTGACTCGGACCTCCACCACCACCACCACGAGCACCAGCATCACGACCACGGCCTCGACTCGGACCCCCACGAGCACGTGTGAGCGCGAGCCCCGACGACCGCCGGTGGCCAGTGCGGCGCGCGGGGGGAAAGGGCCGACGGAGCTATGCGTATACGTAGACGTGGGAGCGGGACGGCGGACGCACGCAGTGCGAATTAGTTTCTGTAGATGTGCACGCGAAAGGCAGGGGAGGGGAGGGCGTCGGGAGCAATCCGATCACCGCGGCGAGGTGGTAGGAGGCGACAACGCCGGGAACCGCAGCAGCGGGAGCGGTCTTCCCCGTCTAGCTAGCTACCCAAACCTCAAGCTTCCTCACCTCGCGCCCGACCCCTCTACGGATAGCAGCTTATCCCGTACCGTCACAGGCACCGAGAGGAGCGATGGTAGTTGCCCTGGAGGAGCTGGCCTGGGCGCGGGGCTCGGGTCGAGGTCTGGGGTCTGAGCCCCCTCTATCCCTCCGGCCTGCCTCTCCTGGGGCGCATGCATGTTTTCTTTTTCCCCTTCTTCTTCGCTTCGTAGAAACCCGGTGCGTCGCCCCCCGGGGGTATGGTATATATATATATATAGGTACCCGTCTCGGAAGCGGAGAGGGGTGATGGGGAGGTTGGGTTCTAAGCAGGAATTGCTAGGTATAGGAGGACGAGGGACAGAGTTGGATAAGTACTCTTCCATAGATCATAGATGACATGTATTCTCCTGGACGGCCAACGCCCGAGATGGTGATGCATGTCCCCCCCCCCCGTGGCAGGGCGCCGACTCCCTAGATGCTCTCGCGCCCGTACTGTCCGATGTTAAGCTACACGTACCCACACACGCGCGGACGCACTGCTTGGAGCAGCAAGCGGCATCTCATGGCCCCTCCCCCCTCTCTCTCTGTGTGTGTGTGTGTCTTCGCATAGTGTGCACATGTTCATTTCCTTTTCACACACTCTCACGCTTCATTTTTCAAACTGTTTCTCTCTCGCATCCCTCCATCTCGTAGTAGCAAAGCGTCTATATTCTCGGTGTCCTCGGGGATTCTTTTCCTCTCCTCTTCTCCCCCGCGTTTCTTTTTATCCCCTCCAAGAACACAGGTATCTTTTAAAGGTACACACACATACCGACGGCACCGCCGCTAACCTGGGGATATCAGGTACGGCTTTCTTTTTATCCATTTCTGTCCGTAGCACCCCCTCTCCTCAGGGCGCCACCGCCACCGCCACCACTTCCCCTCGCCGCCCTGCGAAGAGCACTCGCGCTCACCGCCGCGGCATGCCTCGGCCGCGGCCCCGGAGGGCCCTCTGGGCGGCGCCGGGCGGCAGGGGCTGGCCCGGGGCCTGGGGCTGGGCGCTCTCCTCGTTGCGGATGGTCTCGTCGACGCCGAGGATGAGGCAGCAGGCCTCGGTGGCGGCCTGGATGGCGTTGGTCTTGACCAGGGCGGGCTCCCAGACGAAGCGCTCCACCATGTCGGCGACGCCCTCGGTGGCGAAGTCGACGCCGGCCCAGACCCGGCCCTTGCGGTGCTCGACCCGCAGCTTGTTGAGGATGTCGGTCGCGTCGAACCCGGCGTTGTCGCACAGCTGCCGCGGGATCACCTCGAGCGCCTTCGCGAACGACTTGATCACCACCTGCTGCTTGTTCGGCAGGTTCGCGTCGGCGAACCCGTGCAGGTACGCCGACACCTCCATCTCGCAGGCGCCGCCGCCGCCGACCACGAGCCGGTTCCGGATGGCGCGCTTCACGATCATGATGGCGTCGTGTAGCGACCGCTCGACCTCGGCGATGAACTGCTCGGCGCCACCCCGCAGCACGAGCGTGCACGTCTTCGCCTCGGGGCAGTCCTCGAAGAAGTTGAAGCGCTCGCCGCCGATCTGACGCTCCTCGAACGAGCCGCAGGTGCCGAGGTGGTGGGGCTGAATATCGGAGCACGTCGACTGGACCGTCGCACCCGTCGCTTGGACCACGCGCTCCATGTCTTCGGAGGCGACGCGGCCGGCGCAGAACACGTCGCGGTCGGCGAAGAACTGGGTAGCTAGGTCGCCGATGGGTAGCTTCGAGAGCACAACCTTGGCGCCGGTCTGGTGGATGGCCTCTAGCTTCTTGTAGATGATCTGCCACTCGGCGTCGACGATGGCCTGGTACTCGGAGACCTGCTCGACGCGGACCTCGGCATTATCCTTCTCGGCCTTGAGCTCGAGCTCCACGTTAAGGCAGACGATCTTAGGCTTGGTGAAGGACTTAGGTTGCTGCTCGAAGCCAGCGTAGGAGAAGGTCTTCTTGAAGGCGACGCCGTTGACGAAGAGCGAGTCGGTCAGCGAGCCGCCCGGTATCTTCTTGATGCCGATGAGCTTCTCATTCAGGTCCTCTTGATCTAACGTCAGGACCGCGTCCACAACCACTTGAGGCAGTTAGCTTCCTAGATGCAACGCGTATATACACCATGATGCTGAACGGCAAGGGCAACGTACTCTTGGTGAAGAAGGTGGTATTCCTCTTGATCAACTTGCTCGTCATAGCAGTAGCCGCCAGCTTCTCGAGGGTTTCTCGCCTGTCGGACTCGTCTGTTCGGATAGCGATCTCCTTGATCTTGTTGACGGCTAGGCTCGACGCCTTCCTCAGGCCCTTGATGATGACCTGGGAGCTGACGCCTTGCTCGACATGTTCGCGAACCTCCTTGAGTATCTCTCCAGCCAGGACGACGACCGACGTCGTGCCATCCCCCACCTCGGCATCTTGCGACCGCGCGATATCGACTAGGATCCTGGCTGCGGGGTGTATGATATCGAGAAGCTGCGCGGGATACAGTCAGATATCTCGCGTCTAACGGCAGAGGATATTGAGAGAGGGTCTAACCTTCATAACAGTGGCGCCGTCATTGGTGATGGTCTGCTTGCCATTCTCATCCACCATCAACAGGTCCCCGCCGTACGGGCCCAGGGTAGACTTGATGGTGGCCTGGACAGCTTGGCAGGCATTGATATTTGATATGATCTGGCCCCTCCCCTGCGAGGTATCGGTGCCTGGGGGAGGGAGATGCCAACGGTCAGGCGGATATCCTCGTAGCAGGGTAAGGAGATGTGTGTTTCGGGTAGAACTCACCCTCTTTGAGGACGATGATGGTGGGGGTCTGGCCGCCGAAGGACATGGTGGCGACGATGGCGCTCGCGTGAGCGGGCAGCAATAGCTACGGTAAACTTCGGAGATATCGAGGGAGGTGGAAGAGAGGGCGGAGGGTGGACGGTGCGATACGGGTTGCCCGTGCTCGGAAGCTAACAGCCGCAGATTCAGGATGAGCGTGGTATCTGGTGATCGTCCCGGTTCGGGGCCTGACTTGGGATCGTGGGAGGGACGGACTGGGTGATAAGTGGGAGGGAGAAGCTCCCGTTTCGCCGTTGGCAGTGGGGAGCTTCGAAAAATTAGGAACGAATGCCTTTTGCGAGGTGGGGAGGTGGGGTCCTGTCGCCATGCACGGACCACAACCCGTGTCTTCTCGCTGCTGGTTACGTAGTTGGAATCCCGATATATGCATGAGAACCGCTATATTCGCATAAATATGCCTCTTACGCATACCATGCCCCGCACTCTCCCCCAAAACCCGCACAAGCGTCGCGCTGCATTCTCTTATGCGGGCTATCCTTGTATGCAAGTCCCCAGCCTATGTCTCCTTAACCGCCCCCTTCCCCCTTTTGCTTGCCCTACACTCCTCGATAGCAACCTTCACACTTACCTTTGAGGTCAGCTAGCCAGGTCCTGACCTACCAACCACTTAAACCTTTTCTTTTGCTCGCGTTGTCACATCAACACTGATTATTACCTAGGTATGTTCTCTAGGCAAGTGCTGAACTTTATAATACCAACGAGCAAGGACGCGTGTATTCGAATCCGAACAGGCGAAGGGGGACTCCAGGGCAGCGAGTGGTGTATTTCAGTAGCACTAGACCACAGAATACTCATTGAGGATAGTTATCACCTAGGGATGTAAAAAGCCCTAATATGTCGGCCTCTATTTCGATACTCGAGCTCCTAGTGAGGATAGCAATGTCACTGTCGCGAGACCCTCGGTCCCAGACGGCGACACGGTCTAGGGCTCTCCTTAGTTGAACCCTCTGCTAAAATTGGGACAAGAGCATCCACGACCCAATTCTACTTCTTGGCCTGTCTTTTACCCCCCACGGCCTTTTCTCCTTTCCCGCCCCTTCTCCCTTTCCGTTGCCTCCCCTTCATCGTCGGGCTGTATCGGACTTTTGTCAGCGGTGCTCAGAGCCTACGCTCCTTCTTATCTTCTCTTTCCTTGAGAGAAGGGTGTTCTTAGAGAGGAACTCGGGCCAGACGAGGTAGCGAAAGACCCCTTTGCACTTACGTGATATTTACTGTGGCAATCTTTGCAGAGCGCGCTGACAAGGCCGGAACCCGTCTTGACAACATCGCATCTGCCCTTTTCCGGACAATATTTCCAGTCTCTCTTCACTTCCAGGACGTGCCGACATCCTGGACACTTCACAATGACCTCGGAGTATTTGCACATGTCGAAGCTCGCGTAGTCGACTTAGCGGTGGTGGGATTTTCAGGCTCTATAACTGCGTCAGATCGCGAATCTAGGTTTTCTCCCGTATGTGAGGCCGTCTAAACGCTGTTATTTTGGTCGTTTTTCTGTCTTGAGCATTTGCCTCTGAGCACGCTTGGAGTGCTAACATCGTCCTCCTACTTATACCCGTAGACAATGATCCTCTCCCAAGTTCTCCTTGCTGTCACGAGTCACTACTAAGTATTTATTCGCTGTCATTGATGGCGAATAAGTGAAGTTCATATTTTCGTGCGGCTTCATGCGTCTGGAACCTCGCCAGCTAGCATCACGGCCTGTTAGAATACTGGCTCCGTCCTGTCGTTGTATTCTCATCTTTCATGGAGGGCTTTGTGTCAAATCGCCTCACTATTCTCACCCTCATAATCACTCAGTATCGCTAGAGTACAAATATGACTACGAAGATAGCCTTTTGGACGATACCGCCACCGCAGTTCGCATAATAGTTAATTCGTCTCGAGACGGGGAGCGCCACCGCTTCAGCTCTCGCCTACTCATCTCACTAGTACATCCACGTCGTTCTACGGAAAGCTAGACGGGAAGCGCCCACGAGATACTACTAGCTACTTAGTGCTTAGGATATAGGGTGAGCGTGCCAGTCCTTGATGACCGTCCGTACGACGTTGCTAAGCTTATCTTAGGGGATCTTCCCGAAACCCACCACGCTTAGAGGGCCAATATTTCCATACGAAATTGACACCCCATGGCAGCCGAGTCACCCACTCATCCTTGATACGTATGATCAGCTCGATGAGGCGCACAGGTCCCGCAACGATGTTATCTCGATATCTCGTCTGGAGCCGCCACTGGAAATGTGCTGACGCCATCTACGATTCCGGAACGAATGCATACTAAAAAGGGTATACTGCCGTGGAATGATCCGCCGCCATTCGGGGTAAAATATGATTCAGGTTTGGTACGTTCCCTTCTTGTAAAGTAACGCGATTTCCGTAGTAGTAAGGGGGTAAAACGGGAGATGTCACGTAGGGAATCTGTGCTTACAAACCTACGTGTCCCACGAGGGAGATGTAGGTGTCTACGTTTTCACGTAACGGAAGAGAAGTGAGAGGCAGCATGACAGAATTAGAAAACAAAGCCTGTCAGGAGGGCCACGTTCGGGAGATCAGTGTTGACAGTACGACCCGTTGAACACGTAATCATGTCTGTGACGGCAATCTGGTTCGGCACGGTGTTTGGGGCCGGATTAATCAACCTCGACTGTTTTCACTGTCACGAAATCGCGTCCTGGCATAGGGTAATCCCGCCAGGGGAGCGGTGTGTGTAAGTCCGTGGGGTGACTGGGACCATAGTCATCGGTTACGCGGCTAAAGCTACCACGTCGCGCCAGGTCGAATCCATGGCAGCCATCCGAAGGGATGCTTACCTCTAGTATGGTTCCGTGTGGCTCTCTGCAGGCTTATTCCACGAGGTTCCTCTGATCTAGTAGTACTACGGCCGCTCGCGTGGAACAGCGTGTAGCTTCCGCTGCTAGCAGGGTAGGTAGTGTGTCACGATAAGTCAACAGGAAAATCGAGAATTGAACCAGACATAATAATACGGAATGCACACCAACATTTCTGATTTCTGGCGGTTTTAGTTTTTACATGTGACCGACTCACACATGCTGAAGAAGGGAGAAAGGGAGATAAAGAGTGATGCAGACGGTGCTCGAAACGCGACTCTCCAGAGAGTTCTTGGAATCGCTATTTTTATTTCCGAGGGCTCGCACGTTGGCTAAGGTTCAATAACGCTACGGCGGACGTCCGTGGCCCTAAACGAGAATCCTAAACGAGAATACATGGTAGTAGATCTCTATATGCGAACTAGCTAGGTATGTGTTAGGGACTAATTACTGGTTAACATATCTATATCTTGTTACTGCATGTCTAGAATGGATTGTGGTATATAATATATCATGAACAAGCATATAGTCAACCCCATGCGTCCCAAGAGAGGCGGTCCCCGATCCCTGGACCCGTTAGCTAGCCTAGATGACATTCCAAAGACGGCGCCACCAAGGCTGGGCAGCCGCTCCTTCGGCCTCGGCTACCTCGTTGGCGTCCTTTAAGTCGCGCCGCCTGCCCGAGTGCAAATCGACCTCCGCCAGGCCCCAGAACTTGGTTTTGAAAATAACCTTGTATCCGACGAAGATGATGAAGAACAGCGGCAGCAGGATGTAGGCGTCGATGAACCCGCCGACGTCGAACGGAGAGAAGTAGGACCAGCCCTGCACGAGAGCTAGGAACACGTTCGAGCCCAGGCCGAAGTAGGCGTTCCACGGGTACCAGAGCGAGGCGAACGGCAGCTCGGCGGCGCTGTGCCCCTGAGACTTCCAGGCCCGGCGGAAGCGGATGTGGGTGAAGGAGATGGCGCCCCAGACGATGAAGGTTGAGACGCCGCTGAGGTTGACGATGTAGCCGTAGGCCCTGGCAGCGCCAGTCGAGACGTTCATCATCGAGAGGGCGCCGAACGTGTTGGCGACGACGATGGCGGGGATGGGGACGCCGCGGCGGTCGGTCCACCCGAGGACGGCGGGCGCCATGCGCTGCTGGGCCATGAAGAGCAGGGTGCGCGAGGCGATGTAGATGGAGCTGTTGATGGCGGAGACGCAGGTGATGAGGATGAAGGCGTTGATGAGGTGGACGCCGCCCTGCCAGCCGGCGTTCTGCAACGCGACGGTCATCGGGCTCTGCAGCGCGCGGCTCGGGCCGTTGAGGAGCTGGTCGGAGTTCGACGGGCACGTCAGGCCGAAGAAGAAGGCGGCGCCCATGTAGACGAACAGGATGCGCCAGAACACTTGCCGGATGGCCAGCGGCACGGCAACGCCCGGGTTCTTCGTCTCCGTCGCGGCGACGGCTACCGACTCGACGCCGGCATAGAAGGTCGAACAGAAGACGAACACCTTGGCGACACCGCGGAAGCCGTCGGCGAACGGCCCCGGATCGTGCCAATACCGGAACCCTATGGCGTCGGCCCCGATCACCCCGCCAGATACGTAACTGTACCCGATTAGAACCACGGTCCGCGAGCGATTTGGGATCGTCTGCAGCCAGCTTACATGATGGCGAAGATGTAAAACGCGACCAGCCCCACAAGCTTAATGAGAGCGAGCCAGAACTCGGCCTCGCCGAAAGTGGACACACCGCAGAGCTGGAACAGCAGAAAGGCAGTCTGCGAGGAAGCACGTGCGCGCGGGGATCAGCAACCGAGATGCAAGGATTTAGAGGAGACAAGGGAGAGAGAGGTGGGGTTCTGGCCGGTAACGTACCCACAGGAGGAGGAAGTAACCCCAGATGGGGACCTTGTCGCTCCAGAAGACGAGAATGCTGGACACGGCGTTGTACTCGTTGGCAAGGACGGTGAACCAGATGATGAAGTAGTTCCAGCCGACAGCGACGCCGAAGGCCGGGTCGACCATGCGCGAGGCGAGTTGGATGAAGGCGCCGCCCGACGGGTACAGGGTCGTCAGCTCGCCGATGCTCTGCATGACGCTGCGCGCGCGGGGTTAGCACGCGAGCGCACACGCGACACACGACACACGACACACGCCCCCTCGACGAACAGGTGGAGAGAGAAACGCAGGTGGGCGGGAAGGGGGGGGGGGGGGCGTACCTGAAAGCGATGATACCGACAAGGCCGAAACCGATGATCAGGGAGGCTGGGCCGCCCCCGGCGAGGGCGCTGCCGCTGCCGACGAGCAGGCCGGGGCCGATGATGCCGGCGAGAGCCATCATGCTGAGATGGCGGGTCTTGAGGCCGCGCTTGACGCCGGACTCGGGGTCGATGACGCGGAAGTCGTCGCCGTCGACGTCGCCTTTGCGAGGCGGCGAAGCGCCCGCGCGCTCCTCGTCCTCCTCGACGTACTTGAGGTTGTCCATGGCGTGCTGACCGGGTCTGGTTGGCTGATTGGGTGGGTGGGTGAGAGGGAAGGGCGGCGGGCAGCGGGAAAAAGGGGTGGTGGTCGAGTATTTAGCAACGGCGCAAGTACGGCCTGTGCTCGCAAGGCAAAAAGAGAAGAGGGACGGCGGTGGGGGCCCTAGGCTAGGCCATGCGTCGGACGAAGGGGGATTTCTCGTGGTCGCTCTCGATCCTGGGGCCTGTGTGCTTGCTATCTGGTCCAGGGCCGGGGGGGGAGCGGGGGAGAAGACCGATATCACGTCGACTTGGCCAGGTCGATCGCGCCCTGCCGCGGAAGGGCGGACGTCTCGTCGGACGGCCAGGCTACGCGTGTCCTCGTGAGGTCGGGCCGGTGTGCAGGCGCGCGGCCATGGGGAGAGCGATAAACCAGGCCGGGGAACGAGATAAATGGACAAATTCCGATAACCAAGCGAATTACGACGCCGTGGAGATTGCGGGCTGCTGGCTATCTCGAGACCGGGGGACGCGATGGATACCACCTCGACAACCTGGCTATACCTACCTTTATCGGTAACATTTTTCTCGTTTCTCCACTCATCCCCGGCTGAAATTGCGTGACCGATTGTGGCGTGGCGACGCCCAACCGCGCCCAGCTGTCGGCACCCGTCTCCTCTATCCAGCCTAGCGTTGGCGCAACTGACGGCGCCTAACCCGTTGAGGCAGCCGGGCCGGCAGGAATGTGGCAACACGTATAATACTCATAGTATATCCTCGTAGTACTACCTATCTATTCATGGTACGATGCCTTGTCTGGTCACCGACGATGGGGCCGAGCGCTTCACCTCGTCGGGCTAACCTCGTCTCGCCATACATATAGTCTACCCCGGCTCACATAGTCTTTGCCCCGTACCCGTTTCCCCCAATCGATACTGCGGGTCGGGTCCACGCCGATATGATAGCGAGAACAAGGCAATGAGAGAAGCGAGCGAGCTCGGCCGCTCTTCTAGATAGGAACTGTTCGAATCGGCCTTCACGTCCTTGATGTCCACGATGTACCTAGGCATGGTCTGTCCCCATCTGCGTCTCCAAATGGGCAGTGTTACAAGCGTCCGCCTACACATTGCTGTGGCGGAATGTAACCACGCATCAGAGACCGATAATATCCCATGACCGTCTATTTCGACATCTCGACCGTACAATTGGGACATTTTCTATGCTGGCAATTCGGGCACTGTGGATTAGTAGCAACAAGATATCCTCCGTCACCGCAGTTGCACTAAACGTCCCGGTAAGTATTTAAAGATATTATAGATTAAGCAAGGGGATAGGAACACGCACGCAAACCCACTCAGGTATCTTGCTATACCTGGCCTCGGCTGCACTCTTGAGTGACTGTGCCCTTCCACCACCACCACCGCCACCTCGCGTCAGAGGCCCGTCGGCTGTGGGAAAGTGAGGGAGCGCAGCGGTAATATCTTTAACAAGGAGATCGGTGGGCTCGATATTATTACCACTCCCGGTCGGCCTCATTTCTCCATCCTTATACGAAGACGGCTTTGGGGAGGGGTTATGGGTGATACTGGAATCAGATAGATCCGGCCAACGGTTCTCGGTTACATTGTCTGGCGGCAGCTCGGAGGATGCCTCCTCGCCCGTCTCGTCGCCATCTTGTAGCGCGCGGGGCAAAGTAGCGAACGATATCTCTTGGAGGTGATCCCCGATGTGAGAAACCATCTGAACATAGTCCCCAACTTTATCGACACAGATAGGGCATGTTTTATCGTCCCATTCGGGATGGCGCTGGTGCTCCTCGTTTAGGTGTTGAATCCATTTTTCGCGGGTCGAGAATTATAACAAGGGGATATGCTTGGAATAGGTTTAATTTAACTAATAATTCTATAGGGGGTCTCTTAGGTCCTTATCTTCTTCTAAGTTTTACGTTCCTTTTTCGTTTTAATATAACCCGGAAGTACCTCTGTACTTTTATACCTTTATACCTTAATACCGTAGCTATCCGAAGCTTATCTAGGACTTTCCTTAATAGGTCGCCGAGGTAACGGCCTTAATGCCCGATATTATCCTCCTAACCTTTATAGCCTGATTTATTAGCGTAGGGTTCCATCCCCGTGTAATATTATCTCCTTTCTTCGGAAGAGCTCGTCCTTAAGCGTAATACCTAGGCCCGATGGTTAATAAGTTTATTAGGGTTCTATAGGTAGAATAACTTAACGGCTCCTTTCGTCCCTTCGGTAGTAAAGTATTCCTATGGTTCCTAAGTTTAGTAGCGCTTAGCCGGTTAGCCTTACTATTTTACTAAGTACCTAATAACTTTTCCGGTTTTTACGGAATCTAATACCTTATTTACCTCGTAGTTTTTTACCTCGATCGGGGCTGCCTTCCGTAGGACCTAGTTAGGGTTAGGTAATTCCTAATTACTAGCGCGGTAGGGTTCGATAAAAGATACGTAAAAGGTATTATAAATACGCTAGCCTTTCGGGAGTATTAGAGTTACGGCGGTAGGGGAAACGACCTTTTAGATCTTAAAGAAACCGAGTATCTTTTTATCTATCTTCTTTATAAGGCGCTTGGTTTTAATATTACGGGTATTTAATATAACGAGCTATCCGACTTTTAGAGGGGGTTCCTTCTTTCGGTATTTATCTACCTATCCTTTTATCCGCTACCGTACTTTTTCTAAATATTACTTAGCTTCGTTATATACCCGAGTTATTTAATAAATATAGAGGTTACTTCCTAGATTCTTAGGGATACCTAGAGGAAGGTTATATATTATTAGGTACTACTTATAATTAGCGTAAAAGGATAATATACCGGTAGTTATTAAAGTAGTATTATTATAAGTAAATTCGGTAGTAGGTAGTAAGCTTTCTTAGTCGCTTATTTCGTAATTTACGAAGGCGCGTAGGTATGCTTTTAGGATTTAGTTAAGTCTTTCCGTTTATCCATTCGTTTAAGGGTAAAAGGCGGTACTTATTCTAAGTTTAACGCCGAGGAGTTTTAAGACGTCCTTTTATATATAGGAGGTAAATCGCGAGTCTCGGTCGGAAATAATGTCTAAGGAGATCTTATATAGTCGTTAATAACTACGTATAAAAATAGGTATTAAGTCTTCGGCTTTTTTACCGTCCTTTTTTAACGGAATAAAGTACGCTATTTTAATAAAAGGGTTTATAATAACCTAGATAGAATCGTAACCGTTAGATATTAATAAGTCCGTAATAAAGTCTATCGCGATCGTTTATTATAATCGATAATATAGTTCCATAAGCTATAGTAATCCGAACGGGGTATATCGGGGTACCTTATTTTACTAGTACTCGCGGTATTCTTTAACGAATTCCCTAACTATTACTTCTAGGTTAAGTTATTAAAAGTTACGAGTAATAAGTTCCGTGGTTTTATTTATACCTATATATCCCGTTATTTTAATATCGTATTCCGATTTAATTACTTCTTATTATAGGTCCTTAGGTATCTAGAGACGGTTTCGCCGATAAAGAAGGCCCTCTTAGAGCTTTATTTCCTTACCGAATAATTTAGCTAGCTAGGCCTAGTATTCCGGGTCCTATATAGCTACCGTTTTAACCTATTTAACGAACTTTAGGGTTTAAGCGGGTATTAGGATATTACTTAGTCGTACGCTAGAGAATATTACCGTAGGTAAGCCTAAATTTTTTAAAAAATGCTTTTTCTATAGGACCGTCGCTATCGGCTAGTCCTTAGCTCCTCCTTTTTTAAGGCGATATTAAAATAATCTAAATAAAATATCGGCCTTTTTATTTTACTTCCTTAGGCGATAATATATTATAAAGTAATACGAGGAAAGTTATTAGGCCTAGCGGGCTTAGCGTCGATTTAATACTTTTGCCGTAGTAAAGTACGTTAAGTTCTAATAATCGGAATATACTTCTATTTAATGCTAAGTACCTTCGAGATAATATCGCTACTTCTCGAAAGCGTCGACGATTACTAGTAGTTCCTTATTATATATTTTATAATTTATTTCCGCTAGGGTAAGTCGTCGTAAGAAAAAGGCTACTAGTTTTAGTCTTCCTTTATTATCCTTTTATAAGAAAACCGCGGAAATAATAAAATCTAAGGCGTCGGCTTCGACGATTAGGACTCGGTTAGGGTCGAAATATATAAGTACCGGGGCCTTCGTAAAGGTTTCTTTTAATTCTTAAAAGGCCTTCTTTATTTCGATTTTCTATTTCTATAGCTTACGGTTTCTTTTATTAGCGCTAATAATTAGCCTAGCTATGCCTAAGAAATTACGTATGAATTTACGGTAAAAGTTAGCGAACCTAATAAAGCTCTATAAGTTCTTAAGTATGGCTAGGGTACGCTAGTTAAGGATAACTTTTATTTTATCTTTAGATATAGTAATACCCCTAGGACTTATATTATATCCTAAGAATTTAACTTCTTACGTTCGCTAGGTATATTTTTTTAGGGCTACCGCTAAATAGTTTTCTATAAGCCGTTTTAAGACTTCCTTAACTAGGTTATTATATTCCTTTAGCGTATTAATATAGATTAGGATATTATTTAAGTAAGCGATAACCCCGGCGTTTAGGAGGTCGCGGAAGATATGATTTATTATTACCTAAAAGGTAGCGGGGGCGTTAATTAATCCTATAGGTATAACTATATATTCGTATAGCCCGTAGCGCGTTTTAAAGGCGGTTTTCTATTTATCGCCTTCCTTAATTCGTATTATATAGAACCTAGATTTTAGATTAATCTTAGTAAATTACCGCGTCGTTTAAAATAGGTTTTATAGTTCGTTAATTAGCGGAATCGGATATCGGACGGGTATTATAATTTTATTTAGCCCCCGGTAATCCGCTACCGGTCTTAGGGCGCCCGGGTCCTTCTTATTTATAAATATTATAAATGCGTCGTAAGGGGCCTTAGATTTTCGGATTCTTCCTATAATTATTATTTCGTCGAGCTAGGGTTTTAAGGCATTTAACTATCGTTCGCTTATGATATATAAAGGTTCCTACGGGGAGGTAGTTCCCGGTCGGAGCTTAATAGCGTAGTCCTACGGTTACCGATTAGGGAACCGCTATCCGGCTTCCTTGGTTATAATAGGAACGAAGTTACGAAATTATTCCGGTACTTATACTAAAGCCTTTACTTTTCGTACTATTCCTACGCGAGCTAGCCGTAGGCGGTAACTCTAGTATCGTAGCGAATTAAAGTATAACCGTCCGTTTATAAATAATTCCTAAGGGGGATATTCTTTTATTTATTACTAGGGTAGGATAGTATCGACCTTTTCGTTTAATTTACTAACTTCCTAAGCGATACGGTAGATATATTCGTAGCTACGGAGCTTTATTTTATTAGTATATTAAAGTTCTCCTAACGAGATTTCCAAGCCATCGAATCCTACTAGGGTTCTAGCTCTAAAGCGTTAGTTAACGGAAAGGCGTAATTATTCGATTTTAGCGGCGTTAATTAAGGGTATTTTATTACCGGTATTTAAGAGGATTCGTAAGGGGTATTCTTTTCCCTGATAATTTATTTATATCGTATGAATAGGCCGTTTACCTAACCTTAGCTCGTTAAGGTTACGCTAAGGGACTCGTAGTTTTTTCGCTATTAGTACCGCTCCCGCTACTTCTAACGTTCTAAGCCGTTTAGTAGCCGTAATCTTCGCGTAGTTTTTATCGCCTCTTTTTCCCGTCTACGCTTACGGAAGGGCTTTTAAAAATCCCGTTCTTTATTAGAGTCGGATAGCTCTATAATACGGGAAAGAGTTTCCTCCTATCGTATAATAGTATCGATCCTAGCCCTTTTATTAGGTAGTAGTTTGGATTTCTTCCTTCCTTTTTTTCCCGATGAGACTTTTTTAGGTAGCGCCGGTAAGTCCCGTCCTTTTAAGTCCTTTTTTACGAAGTAGGCTAGGGTTTAGTAATTATTCCTTCCGTATTTCTAGTAAGCCTTCTTATCCTTCTTTTGCTAGTCGATAGCGGCCTAGTTAATCTTAACTAAAGCTTCCTTATTACCTACCTATCGTAAGTCCTTAGCCGGTACGGGTTTTTTACTATCCTTTTCCTTACGTTCGTTTACCGGTTAGCTTAAGCGGGAGCGAGTTTCTTTTACGGGTTACCGCTATTACTAATTCGCTTTCGTATACTCCTTTTACGAAGCGGACCTTCCTTTTCCCGAAATCCCTAGGTTAGCTATTATATTTTCGTAGATTTAACCGGCTTCCTTAATTACTTTAAGGAAGGCTTTATCGCTTTCGGGAATACTACCTAGTCGTAAATAAACTAACTTAGTTATTTCGTTAGGTAAGGTACGGGCGATATAATTTTAAAAGGTAGTTCCGGATCATTAGACGATATCGTTAAGGTCTATAAGCTCGGTAAGGTACTAAGAAATATCTCCTTAATACTTTAGTTCCTATATCTTCTTAGAGTTACGATATCGTTCGGCGGGGTTTTTAAACCGTTTTTAAAGTACTTAGGAATATCCCGCTTACGTATCGACGATTATTAACCTTTCTACTTAGGCTAGCCGTTATTAATATTAGAGCTAGGCCTTTTCGGTAAGTATCGATCCTACTTAGTTAATCTTTTAAACGTCCCGGGTAAAGCTTTCTTTATAAGTTTCGAGGTAGGATTTAACCTTAATTTATTATAGTCGGAACTTAGCTAAGTTTTTATCGTTATAAGCCGTAGGTTTAATAAGGTATACTAGATTAATCGTTACCGTAATACTTCGTTAATTATCCATAGCTTTAGTTTAAGCCCTAATTATACGTTCCTCGGCCGGGTCGAGAGGCTCCTACGGTTCTTTAGAGGCGCCGGGCGGGCGTCGCGGCCTTTACGGGTCCCTAGATTTTAAGTCGTCCGAATCGTCGGAATCCTTTAGGTCTTTTAGGATATTCCGCGGGGTTCGAGGCGGTTACGGTAGTCCTTACCCGGCTCTTCTTAATATAAAAGCGCCGGCCGCGGCGTCTTAGAAACGGGCTCTTACGCGCGCGGCGATATATTTAGCCGCGGCGTTTTAGAATACGCCGTCGGAAATAATTTCCCTTATTCTAGCTTCGTTATTAATATATCTTCCGGTAGACGCTATCGTAATACGGGTACCCGGCGCGGGAGTAAGCGTTCTTATCCTCTAGCTAACTCCCGTAATAATAAACTTAATATCCGTTAGCTTATTACTTAGTCGTCGTTATTAATATTCCTTAATTAGATTAGCCGCGTAAGCCTTAAAGTCGTCTTTAATTAGCTAGGTTTTTTCCTTTATAGCCCCGGGGATAAGGTATTCTTTACTAAGGATCTCGTTAATTTATCTATCCTTTTACGTAGCCTAGGAACTAACGTCCGTTACTAACTTATTATATTCCTTACGTAGTTAGGTTAAGGCTCGTTAGTTTTATAATACGGCGTTTCGAAGTTAATTTATTACGGCTATTCGTACTTTATCCTACCGGGTAAACTTAGCTACGGTTTCCTATACGTTTTAAGCGAAGTAAGTACTTTACTCTACGACTTATTTTTAAAACTCGTAGATCTATATCTTCGTAATTCGGATACCGGTAGTTTATATTACCGTAGCGGTTTAGTAAAGCTATCGTAATTATTCGTATTACTTCTTTAGGATCGTATTTTATCGGTATCCTACGTCGACTTAGTTAACTAGTATTACTAGGCTTTAATATACCTATTTTATTTACTTATGTAAATCTACGATCTACTACGGAGGATTACGTATAACTACTTCTAAGTTCGCGATTTCCGGAGCATTTATTATAACTACCTTATATTCCTAGGGTTAGTATACGACGAGGGATTTATTAGTTAGTTCGGAGGTTAGCTCCGGCTAAAGCGCTAGAGTAATTCGTTCGGCGTCCTTTGCCTTTAATTCCGTTATTACGGCCTTTAGTTCGTTAATCGTAGCTATTATTTAGGCTACCTTCGCTATAAAGATCGGCGTTATTTCCGAAGCGGCTAGTCGCAGGAATAGGAAAGTCTACGGCTCTAGTCCTTTAGTAAAGGATCGAGGTTAATCCGGTAGTAATAGTACCGGGGCGGCGGCTTTAACGTATAACGCCGGCTTAGGCTTTTTTTATTATTAACTTATAATAAAGTTATAAGGGTAAGAATAATATAGAATTATCTATAACAAGGGGATATACTTAAAATAGGTTTAATTTAATTAATAATTCTATAGGGGGTCTTTTAGGTCCTTATCTTCTTCTAAGTTTTACGTTCCTTTCTCGTCCTAATATAACCCGGAAGTACCTCTATACCTTTATACCTTTATACCTTAATACCGTAGCTATCCGAAGCTTATCTAGGACTTTCCTTAGCAGGTCGCCGAGGTAACGGCCTTAATACCCGATATTATCCTCCTAACCTTTATGGCCTGATTTATTGGCGCAGGGTTCCATCCCCGTGTGACAAGAATGGTTTGCGATCACACTGGCAAGAGGGTTGGCAGCATATCCAAGGTTGAAGATCCGCGAGTAGATGTCGCCTAAGCTCGGTTAGCGGATGTTAACAAGGGGAAAAAGATAGGCTCTGGCATACTTCCATGCCTTATTATCCCCTTTTCTGACCAGTCTTTCGCACGCGATGCACGGGAATAGCTGGTTTATGCGTACATGTTTTGGCATTGGTGGGATTCTCACCCCTGCCTCAGTTGTCTTGCGATACGAGACAACGGTGTCGGCGTAGGAGCCTATACTTGTGCCTATACCAGAGTCTCTATGAAATGTTTCCATTTCGCCCTGTAATACTGATTGTTCGATATCCTTGCCCTCTTCTGCAGAGCGTAAGTGTGCAGCTCGGCTACGGCGTAGCCTCTTCCAAGATTTGTAAGTTGCCGTGCCTATATCTTTAGCTAAAGTCGCGTGGCATTTCGGAAACAAAATTTGCACTGTTTCGGCAAGGTGCTGCCTATTAGAGTCCCAAGAGCGAGATGGCGTGGCCACTCTGTGGGAATGATCCAGTACTGCTCTATCTAGCATTGGGCCAAGATCTTGAAGATTGCCAATTCCCGTCAGCAAATCCTCTGCGATCTCGTTGAGGGATTCCCCGTGAGAATAAGTATGAATTTTGTGTGCATCGGTTTCGTTCCCCCAACGGTCATCGGTAGTGTGGATGGTGTAGGCGCCCCCTTCTGCTATCACCAACGCGGCTTGACAGAGTCCCCGGACATGTTTGTCATCCTTCGTGGATGGGTTTGACAAGCAGACTGCCATATTTAGCTGAGAAAGGCTCTCAGTGGAGGGGAGTCTGACCTTGTCGAAGTAGAGCACAGATGTCGATCAATATCTCCACGGTGAGTTCACGAAGCCTTCGTGACTCCGCAAGGAGACGGTCAAGCGTATCGTCTTGGACATTGTAGTCGAGGGCCCAACCCACATAACGAGTATACCCGCACTCAAATCTACGGTACAATGGTTTGGGTAAATCGTCTACGTTTTTCAAAGCTCTCACAAAGGCCTGGAATAAGTCGCGACCGATGTCGTATATTCGAATGATCATATCGTCGTCGCGTTGATTCCCTTCTGCTTCGTGGCCACCATCGACTAATGGCCGCACGCGCCGCTGGTCAGCTTGCCAAGAGGCAAGACTATCCATCTTGGATTGAACTCTTTCTGTCATGGCCGCGGGCGGCGACCTGGCGAGATGATGGATAAGAAACAATAGCAAAGGGTTCGGGAGATGCTATTGGTAGTCAAGGAGAGGCGCAACCTCTACGTGACACCATCGAATATCGACAGCTCGCTGTCCTGTGCTTTCTTCCTTTCCTATTTCCTTCGTCTCTCGATGCAAATAGAGTGTTGAAACGTCTCATTCCACCTTGTTTTACTTTCGTCTAGAAGGAAAGCCGCTCTACCATTGCAATGCCTGGCCGGACTGCGGGGAAGGTTTGGGGAGCTGAACGTTCATTGAAGGTAGGACAGTAACACGGCTGCTAAATTGTTGACACTTGGTCTAAGGTTGACGACTTCTCGGTCCAAGAATTCACCATACGGGCTCAGAGAGTGGCGCAGACCCAGCAAAATTGCACCATCACAGAACTGTTCTTCGCCTAGGCGCACGCCCTTCCACTGGGCTTAGCGGTCGAGACGGAGGATAGCCAAGCCATCACCTACTCAGAACTCGCTAATGCGGCCCGGCTCATCGCTTCTTCGCTCCCGTCACAGGCGATCATTCCGATATGTCTGGAGCGGACACCAGCATTAGCAATAGCTATCCTAGGCGTTCTGACTGCGGGCTCAGCGTACACGCTACTCGATCCGGAAGGGTCGACGGTGCGGAACCAGCCGAGCTCATGGTCGATGACCTCCAGGCACCTTTCGTTTTGACGTCCAAGAAGCACGCGCACCTATTCATACCATTGAGAATATCGACCATCTCTTGAAAGGCCGAAGTAGACTCAACAATGGCCCTAGCCATGTCTGCGGCAGAGACACACCGGTCGAGATTCTTCCCGAATCGCCCGCCTATGTCATACAATCCTCGGGTTCGAGTAGCAAGCCCACTGTTGAAAAATATGTGGTTGTCGCCACCAACGTTGAGGGGAACCGTTCTCTCGTGGCGGCTATCGTGCTGCGTCAAGAGCGAGACTGGTCCGAGGCCGTCCAGGAGCTGCGACGTCTTTGCCTACGCCTTCTACCATCTTACATGATCCCGACTTATTGGCTGCAACTTGGATCGGTTCCACTGAACCAGAACGGGACGGTTGATGAGATGGCGATCAAGGCGCTGATCCAGGAAACTCCAGCTGTGGCTATGCTCGGGCGCCAAAAGGAAACGACGAAGATCCAAGATCCAATAGAAAAGACCATTGCTAGTGTTTGGGCTGATGTCCTTGGCCTCAATCTGTCGGAGACCGGTCGTCAGGACAACTTTTTCGACTTGGGTGGCAGCTCGCTTCAGGCGGTCCAAATGCTCAACAAACTGCGAAGCAACAAGATAAGCTTGACGTTTGACTCTTTCTTTCGCAAAGACAGCGTCGAAGATCTGGGTCAGCAAGCGGATATTATTGAAGACGAGATGATGCCTTTGCCCTTTAGTCTTCTTCAGGATACAGCACTTCGTCAGCAGATGCAGTCCGTGGAAGAGGCCATCGACGCATTCCCAGTAACTGAGTTCCAAGCAAGCGTTCTGATCCCCACCATTCAGGGAAGCACCAAATGCACATAATATCAGCGCGTCTGGGACGTGAGAGGCCTCGATCTCCTGCGCCTTCGCCTTGCGTTCCATATTGCATTCTTAACTAGTCCCAGCATGCTTATCTACGATGATGTTTCTGCACTCTATAACGGCTTATTGCCGACACCGAGACCAGAATTTCAACTATTCGTTCGACATATTGCGCAAAGCAATAGCAAGGAAGCCGATGACTTCTGGCAACAGTACCTCGACGGGGCGTCGCAGTGCACTCTCAACTTCGCCCCGACCTCTGTGAGCCAAAACATAATAACAGCTGTGTTGCCTTTCAGTTTGGAAGAGATGGCAAAGGGCTTGGGCGTTAGCATTAGTTCGGTTGTTTACACGGCCTGGGCTTTGGTGCTAGCGCAGCACATCGGGACTGAGGATGTAGTCTTTGCCACCACCCTTGCAGGGCGGGACATACCAGTCGTCGACGCTGACAAGATTGACGGACCGACTCTAACTATTGTGCCAAGACGCCACATGCTGAACCGCCAGAGCACCCTCCGCCAGGCTACTGAGGAAGCCCACAGACAGTCCGGAAGCATCATGTCACACTCCCAGCATGGAATGCGTCGTAGCCTCAAGGCGGCGTCTCAACCCCTCGATATCTTCGATACCATGATCAACATTCTCCCGACCCGTGACGCACAAGCTGAGACTACACACGTTTTCAAGGCTGCCGGAGAATCTGTGACATGGGAGAGCGAGATGACCACGTTGGAACTACGTCAAGTAGATGGACAAGTCAAGATTCGATTCAACACTACTATGGAACGCCAGCGGGCCGAGTTCATCGTTAGCCAATTCGCTGTTGCCTTGCAGACCATCTTCCATGAGCCAGAACGGCCCATCTCAACCTTGAACTTCATCACACCAGCCGAGCTTGCCATGCTCCAAGAACCGGTTGAAATGCCTACCGACCTGCCTCCAAACATGCTCACGAACTTCGACAAGATGGTTGAGCGATATCCCCACCGCATAGCACTTCAACGGCAAAGTCTTGAGTCCTACAGCTATGACAGGTTGAACCGGGTCTCAAATCAGATGGCCCGCCTCTTAAGACAGTATGGCGTTGCACCTGGCGATTGCGTTACGGTATTGCTCGAGAAGTCTACCATGATGCTCATCTCCATTCTTGGAATCCTCAAGGCAGGGGCTACTTATGTTCCACTCAGCCCGGACAACCCAGCTGACCGAAACTTGTTCATCATCAACGAGGCTCAAGCGCGGCTTACTGTCACCGAGCAAGACGTTGAGCAGCACACGGTCGTAGGCAGAACGCTGCTCGTCGAAGATGTGGACTTGACTCAGTACTCGGAGGCGGCTATAGGCATTAACATCCCCAGCAAGAGAATAGCCTACATAATATACACCTCGGGCTCAACAGGACTTCCTAAGGGTGTGCAGATGTCGTACGGTGCGGCTGCCGCCGGGATCCAGAGTATGATGGCGTATGAAGGTCGAATTCTGGGCTCCTGGCGTGCGCTGCAATCCTCAAACTGCATCTTCGATGCCAGTGTTCTTGATATCTTCAACACGCTCAACTCAGGCAGCACGCTCTGCATGGCGCCAAAAGACCGACTCCTTTCAGACCTCGCGGGTGTCATGAACGAGATGCTTGTGACCCAGGCCTTTCTAACCCCCACCGTCGCGCGACTCTTGCGTCCCGAGGACGTGCCGTCCCTTCGACACATCAGTGTCGGGGGTGAGGCCGTCACCAACGACATCTTGGAAATATGGGGCAAGGATGTCCGCCTAGTCGAGTGTTTCGGACCGACCGAGACGGCCATGATGGTAACCATGCGCGACATGGCATCTGATCCGAACCCGCGCAACCTAGGGCGTCTCTTCCCGACAACTCGCGCCTTCATCTTGCAGAGGGATGGCGAGGAGCTCGTTCCTTACGGTGCCATCGGCGAGCTTTGCTTGGCTGGACCCCAACTCGGCGAGGGCTACCTCAATAGGCCAGAAGTCACAGCCGCTGCGTTTGTGGACATCAACCTAGGCGGATTCTCTAAGATATACCGCACTGGTGATCTGGTCCGGTGGATGCCCGATGGAGAGCTCGAAATCATCGGGCGAAAAGATCATCAGGTAAAGATAAATGGCCACCGCATCGAGTTATCCGAGGTTGAAGAGCAGATAATGGCAACGGGGCTCCCAAAACAATGCACTGTTGTTGTGGCTGACTTGGAGGGCAAGCCCCAGCTTGCTGCATTTGTATCCTTTGACCACTCGAGCGACACCAAAGGCATCCAACAGCCGGAACAGTATGTGGCTGTTGTTTCCGAACTCAGAAGCAGGCTTAGTGGCCTTGCCCACTACATGTATCCCAAGGTTCTGTTTCCTTTGCTTACGATGCCCCTGACGCCCTCGGGCAAATCTGACAGGAAGCGTTTGGTGTCTTTGATTAGCGAACTCGGCAGCGAGGAGCTAGTTAAGTATAACTTCCAAGCGTTTGGTGGCACCACAACTACCGTAGCAACTTTCTCATCGGCCGAGAAGTTCCTCGAGTCAGCCTTCCACCACGTCTTAGGAGTTGACTATAAGCTTCTCGGCCGCAATGCAAACTTCCTCTCCGTCGGTGGTGACCCCATCACTGCCATCAACCTCTCAGCGTACGCCCGAAAACACAAGAAATCAATTTCAGTCAGCGCCATTCTGAAGAACCCGAGGCTGTGTGACATGGCGGAGCATCTCATCTCGACGGCTGAGAGTCAAAAGATAGTGGAGGGAGTTGTTGCAACGCGGGGCGTGTCTAAGCACCCTGTCGTACTCGAGGATATGAAGAGAGTTGGGTTGAGTGAGGACAATGTCGAAGATATCTACGTATGTCCTCCCGGCCAAGCCGAGTTCTTGAGCCGAGGCAGCGATGTGTCCCAAGGTTGGGTTCTCATGACAGTCCGACCGCTACCGTCCCCGCATGATTTGCAGGCCCGGGTGTCTGCGGTGGAGCGTCTGACAGAGGTTGACGACATTCTCCGGACCACTTTCACCCGTCAGGGCAGCACCTGGTACGGCGCCGTGCTCAAGAACAGCAAGATCACGATGGATTTGATCCGCGTCGCGTCCGACGAAGAGAGACAGAAGGCAATTGACGCCACCTACGCTTCGCGCTTTCGCTTCGGCGAGCCCTTTATCCGCTATGCCGCCATCCACAATTCGTCAACGGGTCGAGTCGAAATAGTCACCAAGATGGATCATGGACTCTATGATGGGACGCTTCTGCGCGTGCTTGCCGCACCCTTCAAGGCCATCCATAACGGAACTTCACTACCGCGACTGTCCCAGTTCCGAGACTATGCACACTACCTACATGGCCGGCCTGGATCGTCGGAAGCGCAATGATGCCCTAGCCTACTCCACGGATGCAGAAAGATTCCCAAATGCGGCTGTCCGTTACCCGAACATCGACGGCGAGCCGGCAGCCACGCGTTCGGTAGTCGTGCCAGGCCGCGTCGACGGCCTCAACGCCCTGGCCCGAGATGCAAACGTCACGGTTGCCATACTCTTCCAGGCAGGCTTCCAGGCGTGGTTGGCGCGCCAGACGGGCCGGCGGGCCGTGCACTTCGATTATCTCCAGACCGGTCGGAACATGTGAGCAGGTCCAGCCGAGTTGGACGTACAGCAGATCAACGGCTGCACAGCAAACTTCCTTCCCTTACACGCAGACGTAAAGGGTTCCATTGGTGCTTATCTCCAGCGCACACAGAGCGATTTCTGGGAGATGGCGGAGCACGATGTCGTAGGGCTTGACGATATTTACAAGTTGGCAGGCGTTGATCGCGCGCGCTACGGAAACAAGGCGCTCTTTCTTTTCCAGCCGTTCGAGCCGGTACCGGAGCCTACGGCGGTTGGCGGGGGAGACGGGGAGGCCGGTGACATGCGATGGGTGGTAATGGCAGGCTCCGAGGTCACGATGGTGCAGCCGTACGGCTTGGTGGTTGAGGTGCACAGACTGCAGATGACGGACGGGTACAAGATCAAGGTAACATATGATGAGAAGTTCATTTCAGAAACTGGAGCGAAGGAGTGCGGCGCGGGTATTTGGGACGTAGTTACGGGCATTAAGGAATTCGGCGTTGACGGCGATATTGAATTGTGTATTTGATATCATGACTGGATAGGTATATCTGCCCTTTGTTAGACAATTAGCTTAGTTTTTGCATTGATTTATAATTCTACGGCATGTGCTTTTTTCTGATGATCGAACGATGATTGTTCACTGACATTAAAAGACAATCACCAGCGATTCTCCAACTGCCTATCTTGTAGACTTGACTTCCCAAAAGCGCAGGGTTAATTTTCGAGTGGGTGCTCAGTGATTACGTCCATAGCGAAGTTCGTATCTCTTTGGATTTTACTAAAGGCTGCGTTGGGCATGTTAGTCTTGTTACTAATATGCCTTATCATGTATGTCTCGTCCTAAAGCATGCCTAATTACTTCGTCAGGGAGATATAAGTTTTAATAATAGATACGTGAGCAGAATCCAACCACCGTTACCTGCGTCCGAAATTGTCTTCATTATCGAAATCATGGCCTGCAAGAGAAAAAAAAGTGTTCTCTTTCACTACTAACTAATAGTTGAATGATAGGTAAGAGGATTAGAATCCTTCACAAGTAATAATGTAACGAGATGGGGTGGAAGCCTACCGCACCCTGCACCTGTAGTACCTTATAAGAATCATTTTCGATAGCATTTTTAAGAGACGCAAAGGAGCTCAGTCTAAATCGAACCCACGGCAATTCTATTAATCGAGTGTTCTTGATGAATAAGGGCTACCTTTTGGCAAGGGTGCCCTCCAGACAATGACTGAGCAACAACCCGGAATATTGCTAGAATCAGTAATCTAGACGACGAAAGGAACTGCCGAGACATACGAGAACCAATCAGTACCTGAATCAGGCTCTGTCAGCTATCACCGTGACTAGATAGAGGTGGCTGCCCGCGAACACTTCAGACGGCGTTTCTCAGGGTTGAATCCAGTCAGTAGGATCACGATCAGATAATTGAGGCCATGTGATCGCACGACCTTCTAAAGCCGCAAACAGCGAATCAACAGACAAGAGCCAGCCTAGTATGGCAGAGTTCATATTATAGACCAATATCCAGGTTTTCGTTAGTATTTCTAGAACGAGTGGAATTTCGTTGCCGCACGTGGAAGGGCCCCCAGAAAACTGCCAGGTTGTATGTCCTGATAGATATATAATCGGGAGCACGGCGACATACACATGACCCTAGCTATGAAAACGTACGAACTGGGTCTGAGTTCTATTTCACCCCCTGGCACGTTTTCCCGGCCTAAAATTAGCTGCCATCACGCGCTTTTATCAAGGATATTACGGTCTCGTTAAGAACGGCCATTACATATTCCAAATAGCTAAACTACATAAGATATATGGTATTAAATCCTCCTTCATCAATGACATAACGGCATTCTCCATGACGCCATTATGCTGACAATACTTCGTCTCACAATAGGTCCAATCTTGCGTATCAGTCCGTACGAGCTTCATGTCAATGATCCGGAATTCTACGACGTCTCATATCGCCAAGATGGACGTTGGGACAAGTATGCCTGGGTTGTAGATGCAACGTAAGTGGCTCGAGCATAAAGTGAGTTTGTCTCGGCATATAGTGAGTCCCCTGCAGATGCCAACAGTTGACATTGGCCAGTTCTGGTAGCTGACGCGCTACGGTGCTATATAGTGTCGCCTGGGCACGACTATATTTCACGCTCGCTACATTGGTCCAGAAGTTCGACTTTCAGTTCATCGGCGCTAATGCCGAGGGTTTTCATGCCAGATATGACCATTCCATTATAGGAACAAAGGGTAGAGGTACGCTTATGACTACCGTTTCCTATCATCGACAATACCCGAATGCTATGAGCGGAGTAAACTGCTCGAGGAGTTGACGGCGGAGGGCCAACGAGGATAAAGATAAAACGGATCAGTGGAGGAATCAATTGAGATTTGTCTCTCGTAATCTGTCTATACACTACAAACAAAGCTACGCCATTGGATGTGCCTAGTCACTTTCATTGTTCGAGTAACAAGCTTCTGTCCTAGTCCAGGTCCACAAGCGACGCTGCTGTAGAATCATAGCATCTTCCGTCTAATTTCTAAGCAAGTACTCCCAAAGAATAATATTGTGTTAAACATTCATGTTTAGTCCATGGTCTATTCAGAAAGACCAACTGACGTAGCCCGTGGCCTGAAGCAGTGTGCAGCCAGTCGGCCAATGCAGACAAATAGAAGAACGATCAAAAGAATCGCAGGATGTTCGTCACGTGGTAGATCACGCACAATGGTAAGATGCTAAGTGTTGGGAGAGTTTATCTTCCAATCGTTTTTCTGTAATTACGGTCAATATCTATTGAGGAGCTTGAGGAAAAAGCGAGAGGCTGAAAGTTGGATACAATGAGAGCGACATCCCCACAGGCGAAGCCAATTGATATTAATCCATAGCTGTCCGAAATAAGCCGACTACCCTCCCTCTATCCCCCCCAGGTAACTTTGGTGACCAAAATATACCGGATCTATAAGGCACACGGACCATGACAACCGGGTTTAAGAGTTTATATGATTACAGAATGTACCAGAGTCTTTAGGACTCGCTATCATGGCTGGAGATTTAGGGTTTCTACATCACGACGTCGTCGGTTTCCATAGTTCCATGCCGAATACTGCTGGAGTTTCCTACTACAAACTTCAAAATAGAAACTACCAATTTAATTATTTGGTGGCTACCATCGTTTACTATCTCCGCTCCTCTGGGCAACTCCTTCCGAGATGGCTACGTGACAGCGGCAGAAGTGAAGTCTTACCAGAAAATCCACAGACTACAGTACATGATTCCGGAGTTACACCTATCGGGTGACAACGCGGAATGGGCTTATCCCATAGAGGATTACTCTCCATATCTATGTAGAGGTTGGGATACTGGTCGTAAGAGTGGGTCGACGAAACTTACTCATAGTTTCTCGCTATAACACTTATTCGTGGCTGGATGAGTGACGACCAACCCCAATACGAACTAAGACTTACCACAGATAGAGCGACAGGAAGTTTCCGTGAGTTACGATTTGCATTCTTACACGGATTTGAGACAATGCCAAAGGACGTAGATTATAGTTGTCCTGTTGAACTACTGCATAGTATATGCGAAGACACTCAGACATCGTTGATACCCCGATCATGGTAACATCACGCGGTACCAGATGACCAGATATGGTCAGCAATAATTTCGTCCGTAGAAGATAGGAAATATTAAGCGTGATGGCCGAATATCAACGGCCGACCTAGTTCATCAACGAACACGCCACCCTCGAAAGCCTTTTACGTGTAGTGTACTGTCTGTATTTTGAACCACGAGTTAGAGAAAACTAATTATCGGTGAACTTACTACTTATATATAAGAGGCTATCTCATATTATCTCATATTTAAATTCTGTCACGTAGCTAGCACTACATGCGCGAGAGCGCGCGTGAGGAGCTATCTCACGAGCAGCGAGTAACGGAAGGAGGAACAAAAGGAAGGAAAAGATATTATTCTATCTAAAAACTAGCTAAAGGAATAGAAGCAACGGGAGCGTATATATAAGAGCCCCTATTACTAAGGTAAGCAACGAAGAGGAGCAACCTAAGGAGCTACCTCTACGTAACACACCCCCCAGTCGACGACGTACACGAACGGCGTTAACTACTCTCTCACGTAAGGCAAGGAGAGCTATATACGGCGCGGAAACGAAAACGAGCCATCTACTATACATAGGGAAGCTACCTCGAAAACCAAACCAAATAACAAAAGAAAAGCTCGTTCAAAAGCTATTAGCCCCCTCACGGCGGGAAGCTCTTCCAGGCAGGTCGCTTTCGTATATATGCGATCCCGGGGTTGATAAGCGCCGGGCAGGTCGCTTCTCTTGCGAGCCCGGCAATTTCGTCGTCCGTTGCTCTCCGAAGAATTAAACTTCTCTCTCGGTAAATCCACCTCTGCTAAAGCCTAACCAAAACGCCACCCAACGGCGTAATATCAAAGGAGCAAAAGGGATATAGTTACTAAGCTCGGCAGCTCCCGGGTAGTAGCTCTCTCGCTATGCGACCTACTAGTAGAGCTAACGTAACCATCCGACGAGGCCCCCTTCTTAGAGGAGCGCGGGACGGGGGGTCCCCCGGAAAGAGCTCTCGGGGGTACTACTAATAGCTCTAAACGGCGTAAGAGCATCCGTATAGCAACAAAAGGGCCCTCTCTTCCGCTCGTTTCCTAAGGGCGAGCTATCGTAGTAACTCGCCGCCGCTTGCTTCCTAGGAACGAGATCGAGGGATTACAGGAAAGAGTAAGGGTTATCGGGGAGCCCTCCTACCGTACCTTACTACCCGATCAAGTCGAGCTCTAAAGTAACCTACAAGAAGGCGAAGGAAAGCTCTCCTACCGTACCTTACTAGCCGTATACCAAACGGCTCAGGTATAACCGGCAAGAGAGCGAGAAAACCCCAGGAGTAACTCCCCCCGAGGGTATAACGGTCGACTACCCGGGAACAACCAATAAAACTCCCGGGGACCTATAAACCTACGATCGAAGAACTAATCTGGTATCTCTAAAAGTAGGACTAAAACCCCGGGGGTAACTCCTTCCGGGAATAGTCGATCTACGATCGGGGTTAATCGAACCCTTTTCGAAAGCTACTATCGACCCGTAAACGCCGTTAATTAAACCGGCCGATTTACGTAAATCCTCGATAACCGGAGCTCCGGTACTAAGCAGCTTTCGTCGAGGTTCGGGCCGAGCTCGAGCTCGGCTAAAGGAAGAGAAGCTACGGTAGTTACTCGTAGCGCTCTATAAAACGGCGTTCTATCAGAAAGGTATACGCTCCTAGCATACGCCTTCTACCGCGAGTAGCTTAACTAAGAGCTCGCGGCGTTAATCAACGCCCTAGCTCCCTTCCTTTCCTCACCCCCTCGGGCTACTCTCTATCGCGGAGGGAGGAGCCAGAAAAAACAGGAAGGCCAAAAATACTTTTAGGGAGCCAGGGCTTTTACCGTACAGCAGGAAACTACCACGGCTACGAAGAGAGCAAGAGCCGTTGCTCCTTAGAGCTCTCTTAGGACCGATTCCCGATTAACTAGCTCTCTCCTCGACGAGCTATCTCTACCTGAATCTCCGTTCTCTGACTTCGGATCGACCCCCTTTAAAATAGAACGAGCCAAGGCCCGTGGCTAGAACTAGTTGAGGTCCGTTACTATTAATCGGGAGCGATACCGAAACGGGGTTACTTATTAAAGCCTATTACTTACTAAAGCGATTAATACCCCGCTCGCCGAAACGCGAAGCAGTCGGAGAAAAGGAGAAGCCCAAGGGATTTCCTGGCTGCCTCCCGCCGCTTACCTTACTACCCGATTAAGTCGAGCTTTAAGGCGAGCGACGAGGGAAAGTATCGAACGCTAGGAAAGTCGAAGAAATAAAGCTCGGAAAAATAAAGTTCGAAGAGCTCTAAACGTTCGCGCGCGCCCTGCGGCTCCAAGAGGTCCTTAAAGCGCTAACCGGGCTCATAACTATCACGTAGCTAGCACTACGTACGCGAGAGCGCGCGCGAGAAGCTATCTCACGAGCGGCGAGTAACGGGAAGAGGAGCAAAAGGAAGGAAAAGGTCTTGTTCTATCTAAGAACTAGCTAAAGGAATGGAAGCAACGGAAGCGTATATATAGGAGCTCCTGTTGCTGAGGTAAGCAACGAAGAGGAGCAACCTAAGGAGCCACCTCTACGTGACAAATTCATATGTCGCTTCAAAATAGCGTACGTACAACGACCACTCTTCATTGACATCCTCGCTCCAGATAGACCAGTTAAATTCTTGATTCATATAGTCATTTCAGAGAATGTGAACGAGAGGAATGCTAGTTGTCCCGTGGCATGCATCAGGGCCAACATCTGGCAATTGTCTGCTGTGCGTATCACTCGACAGGAGCGGATAGCTCGATAGCCGGGAGCCACCCTGAGAAGATTTTTTCCATCTCGCGAAATCCAGCCGTCATTGACATAGACTGTCGGATCCGATGGGATCTGGTGGGGTGCTATGTCTAGAGCGTCGATAGCTAAGACGTATTTTGAATATGAACCGTCGATTTCAAGATGTTGACCATCGTTTGAGAATGATATATGGGGCACATATTGATTAAGGCTCCCCGTTCCCAAATGCGCAGGTTCATTCACATCCCACAGCTGGATCAACCTGCCAGAAACCGCTACAAGTTTGGCGTCGTCTGGTGAGAAAGCCATGGCTGAGACGTAACCAATATGGCCTTCAAATATTGCCAAACAATCGCCCGTTTCAATATTCCATATCCGAACCCTCTCATCCCGCGAAGCCGATGCAATCGTGGTGCCACCCGACGAGAAAACGACATCTGTAATATCCTTGGAATGGCCGTCGAGTATTCTTTGACAATCTCCCGTCGTCACTTTCCAGAGGCGAACTGTTTGATCAGCGGAGGCCGACGCGATTGTTTGCCCATCCGGCGAGAAAGCGACAGCCTGAACGTAATCGGTATGGCCCTCAAGTATACACATACAGCTGCCTGATTCGACGATCCAGGTCTGAACTTTACACTCCCAGCACGTTGAAGCAAGCGTTGCGCCGTCCGGAGAGAAAGCCATAGCTGTAATGTATTCCCGATTATGAAGGACCCGCAGAGAGTTACCCGTTTTCGTGTCCCAGAGCTGGATTTCCTCGTTGGCAAAGGCTACTGCAAGCATCTTGAAGCCCGGCGAGAAAGCAGAAGCTGAGATATCACGACTATGACCTTCCAGTGGCTGACGACTGTTCATTTCAACATCCCACATGCGGATTGTCGAGTCACCAGAAGCCGATGCGAGCTTTGTCCCATCCGGTGAAAAGGCAATGGCATTAACCCAATTGGTATGGTTTTTGAATGTTTGCTGATTGTTTGATTCTATATGATACAGCCAGACACTGTCTTCGAAAGTAGATGCGAGCTTTCTACCATCTGGCGAGAAAGTGATATGCTGAAGCCAGAAGCTGATATTGACTTGCCGATGATCACCGGAGTCTATATCCCAGAATTGAATGGTTTTTTCTTCGAATGCCAGAGCAAGCGTTGCATTATCAGGTGAGAATGCAATAGCTGAAGCACAATTGTCGTTGCATTCGAACACCAACTGCTCGCCTGTTTCTATGTTCCAACACTGAATAGCCCGGGCCGACGATTGGGGATTTTCAGAAACCGCCGCAAGCAACGTGTTATCCTGTGAGAAAGTAACGTGGTGAAAATTACTGCCGAAACACTTGAATTTGTGCCGAGAACATTTGCTTTCCGTTTCTAACAGCCGGATTGTGCCGTCCTTAAAGGATGATGGAAGTAGAGTGCCATGTGGCGACAAATCAAATATCCCAGTGTTCTGGGTGTCGCCTGCAAAACTGTCTCGGAATCCCCAGTGCTTGCCCTCTTTTATATCCCAAAACCTAACTACATGGTCTGGAGAAGCCGCCACAAGCGTCGTATTGTTGGGGAATGCGATGGTCGTCACGCCACGGTAGGTCCCAAGTGTTCTTATGTGAGCGCCCGACTCCGCGTCCCAGAGTCGGATAGTATGCTCGTGGAGACCTGGAGGGAGCGGCGAGAACCAAGAAGCTGAGGCGAGCGTCTTTCCATCTGGTGAAAAAGCAATGGCCCTGACGTCCTGATTATGACACTCGAACGTCTGGAGACACGGGTCCCAGGTGTTTCCGATTCCCAGTACATCTTTAACAAACCGATGTCGGTCTTTCCAAAAATATCTTCTTGTGTCCGTCTCAGTCGGACAAAATACAAGTGCGGCGCCGTAGATTTGTAGGGGAGCATTTTCGATGATAGAACGGTAGTTGAGAGCAAACCTCTCAGCGTCTCTCAGGAACCGAGTCAGCTCCATACTTATATCCGGCTGCCCCTGGTAGCGGTTAGTATTCATGAAGCAACACAAGATTTGATAGAGATACCTGGACAATCCGGAGAAGCCTTCTGATTGACAGTAGTCCATCTGTGAACCTGCCTAATAGGGACAAACATTCCAACCAGTGAAGGAAATGTTGCTGAAGAAAGGCCTCGACATCTTTCAATAGATCTAGTCGTAATGATACTTCCGCATTCTTATTTTCACCCACACTACTCTCCAGGTGATACGACCAATGAACACATGCATATACAAGGTCAGCAGGAAATCTGCTGGCTGCGACAGTTTGATCTATGTCATTCACCAATATCCCGGGTTTTTGAAGACCACACATGTCCTTCCGGAGTCCGTCGTCTTTGTGCCTCAAGCGATTGAGACACCTTGACGCGAGATCGGCATGTGCTTCTAATGCATCAATCTGGAAAGAATCCGATCCGGTACCTTCTTGGCCGAGGAGGAAGTCACTGAATGACTTGTGCGGTGGGGGTATCGCAATGCTTTGGTCACTAGGAATATTTAGCACCGAACGGAGTTGTCGGAGCCAGCGGTTCAGGCCGGTTTGAGATATGCCGAGAAGAGTAGCTAGGCATCGAACCGGTAGCGGGGTGACAATGAGAATTATTGCTCCCAGAACTCCACGCAGTTCCGACTTCTCTGAGTCACTGAGAGGCTTGGGTTTCTCGCGTTGATCGTGGCTGCCGAAGAAGATATTATGAAGGATGGGGTTATAGATCTGATCAAGTTGTGGAGTGTTGGCGTCACTTTGTTCTAGCCAAAGTTCCAGTCTCTCCACCGGATCTTTCAATCCCTCTTCATCGTCAATAAAACGACAAACCGTTGATGCGTATATAAATAATGGCCACGGAGTCGTTGCCAAGGAGACCAGACGCTCTAAGTCTTTTGACATTGGCCAAGGGTCTTCGATCTCCAGCCGAAGCTTGATGTCCTCAAACTGCTTGCTCAGGAATGTAGATATGTCTTCCTTCGTTTCGCCTACGAAGTCCTCATTCAATGCTAATTTGGTGTATTTCGCAGTGTCAAGGCCATTGAAAGCACTAGTAATAGCACCAGTAGGCCTACTCGTCAGAAATATACGTATTCGCGGCAAAACAACCTCCTGAAACCGAGATAGCTGCTTGCAAATCAATTGGACATCCCGGGCGTTATCGCATTCGTCTAGGCCATCAATGACAATAACTTTCGCCGGACTATCTGGTGAATCACGGTCAATTTCAGAAAGTGGCGTCAAAAAAAGAATTTCGAATTGTTCGTCCAAGGCCCTATCTTCGATCTTGTCATCGCCTAGGCTTTCGAGAGACAAATGGAGATGTGTCTGGAAGCCTGGACTAAGTTTCGTCATTTGATTAGCAATTGTTGGGAATACGAAAGCCGAACCATTGCGATCTTTCTCTCCTCGTTTGAAAAAGTAGCTAGCGAACAGGCGACGATGATTATATTTCCAGTCATGCGCCAGGGTACGACTGATTGTCGATTTGCCAGTACCAGCAGGACCCTGAAGCCAGAAGATGGTCTTGCTGAGTGGGTCATTTGCCCATGAATTGATGTATTTCAAGATGCTAGCCCTTGTTCCCGATTGGCACAGTGGAATATGTTGATCTGCGCTACTGCCGTACACGGCGCTGGAGACAGTCGGCAGTCGAATGGCATTGACCGACTTGGCGATGAGTGCACTAAAGAAAACGTTAGTTAGGACGGAGAGAAGTTATCTGTGGAAGCATACTTTGTACGCCTCTGCTCCTGTAGTTGCGCTGATCCGATATCTCGATGCTCTTCTGTAACTCGGAGTTGCTTCGTTGCCAGTGACAATAATCCCTGAGTAGACTCCAGAGACTGTCTTGCGTCATCCTTGAGATCCTCCACCATTGCTCTCAAAGCTGCGTCATTGATTTTATGGAAGTCGCCATCAACAACGTTTTCGAGGCGATGGACCTCGGATAACATGCCCTCCCAATCTTCATATCGGACAAGATCTTTGCCAAGTCTGTTGAGACGCCTTTCATAGAAGCGCAAAACGCTTTGCAGTTGAAATTCGAGAATCTTTTGGTAGAGGTCTCTAACATGGATTTCAAATTCGACTCTGAGGCCCTTGGGAATAGTGGAACTTCGACTCTGATCTCTAGGTAATAACAGAGGCTCGAGGGCGATGTAGAAGCGCATGCGAGAGGTAACATAAATGAGGCCGTCTCTGTTGGCTTGTTCTGCTGCATTGGGGTTGGTAAGGAGGGGGAGGACGAGACAGACGCTGGCCCACACTATTGAGGCTTCCACGGAGGCCTTGACAGCCTCATCCACAACGCTCTTTATCTTCAGCACGAACGTCGTAACCTGTGCCATCTGGTCCCGTACGACAAATTCGTTGCCAGCCACGGTATATGTGAGCAGATGTTTACGCATGCGATCAAGGCCGTTTTTCGTTATCATGTCGAGTTGTGCTTGTCGTTGCTTTGGATTCATATCTTTAAAATAACTGCTTTCTGCTGGGTCTGTTATGAAAGGTGTTATTCGGTGGCTATGGGATGTATTCACGTTGAACAACGGACTTGACTTCAGCTCTGCCTCAAGCAGTTTCTCGTACTTGTTGACCGTCTGTGGTTCCTTCGCTCTGAGCTCGTCATACGCACGGTCCCAGAGGGATTGCACCTCTTTTTCTTGGCCATGCTCCTGCAAATCGTGTCGGGGAACAGTACCATACTGGCTGTCTTCTCTCGCTTCGGCTGTTACCCGCTCTTGGCTGGCAGGACTATTCTCCTGCCCAGACGAGCCTGGCCCTGTCGCTGCCGAGGATGAGTCTGCCGCAGCGAGCGGGGTTTGCTGATTGACATCGCTGATTTGGGCTTGGCCCTGGGCCTGCGTGGCGGCCAGGTTCGATCTGCCATGATGCGGCCAGACCCTCCGCAGCCTGTCTCTGATGGGCATCATTCTGGTTGAGGGCGCCGGGTCAGAGGATAAGAAATTCCAATTTCTGCTGAGGGACACGACCTTCGTCCTCAGCCCGGGGTTTGTGTTTAGGCGGCTCGTATAGCTACATTTGGGAAAAACCCTCGTTTCGGGGTAGGATTCTCCGCTTTTAATATCTAGACTTACTGTGGGCGCGCAAGCACGTAATCGGTCACGTGCAGCCATGGGGTAAGCCCTGCCCTAGTAGCAGCCAGGGTTACAAAAAAAAGTTTAAGTTTTTTAAGTTAAGTTAAGTTTAAGTTAAGTTTTTTAAGTTAAGTTAAGTTTAAGTTAAGTTTTTTTCAGCTTAAGTTAAGTTAAGTTTTTTTCTACTTAAGTTAAGTTAAGTTAAGTTTTTTTTAGTTTAAGTTAAGTTAAGTTTAAGTTTAAGTTTTTTTAAGTTTTTTAAGTTTTTTTATGCTAGAAATATGCACGAATTTTATGATTTTTATACATTTTATACCTTTATACTTTTATATATTTCGAGAAAAAAAATTAATTTTATTATTATTATTAATTAAATAAAAATCCTTTCTTAAAACTTATTTATCTTTAATATTAGGTTTTATTAATAGATCTTTAATTATTATAGTGGTGCGGTAAGACATACCCTCTTGATGCATTACGTAACACGCTACGATAGGCCTTATGCCTATATAGAGTAACCATAGCTCCCGTAAATGCGGGACATGCCATGCTAATCATTTAGTTCATTACCTAGCTAGATTATTATCTTTACCATTTTTACCTTAATTAAAGATTCGTTTTTGCTATTAGATTCGTCGTTCTCCGATTAGTGCATCTATTTTAATTACAGGCGCTTAAGTTACTTCGTCGTACCGCTATAGCCGAATAAGTGACTTTTGCGTTTTACCTATTGGTAGGTACGTACGTAAAGCAAAGTAAATAATAGGTAGGTAGGAAATAATAGGGGTAAGACTGGTTATATTAAGATATCTGATCTAGGAGCTATCTATCTAAGAGTAGGACGGGGAAGCCGTCCCTTATATGCCACGCAAGTACGGAAGTACTTACGCTACCTTTAATTAATAAATAAACCATTACTTACTCTGTTTTTTTTCTTTTCGCAATTAGCGACTAGTAATTATAAACTACCGTCCCTAATTACGAACCATTACTCCCGCTTTACCCATCCTTCTAACCTTAAATCGACGTAATTCTCCTCTACTAAAGTTCTTATGGCTTTATTCGGCGAGGCCTTTATTATTACGTTAGCTAGGTTATAGCTTCCGTGGATCCATTTGATATCGTTAATTTCCCGATTCTCATATAACTATCTTAAGGCTATTAGGTTAATTATTAGGCGCTTCTTATTGGTATTACCTATCTATACCAAGTATTAGTATAGCGATAATGAGTTAGTATATAATATTAAGGGCGCCCGAGGTAATGCTAAACGCTTTAAGATAGTATTAATTATATAGTAGATAACGTAGCCGACGTCGTATCCTTAAATCATCCCATAGATCTTACTAGCGAGTATACTCCGGGTAACTCTCTTATACTTGGTCGAAGATTAATGGACTATATTACCGACGATCCGTAGCTCGTTATCCTTAGCGGTAGGAGTAGGTTTCTTAATTCCGAGTATTATAAGGTAACCGATCTAGGAGCTTATGTCGGTATTATTAACGAAGGAGCCGTCTACGAAGATATATAGGCGGAGGTTCTTAGGGTCGAGGGCGATATAGTTAAGGCCTCGGTCTTTATTAATTATTTACTAATTAATTCTCGTGTTAAGAGCCTTCGCTTCCTTAGCCCCGGGGTTAACGTATTAAGCGGCCGTGGAATAATCGAAGGCTACTTTAAGTTAGTAGATTAAGGAGATATATGCTCTTCTTACGCGTTATTCTACGAACCTTTTAGCTATATTAATTACCTTCGGATCTAATGGCTTTAGTTTCTCGACTTACCCTTTTTAGGTTACGGAGACTCCCTCGGCGTAGACTATAATACATAATCCATTAAAATCCTTAGTTATCCCGGGTTTAAATATCTTCTAGGGCTTCGCTTTAATTCCTACTTTTACTAACGCCTTATTTTCTTATTCGAGGAATTCCTTTATACCGATATTTAGGGTATTATCTATCTAAAGGCCTATAACTTTAAACGGTTAGTTGGTATTCGTAATTAATAAGTACGGGTCGAATACCGACGGTTCCATTTTTAATTCCCGTTAGTGGTACTTCGAGTAGGTTTCGAACTAATACGTGCCTGCTTCCGCGAGTCTATATAGCGGTTTAATAATACGTAATAGCGTTTCCTCGGGGTATTTATTTTTTAGTTCGGATAATAAGCGTACGAAGATTATTCGTTACATTAGGGTCTTTAATTACGTATACGCCATTATAATATCCCGGATTATTATTTTTATACCGTACTGTTATTATTAAAGTATTAAAGCTAATATTAGTATTAGGCGTTAACTTATCTTCTATATAATAAGCGCGTACGTTATTATAGACTCTTTCTCGCGGTTTCTATAACCTTAAACCATTAATCGGGACTTCTCGTACGGCGTTAGGATATTCTTGCCTTTAATCTTACGAATTATTCGTAACTTAAAAATAATAGCTCCTTAATAAACTACGTAGTCGTATATCTCGGGTTAAAGGATGCCTTCGTCGAAGAGCGCGTTTAGTTCCTTTAAGTTAGATGCCTTATACGGTTAACTAGGAGCGATAATCTTTCCCGTGGCTCGTAATCTTAGTACTAGGACGTAGTCGTCCTTCTCCTTTATGCTTAAGTAGGATACGTCGGGGGAGGGTCCGTTAAGATCTTCTTCGGGGATGATCTCGTAATCCTTCGGATTAAAGCCCGGCTTCGGTAATTCGATCTTTAGATCCTTCGGGGTCCGTTACCCATCTATAGGCTGAATATACGGTTTAACGTAAAAGCTTCTAAAGGTCGACGTCCCCGCTAACGCGTTTAAGGTAATAATTACGTCCTTATTTATAACGGCAATAACCTTATACGGCCCTTTCTATCCTTCTTTTTCGCGGAAGACTAGGACCTTACTACCTAGTAGTAGAAGGGCTAGTAATATCCTTAATATATTTAGTTTATTACGTATATTAAGGGCATCCCGTATAAACCTCTATACCTTTATCTTCTTAACCTTTACCATCGCCTTTTAAACTACTTAGGCTCTTTACGTCTATAACGGGGTAAGTAATAAATCCATATTAATCTTCGGATACGCTCTAAAGATAAGTAGCGTAGGGATTAATCCGTCTGGATTTACTATATCGTTAACGGCTTTAACTACTATCTATAAGCGGGATGCCTTTATTAAGCCCTGGACTTCTTACGTAACGATCTCGTATATCCTACGTATAGGGCTATGGTATTCTTCGACTTTTCCGACGGACCAGTATACTTCTACTAATACCTACTTATAGGTAATCCCTACGAGCCGTACCTCGTTACGGAACTCGGCGCTATTAAAGTTCGTACCGGCATCGTAAGTAATAACGTCTAGGGGCCTTAAGTACGTATTTATTTAGCATTATTTAAGGGCTTCCTACGTCTCTTTAGCGGAAATACTCCTTATAAACCTTACCGCTTAAAAGCTAGTTACTATATCGACTATATAAAGCACTAATTATCCGTCTAGGTATATAATATCGACGATTATTTCGTAGTTAAAGTCCATATCTAGGTCCCTTAAGGCGAATCTAAACCTCTATAACGATTTACCCTTAACTTAGTAATAGTAGCAAAACTTATTAATTACCTTAAGGTCTTTAACGTCGACCTTATGTCCGGCTTTATCGAGTAAATCGTATAGCTTATTAACTAAGGGGTACCCGAAGCGGGTATAGATCCGTCGTAGTTCCGTTTCCGTAAAGTAGGCTACGGCGAGGTAAGCCCTATCGTAGAGTTAGAACTACGGATATCCCTATTTACGTATAATCGGGATTACTATACTATCCTTTAAGATTAATTAATTAGTAATATTATTAAGGTATACCCTTAGTTAGTTCATATCCTTAAGTAATAAAAGGAATGGAATATCCGTTTCTATAACGTAGAAATCGACTTATCCGAATAGGGTATTAACTAATACGGTTCCTAGGGATCCGAAGAGTAGCCTATCTCCGAATCGGATATTCGCTTCTCCTACCCGGCTACTATTAATCTTTAGTTATTATTTTAGGTATTCCCTAGCGAGCGCGAGATACTACTCCTTACCGGTAGTAGATACCCGCGCCGTACTTATATTTAATATAATACCCTGGAATACCTTCTTTATATACCGGTCGAGGATAAAGGACGTTCCTAATACCGACGAGTCCTTAAAGGGATTAATAGCGGTAATTCGGTACTAAAATGCTTAGTTAAATAAATAAGCGGCCATTATATATTATTCGTCGTCGGATAATTAGTCCGTATCGGGTTCGCCTTTCCGTTCCGTTTCCGAGATCTCCTCTATGTTCTTAATTCCCTCGTAATCGGCTAAAAAGGTCGCATAGTTACCCTTGTTATCCTTACTAGCGTTCCATCGTATCCTTACCTCCTTCCTTTCCTTCTCGGAGTATTTAATAGACTAATACCCTTCTTTCTTATATACCTAGCATCTTCTTTTCCATACCCGCTATTACCCGAATCGACCCCTTCCTTTTTTATTATCGTAATATTTACCTCCTTTA